TACGTAAAACTTTTACCGGTTTTAAATGTGAAATATATTTAGTAAACTTTGCTTTGCTTGTACTATGGTCATAGCTGCTATAAAGCTTCGCAAACATCATAAAAAGTTTCAATAGTATATTTTGTGTTTTAAACCGGTTATTTAGGTGCTATCATAAACTACTAACAGTTAAGATGTGCGGTTGGGGTTTTTATCAATCACCAAAAGAGGGTATTGCTCAACAGGATCCAAGAACTGCTTTCGCCCACACCACGTTATCTCCCGCTGGACTGCTGTGGCCTGTGCAGCAATAAAATGTTTCTTTTTATGTCCCCCCTTGTGTAACACGTTTGAACTCGGCTCGATTGCGCAAGCACTGGTGCATTCCGTGTTTGCGCTCGGCCAGTACCCCCGGTGACTGCTTTGAGGAAGTTAAAAACGTGTTTTGCCTATTATCATTCGAGAGTCAAGTTCAATATCGATATAAAACTGTGTCCGATCGACGTCTATTTCGAGAGTTGTCCATCTCGTTCTTCTTATAGATTTTTTAATGTTAGAGGGGGACAGACAAGCATGAAGTTCACTTGATGTTAGGTGATATACCCCAGCCTTTAGCACCTAAACAAGATGAGCTGCCGGCCTATATTGGCTTTGGATATTCGAAATCCATAGACTGAGATCGAGCCAAAGTTTCAAAAAATTATAAATTGAAAATTTCTTTTTATAGATTAAATGTTTAACTGAATTGAGTGAAGCCGAGTTCGAACTCGAGTTCGGACTCGCTTTAATTATTTTTATAGATTGTTACTTTTCAATTTTACTTTAATAATTGAGTACGCGTTGTACATAATTAGTTCGATAATTGCGTTGCAATTTTTGCTTTAAAGTCAACGACCTGGGCGGTACGTTAGAAAATGGTATATATTATTATTAGTTAAACTTATTTCAAAATTATTATAATATATGTATATCGCGTTTTAAACCGTTAAAGAGTTTTCTTTAAATGGATACTACTCGCGTGAACTACAGACAGTATTTAATGGTACCTATTCATTTACAAAAAAGTAGATGTTATACTACGACTAAGGGCAGTTGGTAAGGTATTTATTACAAGATACAAAGGATTAAACAATATTGATAATGTTTATCTAATATAATAATTTCTAAGTAGAATCCGGTAATTCCGGGACGTTTAAACTGGTGACGTCAATTTTCTTGTTTTTTTTTCGTATAACGTTTACACTCGCTGGCCACACTTATATAGCAGTATTTTTAATAAACACTTTAACGGTTTAAAACGCGATATATTAGTTAAACTTATTTGAAAATTATTTTTAACTTCGGCCCGACGTTTCGGATGCTTTGCAGCAGCCGTGGTCACGGCGAGACTACGGGTGTTATATCTGGCAATATTTTTTACGTTGTCATATAAAAAAGGGAAAGTTCCATTTCCCCATGGGGCATGGGGCAAAGATATTTTTGTCCGTTTCAGTTGTCAGTCGTTCAGAAACTATCCATAGTTTTCCCGAGATTCGAACCCAGGATCGCTCGCGTTTACAATGCTAGACAACACGTTCATCTATTAAGCCACATAGAAGGTTTTTACACCGTCATAGGTACCATATATTTTCTTTGCAACGGCAGACGGTACCGGCCTCAATTCACCCCGCTGTTACCGAGTTTCCAATAGTAATGGCAAAAAGTTGTGAACGCTAGAATTACTAGCAGCGACAGTGCACTGCTATCGACGATCTTTGAATCGTATCTATCTCTCATAAAAGAGATAGAGGCAACGATATATCTATACTAACATTATAAAGCTGAAGAGTTTGTTAGTTTGAATGCGCTAATCTCAGGAAAGACTGGTTTAAAATTCTTGTTGTATTGGTTATAGCACTTATGGAGAAATGATTTAGGCTCTTAAACATCACGAAGAAGAAACAGTAAAAAAGTCTGCGAAAACGGATACGCAAAAAATATGTTTGGAAGCTAGATTCCCCTTTAAATGATCAAAACGCCTCCACAGTAGTTATATCTATCTTTTAAGATTAATAAATTTGCAAGAACAAGGGGACGCAACATCGTAGATAACAACTAAAATTGATAAAGATGAGAGGGTTTGCAAAAACAAATTTTAGTGCCCAAATTGCTACCTATACATTAACTATTCTACGCGGACGACGCTAGCACAGCTAGTATAAGATATATATCTTTGCCTTGCTTATATCTAGATCGGTACAGATAAACGCTTTGTCCTGAATTACTGATAGATCAACGCGCAACATAAACAACCTGGAACCTAGCTTTTGTATAATATGAAAGAGACATAGAAGAATAAATATGAGAGATTAGTAACATTGGATAATTTTTGTACACAATATATAAAAACATGATTATTTTAAATTTAAGCCCTAACGGTATTGAAAACGGGCAAAAACGCCACTTCTAGTTCTATGTATAGTATATAGGGGGCTGTCAGGGATCAAGTTAGCAGGTAAAATGATTTAACGACACATTGTTGCTAGTACGAGGAACGGTTTATCATATTGAGAACTTCTTGCAACGCACTGTTGAGATACAGGGCCCTGATTCTGGTGTTTACACTAGCCTGACAGTTGCTTCTCACTAGCTACTCGTACTATGGTTATTCTGCATGGCTAATTATAGTAGTAAAAAATTAAAACTAAAATTGGAATGTAAATAATACATGCTTTAAATTTTACAATGATTATTAATGTTATTTTTATACAAGTATATAGTTAGTGTAATTACTGCTAATTCGATAAATAAATAAATCTTATATTGAAAGAGATAATGTTCTCATTGTAATTAAAGAATTCAAACGACACTTATTCGTTGTACAATCTTAATTTTATGTTCTGTATTATTTTTACTACGTTTTTGAAAGATAATATAAGAAATATATGAAACAACAGCTCGTTTCACTCGTTTCTTTTACCATAGTGGCGTTTAGATACCGACAATTGCACTGACGTCTTTCGGTGGCCTCTCGAAAGCGTGGTTCTCTGTAGTGAATTACCAGAATCGGATACCAGCGCTAAAAGTCACCGTTATCCGATTTCCTCTATTCCTTTATGTATGTTTTTTTATTGTGTAAATCGCTGTGCGCGACTATCTTTAGCGAATTCTGAGTTCTTTATACTTTTTCTGTATTTTGATATTATTTGTAATTTTTAGTTTCATTGCGTTTACAAAACGGAGCTCATACGGTTTTAAAAAATATGGTATACTAGCTGTGCCCGCGACTTCGTCCGCGTGAAATAGTGAATTGGTGTAGAATTTCTAATTATTGTGGCTGTTTATTAATTTATGAAGGGGGCATTTAAGGCAGCCAATCTATGGTAAATGCTACTTTGCCGCAACACTCTCACCTCACTTCACTCCTACTCTCTAACTCTAACTCCCACTCTCATTCCCACTATCATCCCCACGCCCACGCCCACCCCTACTCCCACTCCCATTCCCAAAAAGCCAAAGAAGAAAGTTTCATTGTTCTAGCTTCAAAAACCACGAATTTCCATACAAACTTTCATCCCCCTTTCCGCAATAAAAAGTATCCTATGTCCTTTCTCAGGGGCTAGACCATCTGTATTCTAAATTTCATTCAAATCCCCTCAGTAGCGTTGGCGTGAAAGAGTAACAGACAGACAGACAGAGTTACTTTCGCATTTACAACATTAGTAAGGATAAGGATTCTAACAAAAGTGTGTTCGACTGGCTCGATGGTGTAGTGGTAGCAATGTATGACTAATACTTAACGGATCGTGGATTCGAATATGTTTCTTATCAATTTATCATTCTTTTAAACACGTTGGACTTTGTCTGGATATCTTAATTTAAAATGTATGGTAGAAATTGCATTTGGGTCACGATCCGGCCACAGACGATAAAGTCGGGAAGGTTATTCGTTTCCGAATATCCAAAGCCAAAGACAATGCTTCATACATCTTGCTTATATGTAATATGGCTGAGGTATTATTAGAGAATCCCATGCGTGTCTGTCTTCCGCTATTATAAAAAAATGGACTGTTATGAATTTAGGTGTATGTATATATAATGTAGTCATTCACTTGTTTCTTTTCTTAAAAGAGACGTATCATATCACGTGAAATAACAATATGTTATTCATAAATTTAACTAGAAATCATTGTTCTGTACACCGATTTTAACTGTTTGTAATAAATCATGGGTCCACAAATAGATGGCTCGTAAAGGTGGTCACAAAAGCCCGACTTTTAGAGCCCTTCAGAAAGTGTGTCGACTAGCCCTTCGCCCCGCGCCTCCTCAAACCCGAGCTTCATTGGAAAACGTGCCTATGCATTTTATAGTTTTCCCTCGAAGCTTATGTAATTTGTAATTTTGGTAATGGTTGCTATGTGTCTGAATGAATATATGCATCTGTCTGTAGTTTACGCGAGTACTACACATTTAAGTAAACACTTTTAACGGTTTAAAACCAGAAATTTATTACGTTACCACGGCTGCAACCGTCGTTAAAATAAATTGTATGTTAACTAATACATTTCGCGCAAATAACTTATTTATTATGTTTGAACACAATCTTTAAGCTTTAATTACTAACAAATGTGTACGACGATAAGTCTTTACACAGGCATAAACAAATATAAAAACCCTGAGGACAGTAGTAGGATATAATAGGTAGTAGATTTATTGTTACATGTATTGACAAATGGTAGTAGAATGTAAGTACATACGTTTGTGACTCTTTTCAACCCAAACTGCGTAATTTACATGAGTACAATATTTTCAAAAACAGACATTTTATTTCGTAAAAGTTTCCGCGAATTGAAAATATTGTAATGGAAATAATTTGACTATCTACGAAATTATTGCTTTTAAAATACATACGTATATATCTATTTGTTGTGTATCGAATTCAAAGGGGATTACATATTTCACTAATTACTTGACTACGTAAATTGAAATACACTTAGCCTCACTTACTATATCAATCATATACACCTTTCAAGGGCCTTACGATGCAGTTCCTTCGAGGGCAGTGTTCGCAAGGTATGAAGGGGGTCGCAGAGGAGGGGGTAGGTTGCGCAACGCATCACAATAACGTGACATTACGTGCCTTGGCCACTGCGCCCGCGCAGGGGTCATGCGCCGACTGCGATCTGTTTCGGGGAACGGTGATACGAAACTATTGTCACGTTCATCGAACGATTGGTTAATCACATGGTAACTGTATTATATGAAAATGGGTAAATAAGATCTAGAGTAAGTTATTCTTTAGTAAGTTGCAATAGCAGCCTGAAATAACATATGAATAAACAGCTTTACATACGGTTTGTAGTTTACGCGAGTAATACATATTAATCAACCCTATAACTGTTTAAAACGCGATAATATATCAGTTAAATTTATCTTTACGGGGATGTCTCCCCGCGACCACGGCTGACGCAAAGCATCCGACACGTGGGACCGTAGTTAAAATAAATTTTAAATAAGTTTAATCAATATACATCGCGTTTTAAACAGTTAAAGTGTTTTATTTAAATCCTTACATACGTTCTATCTCTTTGCAAGGTACACTCATCACCGATTACAAGACTTCAAAATGTGCAAGCCCTTCTTAACTTATGTTGTCGATTCAATTCGAGGGAACCCAAGTTTACTGTTCAATGTTGAGAACGTCCAATTTTAAACAGGAAAAGTTTGCCTTGTTCCCTTCATGATATTGAACTATTTCCAATGATTTCGTTCAATTTCATTTGATTAATGATTACGAATTAAAAATCGATTTTTTTTTAAAACGACACGTGACTTCTCCCGCAATGAATACATTTAAAAACCAACAATCATGAAGGATCAAACTGTTCTTGAGTTTTAACGAGGTATTAATTGCTAAGTAAGAAAGGTAATTTTTGGTTTAATGTTACTACTATATAGTCTATTTTATTAATTAAGCTGTTAGGGTTCAAACAAAGAAATAAATCAATGCGCTGGATCTACTGCGCGGTCCCGCTAACACCTCCGGGGTCTCAGATCCCGCTGTCCATGGAAGGATGCGCAAACGACGCTCGCTCGTTTCTTTTTAGAAAGTGGCACGTGGCGGGGTTGTTCACCCTGCGCGATCGGGGTCACAGTCGCCCGCGTACCGCAACCCGCCTCCCCCCCCTCGCGTAGCCGCAACTACTCGGCTAGCCCTTGATAAGGAAACTCCATTGACACCATCAACCGGGTCGACGGATAAGGCGCTCCTTGCAATATATAGGACGACTGCTTCGATAAAGATACCTACGTAAATGACAGGTCGTGCTCGAATGATAAATTGTAGTTGCGTACGCGCAGCATGGACCTACAACGTGGTGCAGCTTCCATTTGGCACGACGTTTATATTTTAATGTGCTAGTTAATGGAAATCTTTATTTAAGATTAATTATAGTATTGAGATCGTATTATTTATTAATTGTACTTGTATAGGTGTTTTTTTTTTATCAATCACGAGAAATAAAATGCTCATGTGCCAATAGGTTAAAAAATTCAACCATGACGTGTAGAACATGGTTCCTCAATCGGTTAGCCGTTAGAGCAACAGCACGGAACGCTGTGGATGCCTGATCGAGTCCTGCCCGCGTCGTAAAACATTTTCAATCTAAAATCGATTTTTAATAATATCTTACTATTTTTCTTTAGATCGAAGCTGTTTGTTAATGTTTTCTTCATATAAATACATAATTAATTAGTGTAATTGGTTAATGTAGGTACCGTGCTAATTAAATAAATAAATAATGTATTCAATAGCAACTAGCGATAAAAAATAAATGTCGATCAACAAAAACGAAATAGCTAATTTATAGAAATAACGAATTCTTTCAATGACACGTGTCATCGAATTTAGAAATTAAGTACACTTTACTTGCAGCCTGATTTACTGTTTCATTCACAAATATACTTTGTTACACGATAGAGAATCGAACTCCTTATAGTATGTCGCCTACCCCAGACTAACGACCCTAGACTAGACCCCAGGTCCTTTAATATTGAAATTTAAGAGCGTATTCTAAATATTTATTTGCAATAGAGTCGCTGTTTTATGGAAATAGAAAATATGAGTTTTAAAAACAGTACGTGAGAATGAATCTTGGCGATAAAAGGAGTGATGGCGAGTATCTTGCCAGTTCTTCTTTTTTTTTGTAAACTAGTTAAATTTTTTTCGTACTGGATTAACTTTTATAAATGTGTGATAAATGATTAACGCTTACCACGGCTCTTAGTGTGTTTTTCTAAATGTGTACTACTCGCGTAAACTACAGTTTTTTTTAAGAAACCGACGAAATTTATACGGTTATCTACGTTATGGAGAACGTATAGTAAACATTTTATAAAAACCAATAATAGGGGAGCAATTCATGACAACAATGCACAGCGAAATGCTTATTTAATTAATAATGTGCATGTCAAAAAATTTGGTTTTCAAACACATGTGTCGTTATAAAGAATAATTGTAGAGTTTACTATAAAATGGATAATGTTAATAGGGATGTTTGACACCCGCATCGCAACTGTACGAGGCTGAAACTAGGCCAAATTGATTGACTTATTTTTCTATTTACGACATACACTGCCCTATCCGTCTCGTCTCGCTAGAACAATGCAAGCTATTTGTGTCCAGTGCAGGATCCTCGTTATTATTGCTTAACTGTATGCTAGTGTACATACCATATTATAATTCAAATTCCATCCTACATTTACTTATTAAATAAAACACTTCTAACTGCTCAAAACACCAGGTATACTACTAGGTCACTGTCAGGTAATAAATCATTTTAAGACGTTAAACTCGCAACAGTAGAAAAATAAAGATATTTTTTTGTAAGTTATAAAATAGCCGTACTGTCAATTAGGTAATTAAGTGAATAATACAAAAAAAATATTTCCGTAACTTATATATTTAACAGTCTTATATTATATTACAAATGCTTAAACATTAACTCACTCATAATTATTGTCATTAATTTCTAACGCTAATATTAGTGTACTTACTATTAAATTAACTATTTCTCAAATCTTTAATGTGATGTAAAACCTTCTTAAATGGTAATTAGCGTAACACTTTAGTAAACTTGATTTTAATAGTATATTTAGGTATTAATGTACCTTTAATAACATTCAATATTTGGTAGGAGAATAATTATATCCGAGAAAATGTGTACGTTAATAATACCTATATTTTAAAACTAAACTTAACTTTTTAGCCCTTTTTAGCAGACAATTCAAAATTGCCAATTTTTTAAATTTAATTTTTTTATGTAATCGTATGATAAAAAGAATATTTTTAAAGAAAAATTGCCTTTTTGGATTTGATTTTTTAATCGTCAACATGTTCTAAGTTGCGCTAGTTTTTTGTTTGGAGCCACGTCAGCACTTATGATGCTGGCCATCCGTGCAACAGAACTCCTTGCCTGCAGAGAAATTAGTCGGATTCCATTCACCTCCGCAGTTTCTGATGAAAAGGAACGCCCTCTCGCGGTGCACGTCTCGCTCTACTGCGCCGCAAATCACTGGGCCGGCTCGCGGCAGGTACTTTAGTATCTGAGAACATTCAACGTAATAAATAATAATAAAACACAAGTTAACATAAAACTTCTCGTGGCAAACAGATCGAAGGTTTCATATACATTAATAATTAAGTATTAAAAAGCTTGGGGTAGTAGTAGGTGGTGCGCTGTCGACTTATTTTGGCTTTGGATATTCGAAAATATACAGACTAATACCGAAACGCGATTAAGCTTCACGGCCTTTGCATCTGTGGTTCGTGACCCGGGCGGAATTTCGATATACCTACCACCCAATGTTCATAGACAGTGAAGTGAGACGACTACATGGTTTAGTACACTGCAAGGTCTCGTTTGGATAATGTGGGTAACCCTTTTTTCACTGATGGTGTGTAACGTGAAGAGTGTGGTTAATCTAATCTAATCACTAAACACACCACGCGGCTTTGAGGAGTCCTGGAAAGCTTTGTTCAACTGCAAAGTTTGGAAAGGTGGGATTATCTCGGGTACAGAACCCTAGAACATGACCTACACTTCCTATACATCCTGAACTTAATACATAGGAAAGCGGTATCTCAAAGCAATTGCAACAACATTAAGAGTAATTGAAATGGAAATCTTCGAAGGAAACGCGTCAATGTTTACGACGCTTAAAACATTTTATTGTCCGTCCGTCACTTTCTAAGCAAATGAAGTGTGCAAACAAAATCATTGAACAATTAACAGTCAAGAATTTACAACCAACCCCGAAGTTAGAAACAATTTATTATAATTTTTATTGATTAGAAACTTGACCGCCTCTGTAGACAAATGGTTAAACGTATTGCCTAGCATTGCGTTAAGCGTGAGAGGTCCTGGGTTAGAATCCCATGGAAACACATTGTTTCGGTCGGGCAGGGCACAAAGTCTGATCAACTACTCGCCTGTTAATGAACGGATCAATGAAACGGACACAGAAATGCTCCTTGCCTCACAAGGGGGAAACGTGATTACACACAAGAAATACCAATAGAATAATACCGGCAAGTATTTGATTAGATTTCTGTGCCCTGTCTGAAACAATGTTTTATTTCCCCGGGACTCGAACCCAGGACCTCTCGCACTTAACGCAATGTTAATCAACACCTTTAACCATTTGACTACAAAGGTTAAACGTGCCATATCTATATACAAATATATAACGTATGAAATCTAAATTCAACAAGAAATAGAATTTTGATTAGAAAATTTCTTTCAAATTCATTTCAAATGTCGTCTCCAGGTCCAGGAACGGTCAACTTTAACCAATGGCATTGTTTTTTTGTGAAGCTTGGTTTCTTATAAAATAGGCTTACCACATCTAGACAAGTGCTGACACAATGTTTTTGTCCAATTGAACCGCAGGGCAGGCTAGGTCCATCTGTGTCGTACGTCACTACTGGCTCGCCGGTTGGTGGGCCTTTTGGCTTCGTGCGGCGGCCATCTTTAAAACCCATTTGTTGTGACATAAAAACGCCACATTGACAAGGCTCCAACTGAAATCGAAATGAAATTAAATGTTTTTTTAAGATAGAAAAGGACGCTCGGTGGTTAGTGACATACACCAGAATAAAATGTTTCTGAAAAATTATCAATTCCCCCACGGAATCCAAACTTAGAATAATGTTGGAATTTCCACTTTTTAATCACCTCACTATAGTCGTCATCACCGCCGGATGCATCATAAGCTGTTAATATCTCCTGGTGGTCCCGCTTAAGTTTGCGCCTTGCATCGACTGCTGCGAACAACCCCAGACAAGCCACAACCAGAGCTAGCTCTCTCCCATGCATTATGTTTCCAGGCTGAGTAAATAATTAAGAATTTATGAAACATTACAGATTTATAACTTTAAAATACTTTTTTTATGATGTTTTTACTGCGTAGCTAAATGGTTAGGTTTTATCATAATATATACTGTTGGTTCTTTGCACGAATAGAAAAGATATTAAAATATAAAACTACTAAAGGAGAAAACACGAAATATAGTAGATAGCAGCCGGCTACTGTAATGTAGCCGAGACGTCTATCTATTTATGCAAAACCGTTAAAAGTGTTTCATTGAATACAAATAAAAAAATTTAAACTGGAAATAATTCTAATTTTAAAATAAATATTTACGCTATAAAATATGAAAGTGGTTAATTTAAAACATAATGAAAATATAACCTCCTGGAACTGTAAATAATAAAGACATATAATAAATGAAGGTGTTATACTTACATTTTGAACTGTTTTTCAAAATCTTTTCACTGTCACACTTACATATCTAATGACCTCAGTATCGCTTTGACACTATTTAAGTTAAAATTCGTACGAGAAAAATGTCGCTGCATCAGCAAAATCATACGTGCTCATCGTAAGTAGATACGAAACGTTCACGCAAAAGACGAATAACTCTACGTACTATTTCGATAAGGATCTATTGTTTCTTATCTTATAAAAATAAAATAATAGTGTGACCTATTATTTTAAGTCATCTCTTGTCTCTATATATGTCTATGCTAAATATTTTATCGCGATCATTGCATGATAGATCAATACCCCTCAAAAACAAAAGAGGATCTTTTAGAAATGCCCTAAAAATGGCCCTCAAGCTCCCACCCACATTGTGGTGGTCCAAACTGAAGCCGTTGCCCCTCTTGGGGAACCCTAGATCTAACTGCAAACATGGCGACAAAACATCGGGATAATAAAATTAGCGGCCCCGGACAAAATACCCTCACTACGTAATTTTTCCGTGTAGCTTACAGTTTAGTAAGGAATCGATTTTCCTAACTATCTATAACTATAAAACCCAATTTTTAATATAGATATAATTTCTAAATGCACTTGCACTTATTTCCGAGTGTTGAAGTCGGTTTATGTCTACTGTATGTCGATGAATCTTAAATTGTAAATAAAAGAAAATACCAAATGCAGTTAATTTAATCAGAAAACGTCGCTTTGCACTTCATGCTGATTCTATCCCTAAAATAAATACAAACAAAATTACGTAACATTGTACTTAATAGGTACATCGCTAAGCATAAAAAATGCAACAGCTTGAAATAACATAACAAGATAACAAAAACTCTTATAAATAATACTGTCATAGCATTGCTAGAAAATATACGAGTTTCCCCCATAAAATATAAGTTATTTTTTGCTTAATCTCCAACCCCCACCCTCATCGATCATGGCTGCTGTAATATAAATCATATAACATATTACGCTATTTAAACCACAAATTCCATGACGTCACAAGAATTGGGGAAGCTTATGGATGGGCCCCCTTATGCATATACATATAATTTTCTGCATTTGTTCACATGAAAAGAAAAAAACACCCCATGACATTGTATAAAACGCCTGTCTAAAAGGGGAAGTTTCAGGTTTTTAACACTAGCCAATTAGTAATTACTTTACTTTTCATCATAACATGACCGGCAAACATATTTACAATTATTTTTGTCATGTTATACCTCTATACTACTTGGTAAGTTAATATGTTTAGGCTCTGACAATAATCAGTTTCCAAACTATCTTCTCATCTTGTCACTAATCTACATATGTAGTATCTTATAATAATATTAAATACAATTATCAATATCACCAAAATATTCACATGAAATTGACTTGTGCAAGTTGACTATTCAAATTCTTTTCAAGAATCTTTATGTATTTCAGATTGAGTCAGTCTCTATATTAATAGTAAATGGACGTAAGAATTCATGGACATTATATATGCGAATCTGCTTATACGATCTTGTACTTTGTTAGGATTCCAAGACTATGTATTTGGCACATGATTATTTGTAATTTTTACTTAGCTTAGCTTATATAAATTAAAAATGTATTTTAGACAGACGCGACTCGAGTCCCCGAAGACGTACTGTGCAGCGCTGTAGTTCATTCAGTTCCGTTTTTTTAATAAAATACATTGTCAACTACTTGACAGTTACAGCGATAAACAAATATTTCAAAATTTCGCATTTTTCACTACAAATTAATTGCCCATAATTGTAATTACTTTAAAAGTTACCACTTGAATCATTTTTAATTACATCTCATAGGGGTAACTCTCATTGAAATGTTATTTAATTATGATGGTCACAAATTCCTTACAAATCTGACATAAATTGCCACAAATGTTGACAAAAAGGTTGCCATTTAGTTAACCATTTCTCTTATATTTCTATGAAATCTATATCACCTTCATGAGAATTGCGACCCATGTCTTGTAAAGTAAATATTTCAGTTTCATTAATCATAACAATCTCATCCAAAGGTGCATATTTAGCTGCACATAGAATCCATCCTCCAAATATCAAAAAATTATCTCAAGATTCCTTAGCTAACATCAACTTTGCTTCACCTTCAAACACAACCTTCTTCTCTTCTTCCACCACACAAAAAAATTTCACCTTCAACAGTTTGCGTACATCAACCAATTCAACACTGATTGTCAATTTCTCACCAACAAAACATTTATTTGGAAATTTCATAGTTTGAGATACCAAGACTGTACCAGGACCAGGCAAGTGTGTTCCAATAAGACCAGCGACCAATCCATTCAAAAAAGCTCCATGCACAATCGGTCTTTTATTACCATTATTTTTATGTAGGTAGTTGTGATCACTTGTGAGATTTGAAAATGTATCAAGGTCTTTTTGGGTCAACGTTTTTTGTATTCTTATTTTATCGCCGGCCTTAAAAGCTGTACGACTAAATGATGTTGTATGCAATTTACATATTTTCTGGTAGTTCTTATTATTAACAGCAATATATGGAAACCTGTTTGACAGCATTCTGTTCATATTGTTAGATAACTTAACACAACTCTCAAAGTAATTTATTGTTCTTGATAAATGTCCATGAATACAGTCGCTAGATTTGATATAACTTTATCCTGTGACTGTTTTAGTGTTTCTATTTTCTGCATAATTTCAGTGTTGTCACCTGTCCTTCTTCCATTGTTAAATAAATAAATGAAAGTGGCAATTATGTCTGGAATTATCTCTGTGTGGTTTGAATTTAACAATACCACTAGAGATTTCACTCCACTGTGTTCTATTAAGTAGTCTAAGTTGACTGGATCTGTAAATTGAAAGCAAAGCACGCATTATATTAACATAATTAATATAATGTATAAAAAATATTGTATACATTTTTTGTGACCATTTTGCTAACCTACTTGAATTTGCTGTTTGGTGTCATAATTAAAAACCATTCTCAATCAAAATATGGTGTATATATGCAAAATATAGAAAATAATTATTTTTTTTCTTACCATCATATAGAATTTGACTCAATATATACTATATTTTACTTATACATCATGGAATAACAACAATGTTTAAGAAACTTACCTGAACACAGGTTACATATACCAGTGGTAGCAAAATGTAACAATTGGATGTTACATTCATTTTTAATCACATAAAGAAAAACATCAAAGACACCAACATCTCGTATGTAAGCAAAGTTTATCGGATCGTAAGCAAAATTTGCCAAATTTGCAAGAACTTGACTTTTAGAATCTGAAAAGAGCAGAACATTTTGCAGAAATTTTCAATATTTAAAATAATATTATAATATTGTGACGAGTGTTGAATACCTAAGGAAGATGAGTTCAAATACTCATCGACAAGTAGCGATAAATAACTTTCACGGTCGGTACCATTTTCGGGAGTATGTTTCTTCAAATAGGACAAATTTGTAAACATTGATGTTAGTAACTTGACTTACTTTTTATATCTATTTTTACCCGACCTTACATAAATTAAAGTTGAGATCTATAAAACTAACAATTATAGCAAATTATGTTTGTTCATATACAGAATTTTAGTAAATCAGTAAATATTATTTAAATACGCCATTAGAATTTAGAAAATGTTTTAGTGATGTATTAGACAGTTGTCAAATATAAGCTATGCCAGTGCTTTGACATTTAAAAAAATTGCTGATTAGTACTATCGATTATTAATTCTCGTTAAATAATTTTTACTTCTACTTTAATTTAAATAGAATTATATTAAAGTAGTAGTTATTTTGTAATTCTGAATGGTTGTTAAATTAATTGCTTACAAAAAGTTAAGTGCTTTTCAAAATATTTGAAATATAATTTCAGTAATTATTTTAAAAAGAAAACAAGTTGCAGCCTCTTGACTCGTTGAGCTTTCAAAACGCATTTTTTATGTAATATAATTAACATAATATAAATACACAATATCTGTTGGATTTGTCATAGTTTATGCTTATATTATACTCGATTGTTTGATACACAGAAAATGGCACAACACTATTATACATAACTCGATTACAATATTATACTCGTTTTTATTTTGTGGTTATATTTTTAAAGTCTGTTGGCAGATTTTATTATTTCAAGCAAAATGTGTATTTTTTAACAAAATAATAATACATTTTTCTATATAGAATATAAAGATTTACTCCTATCGCAATTACAATGTCGACTATACCGAATATCACTGGTAATTTGTTATTTCTTGGAACCGGGTCGGGTTACGAGTGACTTTTAGATTACGTTCCTATTTTTTCTACTATACTTACATTTTTTTGTTGCAGGTTTGACAAACAAGAATTTGTTTTTAGTTGATTTCCAAGAACCTTATGCTGAAAAACCTTTGCGAGACGAAAATACTCTAAATATAAGGAGTATAATTTATAGCCCCAAAGGGAATTACTTAGCTTATAGAACAGATAAAAAGTATCTATCGTTTTAGAAAACTTTTTTAGTGCATATTATTACCCTATATTGAATTAAATATAACTTAATTTACTTTTAGGGTAGAAATTTTAAAATGTTCAGACTGGTCTGTAACAGCAACAATAGATGGAAATGTGAAAGACATGTTCTTCTCTCCATTAGATACTTACTTCATATCATGGGAAATGTTTTTCACTAATAAGGATAACCCACAGGTATCCATTTGATATCATAACATCTGCAATAAGTATACTACTAATCTACTATCATTGAAGAATTTGGTTTATTTTACAGGGAAAACCAAATCTACGCGTATTTAAGTCTTGTAATGGCGAAAATATTGGTTCCTTTATTCAAAAGAATCAAATTGGTTGGTAAGTGCTATATCATTTTGGAAAAAGTAAATAAATTCTTTAATTCAATCTTAAAATGATATTTAAAGATTGTCTTCTTTTTTATTTTTAGGCAACCAAAATGGTCATCAGACGAAAAATTGTTTGCTATTCATACAAATAACAGAATTTTAATCTATGAGGATGCAAAATTGGACCGCTACACACATAATGTAGCAGCAGACAACCTTCAGGCTTACAGCATATCACCCAGTGCAGCACCATCATACTATTTCTCCATATTTACCATAGGTATGTCTTGTTTCTTCTGGTTATAGTAAAAAAATAGTTTATACCTATTATAATCATATGTTTGTCGGTTTCTGTCTATGACTTATCATAATAAAAACTTCATATAGTGTAGTACCAAGCTATGTTTACCAATGGATTTGGAAATATCTGTAAGTAATTGATTTCTTCTTACAGGAAAATCCGGTCAGCCGTCTTTTTGGCGTATCTTTAAATTCCCCCAGTTTGATGTAGCACAAGCAATTGTCAGTCGCTCATCTTTTCAAGCAGACAAAGCAACATTTCACTGGAATAGACGCGGAACAAATGTCTTTACAATGACTCAAACTGATGTTAGTATATAGATACTAAAGTATAGACTTTAGGCCTGATCTGCATTCATTTTTATCTGTGGTGACGACTACACTTCAGCTTGGGAAGCCTTGGGTTTTAATCTCATAAATGGGGTATGAGTCTACTGTTGACTTGAAATTAAAAAAAAAAATTCTTACTATTTTTTCAGGTAGACAAAACTGGTGCTTCATATTATGGAAAACAAGCTCTCTCATATGGAGATATCAAGGGAAATGGAGGGAATATGACATTTAGTAAGTTTTAAGTATAGTTGTTATGTATATTGTATATTAGTATTACAGTTATAAAAGTGAGTGAGATCAAGTGACGGTTTTCAAACATATATCTTGGTTGATTCCATAATTAACTAAGCTTCTATAACATCCGTCTACTCACTGAATGCTCTGCGTACTTGAGGCTAAGACAAATGCATATGGACTCGGACGAATGTGAATGACATTAAAGAACTACAGGTGAAAAAAAATAATAAGATTTTGCAAGCAAACTGGAAGATTTAAAGGGGACACGGGAAGAGTTGGATGACCCAAAACCTCTGCAAGGAGGAAATGGGGAAATGGTCAGCAGAATACGTGGACTGATAACCCGTCCTGCCAAGGGTGTCCCTGATAGAAAATAATAATAATAAGCTTTCATAAATTTATATGACAGGTAAGGAAGGACCTATCCATGCAATTGCATGGAACCCTGGAAACTGGAACGAGTGGGTAGCAGTGTATGGTCACGCACCTGCAAAAGCAACAATTTTCAATGCCAAGTGTGACCCACTCTATGAGTTTGGCACCGGTGCTTGGAATGCAATTTACTTCCCACCAGAAGGAAATAATATCCTTTTTAATAAGTAGCAAAACTTTTTTGGGCTCATTTGTCTAATGGTACAAAGTATGGCTAATGATCACAGGGTTGTGGGTTCGATCCCCACCATGTCCAGCATGTTTATAATGTTTCTGAAACATGCTGCACTTCATCTGGATATTAAATGGGTGGTAGGAATATAGAAATTCCATCCAGGTCACGAACCGCCGTCCATAGATAAAAAAAGCCGTGAAGCCTAATCGCGATTCAGTTCCAGTCTGTGGATTTCCCAGTATTCAAAGCCAAAACAGGTGGACATCGCATCTTATTTACATTCTGTGGCTTATTTAGAGGCTGTGGTATATCAATTACCATATAGTTAACGCCATGCCATGTCTCCTCTATCATAAAAAAAGTAGTTTTTGATTACACACAATAATACAAATTGACCTCTATAATAGAAGTTAAAAGTTTAAATCTTTGACCTGTGATCCTATTGTATTTAAATGTCTACACATCACATAACTTACAGACAATTACTATAAACTAGTTTCATAAATCCTTAACTCCTCTGAACTAATGCTGCTCGGTGGATTCGGCAACATCGCCACAGGTCACATTTCCGTTTGGGATCTCCGCGGGTACAAGAAGCTGGGCGAATGTCGCGCGCCTGATACTACTTATTTGCAATGGGACCCACGAGGCGAAACCTTTCTCACAGCAACGACGTACCCTAGGCTCACTGTAGGAAATGGGTGAGAATATATCTAGTATAGAAAATAACGATTTTTGTTTCGCAATATTTGTCCTAGACATTCACATGATATTGTCTTTTCTAAAATGATATGTTTGTGATCCTACCAATTTTTCTGTGTTATAGGGGAACACTTGTGCGGGGTGTCATGGGGAGTTCTGCCGCATGCTAAATTGTGCTAAACCAAAATGGCTGGAGTATATCACTTTCCATTGAATGAACTCGATACTTGTACCTCTGTCTTGTCTGTTAAAAAATATCCATGATAACAATATTATTTATAATTATGTGGTATAATTACAAAATCACTATGAAAAGAAAATAATTTCTTTTTCAGCTATAAAATCTGGCATTACACTGGTGTCCTCATGCACAAGCGAAATTGTGTAGATAAAGAGAATCTATTATCAATATGCTGGCGGCCAGGCACGTATCCCAAAAGTGAATTGTCCAAAACAGCACCTAAAAGCATAGAGGATGACACGCCGAAAGTTGTCACCGCGTACCGACCCCCCGGAGCCAAGAATAGGCCCTCAACATTTACCCTGCATGAACATGAGAAGCCACATCGGCCTGGTCAAACTGATGGTAAGAACACTAAGGGTAAACAAATAGGCATGCCCGTTTCAGGCTAAAATAAAAACGATAGAAATGGGACGAACTACTTTTTGAAACTATGTATAAACAGATTATATTAAGATCTTAAAAGTTAACAGACAAATAATTAACTCAGGTACATTTTAAATAAAACACTTTAACCGTGACCGCGGCTGTTGCAAAGCATCCGAAACATCGGGCCGTAGTTAAAAATAATTTTCAAACAAGTTTAACTAAAATATATCGCGTTTTAAACCGTTAAAGTGTTTTATTTAAATGTGTACTACTTGCGTAAACTAAAGTTAGTATTGGAGTACATTTTACTTATTCTTTTGTAGGGTTTTTCAACCACAGATAAAATATAAGTGGTCAAGATACATCTCATTATTATACAATTATTTAAGTTACTTCTTTGAAATAAAAATCAGGAACGTAAAAGTGACATTATTTTCTAGCTGCACCATCCAAACAGGCAATAAAACAAAAAGAGAAGCGAGAAGCACGAAAAGCGCGGAAAGCAGAAGAGAAGGTGGTCGGTACTGGAGATACTCCTCCCGCGACTACGCCTCGCCAGCCATTCGTTTCCACTGGAGACCCGGAAAAAGATAAGAAGATTAAAAACCTCCAAAAGGTAAACTGAACCACACTACATACACTACATAACTAATTTTATAAAATAAAAAATTAAGATAATACTTATTTTATATGAAACGATACTTTCTTTGACAGAAATAATAATTAAAGATTTGAAAAGAATGTTAAATCTTACAAATATATACATATAATAAGAAAGTTCTAGAAATAAAGGAATGGAACTTAAAATAATGTTTGCCAGATAATTTATATATATATATATATTATAGAAATAAATAAAATTATTTTATTTTTTTACTAGAAATAATGTTTAATTAATTTTTGGTCTCCACTCACATGTAACCAGCTCACTTTTTAAAAAAGAAACCCTTGTAATTACTTTCTCAAACATTTTAATTTGTTATGCATAACTCGCAATGAAAAATGTATGTAACAACAAGGAAGTATGTAAAGTGTTATGTCCTTTCTTACAGAAATTAAGTGACATCGATAAATTGAAGCAGCAGAAAGCTGCGGGCAAGCAGTTAGAGCTGAACCAGCTGGCGAAAATAGATAACCAGGCAGCACTATTGCAGGAATTGGAGCAACTGCGGTTATGATGTGTTATCTAAACATTAACTCTACTAGTTAAATTAGATTACACAGATCTATAAGAATGATAATAATAAAACTTGTATTTCTCGTTGCATTTAAAATCGGCAGTTACAAGTCTCATAAACAATCGGTTCTTGGTTCTTTGTTAGATTCTAAAGTGTTTTGTTTGTTGATAGGTTTTACATAAGCTAAACGTTCTCTGTTCCATTTTCTTTATTACAGTCTTGTATATCTGTATAGAAATATTTTTTTACAACTATTAAGATAAGTGATAAAAACAACCTAGTTATATATGAAGAAAAGTATAAAGTTGTTTGAATAAAGATTAATTTCTATGTACTGTTTTATTTCATCTCGAATGTTCCCCATGAAACGTCAAAATCTAATCGTAATTAAAATTAAGTACTCACAATTCAGCACAACAACAAGACAGACAGCATTCGGTTCACTTGATGGTAGGTGATATAGCATCTAAACAACCTGTGCTGTCGACCTTTTGGATATTCGGAAATCCAGACTGAAACCAAAACGTGACCCGGACGGAATTTCGATATTCCTACCACCCATTTAATATTCAGATTTCCAGACGAAGTCAGTTAAGTTTCAGAAACATACATTTATTAGAAATGGGTAACCTTATTTTCAATTCTACGTTAGTATATATACGATCCATTACTACATACAATAAATGATTTACGGTAAAGGAGGTAGCTACCTACCTGTCGATAGTTTTTTGTTTACATACCCTCAATAAACCGTGCATTACTTGTCAGGTCCCGACGTAGTTTACCAAGCGCCTCCCTTCGGAAGTTTTTATTTATACTCGATAAGATATCGATAATTGATATGAAGTGGTCGCACATTGTAGTCAGTAGTAACGATATATTGACGCGTCGATAAGTTTTGTTTACCTCAAAATGGACATAGAGAGTGAGGATTCCGACGAGTGCGCAAGAGTCGGTCCAGATGAATCACGGCCTAGGTTCACGATCGGGGATAACAATAATATGGATTCATCAAATGAAACAATTATGTTTGATGGCAAGTTAATGAAAACTTCGACTCAGGCTGATGATTTGGCCGCCACGTGGGGTGGGAGATGCTCTTTACCTGATTCAGGAAGATTAAGAAGGACTCACTCGTGGTCGGGAGAACCACCGGATGATGGGACATCGAAGATAAGGATTCTAAGGGAACGGTTAGTATTTTAATTTACAGCTTAACACCTGATAATTAAACGAAATAGTTGTTTATTGTTATAATATTCTTGCGCTGGTTATATAAATGTACCTACAAGCATTTTATATTTAAAATAACAATACTTTCTATGCCATAAGTTATATTAAGTTAATATTGCCTATACAAATGCAAAAACCGACTCCTTTTTTTTCAATGAAAGAATTCGATTTTATAATAGAAGTGATCGGTGGAAGTGTTAGTAAAATAATTTGATACGAAAATCTCTCTGACATAGGTATGTGCCTGCTAGAGGCAGCGAAGCCTATCTACCAATTTTAGGATTTGATTTATTTATATTTTATAGTCTAAAAATGTTAATCTACAAGAGAACAGTGACCGAAAGTTGTTATGATAATTCCTACACAAATAATAGTACCATTTCATTTTCCCCTAAGTTAATTGCGTATTTTTATTTTCCTTCTTATTCAAAATCATGTTTTTTGTTATTAGACCACTCTGCCTCTAGTAGCATATTATATATATACAGCTTATAGCTATTATCGTCATAATAGGTACCTACGCTGAATGTTCTTTTAAGGGATATGGTCCTCTACTTCGTTCAACATTTTCTTTACTAATAACTTGTTATAATATACATTCTGAATAATTAACTATTCTAAGGTTATTTAATGGTCCTCTGACACTGAAATGCCAGACGGTAACCGCATGATATTCTAGCTACCTTGTTCAATCAAAGCTATTAGATCATCTATGATAGTTATTATAGAAAAATAACAAACATTTATTTGTTTCATGAAATGTACTGTTGATAGATCAGATTTGTTAGAATACCGTGCAAAAACGTGTTTTATGATAGAAGAGGACTTGGGGGTCACTTGATGTTGTAATAAGTTAGCCATATAACATCTAAACCAAATCGCTGACAACCTATTTTGGGTTTGGATACTCGAGACACAGTTAGAACCGGGATTATTAGCTATCATTGCACCATCAACAAACTTTTCATGTTTTATAGTCTTCCTCGATAAAAATTTTCTAACAACACAAATGGAATTTTTCAATTCTCACAAATAGTTCCTGAGATTAGCGCTTTCAAACAAACTCTTCAGCTTCATGGCTTAGTATAGATAGATTGTAGATAATAGCACTGAATCGTTGTTTAACGTATAGTTTCGTGGTATGTTTATGTTTTTCAGATTGGTACGAACCCAGACCAAGGTAAGGCCTGGTGCCATTCGCCACTTCTCACGCTTACAACGACTGACATTGTTTTCCTTAGCTCTAGTCGACTTCATGAGTTTCTGTTCCATGAGTATTATGGCGCCGTTCTTCCCAAAAGAAGCAACTGTGAAGGGATTGTCCAACACGATGTGTGGGATGGTGTTTAGTTTTTATGCAGTTATCATGTTTCTTACGTCGCCGTTCTTTGGAAAATATGTAAGTTTTGTTTTAAAATTGTCTTCTGTATAAACAGACATGTTTATGTAACTTTATATGCATGGTACATGGTATGTGATTGAATGTATATAAGTATATTAATAAGTTTTTAAATAAAACACTTTAACGGTTTAAAACGCGATATATTAGTTAAACTTATTTGAAAATGATTTTTAACTTCGGCCCGACGTTTCGGATGCTTTGCAGCAGCCGTGGTCACGGGTGACCCCCCGTGACCACGGCAGATTTTTTTATGATAGAAGTGGAAGCATAGGGATCACTTGATGGTATGTGAAATACCCAAAACAATGTAAACAAGATGCGCGAGCGACCTATTTTGGGCTTTGATATTGATAAATCCACAGACTGAAACAACCGTCACAAACGCGATTCAACTCTGCGGGTTTTTATCTGTGAAATGTTCGTATTTTGGACTCGGTGGAGATTAAATACATATTGCTGTCATTACACCTAAATCTTCGAACTGAGGTTGCCTATCTGATCTGATCCATAAAAATTGTGGCCCATGTTTAATTTCATGTGTCCATAGGACGTGAAGGTCCTACAAATAAACGGGATTTCACACTTCACGTACAATATGCACTAAAGTTTTGTACGTGTAAGTAATAAGAACTGACATTATATAGATAACGCTACGATGTAAATTAATTGTCAACTTAAAGGACTCTTTGATCATTCGATATTTATATCCTCGTAAGAACGGAAGGTCAACAGTGTATCTGAGGGGAATATTCCGAAAACTATTGTTTGTTTTGTAATCTTGGCTTTGTCAATGACGCAATAACCAGTGGCGTAGCTATCGTAGGGCCAGGTGGTGCAGTGCACCAGGGCCCAAGAACTTAGGGGCCCTCTAACCTTATCTTTGAGAAGATATAAACGTAGAAGAAAAGGATTTTTTAACGTTCTTGTTGCTAAATACTGTCTATACTTTACGCGAGTAGTACACATTGAAAAAAAAACACTTTAACGGTTTAAAACGCGATATATTAGTATTATTGTTTATTAAACAGTCTCCCCGTGACCATGCTGCTGCATAGCATCCAAAACGTCGGGCCGAAGTTAAAAATCATTTTCAAATAAGTTTAACTTATACATCGCGTTTTAAACCGTTAAAGTGTTTTATTTAAATGTTCTTGTTGCTATTTATAATTTTGGAGGTATATTTAATTCAAGTAATGCTAAAAGAGGGAATGAGGACTTGATTCTTTCTTAGCCTTAGAATTAGGTAGACCGGGGCCCTTGTCCACCTAGCTACGCCACTGGCAATAACGTGTCTATCCTTCACTTGGATCAGTGACATAGGTTCCTTTAAATGTAAAACGTACGTTGGACGGGCTCGTTGGTGAAACGGTAGCAATGTATGGCTAATAACCAACGGGGCGTGGGTTCGATTCCCGCTGAGACAACATCTTTGCTATGTTATAATTTTTCTGAAATATAATGAATTCTGTCTGAAAACTAAATGTGTTATAGGAATATCGAAATTCCGTCCCGGACACAAACCAACATCCACAGATGAATAAACCGTCGTCTTTATCGTGTTTCGGTGTACAGACTGTGACCAAAGCCAAAATAGGTTGCCAGGGTATCTTATCTCTAAGGATAGAATACTATTTAATCGAATGGATTCGTGTGAAAATTATAACGAATAAATCGTAGATGAATCCCACTTTACCACGAATAAAGTCTACGAAATAAATAACTCTGACTACGAACAAGATTTGGTAGGTCATCAAAATGAAGGAGCATCTTAATCCAAGAGTTGAAATATTGTTAGGAAAATGAAAAGAAAATGGTTTTTTTATGATAGATGAGGACAGATAACCGTGGGCACACTTGGTGGTAAGTAAAATACCTCAGCTATATAACATATAAACACGATGCGCAGTCGAACTGTTTCGGCTTTGAATTGTGTTCAAACAATTGTGTTTATCCCTTCGTGTTTCAACTTCCTTTGAAATCTCTTGCCTTGGCCGTGAATGTAATAAATATCGCTAATTTACAAATTATATTTTTTGCAGCTGCCGACCATTGGCGTGAAATTCATGTTTACAGCGGGTTTGTTTATGGCTGGCGCATGTAATGTTTTGTTTGGGTAAGAACAGATTAGTTGACTTTTACTTAATTAGATAATTATTTTTGTATTGTCTGGCAGAATTGACGGTTTAAAACGGTTAAATATATTAGTTAACTAATTAATATTACGTAATTTAAGAACATACGTCTCATGATCACGTGGTTCCTCCAAAAAAAAATACTACTATGTATCGCGTTTTAAACCGTTAAAAGTGTTTTATATTAGTGAATTATGGCAATCTTTCATATTGTTGATAGGCCACGAATAAGAAATCGTAACAATGGTAGTTGAGAGCTATACAATTTGGTTACTTTTCTATATATTTCCTAACGTTTATTACATATTAATTATGTTCATATTTTTTGCAGAACCTTGGCCCTTATAGAAGACACGACGGTATTTCTAGTGCTATGCTTCATTGTACGCGGCTTAGAAGCCCTCGGCGCAAGCGCATATTCAACAGCCAGTTATGTATACGTCGTTAATGTGTTTCCCGATACGATTGGATCTGTCTTGGGTATCCTGGAAACATTTGTTGGACTTGGCATGTCTGTCGGCCCAGCTATTGGAGGCTTGTTGTATTCGGTATGAGTTGCTAAATCTACCTTCATGGCCGTATAACAATCATGCGCCCTGTAGATGGTCCCACCGCTTGGAATACGGCATCTTATAATCCATTATTCACGATGGCTTAATTCGAGTTCGAGTTACATAAAGTCGAATAATCAGTTTCAGGGAGATGTTAATTTTATTGAAATATGTATAACCGGGAATCGAACTGCCGATCGAAGTCATGCACTTATCATTACCACACGACTCCTATTTACAAGTACGAGATACAAAAAATAGTGATATACTATAAAAATAACACAGCGTACGACCAAGCACGGTGATGTCAATGTTTTTCAGTTCATGTTTACTTTAGTCTAAATATATTTAAATGATAATATGTTTCAGGTAGATCGGGGGATTTGGCTTACCATTTTACAGTCTCGGAATAGTAATGGTTTTAACTGTGCCGATAAACATGATATTCCTTCCAGATTGTGAAGGTATGCATATGAGGCAGGCAGGACAGACACACTTTTAATACTTTATATTATTTGGTAGATGTTGAAGAACCCAAGAAAAGTAGTATTTTTGAATTGTGATACCCAATTGCTGAAAATTATCAAATTAAAAATCTGACATTTAAATTGCGCGCCTAAACGCTAATTTTGCGAAGTAACGCTGCAATACGGCTAGTGACATCACGGCCTTATATTGGCCATTGGTGTATGTCGATCAAAGGATCTGAAATTTAGATGCATTTGTGCCAAACATTTACATTTTAACATTGATTGAAGTAATAAACCTAGTTAAAAAATATTTTTTATTTATGTAGAAAATAGAACAGTTATTACACTAGGAAGCATGTTGGTTTATGGCACTGTTCTTAAGCAAGTGACGTCACATAAACCCGACCAATCAGTAGCGGTTTGTGTCACGTGACAAAAATGTGTAGAAGAGTACTTCTATTAGCGTTTTTTTATTGAAATCAATTATTATTTTCAACATATGTGACTGTTTTACTGTTTGAACACTTATACTGAATACTGACAACTGTAATTGACGCTATATTTTACGCCCATTGCGTTGTACGCTTTTCTTGTTTCAGAATACATGTCTGGTTCCAAACCGGCGTCTATACTGCAGCTGTTCAAAATTCCATCCATAATAATAACTGGTCTAGTGATTGTTATCGTGTCCAATACGTGGGCGTTTCTGGACCCAACTCTAGAGCCTCACTTAAGACAATTCTCGCTTTCCACTGAGCAGATTGGACTTATATTCCTACTGCTGTCCAGTTTGTATGGAGTTTTTAGTCCAATTTGGGGTTGGGTGGCTGATCGGTAAGTTTTTTGAGTGTGATTTATTTAGACAAAAGACTAATTCTACCCCTTACATTTCATTAACATATTACATGCTACGTTATAAAGATTCTTACTACTAATACTATACTGTACTTCTTTTTATAAACTTTACAACGGGCCCGTCAGGCATGGACAATGGCCTCAATTCCCACCAGGTCCAACAAGTTTGGAAATCATTTTCTCATATTTACATGTTTGACAAAGCATATAAAAAATCTCGACTTAAGATGGGCCATAGTTGTTGTTGTGGAGGGGGGTTTGGGGATTTTCAAATGCTTAAAGCCAGATGGGTCGACAGCTTATCTGATTTTCATTTTAATTAAATTGTTTGAAACTGTAGCTAAGCTAATTTAAAAAATATCAATTTGATGGTCTGCCGGTGATAGATAGTTACGCCGACCAACCTAATTATTCTGATTTTCATTTCATTGTAAATAAATAAATGGTTTGTTTTGCAGGGTTCATAACCATTGGTGCATGATGGTATGGGGTTTATTTCTCTCGACGATTGGGCTGCTTCTACTTGGACCATCTCCGTACATCCCTGGTCTGCCACCGTAAGTAAAATTGTGTCTAATACGCGCGCTATTTTTAACTATTTTAGTATTACAAGCTGTAATTAATTTTTTTTATGAAAATTACACGTTATTATAACTTGTGGATATAGTGACCGATATTTATACATAATAAATAATTAATATGAATGTACAGTATTCCTCCATCAGGTAAATAAGACAGTAGAAAGGCTTTAATGTTTCATGGACATATATTTGTGATCGTTTTACGGTTCGGTTTTATTTACAGGGTTAGACAAGTTGTACAGACTTCTGTGGCCTTAACAAACGAATCAATATTTTCCTATAAATAAATTATATAAATAAACTATGCTAGGGCACATATATAATATTCTTAAATCCTTTTTCCAGAGATCTATGGCTCGATCTTGTTGCATTATCAATATTGGGAATGTCCGTGGCGCTAACGCTATTGCCCACGTTTCAAGGAGTCCTAACAAGTTCTATGTAAGTTATATAAAAAATATTGTAAACAAATCCCTATAAGCATTTTTAGTAAGCCCAAGTTTGTACAAAGTATGATTAACCATGCTTCTCTCTGGTCGAATCTTCGTTTTTCTTGAAGTTTTGGTACTCTTGTTATATGTACTTAAATTTTTGATATAAATCTATCATATATAAAAGATACCTACATGTAAGGAGAAATTACTTCGGCCTCAATTAACCTGACTTTTTGCAACAGTTTTGACATTTTGTACGGGCAAACGTTTTTTTAAGCAAACATTACTTCGAATTTATCCATCTCAATTAAAAATCGAATTATAAATATTTTACACTGACAGGAGTTGAGCCGGCGACCATAGCGTACTGTGCTCTTGCTCCAACCAATTGAGCTATCGTCGAAGTTTTTCCTGCATACATGCACCTCTTGCGCTAAATTATGTATTTGTATTAATCATTTATAGTTACGAGGGCGGCTGTCCAGAAGCAATCGCTACTTACAGCGCAGTAGCAGGTGTCTGGTCGTGTTGCTATTCCCTCGGTGAGGTCCTGGGCCCCGCAGTTGGAGGGGCCCTAGCAGAAACATACGGTTTTCCTTTCTGCGCAACGCTTTGCGCTGCTGCCTGTTTTACTATGGTAAGGAAGAGTGTATTTATGACAACTTTACTATTTTTGACATGTTGTACATGATGGCACTAGATAAATTAAAAATCGATTGAATTGAAGATGGCATGGGCATTGGGAGGGGTGCATGTTCAATAAGTTAATAAAATTCGACGATGACGAAATTGTCATTACATTTAATTTTTTCAATTCATAATAGATTTTTAGTTTTATAAGTTTATTTATTTTATTGTAAGTGCTCACCCGTTTTTTTATAGATAAAACAATCTCAAATCAATTAATACGTATTACTGGTAAAGCTCAAAAAAGTTTTGTCTTGTAGACCTGATTAAAATAAACATCTTTTTTAATACTATTCGGGTAAAAATAGTTTTTACATTGAAAAAAAAATTATGACAGACTGGGCAGTCATTTTTTTTTAAATTTATATAGTGAAATCATGTGCAATATTAAGTACATGTGAAAAATTAAGTAATTTTTGAAATACAGTTGTTTCTTGGTTTAATATAAATAACCGTTATCTAGACTGAATATTTATTTCACAGGGCGTTGTAACCCTTGCATTCTTTTCTCTACGAGAGTCGTCCAAATGGATTGACGAGGACACTTTATCGGACTCTATCCCGTACTCGGACACAACGTGGAACAGCAATAACTTCTGCAGGACAGCAAGCGCGCCAGCCAGTCAAATGGCTGACAATTCCCCTCTATTAACATCGAATACCTGTACTTATAAAAATGGTGAGATAATTATTATAAAACACCATAAATTAAATACAGCCATTTTAAAGGACTCGTTGGTAGCAATATATGGTTAATAATCAACGGGTCGGGTCGATCCCCACCGGGTCTAAAATGTTTCTGATTGTTAAATTTATATTTTTTCTGTAACATGCTGGACTTCGTTTGGAAATTTGAATATTAAATGTGTGGTAGCAATATAGAATATACCCGTTCAGCCGTTAAGCCGTGAAGCTTAATCGCGTTTCGGATTTAGTGTGTGGATTTCCGAATATCCAAAGCCAAAAATAGGTCGACTTACACCATCAAGTGTCTTGTGACCATACTTGTCTGTCCTCCTCTATTATAAAAAAAAATTGTATCGTCTGCATAAGATATGCTGTCGAAATATTTCCAAAAACAAAGTTAAGAGACTCTGTTTACATAGAACACTTTTAACTTATTTACAATCATTTTAACTACGTTTCAAATACTTCGCAAATTGTAAATGAGTTAACCAATATATTTCGCGTTTTAAACCGTTAAAATCATTTTATTTAAATGTGGACTAGTCGCCCAATGTACAGACAGATACCGTTGAATGACGGACGCGGCAATGTTGAGAAGTTACATTTTCCGTTTAAATTAATATTGTAAATAGCATGTTGCAAGCTTTCACTTCTCGCATTTTATTCATCTGACACACTGACATTTAAAACAAATGCTCTCTCTTTTAAAGATGAAAACGTCGACAGCAATTGACCTTTCCAAGTTATACTGCGCTCAATATATGATGATAAGTTTGAAAATTGACAATAAAAATTGAGTATCTAAAGATTTTGTTAATCTGTTTATTTTTGATAATCATAATAGTTTCTTATTAAATGTACATTGCCTAGAACTTCGTTTAGTGTCCTATTTACATCACATATTTGCCACATTATTCAAATATTTTCTGTGACATAGACAGTTTCTTAATTTTATATAATATATCAGATTACGTTTCTATCATTATAGATTTATTTACTTACTTGTAGTAAGTAGCTTCACTGGGAATACTGGAATAGTTTATAGGTCAGCAAACTTATGATCCTATTATAAACAAAGTATAATGCATACGATAATTTCAGGCTCTCACAACTACGGCGCTACATCGCACAAAATATGTCTACAACACAATAAAAACAGAAAAAGTGGGTCAGCGAGCGTCACTGAAACGCTAGAATATATACTCAAATTTCAGTACTTAACAAATATTTATGTAAAAATATGGAAGCTTAAAAATAGACACAGAAACGGAACGTTAAAAAGCGAGGAGCTATATCAGAATTACATGAACGATGAAGAGAAAATAATCAGAAATGAAAAGAAAGAGGAACCTAATGTTAGCAAAAATAAGAACGACGGAAAATTAGGTGACAGTGTGTGTGAAAATGAATATTGCTCGTTTATAGATAACGTGATCTTCGGCCCTGATTCGCAAAACAACAATAGCGTAATAATGAAACGGAATAACGCGGGTATAGTTTCTAAATTAACGAATAGCGCCGATGAGAGACGACCCACCGACGAAATAATAAGACACAATTTGCAGAAAGTCCTATTCTATGAACAAAATAGTCCCTGTACGTCTACTGAAGATATTTTTGTAAGTATTCGTGGAATTTATCGCACTTAACGGTTTAATATGCGAAATATATTAGCTAACTTATCTACAATCAAACATCGACCGACGATTTGAATGCTTTGCAGCAGCCTGCATGCATACGGGGGAGGGAACCGAAAGCTATTGCAATAGACCCTCTGTGACCACGGCTATTGTAAATATTTTGCGTTTTAAACCGTTAAATGTGTACTCGCATAAACTACTGATGATACTTCGTATTCATGTAAATAAAATTAATGCATTGCTAGTTCTGGGACTTAATAAAGAAATATTTTTTGTATTATATAACTTTAATTTAATTATCTAATTTTATTGTAAATATGATTTACCTGAACAATAACAACAAAATAATTGAACAAACTTCTGTGCCCTATTCGATAGAAACTATTTTGATTGCTAAGGATCCGAACCGAGGGCCTCACGGGAGGAGGTCACTATTAGAAATAACAAGCGTTAGTTTAAATGTAATTGCTTTTTTGTTCCAGGGTGGATGTGAATGTAAAGATGGTGTAACATACGTGAGAGGTACAGTCACCGTTTCCTCAACAGGAGCCTGTGAAGTCTAATACAAAATAAACATTAGCATAAATAACAGTTTACGAAATAACACAATTGATTTTATTATATTGATACAATTTTTCATAATACTTTAAGATTAAAATTTAAGCTTTAAAATTGTATGACGTTTTATTTTACCCTGACGTTTGCGATGAGCAAAATCTTCCCTTGCATTCCTTATTACACCAGGAGGTAAGGATTGGAAAGAGTAAAGCCGAATTCCACCCCGAACTCCACTCCACCCCGTCCTATTTAATGTCTACTTGTTATTTTACGCATAACTCGAAATTTTCCATATTTTTAAACCAAGACATAAAGGTAAATAAAGATTTCTACCGAAAACATTACAAAGCTCCAGTGAGATCAACAAAATGAAATTTTTAAATTATATAGTATAACAAAATTTATTACGTAACAATATGTTATTTCAATGTGAATATGCAATACAATAAACCTATTTAAATAAAACACAAATATAAGATGTGTAAGAAAGGGCGAGAGGATATGTGTGAAAGGGATAGAGAGTGTAAGAAAAAAGATGGCGAATTAAGACGTAAAGCGTAAAGAGCTAACACGTATTGTAAAAAGATTAAGGCGAAATTAAAAGATTTATCCATATTCTATTATTTTATTTTGGTGCTCGGAGGTTCCCTACATATATCGCGTTTTAAAGTGTTTTATTTAAATGTGAACTCCTCGCGTAAACTACGGACAGTATTTAATAGTCCTATTTATTTTCGTCTATACTTCATATTATGTACATACTCACTCACACACACACATTTCCAAAAGTTTATACTGGAAGAGTAAGTGTACGTACAGAAAGCTCAACTACATTCTCAATTATACCTCGCTAGTGAAAACGACCTCCTGGAACGATTGATGTTGCGGGCAATTGGATATCTTCCTATTGTATAGAAATTCTATTCTGTTACTTAATTCTAGTTTTTTCTATAATTTTTCTTCTCGGGCCATTTCTCAGAGTCCGTAATGATAGATGCTCCTTAAATAAACAATTTGTACAGATACTTTGAACAAAATTTAAATTCGGCTAAATAATCTATCTATCTATGTATTATATTCAAAAATAATTCAATGCTTGTCTCCTTCTTGTTTTCATGCATGAATTCATCATATTTTGTGCTCTAAACACGAAAACACAATTAAGTACCACACGTAGATTTTCAATATAATATTTATTTAATTAACAAACAATATGACTAAATGAATAAATATTACAGTCTAAATTTTACATTGAAAATCCTAAAATATAGTCACAAAAAGAACAAATACCGATCATTTATCTTATTATGTGGCGAGAATTTTTTTTATTTTGTAGTTTTTTGTTTGTATGTACTACTATGAAAATCACCTTCGGCATTTCTTTTCTTCTCACAACTCGCTAAAAGTTAATATGTGCAGAGTCACACCTGAAAACAATATATAAAAGCTAGCGTGTACAATAAAACAGACGTATTTGCGATATTACCAAGGCCAATATCCTTCTAGCATTTCAATGTTTCAACATTTGATACCAAAACAGACTCGATAATCGAACATCATTAACTGATCTACGTCCTATTTACTGTAATGGATGATTACGCTGCTCGGTTGGCTATTCATTTCATGACATACATTTGCAAGAAATGGTGCCCACGATGAAAATAACTATTGTGTGTGTTGTTCTTTTATTTTCATCTGCGCATTCCCATACGGAGACGAAATGCGAAGAGATGATGGTACACGATAAGCCCCATAAGAAGCACGTATTGAGCATGGGGCTAAACAGACCTTATCAGCTCGCATTCGATAAACATAACCAAAGATTATTCTTCAGTCACAACGTTGGAAGAGATGATGAAGATGCCTTTGAAATTGGATACATTGAAAAGGACAAGATGGTACCCACTATTGTGCAATCGGTGAAGAATGGCTTCGCTATTGGAATAGATAACAAAGACGCTATTATTTACTACGGTGGTAGCGACGGAATATATAAACAACATTTGAAAGAAAACAACGCAACGGTTTACGAAGTTTTAAAGGAGCACAATGTGTGGGATATGTTTTTTAAACACGCGTTATATTTTATAACGTATCCTTTACAGCACTTGTACAAACTTGACGAGAAAAATAAAACAGCTGAACATCAAACGCACATTCATGAGAAAATATATCAATTCGCTATCGACGGACACAACGATATGTTTATAACGAACGAGACTGGTTTGTTCCTTATAAAAAACGGAACGCACGAACGAATAGCGTACGCAGGGCCGAAAGTCTTTCGCGCGATTGAGATAAATAACGAGGGAGTCGCTTACTTTTGCGGTAAAAACGGCATTTACACAGCTAATAAGAATAATCACACGTTGGATATGGTTGTTAAGATCAAACACGTGTTTGGGTTAACCTTTGACGGCGATGATCATATAATTTATTCGGATTCACACGAAATTGTCAAATTATTGCCAGAAAAGTGCAAGTAATTCATCAACTGTTAAACTCTACCATATGACCTGTGTTCACCTTATGAATTTTAAGTTTTCGCCAAATATTTTTATTTGCATTCGTTGATTATGTTAATTTACGCTAAATATTATGTTGATGTTAATTTTGCATAACTAATGGCAAAATAATGTGTAATTATTATTAAATTAATTAAAAGAAAACTTTATTACTACTCTTTTAAGTTGTAATAAGAATCTTAAGTAGCACCTACTCATTTCCACGCTAGACCATTGAACGTAGATATCTCTTTTTTTAATCTTTCAATTATACCAAGTAAGAAGAGTTTGATAATTTTTATAAACAGGAGTGCAATTATTATTTACGTTGAATGAACTGGTTCCTGAAATAAATTTTACTTGATATTATTACACTCACGGTACTTGCTTGGTCTGCTCCAAAGGAGGTCCAACTCCATAATTGGATATCTAGAAGCTTAAACAACTAGAGAAGCCGCAAAAGTACTAGTTGCCTTTCTGTGTTTCTATAAAAAGTATCTAATCTAATTTACGGCCGAAACAATCACAAGAATAAGCCTTCGTTCACTTTATACAATTAATCCTGACGAACTTGTTGATCCAGTACTACCTACTACTAAGGACGAACATTAAATGGATAGTAGGATAAGTAGAAGTAGTTTGTATGGGTTAACGGTCTAAAATTTGCAAAAATTAGGCTTAATACACTCCTTATTAACTTAAACGACAAAATTAATATGACGCTTAGGTCCTTTTGTTATAGTATTAGTTAATCATTATAATATCATAAATTTAAACTAAGTTCAAATTGAATTAAATTTGATCTTTTGTAATACTTTTGTGTACTCTCATTTATCTCTATTCATTCGCCTTTTTATTTAAAAAAAACGGTAATAAATGTAGCATGTAAGATTCAAATATAACGTTGGTGAATCTATAATAAATAAATAAATATATTAATATCAATTAAATGGTTAGCGAAACAGTAAAAAAAAATTCAACGTCAAACTTCATGGCTCATTAGTTAAACTTAGAGGTCCACGGTTCGACCCCTGGATAGATAGAGAGAAATTTATCCGCCCAAGCTAGACACATTAACTTTTAACTAACTTAAACGGATTTTAAAGATAACTTTTAAAAATAATCAGCGGGTCGTGGGTCCGATGGGTCGATCCCCACCGGTTCCAATATGTTTCTAATTTTTCAATTTATATTTTTTTTTAAACATCTCAACAGCACGAACCACGTCCACAGATGAAAAAGCCAGGTTTCAGTCTGTGGACTTCCGAATTTCCAAATCCAAAATAGGGGGACGTCTCGTTGCTGTGTTGTATCACCTACCGCCAAGTGAAACTCTAGTTTGTCTGTCCTCCTCTCTCATTAAAAAGTATGAATTTCTTTTTATCGTAGCTACGCGGAGCTACGGAGGAACTCTGTAGACGCTACGACCGCGTAGCTACGAACAACAGCCGTGGTTACTAGGGCACTATGTGACGTAACAGTAATCTGTCCAAAGGTCATAGGGCTTTTCAGAAATAGAAAATTCTAGAGAGATCAAATTGTTGAAATCTTTTAATATTAATAAACATTCTAGAAAATTGAAGTCGTAGACGCTTGTTCTAAGTAATTTAAAATATATACTCTATATAACTACTCAATTACTATATAATTTTGCTTCCTTTCAAATTGTGTTGCCTGTAAGAGATTGCTAGTTGGTGTTTAGGTGGCATTCTATTCTGACATAAAAGACTTTGTTTGTTTCTTTGTTTAAATCTATTATAAGTTTCTAATTCAATAACTAGCATATTTATAATCAGAGCAGTTAAAGAGGGGTGTATTATCTAGGGAGGTGGGTGGCCCGCGTTGAATGATATCAACGAGGGAGGCGACCCCTCTGAACACGAGCACTCTCAATAGCTGATGTCCTCGTTGGAAATAAAGCGCACTCCCATCATGCTATGCGCTCCTGGTAATTTTCTCACTGATGTGTGGTGAGAAAACGGTTCTATAGGGTTGTCTCATTCACGGATAACTGTTGAATCGATAATTGTAACTATAAATTTCTCATATTTTAATTTGGAAGATTTAATTAATTTGATTTAAAACCTAATGTTTCATTAATCAAATATATAAGAGCTACTTCTATTTGTCATGTCTATTGTACAATAAAGTGTTAACAAATAAATAAATCTAGTTTTTAACTAACTTAGTGTGAGTGAAAGCCCGTTTCCCCCTCGTGGTGTATAGGGCGAAATTACCTCTACTTTATTGCCAGTTTAAGTCCTCGCCTTGTCTTTATTTTTTTGAATGGAAATAAGATTTAAATCTATATAAAGCCATCATGTGTAATGTTCAAAAGAAGAATCAATTCGAAACTGTTTATATAATATAGATGGAGTTTAATAAATCATATGCTTAGAGACTGGTCCTTAAAATATTATTTAAAAGCTAGCGTGTAACTTTATTTGGGTAAAATGTAATATCCCAAAGTATTTATCATGCCGCTGATATGGGGTATGTGTTTTAGAAAAAAACAGACTATATTGCCAAGGCCGATCTCGCATTTCAATACACATAATTCGTTTGAACATTTGATAACAAAACAGACACGAAAATCGAATTCCATTACCTAATTTTAGTCCTATATATTGTAATGGATGCTCTGTTGGCTGTCCATTTCATGACATACGTTTGTGAGAAATGGTGCTCGCAATGAAAATAACTATTGTCTGTGTCGTTCTGTTATTCTCTTCGGCGTATTCCGATAAAGAGACTAAATGCGAAGAGGTGATGTTGCACAATAAACCTCATACTAATCACGTATTGAGCAAGGGACTTAACAGACCTCATCAACTCGCGTTCGATAAACATAACCAAAGATTATTCTTCAGTCACAACGTTCGAAGACATGATGAAGAGGCCTTTGAAATTGGATATATTGAAAAGGACAAGATGATACCCACTATTGTGCAATCGGTGAAAAATGGTTACGCTATCGCGATGGATAATAAAGATGCTATTGTTTACTATGGTGGTAGCAACGGAATATATAAACAACATTTGAAGGAAGAGAACGATACTGTTCACGAAGTTGTAAAGGTGTACAACGTGTGGAATATGTTTTTCAAAAATGCACTGTATTTTATTAAGTATTCTTTACAGCAATTGTACAAGCTTGATGAGAAAAATAAAACAGCTGAACATCAGAAGTACATTCACGAGAAAATATATCACTTCGCCATCGACGGACACAACGATATGTTTATAACGACCGACACTGGTTTGTTTATGATAAAAAACGGAACACAAGAACGTATAGCGTTCACAGGGCCAAAAAATTTTCTCGCGATTGCGATAAACAACGAAGGTGTCGCTTATTTTGGCCATAACGACGGCATTTACACAGCCAATAAGAGCGATCACACTTTAAACATTGTTGCAAATATCAAACACGTCTTTGGGATAACGTTTGATAGCGACGACCATATAATTTATTCGGATTACCATAAAATTGTCAAACTATTGCCAGGAAAGTGCAAGTAATCCATCAATTGTTAAACTGTATTAGGATGATGTGTTTTCATCTAAAGAATTTTAAGTTTTCGCCAAATATTTTTATTTGCATTCGTTGTCTATGTCAAGTTACTATAAATATTATATTTATTTTGCATAAACAATTATGAATTAATGTGTCATTATTATTGAATTGAATTTTAAAAAATATTGCTATTCCGGTACATCATAAATCTTAAGAAGCACCTATTCTTTTTCACGTCAGGCTTTTGAACGTCAACTTCTCTTTATTCTATTTTTAAACTTTCAATTCTACGAAGTAAGAAGAGTAAGATCATTATTATAAACAAGAGTGCAATTATTGTTTACGTTTAATTAACTGGTACCTGAAATCAATTTTACTTGACATTATTTCACTTATGATAGTTGCTTCGTCTGCTCCAAAGGAGGTCCAAATCTATAATTGGATATCTAAAATTCACAAAAGGAAAAGCTAAAATAGTTTGCGTTGCCTATAGTCTGAGTTTTCCATGTGTCCTTTATCAGGGATGTAGACAGACAACTTTATTACATGTTATGCTATTATAGACTTCCTTAGGGGAAAATGATAAAAATTTTATATAGTTAATGCTTTTTTGTGTAGTTAAGGCATTGATAGCTCATGTTTGTCTGTCATAAACGATGAAAACAACACGTCATCTGTATGGCATATATACAACAACAAAATAATGAATAAGCTAATTAATAATTTGCTTGTCTATGTATGTTTTAAATAATAAACGACACTTCCAGTAATTTGTATCAAAGAATTAAAGATGCAAATCATATTAGTATAAACCCCAACTTATACAGTATACTAACTACCGCTTTATAGTATTTAATGGTCCTAATTCAAGGTGTCCTTGTAAATAAAATTCATTATTGAATTGTCCCAAGTGTGGTTTTCCCCACTTACTTAAATAAAACTATTAGTTCACATCGTATTTTTAATAAATAATATAACTTTAATTCATTAACATTGCTTAATAATCCGTTATATTGGTAACATCGACACTTAAATATATAGTCACTACATTTATTTATAATTATTTTTAAATACATACATACGACACTACGGTAGTAAATATTAAATAGGACGGAAGTATTCCATACTACGGCAGTCTATTTAACGATTATTGTAAAAATAAATAAAATAAAAAAAAAATACATACAAAAAAAGAAACAAAGGTTTACAATTTCAAACTCGAAGACAAATTAAAATTACGATTGACAAATTATATGGCGATGGTTTGAATGTTCCTTGACAACGGTTTATACTTTTTCTATCACTGAAACAAACTAAAAGCGAATAAACAAGAGAGAATAGAAAATGTAACACTATACATCGCCCTGTCTGATCCATTTCCGCAGACCATTCTTCTTGAGGCTACTGAAAGTTTTTTAGTCTGTAGCATCGAGTGTACAGCTTCGACTTCCCAGCGCGCCATCTGTCCTGGATCCCTCGAGAACAACACCGAATACAGCTGAGCTGGTGCATTTGCGTTGGCTTCTTGGCAAAAGTTGAGGACCAAGTGGTCGTTCACCGCTTTTAAGACCTGCACAGTCCCTGTAAACTGCTGATACGACGGCCTCGCAGCGAGAGTACCTGAAGAAAAATATTTCATGAGAATTTTGACAACTGAACTTTACTTTTATCAACTAAATTATCAATCATCATTAGCTGGTCGTTATGATGGTAGCAAGGCATGGCTCATAATACCCACTGGGTCTAACATATTTTACATTTTTCTAATACATGTTGGACTTCGTCTGGAAAGACTGGATATTAAAAATGTGAAAGGAATATCGATATTCTATCCGGATAATCGTCCATAGATGAAAATGCCATGATGTTTAATCGATTCTGTTTCAGTCTGTGGATTTCCGAATATCTAAAGCCGAGATAAGTCGATAGCGCATTTTGTTCAGATGTTAATTTGGTAGTATTTCATTTTCCGACAAGTGAAATAGACATGATAGATGTGGATATTTATATAAAAATTATAAGGTTTATAAATGTGATTTGTATTATATATAGATATTATAATAAAAATTACATTTATAAACGTAATTAAAATGAAATGTATATACATATAATCTGCATTGTCATTACCATTTTGTACGTCAAAAGTCTGCCAATATCCAGCAGAGTCGTTTCGGAAATAGAGGGCATATTCAAGAGTCTGTCCTGCTTCATCCCACAACAGGCGTAAATGTCTATATTCGTGTCTAAACTGTGCGCTTATCGCTTGCACGTGGTGTAGTTGTTGGTTCTCTGTTGAAGGCTGAAATCAGAAGCATAGGATTTGATACTTCAAATCTACTTCGTTCCTTTATAACAATATACAGCTTTAGCTTTATATTTAAATAAAACACATTAACGGTTTAAAACGCGATATATTAGTTAAATATTAAGTTTTACTAATATATCGTTTTAAACCATTAAATGTGTACTACTCGCGTAAACTATTATTATTATATTAGTATTTGGTTATATAATCTATTATTTTAATTACACAAACAGGTACAGTAGCTATACTAACATCAAACTACTGTTTTTATTATACTGTGCCTTGATTGACCGCCTCCGCATGTCGCAAGAATTTATATAAGCAAAAGACGAGATAGTTCCCCTAGTTCACAAAATGTTTGGTAAAAAATTATACTGACTAGATATATAGACTTATACTATAACATATAAGAACAGTCCAAGGCAAACACGAATCGTCATAAATGCTTCCTACTTGAAGTGTTCATATTCAAGACACGTACCTAAGACCTATTCTCACTTGGCCCTAGGACTAACAATAACAAATATAAATGAGCCCTTGATTGACTACCTAGCAGTTAAGTCATTCTTTGGGTCTTCAATTGATATTTGCCAACCTGGAAAATCTTTTTCTGGTGACGTCAGTGTCCCAAGACCACCACAAAAATTTTAAAGGCTGAACTCAGTGTAAGGATCTTTTGGAAACATGTCCAATACTTAAGTATTTAGTATGCGGGGGGGTGTCAAATTTATTGATAAAATTTTTTTAAAAAGTTATAAAATTTAGATAGTCTCAAAAGGCGTTTATTGTCTGAACGATTTCTTCAATGACAAGACCGCCTGGCAGTAACAAGTATTGCTCCCTAGGTTAATAAATTCACAATGTATTAGTATATAAGACATGTAAAAAAAAGCCGGACTGAGTTTCTTAGATGTTCTTTTCTGTTACGTTGCTCTTTTGAACACTCTGTAGAATCACGACAAACAGACAGACAAACAAAAAAATAGAAGAGAATAAAGTATATTTTATTTTATTGCAAATTGTCCGCGAAATTTATATATTATTAATAATTTGTTAACGGTATTATAAAGACGTATGATGTATGCATGTTTTTTTTAATGTCTACCTTATTAACTGTGATTCAGTTTCAACGTATCTTGGAAAAAAATAATACGATAACACAAATGCAAAAAAAACCAAAAAATTTTTTGCAAAACCAAAAACCACAGACGTTAACATACATACAGATACGATATTCACTTATGTTAACTAAAATATGTACAATGTGACCAATAATAAAGCTTACATGGCTCCAACTCAATGCACTATTCGATTGTTAAATAATTTCTTTGCGAAACAGTGCAATTGCTAAATTTGACGTAAATTTAGTGTCATTAAAAACAAGATGTGTATTTCTTATATAACATTTCTAGGTAATTTCCCATTGTGCGTGTTTTGGTTTTTGCTGTCAATGCTTTATTTACAAATAAATAAATAACTAGAAGGACAAAGAAGGAACAATTTCCAATGATTTCACAATCAAGCGAGCATTGTAAATGATGTGAACCCGTTGCACGAAGTTTTATTGGTTCAATTGCGAAGCAGTATTCTATTCGACATTCCTAAATCAACGGTCTAGTTACTAACTTTACTTTTTTGCACCAGGAAATTGATAGCAGAAGATAACATGAACAATTTTAACCAAGCATTTTAAACATGTGTTCAATTGTAATGTGCTTTGATAAAACGCGGTTAATTTACTTCTCTATTATTTATTTCAAGTATTTTTTATTTTAGATTTCTTCTTAGAAGTTCACATAGCCCGTATCATCTTATTAATAAGAAATCATTTGACACCTCGCTTTATATTAGTAGCTACTACTACTAGCTGTGCTCGCGACTTCGTCCGCGCCTCGTCGTACTTGCAAGTTAATCTTAAAATATAAACAATAACTATCGCGGATTTTTTTTTATGGTTTAAAGAGGAATCATTTATCACAAAATATGTTTTGGGTAACCGTTTCTGCAGCGCAAACAACGGGAACCCAAAAAAGATATATTTTCTAGTTATTTCCACATTTCCCATTGTTTCTTCGCTCCTATTGGTCTCAACCTGATGTTTTTATAGCCAAAAAACCTTCCCCTATAAATGCTCTTACTAACACAAAAAATATTCGAACCAGCAGTTCTTGAGATTGGCGCGTTCAAACAAATAAACAAACTCCTCAGCGTAATAATATTAGTATAGATTTTTAACGGTGGCGTAATATGGAATTCGTGTAGACGGGTAAAATCGCTTAGACATCGTCTGACAACACGCGTCTCAAAAACGCGTCTATGACATGGAAAAAACGACAGCTGTTATTTTGACCAATTTTTCTAATAAGATCTAATTGATACAGAGGTCCCGAAGATTAGCCGGGTCATAAGTTGACCTTTAAGATGTGAGTCAGAAACACATAGGTGAACTGAGGTTAGTCTACTCATTATTCAAATTTAAAAGATTAAAACGAGTGAATAGTAATTTAGCGGTTCAAAAGTTCTTTTAGGTAGAAGATAGTTCATTATGATAACTTGTAAGTGTGTGCAAAATATTATATTGAATAAATAAAATCATGTTAAGCATGATTTGGGCGGCCATATTATAGCGCTGGCAAGCTATGAAAGTAAAATGTGTCAAATCAACCAAACAAAACACTTATTTAAAATTTAAAAAACAAGATATCGAAAATTACGAATATTTAAATATTATAGTCTTTAATGGATCGACCGCAACGATGTTTCGTATGCTTTGCAGCAGCCGTGTCTACCCGTGACCACGGGGTAAACCATTAAAGTGTTTGATCTAAATGTGGAGGTACTACTCGTGTAAACTACAGACAGGCAAATAAAAGTTATTTTTGTCATCATAAAAATGAGCCAATGTAGATATTCAAAAGTAGTAACTACACAGTTAACAATTTAATGCTAAACTACTTTATCTTTCTAAATTTAGGGTTTTCAGGAACGCGCTTTCCACAATATTGGTTCGCACGAAGTCGATACTAAAATGGTTTATTAAACGATGCTATAGGTACTTGATATTAACATGTACACAATGTATCTAGAGATAGGGAGTGATAAAAAGGGTTATAGGCCGGATAATGCGAATTGTAATAGCTATGTCCTGTGATACGGGAATTCCCAAGCATAATTCATATCTCGTCATTGTTTTGTACTATTATAAAACATAATTGCTTCACAGAATCTGTCTCACTATTATTAATTTCATAATTATTTGAATATAATCTAAATAAGACAATCTCGAGTAGTGATATTAACGAAATTACGTAAAATGTTTTCAGAAAAATATCGAAATTAGAAATCGATCCTAAATTTAAAACATTTATAACTCGGGCAGTAGCCGCCACTGTAGCCAAATGGTTAAACGTAATGCCTAACATTGCGTTAAGCGCGAGAGGTCCTGGGTTCGAATTCCAGGGAAACATAAAATTGTTTCGGTCGGGCAGGGCACAGATGTCTGATCAACTACTACCCCGTTAGAAAAACGGATAAGTAAAACGGACACAGAAATGTGTTCGCCCCGTGCCCCAAGACGGGGAAACGGGCCTTCACAAAAATGACATGATCATCGGGCAGGACTTGAACCTTGAACTTGAATCGGTAGAACAATTGGTTAAAGCAACAGAACGCGCTGTGGATACCGGGTTCAAGTCCTGGTCGAGTCGTCTTTTTTTTCAATTTATCATCAATTTTTAATTTACATATTGCAATCATGTGCAATAACAATTCAAAAGAATAATATCTATTTAAATAAAGGCGAGAATTTGACATTATTATGAAATTCGTTGAATAAGTAATTCGACTGATAGAAAAAGTTTGTAAGTTTTTCTTTCACGCTTTCGCTGAACCCCTGGAAGAGCACCAAGAGCGCTTTGTGGTGGAATGAATGAGTAATTCCAATAATTACATATTTTACCTGCTATAAAAAATATCTATAATAGATAATACTATATCGATCAGAACACAATCGCGTAAGAAAACAATTTGCATTGAACTTTTGCCAATGGTTAATATATACTAAATATAGTCAAAGCATGCACGATATTTAATATCACCAAATTCTTCTTATATTAATTACATAATTCTTTCACATCAGAACCTACCCCAAACGTTGATCTTGGAAAATCGTCCTCTTCCCAAATCACAACGGTTGGACAACTTTTATACGTCGTGACACCTTCCTTACTCATATGCAAGTACAGTTCCACAATCTTCCACTTTCCCGTTACCGATCGGACATCCAAATCGTCATAATCATGTTCTCTGTAGCAACTCACAGTCTCCGTAGAATTAGTCTCATTTAAATCTCCGAAAGATGTAGAGAACAGAAGCACTAACCACGGTATTCTTAGCATAATCCGACCTTGAAGTCCCATTGTGCATCTATTCTTGGCTCATAACATAATCTTATGGAATCTTATAATACGCGATTTATTGAGAATTCTTTTATATTTGGTGCCGTATTGTCGAAAAGTAGCGCACGGTAAGTGATCGAAAGCAACTGACTGAAGAGCTGCGCACGCGCTGTGACTCATACGAATTGATGTTATCTTATTTAACCCTGGACCTCTCCATACGTTTGAAATCTCACGGGCTCGCAGAATATCTCCAAAGTGAAATGTAAAAGTTCTAAAAAAAACCAACTTGTTTTTGTGTTATTTAATTAAGCCTTCTCATGGATCATACGAATGTTAAATGAAACTCCGTTTTAAATAAGATAAATAACATCCATATATTTGACAATTTAATACAAGTATTAAAAAAAATATCTCCCCACCTCGCAACACCAAAATTTTTTATTAATATTTATTACTAATTGTTAGTATCTGACAACAAGAGTCCCAAAAGTAGTAGATCTAATAAAAATCTAACAGTAGATTATTATCGATTTAATATAAGTATTCTACTGTTTTTATTAATAAGATATTTATATTAATATCTTATCTAAACATAAATATGATGCTGTATCTTGAATAAAGAAATCCCTATGATTATATCTCTATTTAAAAATAATTGCTATTCGACTCTATACACGTACAGAACAATACATACATTAAGTAAATTCAGATTCTAGCTGTCCATAGTTATTTATATGACAATAATAAATGATTATAACAAATTAAGAATTGTAGACTTAAATATTCAAAAATGGCGATTGTATTGTTAAAAATACATTCAATTCAGATTTTTAAGTCTCAAAATCTGTGTGTATATGCTTTGTCTACACTAGTAAGCGGGCAGACCAACAAAAACTTATTGACATTTATAAATACAAATAAACATAGCTATCGCATCGTATACACTAATAAGAAATCAAAGGAATATTTACCCTATCGTTCGGCTCCGAAATGTGGATAACGATGCACGTTCTTCCGAAGTCGATTCTTGAATCTCCACCCAAATGTTGTATATATTCAACCCCGAACCACATTCCCGTCAGACTGTCAATCCATATACCGTTCTGTGGCGATCTGTTCTGACAGTACTCGTTGTTGTATTGGAAAAATGGTCTTTCGTAGGAGCTTACCGGGCCATAGTTCTTGTCAAAGCCGTAACCTTGGTAATTCTTGCCGTAATCCCCTCTTGCGCCGTTGTACCCCGTCAAGAACACATTCCCGGATCCAGCCGAGTTGTAATTCGGTCGGTTAGTTGAATATCCGGGGCTATAATTAGGGTATCTGGTACCTTCCGGGAATGGAGCGATATCACTAACATAGGTGTTTTTGTAGGGAAATTGATTTTGGTTGTATCCACTTGCTGGTGTGGAGTAGGGAGGGTAACGGGTGCTATCACCGTATCTATAACTGGCACAATCAACAGATGCAGTTAAAATAATTATCAGTAACGGTGGAATCATTTTTGGAGAAATGCCAAGGACTCGGTGGTCGCGTGACGGCGCGGTGCAGTGTTGTGTGACTGCTCGTTCTACTAGTGGGATGTAAACTAATTAAGCGTAATTGTCGTGTACAGGCCACTACCGAAAGCTTTGCGACTAGCCATTTGAAACGTCACTTCACACTTATATGGGCCACACGAGTGACATAAGTGAGATTTAAGTTCTTCAAGAATTTTCACGTAACGATTTAACGAATATACCAGAGAATTAATTTTTCCTGAAATTATTAGTACTTTAAAAAGTTAAAACAAACGTATTTAAACTCGATTACAATACGCTCAGGTTTAAATAAAACACTTTAACGGTTTACAATGCGATATATATTTGGTAAACTTATTTCATAATTATTTTATTTACGGCCCGACGTTTCGGATGCTTAGCAGCAGCCGATACCGTGGAGAGACCCGTGGTATTTAAATATGTACTACTCGCGTAAACTACAGACAGTATTTAATACGCTCACCGCCACCCCCCGGGATCATGGCTGCGGCATAGCATCCGAACCGACTGGTCGTAATTAAAATAAGTTAACGCATTTAAAATCGTTAAAACTATTTTATTAAATGTGTACTACTCGCGTAAACTACAGACAATATCCAATTATAAAAATTGTTATCTACGCGTTAACACTTAAAATGTTATGTTTACAATCTGTATAATATCAACCCTGTATATTCAATACACTCACAATACACGCACAATTAATCGCCTATGGGCAATTGTTGACGTCACAAAAACACGGAGGGTGATTAAAAGTCAGGGGCGTAGGTTACAGTCATGTGTCGTATGAATTAAAAGGGGCATGGAGGACCCCAATGTGCATATGCAAAAATTAATGCATTAAATCATTGTTATTTATTGATTATTGTGGCAAACTAAAAACCGATAATAACTTCAAGGAAAAATGTACCACATCGTTATCCATAGGCGTATTATAATGGATTTTTAATATATCTAGTGCCATCATGTGCAAGATTATGTGAAAAAAATTATAAAGCTTTATGTCAAATGTCAAATTCTGTCGTGACAAACGTTCTTACGTATTTCGACCAAGGTATTTCGACCAAATTGGACTACCATAAAAACTAAAAGTGAAAGCAACGGGTTCTTAAACGAAGCACATACACTGTCCCCGACGTTTTTTTCGATTATTTAATGAAGGATAATTCTTTCATAGTGCTTTGGGTATCTTAAAACGCAGCGCACTCAAGGGAAACCCAACTCAAATATGGATAATTTCCCCCGTTTTCCACATTTCCCACTGTTACTTCGCTCCTATTGGTCGCAGCTTGATGATGATAATATTATAGCCTTCCTAGATAATTGCTTCAACTAACAATAAAATAATTTTTAAAGTCGTACCAGTAGTTCCTGAGATTAGCGCGTGCAAACAAACTCTTCAGCTTATTATTATAAGCATGGATTAAACAAACATACATGTTTGTTTACATGAAATAATTAAAGAAAATTATTCAGTTGTCCCTATTTATTGTACTCTCCATTTAGCGATTAGTAATTTTGTGTATTTGTTGTTTTTCTTCTCAAAAACAAATATCACGCGGAAGGGAGTCAAACACGGTCAGCAGTATTATTCCTACTGATGTTCTACTTCTTGATCTACCGTATCCTTTGCTTTTCTTTTCTTCAACTTTTTCTGCCATGAAATTTCGGCCTTAATACATATGTATAGAGGTCCAGTGAGAGCTTTCGAATGTAAGGGAAATTATGAAGAACATAATTCAACGTTTTTACATGATGGCCTTTAAAAAATTAAAAATCTATATAGATTGAAAGCAATTAACGACAAGGATGAAAGTAGAACACAACACTGTCATCCACATCGGTCTGTGTCGAAGCCAGGGTGGCTTGATTGCTCAGTGCAGCAGCACGGGACGCTCTTTAGCAGTTCAAATTTCGCATGTATCGCCAAATTTTCAATCAAAATAGATTACAACATTAAAATACCATATGATGCTGAGTAGCAATCACAATGGTTTAAGCGTATTCACGAGTTATCAATCATAATTATCAAATTTGTCACATCCTCCTTCATCAAATTGTCTGAGAACTCCAGCACCTCGGGTCAAAGGCCACAATTAGACGAATTTAATTGATGTTAGTAATAGTTCCCGAGTTCCTGTTTGCTTCATGAAGCTTTGACCCCACCTCCTGTCTGCATCAAATGTCAAAGGGCACTCAAACAGAACCGTGTTAAACGGCTAACGAAATTAGGTGAGAGTCAGTTTAACTGCCTACGAGGATTCCAACCCACTTTGAACTCAAAGCTTATAAGCTAGCTAAATAATGTAGTTTTTATTGTTAAGTCATAAGACAAATGAGTAAACTAAAATAACCACCTACAAGTCTTATATAAATTGTAACTAATGTATATCGAATAAAATATATATCTACACAATATTGTAATATGTGCTCTCCAGTCTGGCACCTCGTCGATTTAAATCATTTTTTTAAAGAAAAATCACGTAGTGACGATTATATGAACAAAAGCAGTTTCTCTTTACTAACCCACCTCATACGTCAAAGAAAATCTTTGTAACCAAAGAAAATTAAACTCGATTTATAAAATCCAACACGTTTATTTCAATCCTTAGTATAGTTACTAATAATAATGCATTTAATGTGTTCCCAATATTAACAAAACTAATTAGTTTTTACACATTAATAATTAATTATATTTTAAGTTATTTCAATGAATTAATATTCAATACTAAACGTTTTACTCTAAAGTCTTAACAGTACATGATTTTAAAATAAAAAGATGTGATTATCATGTCGGTATACAATTCTATGTTTATATTATAATTGTATAGTTATTGTGTGTTTTGAAAGATGGCGTAAGATTAATTAATAAGCAAACTAACAATAGACAAAACAGAATAAAATACTATAGCAATAAAAGAACTTATATGTCTACAACTCGAGCAGACGGCGAAATAACGATACACATTTGGTAAGTCAAATGTGTAGAATTGCCTTTTGTACTCGTACCACTCCCACCTCTCCACTCTTGATGGCGATCTACGTAGTATTAATGAGAAAATACCACCATCCCCTATTTCGGAACAATGATTCAGAATTAGCGTGTACGGAGTAACTTTTAGGAGCCTGATAACATCGGGATGGCGTGGTGGGTCGTCGGGATACCATACCTCTGAAAAGCGTATAAACGTTTTATTATTATTAACTTTTATGCAACATACATTTAAAAAAAAAAAAAAAGTAATCAATCGCCATACTTCCTCATTAGGTTTAGGAGGTATGTAAATGAATATCATATTTTGCTAAGTGGTGAAACTGTTTCTCGAGTTTAATAAAAAGTAAGAAATAAGGTTAAATGAATATGGAAGAATCCGTTGCATGGCCTGTGAAAGCGGTTCAAGATAAATACTATCTATAGTTTACGCGAGTATTTCACTTTTTAATAAAACACTTTAACGGTTTAAAACACGATAAATATCTATTTTTAAACTTCGGCCCGACGTCCTCCGTGACCACGGCTGCTGCAAAGCATCCGAAACGTCGGGCCGAAGTTAAAAATCATTTTCAAATAAGTTTAACTAATATATCGCGTTTTAAACCGTTAAAATGTTTTATTTAAACGGTTCAAGATACTTAAAAATGTCTGTGAAATAATGAATCCTCCTTAAATAATCTAAAAATTGTCCCCGACAGTATATGTCTATCTTTTAATATTAAAACGTTACGACGTCGAGGGTAACAGCAATGAATCTATAAAGATAAGGAAGTTTGTAAAAACAAATTTTGGGCATCAAAATAGTTCTTACGAAATGTCTAGTAATAATAACTATATATTATGAATGCATACTTCGAATAAACAGCAATGTTTCTCTCACCTACGCCTTTCGACTTCATCTCCAACTCCCAGCTCGTCATAGTTTCGGCCGTCCAAAAGCCTGGTTCCTCTGGATAGAAGAGATAAATCTGTTCCATCGAATGCCCGTCCTCATCCCACAACACTCTTATCCTCTTTTGGCCGAACAAGTCCCTCTTCGATCTCTTGTTCAGCCTTATATCCAGCCAGGATCCTGCTAACGCGTTACTTGACCACGGATTACTCTTTGACGACCTCCACTTTGAATCCGTATAATTGCTCCGCTGTAACTAGAAACAAAATAGTTAATGCATTTTGATCACCATTGTACTTAAGTACTGCTATACGTACAGTCGCGTCCAGAAAATTATCGTTGTAATTAAATAGATCGTCAGCATCCGATATGTACAAAGTGACACACCCCACAGCATTCGGTTCACTTGTCATATCTGGGTTATGTTGGGCATAGCCAACGCCGTACCAGACGCCGTAGACATCTTCTATGTTGACTCTGTGTGACCAGCGAATAGCATCACCACAAAGACCCTGGACTAACCCTATGCTTAAGTAAATGGGAAGCAACGGCGCAAACATGATATCACTAACGATATCGCAAAGAATATGGGACAAGGCGTCCTCGGTTCTGACCACATTTGTTAATTAGCAAATTGATGCAGGTATATGCTAAATGGTGTAATCGCATCGTGAATCAGTGGATATTATTTTCTACGTACTTAAAAACTATAATAAATATGCAGCGACAGATTTTTGTGTATAGAGATGAGATTTTACAACAATAATCCTACTAATAATATTATTATATATTATTGGACAGATACACATTTTTTATTAACCAATAATAATGATATAACAATGAAGTCATCATTATATTTACGGTCTTGAACCTAATTTCAATAAAAATCCTTATCCAAAGCATTATTGTTCGATTTTCCAGGGACTCGAACCCAAGGTCTCTGTCGCTAAAAAAATGGTGGAAATTGCACTGGGTGACGTATACGTATATACGACGTAGTCAGTGCTATTATAGCAGACGTTTTTAATGATAAAATAAATAAATACATAACTAATTCTATTTTTCTTTCTTAAAAATATACATTTTGTTCGTTTGGTATTTATTTCGTTCGAATTTTTTGGGAACATGAATGCAAAGCGAACAATGTTAATGGATTTTATAAAAGTAATAAATAATCAGTTCATATTTTTTAATAAAACCTTTTATTTAGGAAAATAATAATAAAAATATATATAAAAAATACTGTCTATACTTAATTTTGTTTTATTACAAGGAACGCCGAAGTGTAAATATTAAAATAACAATAATGAGATAATACGAAAACTTAAGGTTGGTCGCAAAATTTTCACAGACTCGTTTTAGGGACGACGTCGATAGGTTCTTCATGGAAAATATATTATGAATGCTGGCAAGGTCTTCTGGCGTCAATTGGTTCTCATTTCTGGCGAGCACAACGCTGTACATCTGGGAATGGGGCAGCCTCATACAGAAGTTGAGAACCAGATGATTATGTGAAACTTTCAACACTTGGATTACACCGCCGAAGAACCTATACATTTTGTCCACAGCTGAAACAGAAAATATGAAATATTAGATCTTTATGACTTTTGCAAATTAAAACTCTGCTTTGATTGATTGGTTCGTCTAATTTATTCATTAGGATAACGGTGCCATGTTTGTCGTGGGTTCAAATATAATGTATGTCATATCTTTTCAAAATGTCAGCTGTAGTTACAAAGTAATAAACTACTAAGATGAATCAAATAAGTTTAACTAATATATCGCGTTATAAACCGTTAAAGTGTTTTATTTAAATGTGTATTTAAATGTGTCCCGTAAACTATAGACAGTATTTACTAATAGTGCATTTTTACTTGATATAAGTGTATTAAAATACTGTATAAAATACACGTCAAATATAAAGCCGAATTTGTTTTCTAGACTAAATATAAAAGCTGCAGTTTGGTTGTTTGTTTAAACGCGCAAATCTCAGGAACTGTCTGTACGTGTATTTTATGATTAACTTTTAATAACGACGGGACGCGGATGACGTCGTGGATAATAGCTATAATTTATAAAGACGAGAAGAAAAACAAATTTGGATGCTTAACATAACTATTCTACACGCACAAAGTCGCGTGGACAGCTAGTGAGCTAATAAGAGGCGTATTTTGACCTCGTAAAATATAAATACGCGTCCAATATAAACCAGTGTGTTAATAATAATGAAAAACTTACATCCATTCGGAACATCTGTCGGCCAGAATCCTTTGTGGGACGTGTTGACTTTAATATGATAGTCGTCTTGCCACAAGCCCTCGTGCCACTCGAGAACAAAATGGCGGATCCTGTACTGCTCGGGGATTCCAAAAGCCCGGTTCATGTAAGGGGAATTCGTCAGGGGTGGGTACGGAGTAGGTGGCGTGGGCTGTAAAATAAATTTAGTTAACCTTTTCACTTTGACATTTAGATATCGCAGTCTACATTTTGAAAGTCAAGACTGCAACAAACAGCGTTATTCAGCTGAAAGGTCATGAGTCTTCTATTCTGACAATATTTAAAACTTTACATATTTTAGTTAAAACGTAAAACCTTATCTCCTTGTATGTTTCATTTTTGCGACTTTAGTAAGATATAGTTAACACTACCTATGTAACAAAAGATTTTCCAAGTTACATGTCTTTTCAGTTGCGGGGTCCGTACCTACCGTCCTACCTACCGGGTCTAGAAGAGTTTAACAGTTTAAAAAATATACCAGCCAATTCATTTTTGCATGGTCACCACAGCCGTAAAATATTCTTGATTTGTGTATAATTACTATGTTAACCATTGAATTAAACTATTACCAACAACTACTCACAAGATCTCTCTCAATCAATCCACCACTAACATAATCCTCGAATTTCCTAATCTGAACTATTGGACAATATGGGTTGTACTCAGTCACTGTAGTATTATCTTTATGATAAATATACTCGCGTATGTACCACAGACCCAAAACGGATTCCTCATCGAAGTCCTTCACGGGATGTAGGTTTGGACAAAAACGCATATCCGTGGCACAGGCAATCGTTACCGAGAAAAGCAATAAAGCAATAGCTTGGCACATTTTTATTAAATTAACTTTAATTTACGGATTCAATGTGTAATTAAGTTTGATGCACAAAGACAAGTGGTTATTAAGAGAAGTGTTCCAGTCACACGGACCCGAGTAGAACGTCATGCGCCGGCGCAGGGAACAAATTAACCTGTTAATTGAGACACACCTCGACCCCACATCCTCTTATTGTAACGCCATTGTAAAACAGCATTTTACAACGTAATTTATGAACTAACTGCGATGCCCTCTGCGATTTTACCCCGATACATTAGGTCCACCAAAATTAAGTTTAATTTGCTAGTATGTTACGCTTTTTAAACCGTTAAAACTGTTTTATTTTAGTCTCCTCTTCCATTCCACTGTAAGAAATGCAATTTTAACTAACATGAAAAAAAATTATAATAAAAATTCTACATTTATGACAAAACAATCGTGTATAGTTTCCGTGTTATAAGCGGCAATAACAGAATATTTCGTAATGTTGGTAATGCACTTAAATTGTGTTTCCAATATTAGTAGCGGTTTCCATTAGGTATATTATTAGACTCTAAATATAAAAAACATAGCGCTCTCGTAAAAACATCTACGTAATTATAGTATTATTTAAAAATGTAAAGAAATAACGTGTTTTACATTTTCGTTGTACCTTTTAAAAGAGTCATGAAATAATGATGTACAAAGGTTAAATTAAATTTTTTATTATATTTATTTATATATTACAAGGATTCAATTAAGAAGCACTATTGTTTTATCTTTAAATTTAGCAGACTGTGCAGTGAAAGAAGCTTTTGTTGAATTAAAATTAAGATTTTAGGTAAACTTAAAACCATTTAAATTAAAATACTAACGGTTTAAAACGCGATTAAACTTATTTGAAAGTTATTTTAACTACGGCCTGACTCGGACTTTTAAATGCTCTGGCAGCAGCCATGGTTGCGGGCTCAAATAAGTGTAACTTATATATATCGCGTTTTAAACCGTCAAAGTGTTTTGTTTCAATGTATACTACTCGCGTAAACTACAGACAGTATCTGACTTTAAAACAAGTCAATGCAAAAATATAGTGGAATTATTTGTATAATTTCTTTTTTTTAATATTTCTTTGGCGAAAAGCTTATAAAACATGTTTACTCACCTGAATGTACAACTCCTTAATATCGACGTAAAAACATTCATTTGTATGTTCAACTCGATATTCCCCTTTGACGTGAGGAAGCTTTTCTACGCCGTACCAGATTCCGGATATTTGGTCTAAATCTATTTCACCATAGTACGGGGATAAATCATCACAGTATTTATGATTTTCGAAGTAATAATTATTGTTTGTATTATAAGTATGAGATAACCGGAACGCGAGAGATAAAAATATAAATATCAAATAATCCATGAGGATTATTCTGTGAAACCCGGATAAAGGCGGATATTTTCGGATAAACGACACCGGGAGTACTAGGCGACTATACTGGGATGGAGCTAGTCGTGAGATTAATAAGGGGATTTAGTGAGGAGCCAAGTGAGTTTCGTGGGCGAGCTTCCAAATGAATAGCACTCACTCAATTGACTTTGTCATACTGCTTGTTCCTTGTTAGATAATTTTTCCTTCACCTTTATTAATGACGAACTGAATTTTTAGACAACACCACTCTAATTTTATAAAGCAACGCAATACTGGCTGTAGTTTACGCGAGTGGTTCACATTTAAATAAAACTTTAACGGTTTAAAACGCGATATATATTAGTTAAACTTATTTGAAAATACTCTAGTTTTTAACTTTATTTGAATTTTCCAGTCCGTACTGGTTAATTAAATTATGTTTGTAGTTTACTCGGTACACATTTTAATAACACTTTAACGGTTTAAAACGCGGTATATATTAGTTAAACTTATTTGGAAATACTCTAGTTTTCGAACTTTATTTGTATTTTGCTTTCCGTACTGGTCTTTACCGGTTTGAAAGGCCATATTTTCAAACAAGTTTACTAATTAAGTTTTATTTAAAGTAACACATCTAAATTCCTTACTTAGTTCCAATTCAGGTATTTTAATGTATTTGGAAAATTTTCAGAAAGTTTTTCTCAAATTGAAATGGCTAGAGAAAATTTTCTCGGCATACTTAACTACCCGGCTGTCAAAAACGCGAGAATGTGGAGCGAAATGTAAAATCAATATCTAACAGCGGTGACGTAAGTAGGGTGAGTATTGATTACATGAGATTGTGGTGCTATCATTATTGATCCAGCAATTCTGTATAAAACGAGTGCGTATGTAAGAATGAGAACGATGTATTGTGACGTCATTTACAACGCCGTGATTGGTGGAGCTCGAATGACGTTGTATTCTGCTACACAGTCGAGGTTGACTGTACTAGGGAATTATACAATACAAATGATAATTCTTCCATAAAACCAGGCCAAAAAATATGGAATCTTTTTGACGATAAAAATATTTACTATAAATGATATATTGTTGGTATTAATTTGCTAATTAATAATGTATTTTTATCATATACTTACTAACAATACGATAATTATATTATTTTTTTTACTAAATCGAATTATTTTTTTATTATTTGAAACAAACGTAAGTAGATTTCTATAAATTCTATGTACAATAGGTATAAGTACTGTTTGACAATATTATTTTTACGTATTGCTACTTTTTAATAATAAATTGGTTTATCTGTACAACAAATTCTTATGACCAGCTTTTTTAAGCAAGGTAACAATTCTAAGTACATTAGTAAGTATGTATATGTAGAAAAAAACTCAATATATGTGTTATAATTTAATATTTCTCAATTTATAAATTAAGCAATTTAAAAAAAACTATAATAACTAACTATACTTAACTATGTAACGTAAAATATAAGACATGTTTCTTTTTCAATGCACCTCAAATTAAAAGTGTTTAAAAGCGGTTTTAATCGTGTCATTGTAGCGAGCTAAACGTAATGGTGCTTTTAAAAATATATGAACTTCTATAACCATTGAATAAAAAATACATCACATTTTACATCGAAACATTTTTTAATTTCATAAAAATAAGAGTATCTACGAGGCTACAACTGTGCTACGCCAGTAGCAGTAGTAGCCGTAGCCAAGGCAAACCTTGCGTAGAGGGATGCTTGTGCTACGAAACTTTGAAACCTTCTACGTAGATCGTAGATAATATTTTTCAAATATTAATAAGATACGATGGTAACCAAAATATTTCTACTATTTTGAATATTTGGTTGTTAATCCTTTAAATATATATGTTTGTTTTTACTTACTTTTATACATGAATTATATGTGAAACGTTTTCTTATGGTGCACCTTCATGTTACATAATTTATTCTTAAGTACTATGAAATTGAATTTTTTTTGTGTTTTTGATAACAGAACATAAGTTCCTTTCTTAAATAAATACTCAAATAAAAAATATTAGTAAGACCGTGAGAAACGAAACTTTCGGATATAATTGGAAAAAAAAACCTTTTGAAAAGTATCATTTATACTCGATAATTTTATAAATTCACTGAAATTAACTGGTATTATTTATATGTTCTTATTAATATCCAATGTCAAAGGCTACAAAGAAAAATCGAAAGAGGTTCTACGAATGATGACGAGTGGAAAATATGACGTAACACAATGCTACAGAGGTACTAGGACTACAAAAGGAAAGAGAAGGCAGCTGGCTAAGGAAATAATAGAGAACGCGGGTACATCGTAGATACTAGTTTGATGCAATGGGGTAGCAGAATTACATGTAGGTATGATAGTTTGCCAGAACTATCGAGGGTTGTTGGAGAGGGTCGTCAAGAATCGATAAACATATAAGTATAGCGTATAAGTATTAGTTTAACCTACGAATAATATTATTGTTAAACGTCTTTGCATAAGCAAAATTTTCTTACTCACCTTAACTCAATTATAATAACATTAAGTTTACAATGGAACAGGAGGACAATAACACACTACCTTTCTTAGACATTTTAGTAATTCGTGACGAACACGGTAATATCGGGCATACCGTCTTTAGAAAAACAACCCATACAGATAGGTATTTGAACGGTGACTCACATCACCACCCCAGCCAACTTAGTTCTGTCGGAGTATCTTTGTTTCAGAGAGCCTGCCGTCTCTGTGATGCTGCCCACTAAAATGAGGAGTTTTACAGCATGTCAAGCAGGTCCTATGCAAGAACAAGCTGAGAGTCCCTCCGCAGCATCCCAGGAACAGGAACAAGCCGCCCACAGTCAAACGTCAGCCCGCCTACCTACCATATGTGAAGGGTAGAAGTTACAGATAGAATTAGCAGAGTCCTAAATCGAGCTTCTATTGACACAGTTTTCAAACCGCACAAGAAGATTCAGCAATTCCTGAAACCAAACAAGTGTAATATCACTTTACAAGATGCAGGCGTTTACAGACTGCATTGCGATTGTGGTCTATCTTACATCGGCCAAACAAAGCGTAGCATCTCAAACAGAATTAAAGAACACGTCGCGGATATAAAACATAAACGTCTCTCCAAATCTACGCTATGCCAACACTCATCGGAAGGGCCCAATCATTACATTTGCTTTGACCAGCCAAAACTCCTCGCAAAGTAGAGTCGATTTTTTCCAAGATTCCTACGCGAAGCAATGGAAATCAAAAAACACCGAAATTTCAATAGGGAGGACGGCCTCAAATTATAAATGTTATAAAAACTAACCAATCAAAAATTCAAACCAAAAAAACCCATATTAAAAACTGTGGATCCCAATAAACAGCATACCGGCAAACGCGAAGACACGTGTAAGGACCCGGCCAGTTTCGCCAAATACCAACTTCGACGGAACAGAATTAGAAATGTTTACTTTGACGTCAGAGACATCCTCCATCTCTAGTCTCCCCGTGACCACGGCTGCTGCAAAGCATCCGAAACATGGGCCGAAGTTAAAAATCATTTTCAAATAAGTTTAACTAATATATCGCGTTTTAAACCGTTAAAGTGTTTTATTTAAAATTTTCTATTTAAATTTATCTAAGTTTTCTCAGATATATGACCAATACTTTTATTCAAAACCACATCTAAACGTCGTATAACTAATGTTGTAAAATAAACAATCTTTATAAGATGACAGTTGCAAATAAATTAAATTACCTAAATTGAAGTCTAAAATCAAAGATTTTCATATTTCTAAAAATTAAGCATAGAGTAGTTTATTTATGGTTATAATAATAAGTAACTTATAATAATATTTACTTCAAACAACAACAAAGATCTTAACAGAAATGCACGCTAATTACTACAGCATCCATAAATGTAATATCTTTTCCTTTGAGAGAAAATAATAAATTAATTTTCTATGTCGTTACGGTAAGAATGACATTGAAGTGACCTTTAAAACTAATGGCTATCGTGCAATAAGGGATTCTTCGTCTACGGAGGTCGAATTTATTAGGGAAGCATAACTTTTAAAGGTTTCGGATATTTCAACTCAAACTTTGGACTCAGTTCGTCGTATACTTGAGAGGTGTTTTCCTGTGATTGGGCGGCGTCAACCACACACCGAGGGCAATTTTACCAGGACATCATAGAGCAAGGGTAGATGGTGTCTTCCAAATATTTATTTTCCTTATATTATTTACGTAGCTTAATCACGTGACTAATACTTTGGAAAATCGACAATACGGGTAGTTCAAATTCCGTTTTTTTTATTATATATTTTAAAATTCTACTACTTTATAGTTACAGTTCTATAATATACCTTAACAATACAATATATATTTGGGCTCATTATTTTTTGGGTCTGGTACCTAAACCCATTCGAACTCCCTTCGTGGTTCACAAAGCTGTAGTTATAAACCGCGACGGAACGAGAGTTTTTATATTTTTACAGCTGCTATAACGAAAAAATAATCAAAACAGAAAAATAATAATTGTGTTTTTAATAAAAAATGTTTATGGATAAAGCGGTGTTGAACCGTTCCGTTGGTTTTTTACCTTACTAATAAGATTACGCAGTACTAAGATTTTAAGCCTCATAGGCTTCACCCTGTAACGCCGCCCATGTCCGCCCAAAGTCGCTGTGTAGGGCGGCAACAAATTTTAGCGGGCGTCTATTGCACTAGGAGATCAGAGAAATCAAGGAGAGTCAGGATATTGATTCGCTGTTGATATAGACGGATAGTTACGAAGCTATTACTTGTATGAAGAGTGTGGAGCATGCGTATTAGTGCTATATGAGATTTTGTATCTACAGTTTTAACTCTACAAAAAAAATTATTTATAATTTTGGCAAACCTACTTTGTAAACTATTTTGGTAAACTATAGACAGTATACTACTCCTCTTTGTCTTTACTAATTATACGAAATTACAAACATTGCTCTATATAGTGTGGAGATAAGCTTTAGGTTTGTTTGTATATTTTGAATAGAAAAAAATCTATCACATGTTTTCTAGTTTCAATACATGTAGTATTACAAAATATGCTCCACAAAATATACACACTTATTTATAAAGCCAAAAAAGTGTCTGAGCTGATTACAATTACTTTCTCGACGCCTTGATATTATTTCAAGTAATCTGCTGACGTAAGAGCAAAGATTTAAGGTATTAATATAATATTCTACGGCGAGCACATTTTCACGTGATGGAGACGGGGTGTAGAGCCTTGGGCGTACGGCGGTGTAGGTCATGACGCGAAACCAATGACGTCATAGCGAGGGTGGAGGGTGCGACATGGATAGCTCGCCGGGGTAGATGCCCCCTGGAGAAAGTCAGCGTTAGTACAATTTCTGTCGAGATCCCGACCACACGCGGCACCTTCGCATATGCGGTTCACGACGTTCAGTGAATGTCCAAAAAGTTTAGTGACAAAATCTAAACGTTGGTTCTCATTCCCTTTCGAAATAAACTTGACCATGTTATTTTTATTATAAAACAAGTCGTGCTTAAGTCGTTTATCAAACATCAAATTAATCGTATTAACTAACGTAATTAAGTAAATAGATGTTATACGTCTTCCTAAAAGTCACTAATTCAATTTAGTTACCTTAGATGATTAAACCACAGAGAAAAGTATCAGAAAGTTCGGTAAAATGTGTCCCGTTTCAACGCATGAGTTCTAATAATCCAAGAGTTTTATTTACAATCTAATTTCAGTGGCGATGTACGAAAGCTCCTAAAAATAGCCGGGGTTCGCGCGCTCGCGTCGCCCGCCGCCGGCTCTCGTTTTCCACTACTCACACTATTTCAGTCAAAAAAAAATATTACTAAATTACATGCGGAGAGAACTACAAGGGCTACCGTGCAGACAATGAAAAATAAACAAAAAGTGCGAAAAAAACATATGGTCGCGCGGCGACAGTGAACCGAATGTTTTTAGTGTTGTATCTATATATGTGCTTCTTTAGTTACCCATAACTTATCTAACGTAAGTACCCATGTCCTGTCATCTACTTTATATTTATAAGCATTCGTATATTATATTACTTCCTTGACACACTTCCCATTTTGGTTCGGAACGATGATCTCAAAATGTCAATGGCCACTGACGTAGAGACCACTAATAGTTCAGTAAACTAGGTCCTAAATTACGACACGTGTCAAGGTCCCTGTAATTTTTTAATTAAGTTTCAATACTCGCAGCAGTGTGATAAAAACAGCTATAAATAATAAAAATCCACCCTCAAAATAAACAAAGCTAGTCTTATCAGCTTTTACTCAACTCTTCTATTCTTGCAACGCTGCTACCACTACACCTAATACCACCACACAAAATAGCTCTGTTTCGCCAAACGTAGAACTCATTTGCTTAGCGCTTTGTCCTCACAAAAGTCACATTATATAGAGTACACAGGTATATTAATTCTATATACCTATATAAGAATTTTAAAAGCATCGTGTCAAGTGTATTAAAAAGCTTTAATTTAGTAAACAATTATTATTCGATAACACAAGTAAGACAACACCAAAAATAGAACAATATTAGTTTTACACTAAGCTAAAAATTTAGGTATTGCAACTTTGGAATGGGCAAAAAATAAAATACTAACTATACCTCTGTAAACTTAGATGGGATCAACAAATAACAATAATTAATGATTAAAGTCCATAATATAAAAGGCCACATAATCGTGAATTTTCCTTCTTATCTATTCTTGTAACCCCATACACGACCATACCTTACAACTAATACAATAACTATATAAGGCACCAAGTTTAAAAAACTGAAAATTGAGACATACTTGTAAAATCATAGCCAATTTCAAAATTGCTGCCTTTACATCAACAAGAATATAAGTAACAAAACAAAATATGTTAAAAAACAAAGACAATTTTACAACTATCAACATGAAGTTACCACAGACTAGAAAGTATTTACTACAAATATATTTATTTTATTGTACAGTACCATATATGTGATTTGTGCATAAATGTTTTCATTGGAAGACATATTTGTTTCTTTGTTTTGCATTTATAAAAAACATAAAAATTCTAACAAATCTTGTAAATATTATACATTTATACTTAAATACTTAGAGCAGGAACGGTATATATCTTATTTGAATTATACTATGATAATTGATGATACAATAGATATGAGGCTTTCTATTTCTCCAAAATAGGATCCAAATATTTAGTTATTTTGGGCCATATTTCATCTGATGTTTTCCCTTCAAAGTCTTGAAGTATTCCTTTTGTTTTATAAAAGTCTATCACTGGTTTAGTCATATTCTCATAAATTTCTAAACGCTTTCTCACTGCTTCTGGCTTATCGTCAGGTCTCTGGATTAAATTCTCTCCAGTTATATCATCTTTTCCCATAACTTTGGGTGTATTAAAACCGATATTATAAACTCTGCCTGATGGTAAATGAACCCATCTGTTTTTCACTCTATCTATAATAACATCAAATGGTACAACCAGGTTAAGAACTATATCGACTGGTTTGATTTTCCACAATGCGTCAGCCTGAGCTACTGTTCTAGGGAACCCATCTAGAAGCCAGGATTTATTTTCAACTTGTTTCAGTTCTGCAACCATAAACTTAATCATGACGTCATCTGGTACAAGCCTACCTTCATTTAAAAAGCTTTTGACTTCTTTTCCAAGATCAGTCTGCCTTTCAATATGATCCCTTAACTTATCGCCACTTGACACATGCTGGAATCCATATTTCTTCACCAGGCGATTTGATATGGTACCTTTGCCAGAAGCAGGTGCTCCCAAAATTAAAGTTTTAAATATTTTTGCTTTCAATTGCATTTTGCTCAGTCGTCGACCTTTGACTTGGTATAATTATGACGTCACTGACACAACAATTAGCTGTTAAATATTATTACTTAACGATACAAAGTTAATACACTGTCAATAATACTGAGATAATAGTTTATCATCTGTCTTAAATTTAGGTAATGATAAGATTGACTATCAGCTTTCTGTATTTATATAATCTCTAGTTGTACGTAATAAGAAATATTAAGTAATTCAGTCTAATTTGAGCTCATAAGTATACTTATATAATACGTTGTGCATTAACGAAAGTATTGTCAATTAAATCAGAAATAATAAGATATTAATTAAAGTAATGCATATAATCATTTCACCACATTTAAATATATTACTTTTAAGGTATTCATGTTTGTTATCTTTTGCGGGAAAAATTGCACAGTAGAATTTAATATTCGGATTTTCAAATTTGTAACCTGTCACATTGACAGTGACACTTCTAATTGATACGTGACAATTGGTAAATGTCAAACGCCAACAACGGGTAATCGACCACAGACTTACTTGATTTGCTACGTAGACTCCACAATGTAATTAGGTACTAGGTAGTACTTATAGTATTAATAAATATTAGTATAAAGTATTCTATATACATATTACAAATTGCAATTATTACTAATCAAGCTGCGTACTATACTACCCACCTAATACGTATGCAACATTTCAAATCGATGCAATTGATTTTTTTTGTGTTTTTAAAACAACTACCTACTTCCTTGTCCAAACCTGAAATAAGTCGATACCACATCTAAATTAGATGTTGTATGCCCCTTATATCGTCAAATAAAAACATAATTAGGAATTTTTAACTAAAATTCGTCGTATTATATTATGAATTCATATCTAGTTTATTTCATACAAGTAAAAGAGACTGTTATTTTCCAGAATGGCGCTTGTCATGTTACCTTGCGATCTCCCTTGGTGGACTACTGTTCAACGCCATTTAAAACATTTGCTCGTAGCTTCTTCCTCGACAAAACTTACTGCTAGCATGCTCAAAATTCATGATATGTGCAAGTAAGTATAATTAAATTAGAGTTACAACTTTTAAAAAGGGTAAATCATTAATATCACTACAATTATCAATATCATAATCATATATACTTATGTGTGATTAAAAAAAAAGCCTACATGTGTTTTATTAAGAGTTTAATATTTTCTTCGCAGCATAGGTATAGATCCTGATGATGATATAAAAGATCCTGAATTATTAAAGGGCTTCGAAGATTTTTTAGAGCAAGAATTAAATGATGAAGAACGACGAAACTTTTTGGACAATACAATCCAAATAATGGTAAACAGAGCGTTGCATTTGAAGAAGTGGCGCCCACCAAAAGGACTTATTTTTAGCTTACAACAACAAAGTAAGCAACCCATTAAATAATAAAAAATCTTTTATTAATTCTTATTAATAATAAAATGGCACTTATTAATTTTCAGGTGACGTAACGGAGCTTGACTATAATTTTCTCTCGTCTCTCATAGCGCATGCCTTTTTCTCAACATTTCCGAAAAGAACGCTCAAAACACATCCGACGTTACAAGACTTCAATTTTACTCATTTTTTTAAGAATTTACACAGGTATATAAACTAAGAAACCTAGTTTATACAACTATTATTTTTATCACTTGAAATTTCTTGTAAGCTAAAATACCTAACTAAAAATTAAGGGCTACTATATTTTCAGAAAATCACAACGGAATAAGCTAAAAAGCCTCTTACATTATTTCGAGTGGCTTGATAAAAATAGTAATGAGGGTTGTATTAAATTAAGTAGACACGTGAGTAACATTTTTGGGTAAATTTATAAACGATTACTATATACATCAAATGAACAAGGAACTCTTTGTAGGTAATGACTTCCAAGCAATGGTTAACAATAGAAGACTGGTTGGAATGTTCACTACCTTTATGTAAGTTAATGGTTAGGCATGAGGGTAGGCCTGAAAGATGCGAAAATGATGACGCGATGAGGGTATGTTTCGCTTCTAGCCGAATAGGTGGTGATGTACTAATTGATGGAAACTCACAGGTAAGATTTCCCTGTGAGTCATAGGTACATATAAATCCCGCTTTTTAATCCGTTAATTTTATTTAAATAAATAATCTTTTTCAATAATGTGTTAATTTACGCATCGCGTAGTTTTATTAAAAGCGGAAAAAACTCTACTTAACGCCAAAATTCCTCGCAGACGAATACGCAAGTAATAAAACAAATGTTTTTATAGGAATCTCTATCAATGTTTATGATGCCCGAACTCTTGCCAGCGATGCTTTCTGTTGAAGCGTTGGAAGACAACGAAATTTTAAAAGTAGAAGGCGTTAGAATGTTTAGCAGAATTAGTGACAAAAAGTCGAAGCCCAATCTAGAATTACTCAGCGAACCAAAAACGGTAACAATATTACGTAATATTCAAAAACATTCATATTATAAATTGAAAAAAAAATACGATTCGGGTAGGACTTGAATCGGCATTCTCAGCGTCTCGTGCTGTTTCTCTAACCAATTGAGCTACTGAGTCCTACACATCATCGTCGTTTTTTTTTCTACCTATTGATACATGCACCTATCGCGCAATGTAATTTCAACCTTAACACTGACGATGCCGGTTCAAGTCCTGCCCGTGTCGAAAATTTTTTCAATTTATTTTCGATTTTTAAATTAAAATTGAAGACACTGGCGGGACTGAATCGAATCGTGCTGTTGCTGTAACAACAAAACACGACTCGGTATCTCTATTGGTTATTTCTAAAACGGATTATTAACATTACATACTAAGTATATTACCGTTCCTTATCTTTCTAACGGCTTTTTAACGTTCACATACAATTATTTCAGGTAAATGTATGTTTAATGGATGCAGAGGACTATAGTTCCCTCCCTTTAGGACAATGGGAGGAAGATAATATTCTACGCGAATTAAACAAGAGCCTCTTAGCCTTCCAACAATCTCCAACGAAATCTCGCGATCAGAAAATCGAAAGAAGACTGTCGCCGATTGGTAAACGTCTTATAAGTTTAAAAAAACCTTATTTTCTCTATATCTTCTTCGGTTAAAAAATCTTTGATTGTCTAGAACATCTAGAATCCAAGTTTTTTTAAACCGAAACTGAACCACCCCTATTTTTTTCGAAAAACGACCTTTAGGCATTGACAATAATAAAAAAAATGCACGCCAACGAAATAATAATTCACATATATGTATATTGTAAATAAAGGTTAGCACTGTCTGTAGTTTACGGGAGTAGTAGGTACATATTTAAATAAAACACTTTAACGGTGTACAATGATTTAAATTAGTTAAACTTATTTACACTTATTTTAAGTATTCTGCAAGTAAGTTTATTTAATAAATTTTGCGTTTTCAACCGTTAAAAGTGTTTTTTCAAGTTTACGATGTTTAAGTGTGACATAAGGTATCAGATATCAACAGATATATGTATATCTATTTTTCCACCATTATAAACAGTTTCACCGTTAATTTATTTTAATCTTGAAGACAGTTTATTGATGTTCTACTTTTATATACACGATTAACCAGCATTGACCAAAAACTGAAGGTCTGCCCTGAAAATACTTTCGGAGGATTAATTTGTAAAACATTTTTTTTTTCAGGTGAATCATTTAGTCATACTCCAACGGACGTGGAAACTACCATTATGATTAAACAGGCATCTTCCTGTAGTACAATTAATAGCATAAACAGTAGGAGCCCATCGCCCCAAAACTATTGTGCAGCTACGTTAAACCTCAACGACCCAAGTTAGTTTGGTTTTTTTTCTACCCCAATTACTTCTAAAAGTTTTAGTTTTCGACTCAACCAGCTGATAAAAAACAATTATAAAAGGGATTTCCCCGGAGAATAACCTTTTTTTTTATTTAAAAATCGATTATGCAGCAACACCACGGCACGCTGTGGATGCCGGTTAGAGGCCTGGCCGTGTCGTAAATATTTTCAATCTAAAATTCGACTTTTTAATTTTTAAAGTGCCATCATGTGTGAAAAATAATATTGTTTTAAAACCTTTTTTTTCCTTTCTACTCCTTATTTTATTGATAAATATTATTATATATTAAAATAGCATATCTATTAGGCAATATTAGTTTTACTTGGTCCATAGACAATGCAATACCTTCTTTCAATACTATTGTGAAGAGGTCTAATTTAAGATACATAAAATAATAAATAGACATCGTGTCTATTCATTATTTTCTAACGGAGACAACTATAGAAGGCCGGGCGATCAGTCCACACCATCAGCTGACAATTTCACCCACGATGTCTATTTACAAGAGACGCTTGATTTCAGGTGTTGAGCTTCAAAAAAGAAAATGCTGGTTATCTCCCGATGCCGGTACGCTAAACAATCGTCGCGGAAGATTTATTGTCCTCGGGTCTTCCGGTGAATGTCTACCAGTTACAAGAAACTCTGGATTACAATCAGCTGAAACACAAGAAGATAGCCTTTATTCCAGTTGCAATTCAAGCGATGATGAATTCCATAGTGCAAACAGCAGCTTCGATGACGGTAACATTTGTTCTTATAATAATAACATTGCATTAGAAATCTCTACTGAACTATATTTTTCTAGCTGGCAGCGAAGATGAGGGGCGTGGAGAAAGCGGGCGGCCAAATTCATTCCAATATTCAAAAGAATTATCCACCGAAGAGAGAAGGTTAAGCTTTGCCTCTCGCCTCCGGGAAGCGCTGAAAAGAGAAGCTGAGAACTCCTGTACTACCAGCTCAACCGGTGACTGGTCGACTGATAGTTCGAGTTATGCAGTTGGAGTGAGTATATCTGGAGCGGAAGTAAACGACAACGACATTAGGTATGAAAACTTTAATTCTTTTCACATGTGCAAATGATGGCACTATATAATTTAAAAATTGACTATAATTAAAAAAAATACGATACGGGCACGACTTGAACCAGCCTCCACAGCTTTTAGTGCATGTTGCTTTACTGATCGAGCCATTACCTTAATACGCAGGTATTAAGGTTGAAATTACATTGCGCAAGAAGGTGCATGTATCAATGGGTTGAAAAAATATGACGACGATCACGTGCAGGACAGTGGTAGCTCAATTGGTAGCGCAACAGCACGGAACGCTGTGAATACCGGTTCAAGTTGCCCGTGTCGTAATTTCTTTCAATTGATTATCGACTTTTACATGACATTCGGTATTTTAATAGTTACTGAAGTTTCCTTCTGCTATCGTATGATTTACAAATCTCTTATTGGGTAAGCATTTTCAGAGTAAAACGCGGTGGCTCCGTGGGATTCGTATTAACGGAGGAAGACACTGTAGAAAATCGTAAACCACCCCGACGCTTGCTTTCAAGGAAGGAGACTGGAAATAGTTCCAAATACAGCTTTAGCACTGAATATACGTAAGTCTAAAGCCGATAAAAAGCGGCTATAAATTTACAGCCTTCAAATTATATCGCTGCCATCGAATAACAAATAAATATACTGTAATGTAAACAAAGAAACATTTTCTTCCAGATCAGAGCTGGAGGAAGTTTATGAACAGTTTAATCAATGGTTAAATGATCCAATCGCAGATCACGAATCTCATGATATTAAAAACCGTGAACTCGATTCAAGGGACTTAGCAGTTATAAGGTACGTTACTCAATTTAATTTAATAGTTACAAATGAAATGCGACGATTTTTTAATTCGTTTATATATTTCAGGTTTGCGGGATCTCTTCTTAAACGAACGCTAAGCGAATCCATGGCAAGCGGTGGAACTGGGGTGGGAGCTGGGGGGTTAGAAGCAGCAGAGCTTTACGGAAGGGACACCAGAGAGAGGGTAGCGCCACGTCGTCTCGCTCTAGCTGCACGTTCGCTCTCGCTTGAACTAGCTCGACATAGACATCGTCTTGCAGCTCATTTGGTAAGATTTTATCGCATTAAGGAATTTGTGTACACACCAACCATTAACGAACACTAATAATTTAGTTGCGGTCCTTCCTTTCTTACAAGCTAAAGACTTGGTACTAAAGATATTCTAGTGATCGTACAGAACAGAATTGTTTGTTTTGCACTTATTAACAATTTAAAACACAACTTTATGAATGCCGTATGTTGACAGAGACGTAAAGTTAAAGAATCAATTCCCGAGGAGATAAGCGTGAATAACGAAATGGAAATCGAGATTGCACACAAAGACCCAAATAGTAACGCGAGATCTCTTAGTACTTCAACGGAGACATGTTCAACCCAGATCTCGAATCCTAATGTTAGGAGGAAAAAGCTGAACTGGGTTGTAAATATGATCGTAGAAACCATAGAAGAGACGGTCGAATGTGAACCTGTCACGATAAAAATAAAGAAAAATAAGGTCAGACCCGCTAGTGTCTGTCGCTAATTCTTTCCCTTCAGAACAATTCAACGTACATTACTAACAACAAAGTTAATCTTCTCGCTACAAGCTAAATATACAGCTAGCTCCTAATGGCTCAAATTAATTCAGATTGTTTTTGTTCCTGAATGAATCCCAACTAATAATATAAAATTCAGCAATTCAAAAAGTCTCACCTATAATTGCTGCCACCATTCGGCTATATTTTTGTCATAACTCAATTTTATTTAGATGCTAGTGTGACTATCGTACACAGGTTATGCGAGACAAAAATGAACTAGATATAATGGACACGTTTGACATCGAACGTCGACGTTACACGTAATGTGTTACATTACGTGTGAAACTACCCACATAAATGTTATGTACGACCGGATATTGGATTATTTGGGGCGTTATCACAAAGTTAGATTAGAATTTCATTGGTTTTTGCACTCTAGGTAGTACGCGTGATAAATAGAGATATATGCTCTTGTTACATTTACATTAAGACCATAGTGCTACATATGGAGGCGCAATAGAGCGGAGTAGTAGTTACGAGTGCTGTAGTTTTAAACTATTTTTTCCTTATAGCTAAACCAGTTGGCGAATAAAATTGTCTCCGGCGGGTCATGCAAGCCGGTGGCCACTGGAAATTGGGGATGCGGAAGTCGACAACGTGGACATGCCCAGTTAAAACTATTACTGCAGTGGATGGCGGCGAGCGTCTCTGGCGTACCAGCGCTGTTTTACTATACATTCGGGAATGAAAAGCTATTTAAGGTAATAAAATCCAAAAATTGCACGTTTGAACGTATTGATGGTTCGGTTTCCGTAATGTATGGTTACATTGGTTAACGGGTCGTGACTATAGCGGGTCCAATATTTTGTGGGTCTAATCGACTTATGAATCTAATTTGAAAAACTTATTGGAATAAGCTGTGAATACTGTGTAGTAAATATATTTTATCCATATACTATTTTTACCTGTTACCTGGCCATCCATACATGGTCTTTAGTCTGTAGTTTGGACTATAATCCACGACAACAGCGTTCTGTGCTGCTGTTCTACCAATTGTTCTACCAACCTTTATGTAAACCTACCATGTGCAAACATCTGAAAATGATATTCTTCCAGTTGGACACGCTAGTCAGGGTGTTGGTGGATAGAAAATGGACAGTTGGACAACTGGCGCGAGCTGTGCTCAAATTTTCACGACAGTTTCTGCACGAGCACCACGTCATTCCCGACAATCATACACTATTCGACGAACTCATAGGCATTGAAAAAATACCGGATGACGATTAATACTATCTTCATTCATATATGTATCTCTCTATAGGGCCATCCAAGAATTCTTGATATGGGGGGGGTTAAAAATATATCTAAATTCTCGAATTGCTACTATAGAAAGACGTCACACCGAGTTAAATGTATGAGGAAGAGAGGGATAAAACATTCAAGAATTTTATGGATTGCCATATAAAACGATTTTAGATTTAAGGGAGGTATTAAGTCAGAGAATACTTGCTTTAAAAGTTTATAATACCCGTAAATCTAGGTAAATCAAATCTGTATCTTGAAGTATTGTTGGAAGGACTCGACGTTACATCAAAAGATAAATAAATAACGGTTTATTTCACGTTTAAATTGACTTTAACTAATACATTTAGGATGAAAGAGAAGGCTATCCTTAATGAAAAGCTCATATTCACAATACGATTTTGATGCATTTACGATATTTAAAGTTAAAAATATTAATTCTTAAATGTACATATTAATAACTATTATTTATACGTAAGAATATCCTTAGGTACGCAATGATAATAGCAAAATGCAGCTTTCTAGCATTACTTAAGATATTGGCATATTAATAAAGTGAAGCAATAAAACTTATCTTCGATTGAAACCTAGGATATTTTTGTACAAATAATATTTAATATAAAACCTTAAAAAAATATATAAAGGGACACAAATTTCACTTTATAATTTGTTACTAATTTTTACTTAATCGTTCAACCCACTTATCCCACTCTGGCTGACGGTTGTAAATCGGCAGGATTTATTTAGTCTCCCCAACACTTAAGATAGAAGGCCAAGCAATGGACGCTAAACATTTCTCGCTAGTCGAAAGGAATTATCAATGACGATATTATCTAATTCGCTTGCAGCAGATGAGAGAGAATTTTCACGCCGCATAGCAAAAAACTGATATTTTAACATAGCGTTCCCTTAGTGTTATTCTCTTATAACAATACTGAATTAGACTTTAAGAGATGTTTGTTAATAGACTTATGTTTGTACCACAGTAACTGTTTATATTTCTCTGTACGACACGAAACAAGGGCCTTGAATAAACTTTATCCATTGTAACGTTTTGAATGTATATTTCCATCCGCGGAATAAAAGTACGGACTTTACAAAGGTCTTCCATAGTATTGTTCTCAATGTGTCCAAACTTTAATAATTTATGTAATCATTTATAATACAAAGTCAAGGTGCGAAATAAATGAGTGCATCTAAGTGTGTTTTTATTTGACGTTATAAATAAAACACTTCTAACGGTATAAAACGCGAAATGTATGTCTACAATTATGTTTCTTGAAGATCGGAATCAAGAACTTCTGGCGATAATCGCAACACTTCACGACACGCCTTACAACATGCGACAACGGTTGACTAAGTGTTTGGCTTCTAAGAATTAATAATTTTAATAATCTACTCGCTCGTATCGTAAAATATAGCCTATTTTACGACACATAACCAATTGAGCTACCGTGTCGTTATTTGGGAAATTTCACGTTCTATCATAAATAATATCAAGCACATTACACGAGTGCAATATATAAATAAAATAAAAAGTTCCAATGATTTATTATTTTAAATAAAACCATTTTGACATTTTAAAACATTTTTTAATAAGTCAGTCAATATTTTTTCAGAATAATGAACAATAGCTTACTATTATATCACATGGTTTTCACACTATTTCATTTTACGGCGGGTATTCTTTTAGCGTAGACAGTAATGCTTAAGACGTCTCAAAGAAGTCGAAAAGGTTAAAAAGACATGTGCATCTTAATAACTTTTTCTGCGAAACTATTTAGATATGTTCAAAGGTTTCAATTAAATCCTTTTGGTCTTTTTAATAACTGAAATGAATAAAATACACCACACATTTTTTATCAGTGTCGCTAGAGTGGCGTCTTGAATTGATCTTATTTGTCTTAACTGAACACCGAAACCACTATCGCGACAAGGGTTGCCAGATTTTCATGCAATGTTAATCTTTCTTCATTTTCTGAGTGAAAAATGAGACAGTTATGTCTGTTTTTTATTTCGCGAGACGTGATAAAAATATTTGCCATTTCGTTTAAGTTAAAATTACGTGTAAGTGACGTAAATAAGGTAGATATAAAAAAATCCCGTATACTTGACAAAAAAATATCGTTTGATGTTTACTCGTCATTTGATATGAAATTTTAAAAACGTCATTGAGCCTGTACGACAGACGACGTTTTTGACTTCAAACAGTCTGGCAACACTGATCGAGGTAGATTGACTTTTAGAATATAACACATGCCAAGCTAGCGACTATCATACAGCAAAACAGTGGTTATATTGTTCCTACCAAAAAGAATCAAGAGAATTGAAAACTGTATGCTATGGCTATACAATTAAAGGTTGTATTAGCGTCCACCCTAAAAGAAGAGACCTCTCATACGACGCCCCATGCCCTGTCTGTCGTACATTACGTTGAACCTATTCACCAGCTGGTTGATTGCGTTGCAGCCCTTTGTAATTGTCCCCAGATAGGTCATGAGCGCCACGTCGTTGCATTGCTAAAACACATTTTATATTAATATGATTAATATTAAATTGGCGTAGGAATATACACGTTCCGGCAAGAAATACCGTCTGCACATAGAAAATTTAAGTGCTTTAGCGTTTTGGATTGAGGAAGTGGATTCCTGTTATGACTGTCTGTCCTTGTTTTAAAAAACATGACAAAATACAAAACGGGAACAACAAAAGAGCTAATTAAAATATATATTTGTTTAAACAAAACACTTTAACGGTTTAAAACGCGATATATTAGTTAAACTTATTTGAAAATGATTTTTAACTTCAGCCCGACGTTTCGGTTGCTTTGCAGCAGCCGTGGTCACGGGGAGACTATCTATATATCTATACATATATATCGCGTTTTAAACCGTTAAAGTGTTTTATTTAAATGTGTACTACTCGCGTAATCTATAGACAGTATATAATTTTCATATTTAAATGTGTACTATTAGAGTAAACTACAGACAGTCTATATCTTTCTAAAAGAAAATATTTTTTTAATGCTCTTCTTGTTTTACTTATTCCTTCACATGGATAAAATAAGAACTTCACCATACAGATTTTGAAAATAAATATTTTTTAAGGAAAAAAAAATTAAATGAAAAAGGATGTGAGAAACTGCTCAAAATTCTCTTTAACTTTTAAAAATTTGTGATAATGACTTAAGGAAGTACTTACGTTATAGAAGTGTGTGCGAAATTGTTGTGAAGTAAGCAGCGGTAGACGATTGGCTAGAGCGCGTGCCTCCCGTAATAGACCTGGTCTGGGGGGAAGGTTTCCGTCGCGTATGGCACGAACTGTAGCCAACACCGCCCTCACACGGGAAACTAACATTTTAATGGCAGACCGCTGGGCAGTCAAATGATCAGCAACTGAAATTTAAGAACAAATACTTGAATACAAGTGACTACTGGTTGCACAGTTGGTATTTGGCTTTGACGACTGAGTTAATAGTCTATTGGAATGAGATTTGTTTGTAGATATTTTTTTTCGTATAATAACTTTTATATCAACTATTTATTCATTAAATGTATTTAAATTATGGCCATAAATTGACTACAGTCAATTTATGGCCATAATTTTAATATTTTGAATTACAAATTGCTACAATTTTAAAAAATTTAAATCATTAATGATTTTTCTTTCACTGCTTGCCAAATAAAAAATTACATTTATTTTGGTACCATGGCCTGGCATTAGTTCTCCATACCTATTTTTATTAAATATATTAACCCCTATAAATAAATACATTACGGTAAAACTTAATATAACAGTAACGTCTTTTTAAATCAATATTGGTTACACGTATTGCCTAGCACTGAGTTAAGCGCGAGAGGTCCTGGGTTCGAATGCCAGGGAAACAAAAAATTGTTTCGGTCAGGCAGGGCACAGATCAACTACTTGCCTGTTAAAGAACGGGCCAGTGAAACGGACATAGAAATGTGTTCGCCCCATGCCCCACGAGGAGGAACGGGATTTCACAAACACAAAATTGCCTAGATAAGCTTTAAATGTTAGTAATTATTATCTATTTCAAATTTTATCAAGTTCATCAGTAGTTAGTAAATACCTAAACTGTTGAATAATGCTTCTCCACTCGACACTCGAGCAACATGATCAACTCCAATCCTTTCAGCTTCTTCTGCAGCTAAAGTATAGGTTAATGGAGCTAGAAGCATTGTTGCTCTACCATTAACTACATCTATCACTGACTCATATAGTACTACCGGCAGTTGCTGTGAAAGAGGCAAAACATAGTTATAGTATACAGACAGACAGTAATCTTGCATTAAGCTAAAAAAGAATTAAAGTTTTGTATTAAAACATTTGGAACTATATAAATTAAACATCGATTATAAAATGAATAAAATTACATCTCAGGCAGGACTTGAACCGGCATCGTCAGCTTTTTGTGCTGTTGCTCTAACCAATTGAGGTACTGAGTCCTATATTTTTTTTAATCTACTGATACACGCACCTCTCGTGTGATTGTAACTGTGTGTAATGTCAGTATGTAACTAACAAAAAATTAGACTGGTGTTTACCTCTCCATTTCTCCCAGCAGGATTAAGCATTAACATCACTGGACATTCATTAATGTCACATATCTGTCTGTGCACTGCAATATCTCTCTCTGTAGGAGCTTCACCAGTTGTGTACCACCCAAGGAAGTCCATATCAGAAAATACTTGTTTAACTGAAAAACAAAATAAACTCAAACAATGGCAACTTAAATAAAAAAAACCCACAACAACTTATAATATTTATACTTACATTGTTCTTCTTTTAAATTGTAATAGTCTCTATCGATAATTATATCACCATCAATAACACTGAACAGCAATTCAAATGAATTCATTACTTCAATATTACGTCCTTTCTGCTTTCCTATTAAAGCGCCGACAACTAGAAAAATAGAGATTGAATATTAAATAGTATACAATGTGGCAAACAGCCTTTTTGTGACTCAAACCAAACCTTTAAAATGTACCTTTGGCAGAAGCTATAATCTAAGGATAAAAAATAGGACATTTTTATGAACTTGGGATACTGTTATAACAATAGTTTATTATATAATAAGAACTATTCTTCTAATATTTACTAATCTCACTTAAAATTAGACAAAGTGTAGGTGATTTAAACCAAACTGTGATGTTTCATGAGGAACATTTGGCTGAACAATCCTAAGGTTTTGGTGAAGAAACACAAGCCTTTGGTTCTTACTCAAATAGCAAATGAAATAACTTTTAAATACCTGTTTGAGAAGACCCTTCTTGTGCTCGCAACCTTGTCCAATGCTCAGAGACATTCATGATAACAAGAGGATGTAAAGAAACCGTGACTGAGCCAGATGTAGCATTTGTTACTACAACGCTTTTGTTAGCACCTGACCCCAAAGCACATTCAATATAACCTGGTGCAGATTCATTCGGTGGAGTTGGCAGCAGAACGTCTGCAGATGGTCCTGAAGATGCACTTTCTACTTCTACCTCCATCTCAAAGTCAATCCTATCAGCACTAGACATTTTCGTGCGGATATAAGCACTGTGGAATTGGTAAAATCAGGACAACAGCAGGAGCAACTGTTTTATTATTTATGCAACGATATCTTTGGTGAAAACTTTATTCTGCTTTTTGGGTTATAATGTAATTCTTAGATATGTGCACATGACTAACATAATTTAAATCAATCAATATTGCTTTTCACAATATTTTACATAAAAGATATTACTATTCACATTACACAACAAAAAACATACAATAATTCAACAATCATTCAATAATAATAACACCATTCTATAAGCACAGGTGCAGGGTCTGTGGCAATCGTGATTAACGATAGTACCTTATGCGCCTTCATCATCTGTAGGGAAATGTTTATGTCTGTGGTATATCAAATTTATTAACATAATCTGTAATAATAGGTAAACGATTAGGGTGCGTTTTGGAGTAAACGTGCACTACTAGTACTTATATTTTTAATGGAAAAGTGTACGTAATATAAATAGACCTACTTAATAGTAGGTTGTGTATTTGCAGTTTACCTAATGGATCTATATTAAACGATGCAGTGAAGTGAATATGTTATATTAAACTTGATAACTGGACAATCAGATACTACGAAGCGATTACGACGATAATTTCGAAATCGTTACTAAGGTTTCTACCCTTTGTAGAAGCATCAACAGGTCAGCTGTTATTTTTCTTATTAAATACATTTTATACCTAAAATAATGGCATCAACTGCAACAAAAATTGTTGGCATCGCTAAAGATGTATCTCCGCTGTACTACAGGATCTTATCAAAATTTCCACAAAACTTTACATTTTGCTTCGCTTATGGATCCGCAGTTAAACCTCAAATCGGCTATGAAAAAAAGCATAACATGATTGATTTAATTTATTGTGTGGATAACTCGCATAGATGGCATGGTGCAAACCTCGAAATAAACCCTTCGCATTACTCCGCACTTCGGTTCCTTGGAAAAGGATTTATTGCAAGGTTGCAAGAAAACTCTGGAGCTAAGGTTTATTTTAACACATTGGTAGAAATGAAGGACGAAAATGTAACCATCAAGTATGGTGTTGTATCACAAAGGGATTTAGTCACAGACTTGTTGGATTGGAATTATCTATACTTAGCAGGGAGACTCCACAAACCAGTGGAAATTATTAAGCAAACCAACAGTTCCCAATTACAAAATGCTCTGCAATCTAACTTGAGATCAGCTGTACACACAGCCTTATTAATACTACCTGAGACATTCTCTGAATATGATTTCTACTTTGCAATCTCAAACTTAAGTTATGCTGGAGATTTCAGAATGACTTTTGGAGAAAATAAAAACAAAGTTCGGAATATAGTTCAGCCGCAGCTACAAAATTTTCGGGAACTATATCGACCCATTTTACAGCAATTTCATGCATATGTAGATTTCCCTAATGGTGATGCACAGTGTCATCAAGACTTAAACCCAGAGACTAAACTGCATCATCTTATGCAGTTGCCTATGGTTCCTCAGCAGAGGATTGTAAAATTTTGGAATCATGGTGGTCCACAACAAGATATGGAAGATGTTTTGAGGGCAGTGGCTTATGATATAGACTGTGCTGTTATTTTACGACAAATTCTAAAAGACTTAGTTTGGCAATCAAGTGTTCGACAGTCACTCAAAGGCATCCCAACTGCTGGCTTGTTAAAATCTATTAAATATAGTGCTAAGAAAATTGCAAAAATGTTTTAACTCTTTAATATCTTGTAAATAACTTAGGAATAAAGTAGCTATATATTTAACATGTGTATTTCTTTCTATCTATTTTAACACCTATTTTGTATGTTTTTAGGATAAAATATGTTATCTGATGAATCAAGCAGTGATTCAGAAACTGGGCGATTTAAATGTCAAACAAAGCAGGATGAGAAAAAACCAAGCCGAAGAGAAGAAAACAGAGCTTCAAATAGACCTGGAAGAAGCAGGCCCACTGATGAAAAATACGAAAGAAGTTTTGATAGAAGAAGGGATGACAGAAATAAGTTTGATAGGCAGAGGGACAAGCAAAGATACAACCGATATTCTCCTATTAGGTCCAGGCGTTCTAGAGATAGAAGCAAAGACAAACGATCTAGGGAAAACTATAAAGTAAGTAGAGAAGGAAGAGATAAATTAAAAATCAAAGATCATAGTTTAAATAGAGAACAAAGAACATCTAGGTCTAGGTCATCTCGATCCCCATTTGTAGGCAGATCTACAAAAAATGAGGAGAAAGATGTTTCTAGCCATCTGGCTAAATCTGCTGCATATACAAGACGGCCAAGAAGTGAAAGTCCTCCTTCACAACACTCTGTCAAAAAGTCTGAAGTTTATAAACCAATACACGAAAAATCTAAAAGTAGGAAAAGTGGCAGTCCTGTAGTTGTCATTGAAGATAATGATAGTCCTGATGAAGTTGTACAACCAGGTTCATATTATAGTATGATACCAGCTTTAGTTAAAGAAAAATCCATTGAATCAAGTGAAATTGATTCATCGGATGACGAAAAGCTTCGAGCAAAACTTCTTAATTTAGAAAAAGAATTGCACAAAAGTAAAAGAAAGAAACATAAAAAGAAACACAAAAAGCGAAGCTCAAAATCGAAGGAAAAGAGTTTAGATTCATCTGCAGCAAATGTTGAGGTAACAAGTACTACAGATATACAAGAAGTGCAAAATGAACAGAATACGCAGTCAACAGAAGTTTCTTCAACACAAAAGAATCGTAAGGATAGTAGTGAAGAGGGTGAAATACTGAGTGATGAGGAAGAATACGATCCAACTGACTTGAGACATAAATTAAAAAGGTCAAAAAATCAATCGCAAGAACCACCTAAATTAGATGCTTGCGGCCCAGCCCTGCCACCTCATTTGCAAAAACATTATAAGAAAAGCGTTTCACCTGATATCACAGTCAATTCACTAAAAAGTGATAATTCTAGAAAAATAGGTAAGTTAACCGACATTACAAATATTTTTATCCAACTAGGTCCCCTTCATTTTAGTAATTTTTAACCCATATCCTTACAGGACCGAGCATCCCATCTGACATGCGTAAAGTATTAGCTGAGAGGAGCCCCGAAGTTATCAAGGATGAAAGCTCAGAAGAAGACTCTGGTATAGGACCTCTACCAGCAGGTGCTGAGGCCAAATGGTCTCAAGCTCACCAGAAGTTGGAAGAAAGGGCATATGAGATGAAGATTAAACATTTAGAAGGTCATAATTTGCAGGAAAAGGATATTAAATCTCGTGAAAAGTGGATGCTTGAATTGCCAGAGGGAAAGACCAAATTCTTAGGCTTAGAGGCAAGAGGTTTTAGAGCCAGGGCGGGTCCAGATATGTCAGATAGGTATTTTTTTTTTAATAAAAAATATATGATACTCCTATCGATTTGGGTTGGCAATTATTATTACTTATGTTACTTTAACCTAGGTCAAGTTGGACAGACACACCAGAGGAGAAAGCTCGTAAAGCAGCTGGTGTAGTTAAGGAAGAGGATGCCTCAGTGGTCTTGCAGCGTGAGGCCAGGGAGAAGTACATATCCAATAGAGACGAGGAACAGGAACAAGCTGTTAAGTAAGTTTTCCTTTTGTATTTGGAAATATTTTTTGTATATTCTAAAGTTTTTAATAAACATGTAATCAATATCTACTTGCAGGAAACACAAAAAGAAGCATAAAAGGGAAGAAAGTTTGTTAGAAATGCACCAGAAGAAATTGAAAAAGAAAAAGAAGGTATTTTGCGCACTTATTATCTTCACGCAAGTATTGCGATACTATATACTTTTTAGGAAAAGATTTAAATATGATTTATTCTTTCCTGTGCTGCCAAATGTATTTACACATAAAAAATAACAAAAGGGTAGAGTCATATCTTATTATTTACCTATTTACGACTGTTATGGTGTTGTCCTTGATTCCAGAAAGAGATAGAAGAGAAGAAGGAGCGCCGTCCGTTTAGCCGAGATGTAGATTTACAAGTGAACCGCTTTGACGAGGCGCAAAAGAAGTCCATCATAAAAAAAGCACAAGATTTGAACACGAGGTTCTCTCGTGGCGATGCAAAATATTTATAACAATTGATATAATTATAAAACATTAATTTTATTTAATTAAATGGTTATATGTGTGACCTATTAAAATTATGTATTCTAATGGACAAATTTATATTTTTGATTTCTTATACACACTTAGTTTTTGGAATGTGCAAATAAAAAGCGCATTATTCTGCCACGTATAGATTATACGAAGTAAAACAAATATATTTTTATTGAATGTTGAGAGCTACATCCAAGTCAACTATTACTATTATACCGATAGTAGTAATGATTTATACTACTCTTGGTATCGGCCTACTATACGCACAAACTTTCTGTAATACAACCATATCATATATACGTATTTGACTAAATTATGTTTCCACCAACACTTGTGTTTCTATATCAAATGGCGCACGGTAGGAAGGTAGAATATGATGTTAGGTTTCCTAAAAATTATTATTACTGTCATGTCAAATCTAATTTATATAACCAAAAATGCGATCATCCTAAGTGTGTATTACACATCATTCTAAGATAACCTTGATGTTTTATTTACGAATATCTCTTTATTACTGTTTTAGTTTTGAAACAATAAAAAATCAACGAGACTTGACAAATATATTTAATCACTGTAACAGCCAACCAAATAGTAAATGTATTCTATAAAAACATCAGAAGTTGTAATGCCTATTATTTTTTATTTTTCTCCGTTGACACTAGGTGTGGTCATCGTTCCACGATCGGCTGAAGGGCATACCTTCACTATGGAATCTTGACAGCAAAGGCTCTCGTCTGCAGTCATATCAGCGTAAACCCAGGGCATATCGCAGATTTTATAGAACGCAGATAACTGAAATATATTTAAATAAACGTAAATGCTGATTGACCAATTTATAATAAAATCAATCATCTATACTACTAATATATAGTTGACGAGTTTGTTTGTTTGATCGCGTTAATCTCTGGAAATCTGTTCGATTGAAAATTTATTTTGTGTGGTTGGAACATCAATCGAGTAACCGAACCAATAGAAGCAACGAAACAGTGAAAAAAAACGGGAAAAATTATCTTAGAGGGCTTTCGTTGCGCGCGCTATACAAACGGTTCAATAAAACCAAAAAATATCTATGAAAGAATGGTTCTTCTTATAATTAACAAAAAAAAATGTCCGCGACTTTATCTTTTTAGGCTAACACGCAAGAACGACGGGACGCGGATGACGTCGTGGGTAACAGCTTAAAAGGAGAAGAGGTATGCAAAAAGAAAATAACTATTCTTCACGGACGAAGTCGCTGACGCAGCTAATAATATTTTAACAGGCCAACATTTTTTAAATATGTATCTCTTGGCCCACACAGATTAATCAGGGTTTTACTTACACTAAGTACATAGTTACCTTAAGTTCATCGGCATCTTTAAGTCGGTTGCATAATATTTCAGGTCCCTTCGCTTTGGTCGCTATAGCCAGAGCGTTACATAAATTCTTACATGTGGTGCTACCTTCCTCGTCACAACTAACTACCAATCCAGGTGTTTGTGATAGAAGCGGTGAACTATTAGCCTCTGGTTTAGACGTAGGAAAACCGCCGCATGAACAATTCCCTTTCAAAACTTCGGCTTCAGCGGGCAAACTGTAAGCAACAAAAAAATTACCTAACAATCAAACGAAAGTCTGTGCATTTGAAGAGCAACAGAGCGGTTTGTGGGTTCGAGTTCTGCCCTTACCTTATTTGAACATCTTCCGCGTTCACCAGCACTAACCCGATAAGCACAAGGCACAGGCTGTAGAATTCTTTGCGGAACGTCATGGTTTCAAGATAGCAACTGGTGTTTCAGTGATTGAGAACTAACTTAAATAGGTGGTCGACATATTGTTTTGGCATCGGAAGACTATGATTTCCGTAAAATTGTGTATTGGATATGCAAATTACATTCTTAAATTTAATATTTAGTACATCACTTACATGCATATACCTAATGCTTTCTATTCTAATATCGTGACCAAATAAAACCTCCAAACAACAAATATAATATTAGAGCAATACCTAAAATATTTTAAATTATAATAGCACATATTCTATATAGATAGTCTTTTTTTCTTCATATGCAAAGTGACGTTCCACTTTCCCGCCCTTTAATTTTCCTTATATTATGATTAAACTATATGTTTGAGATGAGGAAATAACAATGCACAAACAAATTTTTATCATTTTGTGCTACCTACGTGCGTTTCAGGGAACTCTTGACAGAAAATGACCGGCCTCTAGTCCGCTCTTAAGACGCACAGAAAATTATAAGTACCATTATTATTATATTTGACAATTAGTCCCAAATTATTAAGAAAAAATATGTACCCCACGGAAATCGAAACTGTTTTGATCCGTGCCAACGTCTCTACACGATCAACTTGTTTTGTTTAAACTCGTATTACAATGAACGATTACTGTGTTTTGTGAAATTCGTTAAAATGACTCTGTATACGTAACTTAGTGTATTAGGTACACCCTGATTGAGTAGTGATACGAATGGTCGCAAATTTCTAACTCTTCATCTATAATAATATATAAAGCTGAAGAGATTGTTTGTTTATTTGAACGCGCTAATCTCAGAAACTACTATTCTGAATTGAAAAATTATGAGCACTTCTCGAGGAAGGCTAAAAAACATAATAGGGGCGAAGAAACAGCGTAAAAGTGGAAAGAACAGGGAAAGTTATTCATTTTAATGAGTTTCCGATGCGTGCGCTGTAAAAACGGTTCATTAAACCAAAAATATGGATGAAAGAATGGTTCTTCTTATGATTAACTAAAAAAAATGTCCGCGATTCTATCTTTTAAGGCTAACACGCAAGAACGACGGGACGCGGACGACGTCGTGGGTGTCAGCTTAAAAGGAGAAGAGGTATGCAAAAACAAAATAACTATTCTCCACGGACGAAGTCGCTGACACAGCTAGTAATATTTTAACAGGCCAACATTTTTTAAATAAACGTCTACGTCTAATAAGAAGGTATATATCAAATACACAATTTACTTTGTAAACTTCTTTTAATATATTCGACAGAATGTCTAACGCTAAAATTAAAGCCATAAAAGACAGCTCATTCTGTTTAGATGTTCTATGGCTGGGGTTATAGAGTATTATGGAAAAAAATATTTTATATGTAGAATATATTGTAAGCTACTTTAACATACATTTTTGTTACTGGCCATTGAAATTAACGTAATTGCTTTAGTTACATAAAGTTTTCTTTTATAAGTTGAACATTCATAAATTTCGATAAGTACCTAGATCAAATAAAAAAAATACATTAATAATTCTTGCAATAGTTATTTTAGTATTTGCACATAGAATACTATTATTGTTTAGATAATGTATTTGAGTCTTTTATTTAGCAAAACCTTCGTATAAGAAATAAAAAAATTGAAGCACTTATTACATATGTGTTTATTAAAGAAAAGAGAAATGGGAAACAAAGTGCTGAGAACATAACCTTAGTGCCTTAGACCAATAGGGGCACAATTTATGGACACAAGCACAATGCAGTCAGACTATTTAGTCTATATTAATATATGATTCTAATCTTGCACCAAAAAGCATTTCAAGCTATACATTAATAAATAAAATGTCAAAATGTTCTATGAGTGATATATAAAGTGACATACTACAAAAATATTTCTTATATAGTCTCACACTAGTCTCTCAAGAACACAGATTATCCGCTCACATCTATTTGCTGTCAGATTAAACATAGCTTTAGTTTATAAAGCAATGTTTTTAATTTGTTCCTAGACTCCACAACTTAAGTTATTGTTCAACGGAAAGTTGTGCAGCTTCTACATTTATTCAATTACCACCCACCAATATCTATCTTAAATTTTATTAGTGTTCTCCACAGTAACCTCACTTCCAAAAAATCAGACTTCTAAACATATAAGCATGTCAACCAAATTGTTATAAACAATATATATTATCTCTGTGGAGCAGGGCATGGTTTTGGCATCTTCGCTAGTAGACCTTGAATTTCCTTTTTCTCATCATAATTTTTCCACATTTCATATAAATTGATTATTGCTCTTACAATTTCTTGAATCTGGAACAATAAGAAATTTAAAACCCAATACAGGAGGCCACTTTCACAAATTTTTTAACCATTGTACATTTTTTTCCATGTAAAAACATATTTTAATTTTACTTTTAAACCACAATTAAAACATAAAAATTTTTAGTAATCCCACGAGGGAATTGGGAAAAATTTGTTCTAGTTTAATATAAATAAAATGTATACAATTTTCATTACAACATAAAAAAAATTAAAAATACTCATACCTTATCCATATCAACATTAAGCTCTGCAAACCATGGTTTCAGGTTTTCTTTACCTAACATAACACAAGCAATATGTAAGGCACCAATTGCAATCTAAAAAAGCAAATGATAATTATAGCGAGACTGTTTTTTAATCACTGGTTAATTTTATTACTGAGTACTGAGTGAGGTACTCTGTTTTCAAGGAATTGTGCAACCAAACTGAATGCATAACTTGATAGCATGTTTTTTTATCTCGTTTACCTGCCGCAATTAAACATACCTGGTAAGGTGGATACAATAAACTGACATCTGTCCGCAAGGAATCATTGACTACTCTCCAAGCATAAGTAGACAACTGATCGTCTTGACCTATGTCTTGCACAAAGAGTAAAAGAGGCCTGTATGGTTGAAAAACAATCAAACAGCAATCCAAGTTCTCTAAGAGGTAAAATTCGCATTCTAATATATGATTGGTTCTATATGGAAATTCTTGCTGGCCGTATGCATAACTGAATTTGTTTTTAATGACTGTTTGACAAGTGGTTATTAGTCTTGAATTAGATATGACTCCAAACTCTTCTACTTTAGAAGCAAGAAATACACATGTCGGTGCTAAAAGCAAGGGATCAATGCATTTTAGCGAATTGCGAGCGTAAAAACGTTTGAAATAAACAGTAGCTGTAGCTATTACTTGTTGCCGCAGTTTGAGTTGTTCGCCTAAAACCTGAATTATACTAGCAAAAAAGTTGAATATTTTTTGGTACTCTTCTTCCGTTAATTTTGATAGATCGTGTTGACGATCCCTAATAAGATCTTGTTTATCTAACATCCATTGTTGGTGATGTGAACTTTGCCAAAAGTTACCGGCCATGCTGTAAAGCTGTTATTAAATAATTTCAGAGTTTGTGTATTTGGCTTGTACTCGTAAGTGAATTGCTGTAAGGTAAAATAAATAATGTATTTCTGGACTTCTTAGATTTGACAATATTCACAGATTTAGACCAAGTCCTTCAAAAGACACAGCTTGTATTCGTAGTAAATATCATAATATCAAGTAATTAATAATTATCATTTTCAAATATGTTTATATGAACTATAAAGTTTGACAGTACGAGATTTTTTGACAATTGCAGCGATGCCAACTCCATAGAATACCATATACATATATTGAGTCTGGCCAACTCCTACAGAATGCTCTCACTAGAGACAGATTAAAATCAGTTTAAATAATAACTCAAATCCCCCCTAACTTTTTAATAATTTTAGAAATACTACGTCTAATGATTGTACAAAATGAATGCTAAATAAAGAGATTTATTATTATTATTACTTACATTCGGATTAAATAGTGTATTAATATTTTTATATATATTAAAAACATTAAAATAGACGAATTTAAAAACGCGATATACGTTTGTTATTATTTGTATAGTACTTGAATAAATGTTTTCTTCTTAATTTAAAGGCTTTCCCATTTTAAATGAAAAAATTATTTTTTTGTAATATAAATCGTTTTGCAATTTACATGAATTGGTATTACTAACGAGAGTATACTGTATATCTGTGAACAACCCCCTTATTTTCTGTGATGTGATAACATATTATTGAAATAATTATTACCCCATATCACCTTTATAATTTAAAACGAATATTATATCAAAATTATTATCGGTTTGAAAGACGTGCCTGTGGTATTATCCTATTCTTTAATCAGTTTAGTCTTGCCTTTTTTTTAATATTTTGGCGCGTGCTGTCACTATTATGATATTATCAGTGCTAAAAAAAGCCAATTCAGTGGGCTCCTGGTCCACGTATATAATCAAGGTTATGACCCATTCTTAAAATAGCATTATTTTCGTCAGAGTTAGAATCAATACTTGCAAGAAAAATGGGTCGCAGCAAATTTCAAGAAATAAAAAAAATGTTCACCTGGACTTTTCTAAAAGGTTTAATAGTGAACCCGGCTCAATTGCCGTTCGCAGCCTTCTGTATTTTGATCGCTGAGCTTGTTATTAATGTGGTGATAGTTGAAAAAGTGCCTTATACAGAAATTGACTGGAAGGCATACATGCAGGAGTGTGAAGGATTTTTAAATGGAACGCTTGATTACAGTCAACTCCGTGGTGATACTGGACCTCTAGTGTATCCAGCTGGATTTGTTTATCTTTACTCTATACTATACTTTATTACAAGTGGTGGTGAAAATATTAAGTTAGCTCAACACATTTTCATTGGTGTTTATTTAATGTTATTGCTGTTAAGCCTTAGAATATACATAAAAACCAGAAAAGTACCCCCTTATGCCCTTGTTCTTACCATTCTGACATCCTATAGAATTCACTCAATTCATGTTTTACGAATGTTTAATGATCCAGTTGCCGTACTTCTTTTATATGCGTCTCTTAATTGCTTTTTGGACTCCAAATGGTATTTAGGCAGCTTTATTTATAGCTTAGCGGTATCTGTAAAGATGAATATTCTGTTATATGCTCCAGCCCTCTTTTTCTTTTACCTTATAAATTTAGGCTTTAAAGATACCTTCAAACAATTATTAGTATGTGCCTTAACGCAAGTGTTCTTGGGTCTTCCATTTTTACTAAGCAATCCAGTTGCTTATATAAAAGGCAGTTTTAACTTGGGCAGGGTTTTTAACCATACATGGACAGTTAACTACAGATTTATGGATGTTAAAGTGTTTGAAAGTATGTCATTCCATTTAGTTTTACTTGGAATACATGTAATGTTGTTAATAATATTTCTGCCTTTGTGTATACAATATTTTAAAAGCTATTGTCGCTTGCGGTATGTACAGACACAGGTACAACCTCAAATCGATGCTAAAAACTTAGAAAGTAAGAAAAGAAGCAAAGCAAAAAAGGCAAATAAAATAAAAACTGAAGAAAAAGAAAACCTTACTAAGGAACAGCAACAGTTTCTGAATTCCTTTGAAAATATGCTTCAGAAATCCTCAGGCAAAAGTGGTAAACAAGGTGTAAAGGAGTCTGAAAGTGAAAAAGCACCACAGCATTATAGTATTAATTTTGACATTTTATCGCAATTGTTCATTTTACCAATGTTTCTAGTCAACTTCATAGGAATTGTTTGTGCAAGGAGTCTACATTATCAGTTTTACTCGTGGTACTTTCATACATTACCGTATTTGTTATGGTCCACTAATTATAGTGTAGTAGTAAGATTTTTAATTCTAGCTTTAATTGAATTTTGTTGGAACACATATCCCAGTACAAGTGCAACAAGCATTCTGTTACATTTATGCCATATATGTATTTTGTATGGAGTGTATACTAAGACGTCGAAAGAGTTAAATTTTATTTCCAAAACCCAATAGACACCTGATACAACATGCATGTACAAATTTGTATTTTCAATAAAAATATTTTTTCAAGCAGGTTTTACTTATTTAATCCTAGTCATTAATCATTATACAAGGGAAAGGGAATTACAATAGTAATGTAACAGAAAGTATTCTCCTGTTATTGGCTAAATAAATCATATTAAATAGAAAGAAAAACAACATTATAAGCGTTTTTGGAAGTATTTATTATGAATATTAACTAAACAAAGATGAAACTAGTATACTCTTAAATTTAGAGATAGAGGTGTACTTCCTCTTGTTATCACATGAATCATGGTGTTGGAATTCACCATCTCCATCCAAATCCCAATAGATATAGCAGAGTACCCAATTGTATCCTAAAAATCTTATAATAGACTTCATTTAACAAAGCTTTACTAATCGTATCTGCACATTATAAATATAGTACTCGAAGGAAACTATGGGCAGTTAACTATATTTCACCACAAAATTATAACAAGTCTGGAAAACTAATCACTAGAAATATTAATATTTACTTTTAAATTATTCTTAGTAATTAAAAAGTAAATATGTTTGGTATTTAAGGTTTAAACCAAAAATAATTATCTAGTAGTTGAGAGATAGAGTAGCAACACAAAAAGATGATAAGCAACAAATAACTGATATTGCTTATATCCCATGATATTGTGCGAACCAATCAAAATCACTAAATATGTATTTCAATTATTCCTTCATACATACTTCTGAAATAAACGTGACATACGAATATGTATGCAATAGACGTATTTGTTTTCTTTAAATAGATCTATATAATGGCGATAAACATACAAGTATCATATAATACGAGTAGATTACAACGGCAGTCTCCATTGACTGAGCTTAAAACTAACTATTAAAATGGCGATAGCACTCGGCGTCTAGACAAAGCCAAAGTTTTTAGTTTTAATAGCGAGTAATAATTTATGTTTAAGAACGTGTCGTGAGGAGTACAGAGGTATATAAAGCCGTGAGATGCAGGTGTTCGCGGTGGGGAGATGTGCATCGTCAGCGGGTCGGATTGTGACCGAGGGCATTGGTTGAAATCCTTCTTCGGAAGCCGGTAGAGCTGGAGATCCCGTCCAAAAGTATACCTATGAAAATAAAAAGTATTATGTAGTTCAGATAAATAAAGTACGGTCTTATCATGTGAAACTGTAAATGAATGCTTACCAAATCTTGTCGTTCCAAGTGAGTCATTTTATCGACAATTGCCCATAGCCAACGCTTAAACCTAGCAAGTCGTTCTGGTGGTTCGCCGCTTTCATCATTAAAACCAGTGTACGAAACTAGTGCAGTCACATTTATATCGCCGACTCCATTTAGTAGTAACCGTAGGTCTTCAGCGGTGAGCCCCTCCAGGGCAGATTCTGGCAGAACATCTAGAACTCCAACCCGCATTGCCTAAAATAACAAGAGTATTCACAGGGTGGCAACAAAAAAACTAATATTTAACCCGTAGAAAATTATATGAAGGTCTCATGGCAATTTGTAATTGATAATTTTCTACATCCAAATGAAGTATTTTTATTCTACCACGTATAATATAATATATAACGCAAATCTGTTTCGAAACAACTTACTTTAGAATTTTGGCTGTAATTTTTATTCATAGAAACACTAACCTCTAATGCTTTCTCCTGTGCGATGACCATGCGTTGTTGCGCGTATTTCCGCACATAATCGTAAACGTTAAGAGCCGTGACTTCGATTTCGCGCCCGCCCGGTACAAGTTCCACACACCCACCGCCCTCTTCTTCACACATTTCAAGGCTGTAAGAAATCATACTTGTGTTATCTTTTCTCCCATAAAGGAACACTACAAGCAAATACATATTGTATGCATTTGTTTCCGAACATCATATCTATTATGTAGTTTATTCATTAATTATTTTATTATTTATATTTTTATGATAGAGAAGGACAGACAACATGGTGATAACTTGATAGTAGGTGAGATACCCATACCATATAAAATCTAAACAACATACGCTGTCGACCTATTTAGGCTTTAGATATTCGGAAATCGACAGACTGAAACCGAAACGCGACTAAACTTGAAGATATTTTTTTCTGTGGAATTTCGACATTCCTACTACCTATTTAATATTCAGATTTCCAAACGAAGTCCAAGATGTTTAAAAAAAAAAAAAAATTAAATAGAAAAACGGTGCACCTTCCGGAGATCGAACCCAAGACCCGTTGATCATTATTCATAAATTGCTTACATTACACATTTTTTCTTCCGACTTTACTCACCTAAAGTTGAGATCTAATGCAGCGAATAGTGAATGAGAGTCTCCCGTTTCAGCGTCGACGACAAGTTGCCTCAAGCTCTCGTACACAACCGGATCGAAGAAGGCGAGATCGTGGAAGCGAATTTTGCGTCCCAGCAAGTACTTGAGCACGTGTCGGTTGAGGAACATCGGGCACAACTCGTTTTGTAGTAGACAAAGACCAATTATTCTGAAATAGATTTTTTTTTTCAATGGGTTATTTATATGCGAAAAATATAGTATAGAATATACAATATATGTATATGTATAGAAATAGTAAACCAGTATACATGTTAAAAAACAAATGTATCTAGATTGTAGATCATATGATCGACATACACAAATAGCCAATATTTGGTTCTGACGTCACTATCCGTATTGCAGCGTTATTCCGCAAAATTAGCGTTTAAGCGCGCAATTTAAATATTGGAATTTTAATTTCATTAATTATTTCAGAATTCTAAAATACTACTTTTCTGGTGTTTCTCAGCATTTACCAAGTAATATAAATTACGTTTTTAAAATCCATCAAATAGAAGTTAACCTGTGCCAGTGACTGTAGGCGGCGAATTAATTTTGTGGATTATTTATTTATTTATTTTCTCTCGGGGACACCTGTGGTAGGACGGGTGATCAGTCCACACTATCAGCTGACCATTTCACCCATTTCCCCATTTCCACCTTGTGGAGGTTTTGGGTCATCCAACTCTCCCCGTGTCCCCTTCAAACCTTCCGGTTTGCTTGCAGAATCTTATAATTTTTTCCATCTGTAATTCTTTGATCTCATCTTCTGTAATTTCGTCCGAACCCATATGTGTTTGTCTCAGCCTCGAGTATGCAGAGCATTCAGTGAGTAGATGGATGCTTGTTTCCTCACTTTCTCTGCACTCCGGACATAGGGGGTCGCTGCCCCCTATGTCCGGATTTTGTGGATTAACTTAACCTTAAGTTTAAAATTACAAAAATGGCTCATTAGGGACAATATAGGGATATAACAGAGACATTTAAGATATATGATAAAAATCTTAATACAAATGCCATAACAAAAAATATTTCTATCAAGGTGAGCCTAATCTATTGGTAAAACTGTGACCAGTACCCATCGGCTGTGTTCGGACAGCAAATCCTGGATTTTTGGTAATTTTAAATGTTAATCTGATATTGTTATTTACCGTCCAACATTTCTGAAGGCATTGATTCTCTCGGGTGTTGCTCGACCTTGGCGAGGCGAGTAATAGCCTCGCTTGCCAGGGGAGTAAAACAGGGGTGCTGCGTCATCAGGAGCCGCAAGAGAGCTGCTAGTGCCTATTGCCGCACCCGCTCCACGTTCCGACAGAGAGAAAACGTCTAGATCTGCAAGTAATTAATGATTTTGTATTATAATTATTATAAAAAAGAAAGTAAATATTCATACAATGTATATTTCCAGGAAAAGTAAGAATTAAATTCCATTTGACTCTTAATTTTCCTCTTGGAAACATTAACTTTGATTCTTACTTGATATTGCACATTATGGCCCTGTATAAATTAAAAATCGATTCTAGATTGAAAAATGGTACGACACGGGCATCCGGCTTGAACCGGCATCCGCAGGGTTCTGGGCGTGTAGGACACGGTAGTTCAATTGGTTAGAGCAACAGCACGGAACCCTGTTCAAGTCATGCCAGTGTTATAACATTTCTTTTTCATCTAGATAGATTTCTATTCATCTCTATTATATTAACGCGCTATCATTATATGTACAAAATGCTTATCTCTGCAAAAATATATATTTTACCTAATATCGCTTCCGACGGGTGCATAACTATGAGATCCATTGCTTCGCGCACCTTCTGCCTCAGCGCGTCTTCACTAGCGAGTAGCACAAGCAACTGTGCCGGAGTCAGTTCCAACAACATTCCGGTTATCTTCCCCGCGAACGTTGGGTGCAACAAGTAAACCTGTATACGAATACAAAAGTCAGTGACAATAATTATCCAAACGATATTAACAGCGTTAATCGATGTGTAATAGAAATAATACTTTATAGACTAATGGCGATGGATGGATTATGGTCTGCATTTAAATGGAAATAAGAAATGAAATAAAATCAAATAGTCTTAGCCTGAAAATTGTGATAAGGACGATGAAAAAAATAAATACGTAAAATTTATTTATTGATTATAAACCTTCACTTAAGGACATATATAGATAACCCCAATATGGAATTCCTAAAAATGAATTTACGCAAATATACAGATTAATTTATTTTTAGTTTGACATTTCCATCAAATTAGTCGTAAAAAAGTGATGGCGTTTTGATCATATATCATGGATATTTCTTTAACCATGTGTTGTCTGTGGCAACGACTATACTCTATAAAAGGGCATCACTCTATGATGTTTGAAATCTGCCATATTTGTTGTGGTCTATTGCCAAGTTAGAAAAAATATACTAAAATGAACACGTTACCTTAGGATAGAGCCTTTCGCCTAATTGAGCTTGATGAACGGTGAGGTGTTCATTGTGTCCACTAGATCGTTCGCCGCTATAGCTCGCGCCGTCAGTCCCGGGTGCGCCCTGTAATGGTATAAAAGATTAGTCTACGGCTTAAAAATGAGACCAATTGAGTTCTGATCAGTTAAGTTGACGCTTCGTATTTGAGATCATTAAGATTTAAGAGAATTCATTAGAACAAGAGAACGTTTGTTATTTAAAACTTAAAAAAAAATTTGATACACTAGCTGTGCTAGCGACTTCGCCCGCGTAGAATGGTTATTTTGGGTGTCAAAATTTGTTTTTGCACCCTCCTCCATATCTTTGTATATTTATAACTGCTTAGCGTTACCCAAGTAAATCTTAAGAGTTACTGTCGCGGACATTTTTAATACATATCTTTTTCGATCTCTTGAGCCGTACAGCGCCATACTTCCCACTCCCCACCACAGTTCCTATGCAGTGTGATATTTTAAAGTCTAAAGCCTACCTCTATAAATTATCCAACCAACACAAAATAATTCTTCAATTCGAACAAGTAGTTCCTGAGATCGTTCAAACAAACTCTTCAGCTTTATATTTATAATATGAGTATAGGTCAAGTAGATGAAAAAAAATAAATACTTGTGGTGAATAAGGTCTGGCGTCTACGCTGAGCACTCTACGCGGCTCCCTGGAAGATGGCGGGCGAGGTGCAGGTCTGCCAGCTCCTCGCCGGGCCGTGTCCTTCGTCCTAGCGCGTCCTGCACCGCTGCTGCTTCTATAAAATGCAAAATTACAAACATGGTTTTATACACATTATTTTAAATGTAGAGAGCGACAGACAAGCATGTGGTTTACTCGAGTAAGGTCAGTAGATGGAAAAACCCCAGCCCCAGAATATATTATCTAATCAAGTTGCGCTCTCGACCTATTTTGACTTCACGGCTTTTTCATTTGTAGACGGGTTGGTTCGTGAACCGGACGAAATTTTGATATTTCTTCCATCGACTTAATATCCAGATTTACAGACGTCGTCCAACATTTTTTCGAAAATTATTAGAAAAATATTGGACCCGGTGGGGATCGAACCCACGACCCATTGATGATTATACATTGCGACCATTACAACATCGAGCCCGGCAAATTACAAATAAGGTAGACCATAAAATATATTGTAATATTAAATGCTATAATATTACAATATGTATAATTAAAAAAAACATTTCTAATTACCTTGCTCCACTATTCCCTGTGGCTCCGCTAGCAGCACCACTCGCAGGCCCAGATGTGCCATTGGTAGCACTGTTGTTACTACCGCTGCCTGTTGTTGGTTCCAATGGCGGTAGTTTTTCATTCGCGAGAAGAGCCTACCATACCAACATTATGTTTTATTAAAAGAAAGAATAACAACTATTTAACACTATTTTAAGAAATTAATAAATTTTAATTTTTGACGATCACGTTTTATTATCTGTAATTATTGTTTTCGCTGCGTATGTATGGGACTGAGTATATTTTTTTCTTAATATCATCATACATCAATGGTTTTAGTAACGCTTAAGATAATTTTGCAGTTGTGAAAAGAGTTCTATCTATGTTATAGTGTTCTGTAGCTGCCTCTGTAGTCAAATGGTTAAAAGTATTGCCTAGCATTGCGTTGAGCGCGAGAAGGGAGAAAAAAAGTTCGGCGGGCAGGGCATAGAAGTCTGATCAAGTAATTGCCCGTTAAAAGCACGGATCAATGAAACGGACACAAAATGTGTCCGCCCCATGCCCCGCGAGGGGGAAACGGGCTTTCACTTTATAGTGTGCTAATACCCATTTTCCATTGGTTCAAATACGTCATAGTTACCTCAGCGACACTAGTGTAGAAGGAGCGGGCGACACCACTGCCCTCTCCCGGCTCATCCCTGAAAGTGACCTTAACCCGGTTGACGGTGAGGGGGGGCTGTACACCGTGCGCACGTCTATTTTGCCCGGCGAAAGCACTATTCAGCTCTGCAAATGTCTGCTGGAGAAGTTTAGCGCGCTCTCGTTCCATCTGTAAGAATTTATTCCTTTAGACAACAATGACACGTGACTCATATAAACAAACTGTGATAAAAAAAACTAAATAGCGATCAAAGAAAGGTATTTTTCTTTTTCTTTGTTTAAGCACAATATTCCAGGCTTTGTATGGGAATGCAAACTCTACACTATACACGATATTTGACTGATTAATTACATTTACAGGCCAACTGAACATTTATTTAATTATATTTATAGAGCATGTCCAAATCCAAAACAAACTTCTGATAATAGCTTTACTATTTCGAATCTAAAATATTTACTAAGAGTTATCTATACCTTATGCAGTGTCAAATCTTTCTGTGCCGATGTCCTCAATTTCTCCATATCCCTGCGGAACTTCACTTCTTTGACAGGGAACCCGCCAAGCTCGGACACCACAGACCCCGGTTCGAGGCCGACGTCCTCTGTAAAGACGCGTCCGAAGAGGTCGAGCGATAAGCGCCATCTGCCCAATAGTAGATCGTGGGACACCGAGGCACCCAAGGAGGGACACGCACGTCTATGAAAAAAAAGATTATGAAGCAAATAATACATAAGTTATAGACAACATTGTAGTAAATGTTGGTTATGTTTGACGTGCTCGTTGGTTCAACGTTAGCAATGTGTGGCTAATAATCGATCATTAATTCGATCTTCATCGACTCCATCAAGTTTCTAAGCGATTTATAATTTTTCTGTTCGTTTTTGCTGGAAATTTAATGGGTGGTGGAAATATCGAAATTCCATCTGGGTCAAATCCACCCTCTACAGATGAAAAAGCCTGTCAAGTTATTCCGATTATTTGAATTGATCATAAGAAAAATATTGTCAGTAATACATTAAATAAGACATTTGTAACCCAAACCAGGACCTGAAACTTCGGTCTGGAATAAAGCGAGGAACCAATTTTTTTCTTAGATTTATTCAATTAGTTAAGTATAAACTACCACATGCCAAAACATCGCAAACTGGTTTTGTCCTCCGTTCCAAAGGGGTTTGTAGAAAATGTACATATTGAAATGAACAGAATAAAAAAAAATATTCAAAAAGTTTTGTTAGGATTAATACTCACGGTAATGGCTGGGGGTTCATTTGCGGCGGTAGTGGAGGTGGTGGGGGCAACCCCGTCGTTTCTACGGTGACGTGAGCGGAGATCTCTTGCGATTCGAGCGGATCGGCCGCACTCAGCAGTTCCCCCTGACGTTCACGGCTCTATTAGTATTAGCACACATTTATTATGTCGCCTTAATAACTTTGCAGAATATTATCCAGGTATATATGCTAATAACAATATATTGCAAACTTGCAAGCTACACAACAACATCGTATGTAACAGGATACCTTCAGGTTTAATTTCATAATTCCACGGATATATTGAAATGTCTATAGTATATTAAATTTCGGGTTTAAAGCGGTTTATAAAGCATCTTCATACTTTCACTTCTTTAGGTAAAGAACTGAATGAAATTTATCATCCAATTATTTTTACTTCTCAAGGAAAAAACATAACAAGCACACTATAATAGGTGAATATAAAATATTTAGTAAAGCCAATTGAAGTGGGAGGGAGTAATTTTGTTTATAAAAAAGTCCCCCAAATAAGTGGAGTGACTTACAGCACGTACAATAACGGACTTTCCAGGGCTTCGGGAAGAACTTCCGCGCATATCTTGCGAAATTGAGTTCAAGCCACTAGGACCTGAAAAAGAACTATACTTGAGGAATACGTTTCATATGATGTAATTCTAGAATGTTTTATATGACAGGCAAAAATAGTAAGGGTATTTTTATTTCTACTGTATCATACCTGGAGATGGCGATATGTTGAGGCTCTGTTGATGAGGCGCTTCCATGATAGAACACGCCGTATTTACCAAAGTATGGAACTCTGAACTCGAAGAGTTTGAATCGTGCATCTGGTTGCTATTGGATGATGCTATGTGAGGATGTCTGAAATTTAATGTAACGGTGAACACAATATTTACAAAAGTCGTATTTAAAGCCACTTAATTTCGTGTTAGTTAATTTTATTTTACAACTCAGACACAACACAAACCAGAGAGTGTTCAATGCAACGTACGTCTTTAGTATTTCATAAATATTTCAAATTTATGTGTAATATTATATTATATTGATATAATGATAAGATTTCTTTATCAACTGCTAACATAATATCGTGTTTCTTACAAATTATTTGTCATAATATCACTTACCTATGGTGCTTTTTCCTAGTAATTTGTCTTGCTTCGTTCGAGTCAGAATCCGATACGTACTCGCCATCTGTGTCCATATCCATCTTTGACACAGTATCCTTTGCGCAGGAGAGGTCCTATTAGACATATATAAAAAGTTTAAGTATAACAAAGAGCGATATAAGTATGTAGATTGTTTAGCTTAGGTTATCAAAGACACACGGCACAGTACATTTCGTGCAAAGCTCTTCTTCGCACAGTCGTGGTTAAGTAAGACGCACAAACAACAAAACAAGCTTGTGGTGAAAAAGGGGATTGGGGGGTAGAGATCTAAATGTTTTTACATCAGTAATTAACTGACCTAAGATTACAGTTAAACATGGGGGGGAGGAGGGGTAAGGGCTGTGCTTTGTTTTGCTAACAAGAACGTAGATCGTAAAAAAAATTTGCTTACATAAAAATTGATCGGCCCCTTTTCCTAAATAATATAGTTTGGATCGCAAAGCTATTCTTGCGTTTTACTTTTAATTTTAGAATCTGGGCAAATACCTGTGGTTCATCTCTTGGCAGTATATGTGAGTGAGGATGTGTTGGCGGCGCCGAAGCCGGACGAGGTGGCGGTGACCAACCCCGTTCAGGCCCGCGACTCGACAGCCCTAGTCGACGGGGCACCACTACACCACCAGCGATGATTAATACAATAATTTTCATATCATTCAGGATTAAAAAAATAAGGTAATATTTAAAATAGCTAAGCTTTTTTGTGTAAGCGACGTATCAAAACTATTTCTCATTTTGATATGTGCTAATTTTGCTCTGAATCATAAAATTCAGGTATCATCAGAGAAGTGTAAAATATTTTACCTTCCAGGGGGTTATTTATTCCGGGTGGTCCATCGCCGGAGGCTGGTACAGTGACGGGCTGTCTGGGCATCCCGAACAATTCCTCTCGACGTGCATTCGGTTGCAAAAGTTGCGGTTGGTCCGCGAGCGGTAAGGCGTCTTGCATAGTCACTGTAACATTATTCAAACAACTTAAGTACAAAAAACTAAACAAATAACAACTCACTTGGCTTGTATATTTATTTAATAATGCATAGCAAGTCTTTTAATTTAATCATGTTTGTATTTGTTAGTTTGTAGTTAAAATCTTTTTATATATTATAAAAATTAGTTTTTTTCATGTAAATTATATCAATGTGTTGTTATTCTTTCATCATTGCTATATAATATGTAGCTAATTGTACATAATTTTAAAAGTATCTGTGAACTATTAACTTAACTGCATTTAAACTTTATTCTTCTTTGTTACTTCTTAGCTATTTATATATTGTATCTGTTTATTTCCTTTTTGCAAAATAAATAAGAGAAACCATTTGACATTTATTATTGGAATATTCGTTCAGTTGTTTTCAACGTTCGCCAGTTCTGAGTTCTAAGATTAAACTAGTTAAAAAACTATCAAAAACTCACTTAACTAGTTAAGTGTTGGTATGAGCCTAACTTTGTACTGAATGTTTTGTAACTTACTATTAAATGGATCAGGTGGAGGACAGCCAAGACAGAGGGTGGAATCGGTCCGTTGGAAGAAAGAGTGTTGTCTCCCGCGACCGTTTTCTCCCTCGTTATCGGATTCGACAGCCGCGTTGCCTCCCACTACCATCTCTTCTTCGCCTTCTTCATTCTCATTCTCGTCCTATTATAAATAATATGATGTTATGTTCGACAAAAAAAGCTATTTTATTACAGTTTCCCGAGATAAAATTTCTAATATGGATTTTCAAATCTATAAACATATGCTAAACGACTAACACCTAAACAACTGGACAAGATAGTGTTTGTGATAAGAAAATGTATATACATAAATCTTCGAGAATAAAATCTTTAAACCTAAAACCTACATCACATCGTGAACGGTACTTACCGGTGTCCATAAATGGTGATGATGATGCGGTTGAGGCTGCGCCGCTCTCATATAATACACGAGAGCATCCAAGACGTAGGCGACATGTTTAAGAGCCGCAACATCTAGAACTGGCAACTGTTCCGCGTGCTCCGCGCTGTGCGCCCGGAGCAAAGAGAGGCAGTAGGCTAAAAACTCGCGGCGGGCGCTACCAGCTTCGACACCTGAACCGTTATGAAACAATTATAGTCTCATTCGTATTTACAATACTAGTTTTCGTTACACCAGTTCAGAGATACACCAGTTCATAAAGTGCTTTTAAGGAGTTTATGATAGGCACTGGCCCTCAGACTATCTTGCTAAAACGCTAGCACCTCTTTAGATACGCACGTGTGTAGCACACTATAAGCATCTGAACAAGTTTGGGAAGAAAGATTCTATTTTAGGTCAATAATTTAATAACGATTTGGACATTAATTTAAAAATTTTGTTTTTTACTAACTACTATTATAAATTATTATTACTTTATTGATAAGTCAATACTGAATATAAATTCTTACCCTGATCTCGGTCTCTGGCACGAGGCGCCTCTGAAAATCCAATGATACGAGTGGCGGGGGTAGTAAATGTGGTGCGTCGCGTTGCGGGTGCCGTGGCACGACTTGTCTCAGCTGTTGATGTACTGGCGTTGTTCGAAGTTAGCGATGCGCCAAACCTACAAATGCACACAAATATATGTTATTGGTTAGATGTATGTTTGAACAAACATACATCTAACCTTCAGTATTTTTCACTCACATTCTTATTAATTATATGAAAAATCTAACCTCATTGAAACAAATTGCTCATTTAAAACTAGTAAAAACAGTTTATTGCACAAACAAAAAACACAAATATGAAAGAGTTAGTTCAAAGGTGACCTTATCGCCTATGGCGATTTTTTCCAGGCAGCCTTTGTATATAAGAATTAAAGAGTAAATGTCACAAGAATGGGAAGAAACATGCAGATAACTTACAAAGACAATAAATACTAACACAACAAATATCGCAAACTTAACAATACAGTTACAAAGATAGAACTTTAAAAATATATAGTAGTATATAAAATCAAGACTGAACAATGCTTTCAAGAAAATATAAAATTTATCTGTGGTCTTAACGGGATTAAGGCTTGAGAGCTATGATGGCTCTGCTCTGAAAGCTATACATTTCTTTTGTGACGTAATACGTATGTATAATAATCAGACCTTAGTTGCGCTTCAGTAGCGTCCATGACGGTGACGAGCCAATCCCACGTCGGTTTGAGCTGACGTTCCAAGTAGCATTGGAGGCGCAGAGCGTCAGAATAAGCGAAAGGCAACATACGAGTCAATGGCAAAGGTGCGCGCTCGTATTCCCAAAGCAGATCTGCTATTTGGCGTATTACGATACCTGCGAAAGGACAATGTTTTTGGAAGATCACAATCATTCATATGGTAAAAATGCTTTAACGGTGAAAACCACTTAACAACTACAAACAATACTTTCTCTTTTCAAGTACTTACCAAACGCTCTCGCGAGGAACGACGCAGTGGTAGAGGTAGAATGTGGATCATGAGCACCAGCGGCGGCTGCTGCTGCTGACCGCCGTAAAGATGCTGGGTCGATGAATACTAGAGACGAGGCACCAGTGAGGCGAACGCTACCAGTTCCACTTGTTCCACCGCGTAATGCTTCACGTGAGCTGTTATTTATGAAAGGTGATGTGAGAAAATAAATACAAACACTCACGAATCAAGTCTGTTGACCAAGCCAAGTGACCGCCATATGTTGTATGTATAAAAAAAACCTTTTTTAAAATATTTATTTCAAAGATGCTTACTAACTAAATACATAGCAAAAGCTTAATATGAAAAACAACTTAATATAATTTATGTGAGGATTATTTAGTACTATGACGATTTAAATTTGTTTATGTGATTGTGATGTGATTTTAATTTAAAGGTATGCACAACATGGCTAAAAATAAGCTGTAAAATATATGGAAGTAAACGTAATTTAATAACAAAATTGTGAAAATTCAAAATTGTTTGACATTTTCTTCAATTTGGCTTTTACATTTATGAAATTTGGAGAAAACATCAAGTGTATTGTCTATTTTAAAACACTATTATATAAACCAGTGTCTGTGTAACGGAGCATTCCGCAACCGTAATTATCATTGCTCTGCTTTATGTGCACAGAGGAATAAGAACTAAGACGACATTTATACGCGAAAATGGCCTACCTGAGATAGTAGTGCCAGACAGTGAAACTGATTATTCAGTTTTCGATCGAATTGATAGTTCTGTTATACAACTTCGAAAACGAAGGACGCAACAAACTCTATCTAACAATTTGTTATAAACTTACCGAATAGCCCATTGCATGGAGTGGGGCGCGAGATTGGTCCTAGTGGGCGGGGCTGCTCTTCTCTCCAGCGTCTCGCCGTCGTGCAGGGGCGGCTCCGACTCGCCTTCCTGCTCGTCCGTCTCCCCCGCCTCCGAGTCCTCGTCCTCCGGCTGCGTCGAATCCCCGCTCTCCTCCTCTGGGTACAATAACAGCGACGCTATTCCTGCGTCGTGCAACGCGTTATTACAATCAAGATTAATCATGCGCGCGCACGCATGATTAAAATGCCGGTTGCGCAACGACTTTTTGACATCCATTGACGAAATACGTAGTATACCGAGTTATTAAGTAAATTCTAAGTTTCTTACCCGGCCTTCTATTGGTGTCCCCAAGAGAAAATATTAATGAATTTGAAGTTCTATGGGGGTGACATAACCCATTAAATAAAAACTAAAGTTTATCAAAGTGAATAGTTATAATAAGGAAACATTTGTATTATAAGCACTTACATTTTTAAGCTCTATCTGTATGGGAAGAGTAGAAACATTTCTTTGTCTTTAATACCTCACTAAAATACATACCGGCATCAGAGCCCTGAGTGGCACCGGTCTGGACACTACGTTGTGCGGATTCAGCATTGTCTTGATCGTCGGAGTCACTCTCCGTTTCGACTTCAGCTAGCATATCCAGTTCACTTTCGCTCTCGCCGCCCTCGGCGCGTTCTGTTCCATTTTCGACCACAACGTGCTGATCAGCACCCCTGCTTATATAAATAATTCATTAGATAAGATTGTTTGAAACAATTAATTCTACTAAGCACTGTCACAGCAGCCTATATACAGGGCGCCGTCAGACTTATCACATTGCTTTAATATTGATGTAGCTTGAAGGGATTTAGGCTCATTTGTACATTTTTTCCAATCGACAAAAAAGATTATGTTATATTGTACTACAAAGTGTGGTAATTTTTAATTACTTCTTTTTAGAAATAATTATTGTACAATGAGTAGACTGAGGGCGCCGTGCATATAACGCTTGCTGATAGACCCAATTTGATTTACTAACTCCTCGTACCTATCACCCATAGGATCATCGTGATGTTGCGCGTCTTGTTGTTGCGTGGGGGCGGGCGTATTGGGTTCGTCAGTTTCAGAGGCGTCGTCGTCTCCGCCGAGGGCCTCTCCTGCCACGTCATCCGCGTATTCGGTCGCCACGGGTGTGGACGATCGATCGGGAACTAATGTTGAACTGCCTATTGATGTGCCACCAGTCGCCGCTGCTCGATTACCGTTTGCGTTTGACTCCCTAGAAAAACAAGGATATATTTCATTACTAAAGTGTTTTAGTTACGTTTCTTATTATTATTAGGAATTCGGTTTAACTGTATTCCGTCATCTAAACCCGAATGTCGTCAATTACTACTAAACAAGATTTCTAAAGCATTTTTTTTTTTTACTACTGAACGATTTGTTTTTGAAAAAATAATTTAATATAAATAAAAAACTAACCATTAAAGTTAAACTTGTTTGAAATTTATTTTAACTACAGCCCGACATTTCGGGTGTTTTGCAGCAGCCGTGGTAACGATAATATATTTCGTGTCTTAAAATGTTTTATTTAAATGTGTACTACTCGCGTAAACAGACAATAGATAACATATTGCTAATGAGAAACAAACATGACTACACATTCAGATTTTGTATAAGAACCGCATGTTCGTTTTCGGCTTACACCACATTTAAGTTATTTTTTATTACTATGGCTAACGTACGACCATTATTATCGCTATTACATACCTGCGAGATGCATGACGTGGATGCCCAGTAGACAAAGGTTCGACCCCGAATAAATCTTCGCTGCCGTTAACTAAGTCGACATAAGTTGTAGCCAAGGGGAATGGGGCCGTGGGGCGTACGACACCTAGACGTACAGGTGCTAGCAACGCGTCCGCAGCTTCAACCAATTCCTCAACTGATAACTCTACCAACGCGGCGAAAACTCGACGGCAACGCACTAGCGACGAGGTTATAGACACAGGTCTGAAAGAACGAGATATGTTTTTTTAATTAAATTAAATTTAGAAATAATACAAAAAATTGTGAAGTGAAGAAGTTATTGTACTAAAACTTACTCAGTTGTACGCAAACGAGCGATCATATAAAATAGAAGTAATGGTATAATAGTATTTCAAACTTAAAATAAGAAATAAATCAATTGAAATTTTAAAAGTGTTTTGTTTCAATTTACATGCACAAACGTCATTTATTATTCAATTATTTATTTAAAACTAATGATTTGACCAATTATTTAATAAACCGATAAATAATTAAATACTAACTCTATTAAAAAAGCAACGTACCCCTTTTTCTTCGATGCACCTGGAGCCATTTCGACGCTGAATATAACATAAATTCTTGCGACGGACCGTACGAATCGTCGTGTAACTTCGCGAGCGCGCTCCGCCCTCCCGGGAATTGCGTCATTTTTCTGTTCTCGGATTAAAGTGTGCAACAGGGTATCCAACATCTGGAAATAATTTTCAAAATGACAGTTTTGCAAACCTCTCAATATTATTACTAATATGACGGGTTAATATTGGAAAAACCATCACACCTCGTGTTACCCATGTCGTCCAGTCATATTGAATTTTATTACATTAAAAACATTATTGTTCTATATCCAAAATAGCCATCTGTTTTCTGTATATATTTATTACGACATATATACTAATATATAAAGCTGAAGATTTTTTTGTTTGTATGTTTGAACGCGCAAGTTTATGTCTAATAATAATAGGAGCAGAGAAACAGTGGGAAATGTGGATAAAAATTTGTGGGTTTCCGGTACGCCGGTAAACGGTTCTATATATCCAAAACTATGTATGAAAGAATTATTTGCCTTTAAGTTACTTAAAAAATATCTCCTACACTATACGTCTATCTTTTAAGATTAACAACTTGTTAGGACGACGGGACGCGACCAACGTCGTGAGTAACAGCTTTGCAAAAACAAATTTGGATGCCCAAAATAACTAATCCATGCGGACGAAGTTTCTGACACAGCTGTTATATATGTATTAACGTACCTCATTAGTGCACTTGACTATTAGCGCATGCGTGAATTTGTCAAGAAGCGTGGTGCCTGACTGCTGATGAGAAGGGCTCGATGGACCGCCTTCGCCTTCGTTGGCATTAGCACCGCACATCACTGCTGCTTCCACGGCCGCCCAGTCGGCTACACAAAAGATTTACTTTAGATATAAAAATATAACATTTACAATGACGTCATTTAAATTTAATTAAAAAGTTATCATTATACCATTTATTATTTGTGTTTATGAATATGTAGTTTTAGGGTGATACTATTAATCAATAAAAAATAAATAATTTAAATAAAACACTAACGGTTTAAAACGCGATATATTAGTTAAACTTATTTGAAAATTATTTTTAACGTCGACCCGACGTTTCGGATCCTTTGCAGCAGTTGTGGTCACGGCTTCAAATAAGTTTAACTAATATATCGCGTTTTAAACCGTTAAAGTGTTTTATTTAAATGTATACTACTCGCGTAAACTATAGACAGTATTTAAAAATAAAATATTTAAAGATGCTTTTCTGCAAATAATCCAATTTACTAACCTAACAATTGAACTAATGCTCTTCTAGCAAAACGTGGCGGTTCTAAATCATGGTCCGGAACATCTAGTTCTGCATCAGACCCGGGTTGCTTTCGTGGGCCGCGGGCACGCCCACTACCGGCACGAAATTGTCGCTGTTCTACTGCTTGCCTCCCCACAGTTTGAACCAAAAATAATAGAATAGATTCCCCTCTGTAAAAAAATATTATTAAAAAACTATACAGGAAAAAACAAATATACAATATTGAACATATTTTTGTAAACATTATAGATAAGAATGTAGGTGATATATAGATAGCGTTCTGGATTATTGGCCCCTTAAAAACCAAAAGATGTGAGTGTTAAAGAATGTTACCTCGAGTTGAAGTGGGTAGCTAGTTGCGTGTCTCTAGCTAGGCGAGCTAACAAGTCGCAGCGAGCAGCCCAGTTGCCACCCACCAGAGCCTTGCAGCGACACTTCTCCCAACAATCACAATATGCAGTTGGCGATGTGCGCTTCAATTTGCAGTCGTGGCCTTTATGGCACACCTGAAATCGGAAAAATGACTTATTATATCTGGTATAAAGGTAAACGTCTGTAATGACATTGTAAAATTGTAGTTGTAATCGTACAGTAATTCTCTTTTTGTAGTAGTATTTTACTTAGTAACTATAGCTAATTAGTTTTTTTTACTATTGTAACCAAATTTTACAAATATTTTCTAATTAGTATTTCGAAATAATACAGCATGAAGGCAAACTCCAATCAATATGTAATATTTCAATGTTCTTGATTACAACATATTTTACTTTTAAATTATTAATTTCCTTTAAATAAAATGTTAACATCAATTTTACCTTAGCGCATTCGGTGCAGCAGCACAGGGAACCAGTGAGACCGCAAGTTTTACATTCGAAGATATCCTAAAACAGAAAGAAATAAATAAATATTCTTAATTAGTTGCGCACGCTACTCCAACTTGAAAATGTTGATATTATACAACATGATCATTTCTTAGGATAAGTATTCTCCTGATATATTAATTATACTCAAAAATAAGCCATTTATATTATATCAAAGGGGTTTTTATATGGGTAAGAAATTTGAAAACTGACGTTAATAAGCGAAACAAATAGTTAAATACTGTCTGTAGTTTACGCGAGTAGAATACATTTAAATAAAACACTAACGGTTTACAATAATAAAGGAAATAAAGTACTTAAACTAATTTAAAAAAGGGGGTACCCTTCGTTACCACGGGTGCTCCAAAGCATCCGAAACGTCGGGCCATAGTTACAACGCTTTCAAATAAGTTGACTAAATATATTTCGCGTATTAAACCGCAAGTGTTTTATTTAAATGCGTTCTACTCGCGTAAACTACAAAACGCATTGAAATATTTTGTTCTCTTATTTTTGTCAGTTTTCAAATTTAAGCGCACAAATCAATTGTAATTATATTATTGAAGTTTGATAATAATTTCATAGATTGTAAAAATAAACGTACTTGATTGATATGGTCTTGCCCGGTCCACGTGAAGCTGCAAGTGTCGTTGCAGCAGAGTACCAAAAGTGGTGAATGATCCGGGTGAGCATTGGGCGGAAAGATAGCGGCCGACCGTTGGCTTTCGTCTGCGTCAGGACAAGCGCGTATTGCGTCGAGTATCAGCAACGCGGCGCGGTAAGCTCGCTCAGCAACTGCTGCCATTAGGGGAGTTTGACCCATGCCATCCCTGGAAAAACGTTATTTATTAAATTGAGATTACGAAAGAAGCTAAGGAACACACAACATATGAAACTTGGATGAGAAACAGACGTCAGTACTAACTTGTAAACGAAAGAAAGTTCAAAAGACACATATATATATATATATATGAAAAGTTTGTTTGTTTGAGCGCGCTAATCTCAGGAATTAATGGATTGATTTGAAAAAATGTGACAAGTGTCATACTCACTTGGCAGTAAGTATCTGCATAAGGTACGGCTGCAGAACGGCACTCTCGCATAACGCCCGAAGAGCCGAAAGGGCATTGCCGCGTCTCTCAGCCGGGTCCACGCTCACCGAACCGCCATTACCGCTGTTTGACATTTTGCTAAAAATCATTATTTATATTAAACTTGTAAAATATACACCATATAATTCAACGGGTCGAGGGTCGATACCCACCGAGTACAACATTTTTCTAATTAATTTATAATTTTTCTGATACACGTTGGACTTCGTCCTAACATCTGGATATTAAGTGGTAGGAATATGTAAATTCCGACCGGGTCACGAACGTCCACAGATAAAAAAGCCGTAAAGTTTAATCGCGTTCCGGTCTCAGTCTTTGGATTTCTAAATGTCCAAAACCAATATAGGTCGATAGCACATCTTGATCAAATGTTATATGGCTGGCGTATTTCACCTACCATCAGGTAAACCTCATGCGTGTCCCTTCTATATTAAAAATAATAAAATCTGTATCGATTGCGTGTCTTGCTTAGGGACAACAAATAATTATAATTGTTACATATCATGATACACCAATAATAAGTCTCACAACGATTGAATACGCACACTGTTTACAATTATTACATATACAAAATAGTTTTCATATTGTTTTTTTACCCATTGTTTGAGATGCCCATCAAACTGTCTTCATCGCCAGAAGCCTCAAACGTTTCCGGTGGCCAAGAAAGAGCCGGCACCGCTTCCTCGTTGCCACTTCCACTAGACGCGTTAGGAATATTCGGTACTGATGGATTTTCTACTGCAAGAAATGTTATGTTACATTTTGCTCGATATTGTTATACAAAAATAAATGAAGTTAAATAAACCACACACCTATGTCGGGCTCCTTGTTTGATGTTGGCGCGCACATGTGTACACAAGCATGAAGTATATTTCGATTTCCATCACAACGTTCTTGTATGATTGATAATATTTGTTGTTCTGTAAAGGATTGTGTTGTTTAATAAAACGTAAAAAACTAGTTACATTGTGCGAGAGGTGCATGTATCGATAGGTTGAAAAAACGATGACGTGCAGGACACGGTAGAAGTTTAGAGTAAGGTAGATGATACAACTGATGATGATAAAATTAAGGTTTTTCTTACTGTTGTTTTCTGCTTCAAGCTGATGAAGCACCTGACGCACTCCATCTAAGTCACAGCGGAGCACGCGTGGCATCATAAGCTGGGGCTCCGGTACAACTATTATGAGAGCGACCTAAGAACCGAAGCCAGTGTTAATCTCAATATACTATTTTTGTTTACCTATAGTGAAAGGTCTTGAATCTCATTATACACAGTAGTTATGTGTAACACAAAGAACAATGGCCAAATCGTACCAGACGACGAACAGATATGTGTTATTTATGAAAATAATACGTTAATTTTCTTATTCTAGGAAATATTAATAATGACTCATAATAAAGAAAGGAAAAAAGATATTTAATTTTCTTACAAATATGTCATTTTTTAATCTGTTTGGTTCTGAACGAATCGATCGTTACATAACGTTAATAACGTCAAATATACAACCTTTGCCTTTTACATGGAAAGAGCAAGTAAAAGTTATTTGATCGTTTCCGTGTAACGCAACGAATCCTTGATTTTAGGAAAACTCACATATGACTAGCACTGGTTATTGCCTTTGTTTTGATACATACCTACTCTATTTAAAAACTACCTTTTTACTCTTCCATAGACTCATTTTACTTTTTACATTACACTATTTATATACTTAACGAACACACTCATTAACAATGGATTGAAACACATGTAATTAAACTTATTTATTGATTCTAACCTGATTTTTTGACAATATTATTGAATTATGTAATTTTATTTAATATAAACACCATTAGTATTGTTTTATGAATACGAAAAAATAAATTATCGTAGCTTTTTAAATAACATTTCTTACAGGGTGGTATTAAATACACCAAAGCAAATCAAACCCTTTATGATTTGTTACTGGTCGCAAATAATATTAGTCAGAATTGGCTATTGTTCTTTAACTGTCAGAATACCACAATATTGACTTTTTAAATAGATACATATTTAAAGAGGTACAGCTTACCTGTGATTTAAGTGGAGCGTGTGAGGAGTGCGCAGCGCCATGTGGATGGAGCGGGAGCGCATGCGCAGTTATAGCCCTCGCAGGGGCCAGGTTCAGAGGCGGTGGCTCGCGCACCATTCCCACGCAGTCTCGCGCAATTGGGTACAGAGCGCTGTTACCGTCCAGCATCATCACTACTGGTTCGCTACCCTGAGATTAGTTTTATTTATAAATTAAAGATCTTTAAATTAGCACTAATACATTATATTATAAAATGACGTTCTAAACACACCTTAATAACTAGTTGTTCCTGCAACTTCGAGTATAATAGTTGTTTTAGTAATTAGTCCCATTTTGATGTTTTATAGCTGATAAATACTCTAACCAACACAACAATATTTTTTTTAAATATGAACCATTGGTTACTGAGATAAGTGCGTTCCAACAAACAAACTATACTAATATAAAACAATATTTTCGTTTTTTTTTTTTTTTATATAAAATGCCTTAGATATGCAACAATCCAAAATGAATAAATACTCATAAAGTACTTACTTCAGCAGCAGTAGCTAATTGTATAGCTAGTCCATTTGTTTGACCCAACAAGGCTGTATGGTCAGTAGGAAAGACGCTATCGGTGAGAGCCCGGGTGGTCCCTACGGCGTAGACAGCGTACGCTAGGGCGCCACCGGGACGTCTCACTACGGCGTGCACGCCTCTATTATCGACCTACAAAGACAGATCGTATTATAATTAACACATTTGATAAATCGGGCTTTAAGGGTCTGGGGTCTAGGGTATCAGAAACGGACTAGCATTTTTGGAATTCATTAGTGTGTGTATATATCAGTTATTTTAAGGTTAGGTTATGGTGGAATTTTTGTTGTCTAGGCAACTATTAAAAACAACATCAGTACAAATTTAAATAAAACACTTTAACGGTTTAAAACGCGATATATACACGGACCCCGTGACCACGGCTGCTGCAAAGCATCCGAAACGTCGGGCCGAAGTTAAAAATCATTTTTAATTAAGTCTAACTAATATCTCGCGTTTTAAACCGTTAAAGTGTTTTATTTAAATGTGAACTACTCGCGTAAACTCTATAGTTTACTTAGTTTACTGTACAGACAATTATTTTCTCACTCTCCACCTTCTCAAATCCAGTAAAAAAAAATAGAAAGACTAAGCACAACTCACCGCAATTGTGATAACCTGCAACTCGGGTGGTAGGGCGATCTTCCTAGGCGTGCGTTGCAGGCAGTCCGGACCACGCGACCCAGCTGAACCGCCAGCGCCCCATTTCACGGCAACCAAATCGTCTTTGCGCACCAAACGACAATCCTGCAGTAGTGTAGTCCAGTCATCGGGTGTTGCAGGAATTATTTCCTTTCCGTCCTTGCCAATTGATGGAAATCGTACAGCGGCGTACGCCCCGTCCACTTTCAGAACTCTGCCTAGTGGCACGCTCTTCACGTCTTCGAGGAATACCACTTCTTTAAGAGGCCACTCCTCCTCGTCACGTTTTGTTCCGTCGTTCGAGGAACCCTCTTCCCCGCGTACTGTCACCCGCTTTGCTCTCTCTAAAAAAAAACATATTTGAGGCACAGACAAGAATTGAACATAAAAAACCTGTGTATAGTTTAAACAAGTAGTACACATTTAAACAGAACATTTTAACGGTTTAAAACGAGAAATATATTTATTAAACTTATTTTAACTAATACAATAAAGCAATTTCAAATCGTTAGTGTTTTATTTACGTGTGTACTACTCGGGTACACTACAGACAGTATTTCAAAATATACTTACTGTGTGATGTGCTAGTGTCACTACACGTAGATGATGCTGGACTAGGTGGAGGAGGCATGTCCAAGCGATCTGCCATATCTTTATTACTATCCTTAGCCGTATCTTTAGATGTATTATTTGATGAAGAAGCCTTCACTGATGACACAGTCAATGGAGATTGGTTCTGAAAAACAAGCAATGTCACTTGCGGAAGCTCAGTTGGTAATTCATTAATTAAAAATAAACAAATGATTTTGTACTACGCACCTGTAAATCTCTTTTATCTTTTTCAGATATGGACCGATCTGGCTGAGGTGGAGGCAAGAGTTTAAAACGGCATGTGTCTGATAAATTCCAGGCTGCGTTTTGTAGAATGCCTACCTTGGGCACTCCAGTTGACATATTAAATCCTGAAATTCACGGAGTAAATGAAGTTAAACCACAATAATTAAACTATAATATGTGCACTTGAATATATTCTGACATCACACTTACCGATAGCCCCCGGTTGGTACATAGGCGCGTTCTTCATAGTTACGCTTTGTCCAGCTTGAAGATCTTGGGGAGTGGCAGATGAATGACCACGCTGCTGTTTGCGAGAACGGGCTCGGTGTTTTTCCCATAAACGTGCTCGTTGTCCAAGTGGCAGTACACCCCTACAGATCAAGATAATTAAAAGAATTAATTTTCAACCCGCAATATACCAAACAGAAATAAACATTAGTCAAACATATAGCAAAATATATTTAATATAATTAGACAATAAAATACAATAGTACATACCACCAATATAGTGTTCCTGATTCTAATCTTGCAACAGTGTATAACGAACACACATGAAGAGAGATCGGTTTATCTGCTCCAAACTCGGTAAATGTCTGCAGAGGATGTTCCAATCGACCAGCACCGGGTGCGTGAGCTGCATGAGATAATATAGATAAATAAATAAATATTCTTAATTACGTAAACGGTGCTACTAAAAACAGTGATTTAGATACCAAAGAGTTACATACCAATCGATTCATCCAAGAAAGTAGCAATCCGTCCAGCATCAGTCAAGATTGAGATTCTTATACCAGCTGCACTGATGCTTATAATTCTTTCACCAGAAGCCAATCCAAGCCAGTTACTACGGGGATGATACGATCCATTCCCTATAGACTATAAGCAAGAACAATAAAATTAACAGTCATTCAACTCTTTATCTGTACACACATATGCAAATATCCAACGCCAAAATTAGTTGACAGCGTATTTTGTGTAGACCTTTAGAGTATTTCACCTCGCATCAAGTGAACCAAGCTCGTCTATCCTCCTTTATCATAAAAAAAATATATAGATCGAGAACACGTTGTACTTACGTCATTTCGTTGATATGGGTGTGGGTCAGCCCAGCGCCACTGATGTATTTGTCCAAACGTCGAGATTGCAATTAATTCACTGTAGGTTGCCGCAATGTGGGTGAAGCGAATGTTGGCGTCCCAATACTCCAAATCTTCCGACACCCAGAGTGGTGAAGCAGCCATAGCTGAATCCTTCTTTTTACTTTCTACTGTAAATAAAAACATAAAATGACTCCATTGTACAAGTTCGCTAATCTGGCATACTCCTTCCTCCCGCGCCTGTCCCCACCTCTTACTCGCTAATCGCTTTATGGACTAGGTAAAGTTATTCTATAGGCTACTATAGAATAATTTTACGTAGAATAACTAATCTAGTAAGTAAGAATTACTAATAAAATCCAATCCAGTAGAAGTAGTCGTCGTCTAATTACTATAGAATAACATTGAATGTTAGTTCAGTCGTTAGTATTTTGCCACAATCTCGTGCACGTACGTAATTCACCGCTCGTACGTTATTATTTACATATTAAGATTTGTTTTATTCAATCAAGTAATCTGAACATTCCACACTCGTTTTAAATATGTGATATAAAGACACAATTTGAAGGGCAGTAAATTGTAAATAAATGAAATGGACTTACCTCCTTCTTTATCCCATGACGTGTCACGGAGGGCTGATTCAAGCCAACGGCGGGGTCCATAATACTGGCGCTCACGCCAACGATTGAAATCGGGTCTATCTTGAGCGGAGCTGCCGCCTTCACGACTGGCACCTGCGCGACTTCCACCGTTGCTTCCACCACCCCCACTGCGACTGTTAATATAACTACTTAGTATTTATTAAGAGGCAATTCAACGCGTCGTGGCATCGCATTGCTACAGTCCCGAAAAGTTCATTGTACTCATAGCTGTCATTGGAATTTCTAGTTCTACAAAAGGTGCAAGAAAACAGAAAAATAAAAAAACAATAAAACAACAGCTAAAAGTACAAAGACGCAGAGTGTCCTGCAACAGTACAACGACACGATAAACAATATATACAAATACAACTACGATCGAAACTGCGAAAGCTCATTGCGTGCTTATAAGGTTGAGGGCAGAGGACTGAACTAAACTGACAAAGTAGGTAGAGGAATGAAGAGGCCAAGGAGCATAGCTTGACAGGTATACCTTCTGATAGCCGCGTACCCGAAGATGTCCTCGGAGAACATCGCATCAGCATCTATGATGACAGACTGGTCCTGCTGACTTGCGTGGAATCCGCCGTCTAGTAGTGATATCAGGTCCTCAGGAACATATCCATCTCCTCCTTCACCACCTTCAGGTTCTTCCCCCTCCTCGTCGTCCCTCGAAAGCAAGTTGTTGACTGCCAAATTCACATCTAAATTTGTTCTCTAAAATGAAGAAGAAAGTTTGACAAACCTAAATCATTATAATTTTTTAAACAAACACACCATAAAATTAAAAAAATACATATTAAAGAAACATATGATACATAATTGCCATAATATGCCAATAGAGCGAGAGAGATATTATTATGATATGATTTCAATTGTAAATTCCAGTCCTAAAATGTCGTATTTTTAAATTTCAGATATGTATATAAAAAGCCTTAAATTTCTTTTAAAATACTGACCTTCCTACAATAGGTAGCAAATCTAGACAATAGGTCCAGATTTTTGTGTCATACAATAACATGACAATATTGGACAAATACAATATAAATTTTAAACTACCTGCAATTCCCGAATGATTAGACTTCTACTCTTTCCCTGCAACACCACTTGAGCTTGTGTTACAAGATCTTCAGGCACAAAAGGAGCAGGCACTGCAGAAACTACACGGTTTGATCCTGATGCACCAATTATGACACCTGTTGCACGGCTTGTAGATCCTTCAAAATGTTTTTGTATAACAATTAAACATGAAAAAATCATTTAAATAAAACACTTTAACGGTTTAAAACGCGATATATTAGTTAAACTTATTTGAAAATGATTTTACAACCCCCCCCCCCAATTTTTTGGTTTTTTTCCACCCCCCCTGGTCACGGGGAGACAATAATAAGTTTAACTAATATATCCCGCGTTTTAAACCGTTAAAGTGTTTTATTTAAATGTGTACTACTCGCGTAAACTATAGACAGTATGAAAAAATCAATTTACAATGCACAATAAACAAAAATTTTATTAATACACTTCACTGACCTGAATTTCAAAAACAAAAAATAATAATTACCACACATTCATAGTATAATTACATTATATAAATTAGATGTAAAGACAATCATTACTTTAGATATAAAAAGTAGTTTAGGTTCCTATTTTTGACCTGGAAGTCTATGAAAAGTTGACTTATATAAAATATATATTTACTTTCTTCATACAATTAAATAACATTATAAATATTGTTTAAAAGCCTACCTTGAGAGCTTGGAGCAGCTCTGATTGAATTTCTCATTATTCTGGCTCTAGTTCGAGGTTGTTGCCTAGAACCACAGCCACTACTGCCACCTCCCTGCTTCCCTCCGCTGGTACCGCCTCCTCCTCCACTCCCACCCCCACCATTTCCATTGTTCTTATTTGCATCAGTTTTACTCAAGTCTAAACGGTCTGGTATAATGGAGAATGCAACCCGACATATAGTACCATCTTCAAGTAGGCAAGCAATGTGTGCTGGACCTGCTGCAACAGAACTCACTCCACGCAGGGAGCTCAGTGTATGTGAACCAGCTCCAGTACCAAATCGATTCCACCGCTCTGTTACTTCTCTTAGTCTATAACAAAGAAACAAAAACAAATTTTAAAATCAAAATGCCTTAACAATGCAATACATAATTATATATGCTTAAATTAAAGCCACCATAAGTAAATACCAAAAAAAATCTAGCCAAACCAATATAAAATAATTTAGAGCAAGAAAGCTTAAAATATGTCTACACCTACCTACCGTAACTATTTTAAAAATAGAACCGTATCTTGATTGTGTAATTATTTATAAACCGAAAAAACATTATTGCTGCTTGTTTAAGGGTGGAATTTTTCAAAATTGCCGTAAACACAATACTAAGTGGGGTTCACAAATGGATTCGCGACTTTATATCTAGAACCAATATTACCACTAATTTCTAGAAATGAAGATAAAATTTAATACCATTTACAACATTACAATCAAACAGATATTTCTAGACACTTCAATCTAATACCAATATTAGGTCCAGTAAAATCTATTGCTTCCAATTGTATCGCCAGCTTTACAATCCTCCAAGCATTTATAACGTTTGCAAGCACTTTGTTCTAATGCAAATAGCATTTTAAGTTTTGCGGAGCCATTAGAAAGTATGCGATATTAACTTACCGATCTATCAATTGATCTTCCGTCCCAGGTAAAGGATGAACAACGAAATGCATTGAAGACATTTTCGCAAAGATATGTATTGTGTTAACGATTACACCACTTCATTCATATCATTAACAAGTAAATCTAACAAAAAACAACTGATTATAAAAATCCGCTTTTATCCACCATATTTTCTCGTGGTTCCTTTCAAATCTCAATACCGTAGCGTTTTTCGATCTCAAATACATGTGAGTCGGTACAAGACGAAAAAAGAAAGAAAATATCAACATGGCCCCTCTGTTTAAGGTGTTGGTACACCTGATTTACTAGGTGCGTTCATGACATTAAATATTTCTTAGCAAGTATTTTTTTATTTGTATAGCTCCGATAAAATAAAACCGAAAAAAAAATGCTATTATTTTGTTTTCTTAATAGTTCGGTGTCATGTATCCTGCCTGACATATCTGTGAGGGATACAAATTTTTAAAATATTTTTTATTTATATAAAACGTAACGAAACATGCATGCTATAGTTTTCGTTATGTTTTATTGTGTTTACACTAAAACTTGTGTTGACAATAAAGACCACATTTAAAACACAAGGGTACACACCCTTGTGTTTTAAATGTGGTTTTTATTGTTATTTTGACACTATATACCTTATAAGATGGATTATCTGTGATAAAATCAAAAAAAGGGATTTAATGAACTTGCAACCCTACTAAAAGCTTTTGAAAATAAAAACAAAAAAGATGCAAAAGTCAAAATTCAAAAATGGCGGCCAAGTCAAAGAAGCGGTTGACCAGAAATGAAAATAAATTAAACAAATTGGATAACTTGGAAATTAAAGATGTAATTTGCTCTATTTGTCAATCAATATTAATAGAACCTGTAACATTGCCTTGCTTTCATAACTTTTGTGAACGTTGTTTCCACGGTAGTATAGAAAATAATGCTTTGTGCTGTCCACTGTGTCGATTGCGGATAGGTTCTTGGGTGAGAACAGCTACAAAACAGAAAAATTTAGTTAACATTCAATTGTGGAATTCTATTAAAAATAAATTCTCGCAAGAAGTGAATAAAAAATTAAATGGAGAAGATCTGCGGTTGTCGCCTGGTAAATAATTATATTAAGATACTTTAACATTTCAAGAATCCTTTTTTTAGTGGCTCTTTGCTTACATAAAGTATTACTCTACATGGTCTTTATCATTTAAACCAATCACTGGTTTTTTCAACTAATTGTAACATTCGCTATCAGCTGTACTGATACCTATTCATATCTATACATTCTGCATACAATTTTTTGTATGTTTAAAAACACAATAAACATTTTAAAAGTTCCTATTATTATTTGTTTTCTACATTTATAATAACTTTTAATATTCTTTTTAGATAAAGTAATCCTTCGATTAAGTAAGCCAGGTGAAATTAGATCTGAATATGAGACAGAGATGCAAAGGCTAAAAGCTGAGAGAATAAAAGTTGAGCAAGCTCATATCCAGGAAACTGTATTCTTAATTAAGTAAGAAATATTTCAGATTCTATTAACATAAATACTTTCTATAATTTTTATATCTTTCAAAGTACTGAAATAATACAAAAAATGTGATCAATGAATTATTTGTCTTTAAGAAAACTAAAAGAAGAGGAAGAGGAGGCACATAGGAAGTATTTAGAAAGTCTTAAGAATGATGAAATATTAGCTAAAAAGCTACAAGAGGAACACCCCACACAGAATGAAGTCAAGATTACAGAAGAGTCATCTAAAAAACCCAAAAAGAAATCTAGATTAAAATCTGCAACCCTTGATGGTTTCTTATCTAATCTCAAAACAAATGAGTAAGTAATTTAAAATTCTAGCGCTATTCTTAATGCATATTTTTGTTTAAAATATACCAAAATTATAACACAATCCTTCAGGTTGACTAGAGATAACCCCAGCACAGAGGAATTAACTCCAAAAAAAATCTGTTACAAAGCATCTGATGTGAATAATACAGAAAGGCTAAATACTTTACTACCAGGGAAGTCAAAAGATGATAAGGAAAATGGAAAAAATTGTCACACTAAGGTATTTGTCCTGTTTTTTTTATTTCTTCTAGGAACTCTTTAGTTATCTTTTCTGTATATATAACTTTTTTTTAAATGTATACTATATTGGTATCATAAATAGATTCTAGGTTTATCTATTTTTTGCTGCTATAAAAACATAATTAAATATTTATGGGGTGGTTCAAAGTAGTATAAGAAGTAGGCGCTTGAAATATTTCCTTAATATATAATAATTGTTACTTTTATGTTTTATTATTTATATTACATTACTACTAATCCTTATTTGAAAATGATTTTTAACTTCGCCCCGATTTTTCAAATGCTTTGCAGCAGCCGTGGTCACAGGGAGACTGTTAAAGTTAAAGTGTTTTATTTAAATGTGTACTACTTGCGTAAACTATAGACAGTATATCATAACTTAATATACTTTGTTCTCATTTGGCAGGATCAAATTTGTATTGGAACTGAAAAGTGTAATGAGAAAAATGTGGCCAAAACAAAAAACGGCATGCAATCATTATTAGTCTCTTTACCGCTCCCTCCTACGGGCATTCTTCAACACAAGACAACTGTTGGTGAGAATAGGAATAATGAAACAGGCAGTGTTGATTCAATGCAACAGGAATTGTGTTACTTTAAACCAATTGAGGGGACAACTCCCACAAGGTGAGTTGTAGTATTTATTACTTTTGTAACTCACCAAAGTAAAACATTTTCAAGTATAAATTTAAATTTCTATGGTTGTAAACTGCACAGTATCTTATGAGTACATCTTCCACTTGTGTCACACTAAAAAAAAACATATTTTTATTTCTTGTGTATTTACTACTTAGTTAAATTTCAGTTTTAAATCCAATAAGGGCTTACCTCTACGTGTACCTGGATTAAAACTAGACACAGATTCAAAGCTACCATCAAAAAGTTTACCAACCCGAGAACAATACCTTGAAAATCTTTGTCAGCTTCGGCAGATATCTTTAGCTAAGAAGTTGCCCTCAGCGTTTGTTATTACCCTCAGTATATTAAGAGCTAAAAAGGTATGTTTTGTTGTGTACTTATTATTCTTTTTGATGTAGGGGGTGATATGCAAAAGGTTCCTCAAATTTTTTTTTTACAAGTAGTAAAATTATTTTCCTAATATTATTTTTAAACGTTTGCAGATGAAAAAGGAGAAAAGTGCTCATATAAAAGTAAAGGAAAATGAAACTTCTGACATTGCTAATAAATTAACTGAAAATTCTGAAACATTCCTGAGACGCACCAGGTCTATGGGAAGCATTTCAAAAATAGACAATGAAACAACGCCTAAAAAAAGAGTGAGTGAACGAAAATCGGAATCAGAAAGAAAAGTATACCTAAGAAGTGAAAGTAAGAGATATGCCAAAAAGAATAACTATGTCCCACCGTTAACTACAGAAAGCTCTAATAACAATAAGGTAAATTTAGCTGTAAAGAATTTATCTAGTCCTATAGAGGATTGTGGGGTTAAACATATTTTACAAGAACAACTCCGAATTGAAAAACTTATACAACAAGAAAAATGTGACTATGAATTAGCCTGTAAGATGGATGCAGAATGGAATGGCCGGAGGCAGCCGCGCCGGGCGGCTACGAAACGACAAGTAACCCTAAGCTATGCCCTACGCCCGGCAAAAAAGGTTAGGGTTTAATTTTTTTCTACAAACAGATTATTCCTCTCTCGGTTTTAGCCTAATCGTTTTAAACTGCAAGTACTTTCTGAATTCTTACACAAAAGTGACACTGCAAATATTTATTTGCATCCTTTAAAAACAGAACCTGTGATACGCTTGACCTACTATTCCACCGATAAATATGTAATATTTGTGATATTATTTAACGAATAGTCCTTTCAAAATTCTCACCGATTACAGTGTAAGATATACTTTAGTCACACTACTATAATATGAATAAGACAAATGTAAAAGTACATGTTACATGTTGTATTCAAAAGGGGTTTGAAAATATTTGTTGTTTTGCATTAAAAGCAAAGTTGTGATCATGAAACTAATCATTACTAATACTTTGAAAACTCATTATTTTTTCACATGTTATTACACATGATAAAGTTATACATATTAATAAAAATTCGATTTATACATGCATCTGTGGTTAGAGCAGAAGCACGGGTCGCCGTAGATGTCGGTTTTAGCCCCGCCCCTGTCATCTATTTTTTCAAATCCTAATCATAAAAACTTATATTGGAAGGTTAAAGATTTTATTTTATTCAATATTCAAACTCCTTTTTAATTGTAGGAAACATTAAGTAATCAACATATATGGTAATGAATACTAAACACCTTTTAGAAAGTAGCTATGAAATATATAAAAAGTCAATATTGCGTATGTGGTTTAAAATTATCACAATTGTGAAGTAGAGTTGAAACATTTAGTTTCCATTTGAAATTGTAAATAATAAAACAGATGTTACTTCTATAAGCTTTATCAAAGATTGGTGTTTCATTAAATGGTAAAACGCGAGTGTATTTGGTAATGCATAGAAGTAACATCCTTCTTATGTCAAGTATGATTTGTATTCTTGAGCTTTTAGTAACTTGTCTTCTACTAATGTTGAGAAAGATGGTATTTACAGAAGACAGCTTTTTTGCAAAGCATAGTAAAGACACGGACGATTGCAACCCATGAATCCTTCCGTAACATATGTAATACAAGACTAATAAACACTGGTAAAAATTATTATAGTTTATAAAACAATTATTATCATAATGTTGGTTAATTAATTTCTTAAGTATCCAAAATGTCCAGTAAATGTTTCTTTGGTCGATTTTACACTTAAGTAATATTTTGGAAAAGTCCAAGACTTTTACATACTGCTTTTTAAAATAGCAACTATAATATAAATTGATGACTGTCTTGTATATCAACTAGGTCCAGTTATCCTGTATTGTGTTACAAGCCAAGCATGTAAGTTCAGTCAATCTTAGGTTAGTTTGTTATTCTTTTTGTCGGGGATCTCAGAAATCTATGTGAAACCTGATATTATCCTCTGTGAAACAAAACTGTGGGAAATATTAGCTCATTCTTTGAAGTGTATAAAAATTTGCAATTTACATTGTTTATGATTTTTTATGAAAGTACTGGCAAGGCAAAAGATAAAGAGGATTTATGATGTGAAATAGTTCTTTGGTTGAAACAGATAAGTGAAGTTGAAGAGATATACAAGTTTAATTTTTAACATTTTATTGTTGTACCTTACACAATTTGTTTCATTAAAGGACATTACTATTAATTAATATTTTGTAAGAAGTAATTTCAGCGGCACACGTTGCTTTAAACCTCATCGCTAGAATATATGATCTCCAATTACTACAAATCTGGTCAATTACAATATGTTTTGAACATTAAAATGTAGTGTTTCCTCTAAGAAAGGTATCCTTTATTGTTAATAAGAAATATTAAGTGTGGATGTGTAAATGTGAAATTGAAACATTGAAATATTTTTGTAAAGGCTTGCTGTGATATATATCGACCACATGTGGTGATAAAATTTAGTCTCTACTCAAGTAGTAGATGTTCGATTACAAATTCCATTTTCGTGGCGATCTTTCGAATTTTTATTTGATTTGGCTGTAAAATACATGGTTATGTAAATAAATATTTACTAATAAAGTATATTTTTATTGAAATATCCCATTTATGCCAACTTAGGTCTTTCTTCTTTGATCATCATCTGTAATAAAACAATTATGGATTTATGAATATTTTCTAAACTAATTAGCTTTTCAGTGACTCAGTCAATAAATGTACTACTTCACACAAAATAATTATTTGTATGCGATTTTGTGGGTAAATGCTGGAGACATGTAAATTTAACAGGTGGACAGTCAACAAGCGAAGCAGACCTATAAAGTCTGCCCCATGCCTGTCTTTACAACAAATTAAATATATTTATACCTTAATTGTGAGAAATCCATTCTCAGTGCCAGGCAAATCACAGGTCAATTCTCAGGAAGTCAATGCAAATCCAAAATGCCTGTAGGATTTTAAGAAATTAATTTGTAACACATTTAAGAACACTTATGCAAACATCCCCAATCTATATTTTATATCAATTTCTTTGGTAAATGCAATTATCGCACTGTATAGAACACCTGTATCATACAAATTTGACACACTCACCACTGGAAAACAGGCTGCCTAGAAATTGAAACCATTTCTCTCTTCAGGAGACTGCGCACCACACATTCAGATCGCAAGGCATCTGTTTCTTGTTAACCATTCACTGATTGCACACACTCATAATTTATTAAGACAAATATAGCAAAACAGTATAAGAAATAGATCCATAAAGAATCATACATCGTCTCTGCAACAGTTATTCCTAACAACCACAAAATTAAACATCCATCACATTGTACACATACTTTATTTATCGTTCATCACACCACATCATTTTAAACACAAATTCATGTCAAACTTACAACTACTACAAACTATTTCACGTTCCAAGCCTTTGATAATATTAGTATATGCTATCAATCGATTCAAGTAAATAAAATAAGTTCACTGCTAACAAGGTATATGAATAAATTTGATTAAACATGAGAATTGGGTTGAACTACCTCACCTCACGTCTGGGGTTTGTTCCATCCACTATTTGAACTTGTTGGCCCTGAACTATTTCCTCCCCATCCTTGGCCATTTGACCAATTGCCTTGGTTCCAGTTGCCATTTTTATTGCCATTCCAATTAGGATTATTGCCTTGATTCCAGTATGGCGGCGGGCCATTCTGATTCCAGCTTCCATTATTATTTAAATTTTTACCTGAATTGCCACCTTGGGGAGGGCCATTTTGCCCCCAGTTTCCAGGACCTGAATTATTTGGGCCTCCTAAGAATCCTCCCCAGCCTGCCTGGTTCAGGGCAGCAGCTACAAGACTTATTGGTAAATTAAAGTTAGCAGGTGGACCACCACCATTAGGATTTATGCCTAAATTTTGCATGTTCAAGGAATCAATGTTGCTATTTCCTCCATTGTTACTTGGACCTCCAGGGGGACCAGAGCGGTTCCCATCCCAGCTGTTTGGTCCATATGATTCCTCTTTCCAATTTTGGTTATTTTTATTTTTAATTTTAGGTGCTGCACTTGATACTGAAACAGAAGCTCCTTTAATTACATGATCCTCACCACACAAACTTTGAGCAACCTCTGGATCTAAAAATGTTACAAATCCAAAGGCTCTGAATGGTCTTGGAACAAAAACATCAGTAACTTCTCCAAACTTAGAGAAGTATTCTCTGAGGTCATCAGCAGTCATATCCTCAGTGCACCTGCCAACAAATACTTTGCAGGGCATCTGCGGGACTACACCTTCTTTTGAATTTGGAATTCGCACATCTACCCAGCGACCATCAATGTTATGCCGTTGAGCTAATGCTCTCATTTGTGACGTGTATGTAGCAAATCGGATAAAACCAAACCCTTTGAAAGAACCATTTTTATCTTTTTTCAACTGCACCATCACCACCTCGCCAAATTGATCAAAATATTTTTTAATTGACTCTTCTGTCGATTTCCAGGGTAGTCCTAAGCATATCAGGTCTGAACATATAAGTTTCTTTTCTAATCGTTTTGTTTTTGCTGCTGAGTTTTCTGGCGATACGTCTTCCATTTTGCGTTTGTTTTCCTTGGGGAAAACGCAAATATATAAATGTTTACCCCAGCCAGCCTCAGTCGGTGGATGCAACCTGCCGTCGCTAAGGCGAAGACCTCGAATGCATTTGCTCTCAGGATGGCGGTATTTTAGGCCGCAAGCGCCGGGAAATTGAGCAACTAATGTGGATAGTAATAAAGTCCCATTTAACTCGCATGGAATTTCTACAGCATTAGAGTCATCTTCATCTTCGCTCACTTTTATATATTGAAATAAGTCTTCACTGTAAGTAGTTTCCTTATTATTCATATCGAGTTTGTTTATAATCTTAAGACATTCAATATAAACGTAAATAATATTAAATTAATAATCAAAATGGATATTGGATATAAATTTTCAAGTCGCTAAAAGAAACACAGACAACAACTATTACAAGTCGTAGAATAGCCAAAATATTTTATGCCATAGCAAACATATAGAAGAAAAGTACCACAGATTAATACATATAATATATTTATTAATCTGTGGTACAGGTACGGTACCGCCGTACTAATCGGTGGTAATATTAACATGTAAAAAATGTGAACAAACAATAATAAATCAGGACAAACATAATTTACATAACTGAAAAAAGTATTAAATTTAAGGACGTATTATTGAAACGTATTTTAGAATTGAGACTCGTTTGCCAATGGTAGCAACGCATGGCTAATAATTTATAGTCCAGTGGGCTTTGATTCCAAGCGAGTCAAATATGTTTATAAAGGGACTTCTTGGAAATTTTTGACAATAAATGGATAGTGGAAATTTTATAGAAATTCCGTCATATTCATTCACGTTCAGGCGTGAAGTACTTAAACTCCCAAGCCGAAGGCAACTATTAGATGTTATATGACAATGACTGGAGTATTTAACTATGCGTTTAGTTCTCCTCTGTCATACAAAAAGGTTTCTTATTCATAATAAGATGATGTGTTTCGGGGAAACGTCCGAAGTTAAAAATAGTTTTCAAATAAGTTTAACTAATATATCGAGTTTTAAACCGTTAAAATGTTTTATTTAAATGTGTACTACTCGCGTAAACTATAGACAGTATTTAAGATAATATGTGTTTCACATTCACAAGACTACAAAGTAACTTCTTTGGACAAATTCTAAATTTTGCCGGTAGAGGCGCGCGAGTAACCTTTATATCGTCAATATACGACAAACCCATTTTTTAAGGGTTTTTTCACATTTAAAAGTATATAGTTACAGAATACATTTATACATTTTAAAATATAATACTAATCATGGCCGCATTTTGTGGTGTGGAAGCCTCGGTGCAACGAAGGAATGGAGGCCCCCACAGACCTTAATAAAATTTGAAATAAAGTAAACAATTCTTCTCAGTCAACATTTGAAACAAATGATCTATTGTGAAATCAAATAGATGCTTTAGTGTAAAATTAACATATAATTATAGTCGAAAATAAGAAATCTTTGTCTTTCCTCCTTTTGATGAGGCCCTGAGTTGGTTGCAATCACCTAAATTCGGTTCTGATACTATTATTTATTTTAATATTCAAATCACACGGCATATGATATTAATTTAATTTATCTTTTATACATATAAATAATAACTTCAATTAAAATCATAGTGTATTGTGGGGCCAGGTGGTGTAGTAGGTATACCAGGGCCCCGGCACTAAGGGGGGCCTCCTAAACTTATCTTTTAAGTTGAAAACAGACCCGTCTAAACAATTTATAGCCTCTTGATAACAGTTGACTAAAAGCATTTTCAACCTCGCAACAATAAATGTTTTGTTAGACATAAATATGTATATAATATAATAATACTTTTAGGTATAGACAGTACCGAAATCAAATCTACATTCTTGGCGTAAAGGTTAATTTAAATATTTAAAAAAGATGTTTAAAATGTCAACTAGTAAACTTTGGATCTTATACACATTTGGAAACCGGTTCGATCATCAAATAAGTTCTAAACGTCGTTTTATATAATATAGCTAAAATAATTACATACTATTATGGGATATGTGAGTTCATCGGTAGAAAGGTGGCTCGTATAGGAACTTGAAGCTATTGAAGGTTTTGTCATAAACCTGTCGGAAGGTCACATACCAGTTCTGCAACATTTCACTTGAAGTATTGAACAAAGGTTTAGTGCAATATCCCCCTTCACTACTTCCATATTTTGCAATATCAGGTCTAACCATGGACCAAGTATTAATACTATACAATATGGCTGGTTTTAAAAAGTTACGATTGACAGACAAAGGTCATTTTTTCTTATTATTTTACATGGTTTTTATAAGAGTCGTAAATTTCGTCTCGACTGCTTAACATTGTTTATTAATAATAAAATCTTATTGGAAAATTCCTTACAATAAAAGGTGTTTGATAGATTAAATAGACAAAAAAACTTTCCCATAGTTTTGTTAATATAGCTATGATAACAACAGTAATCCCATTACCTAATATCGTTTCACCGTTTGTCAGTTACTTTATATTCTGACGGCGTAAAACTTGGAATTTCGCTGGGGTCCCGCTCTCCTGCGCTGCCGCGTCGTTGAACGAAAGGCCACTGACATCGGACCAGCCTTTTTGTTTTGTTACAAGGACAATGCAATACATATTATATACATAGACCATACTTACAAAACTTAGTAGTAAGTAAGTAATAAATATAAAGACATTAACGACTGGTTTGAACCTCCAAACCAGTCGATAATGTAATTAAGATTTTTTATACGATCCTTCTGCTATCTAGAATATATATTGACTAGCTGTGCTCGCGACTTTGTTCGCGTGTTATAAATATTTTGGGCATCAAGTAATTTATGTTTACATACAAACACTGTAGCGTCTTTCTTGTGAGTTAAATTTATAAGATAGACATATACTGTCGCGAATATTTTTCTAGACAATTTAAAGAGAAATCATTCTTTCATACATAGTTTTTTGGTATCTAGATTTGTTTTTGCAGTGCACGCAACGGACGCCCTCAAAGATGCATAAATTTTCCAATTTTCTAAACAAACAAATTCTTAAACTTTACCTATTTACTAGTATAGAGTATAGATAACGTAAAATTTATAGACAATACAAACAACTAGATTGTTCGAGTTAGCTACTGTGTAATTTAAAACAATTTTGTGTTAAGCAACAACATATTTCTCAGGTGCTAAATAACGACATAAGTTCCTTGAAAAATTATTACAAAAACTTAATTCTTAATTAAGAAACTGACTAATTAGAACAGAAGCTATATAAAATGTATTCTCCTAACTTCTTTGAATATATGTTATAGTAGCTGGTGCCCGTGACTTCGTCTACGCAGTATTAGGATTAGGATTACGTAGTATCGCGCATTTAAACTAAATGATGTCTATTATATCATATATTACATAATTATGTGTAACTAACGTTTTTGGCAGCGCACGCCAGAATAGCTCGCAGAAAGTAGGTTTTTTCCTAGTTACTTTACATTTACTGTCATATTTTGGACAGCTCACACAATATCTTTATAAGTGTTATTCTAATGTGTAAGTTTAATTGAAATCCATTCAGTAGTTTTTGCGTGAAAGAGTAACAAACATCCATCCACACATACAAACTTTCACGTTTATAATATTAGTAGGATTTGGATTATGTTAGGTAGTCAGGCTTATGTTGTACAACATAAGCATATTTACATCGCACAATATAGGTACATACCATTTCTTGACCGGTTTTATGACGCGTGAGTCCGGAATGGTCGTCAAGGAAAAGGTTTAGATGCCGCACGAAAGGATTTGCTGTACGTTGGTTTTATACATAATTTAATAAAACACTTTAACGGTTTAGAACGCAATATATTTTAGTTAAACTTATTTTAACTCCGGCCCGATGTTTCGGATGCTTTGTAGCCACCGTGGTTATGGGGGGATGGAGGGTGTCTCTCACGCCAAAGTAAACCGTTTTATTTAAATGTCTAATACCCGTGTAAACTACAGACAGTATATATTCATAATTATTCTTGGTGACTAATGAATGAGAAGTAGTGTAAAGTTCCCGTTTTAGTTACTGTATAATCTGCTTTACCTTCAGCAATAATAATGTAGGTAATACTTGACATCATGATACTTTGAACTTTACCAGACGAACACAGTACTAAGACACATTGCCGTCGCAATATTGCGCAGGCGCCTGTCTCTGTTTCACAACACGACCTACTTTTCTAAGAAAACGACACACCCCCACATTCATCGCTATTTGGTGGACAATAATATAAATGAACTTTCGACATTTAAAATTAGGGTACTTTTTATTACTATAAAGCTGCAGAGGTGGTCTGTTTGTTTGAGCGCAATGATCTCAGGAACAACTGGTCAGAATATATTTTTTTTATATAAAACATCACCAAAGAAACAGGGAGATGTGGAACAAACGGGGTTTTCCCCGTTTCATTCATGTTTGCGGGCTTTGGTTGCGAGCGCTGCTAAAACGATTTAAGACACTAAAGAATTTTATAGAATGATTCCCCTTTAAGTGATCTAAAGAATGTCCATGACGGTACATGTCTATCTCTTAAGATTAAATTGCAACAACGACGGGACGCGGACGACGTCGTGCGTAACAATGATAATTTACAAAATTGAGGAAATATTTGCGAAAATAAATAATATACATAATTTCCAAAATAATTATTCTTCATTTGTCATATAATTTTCAATTACTTGTTTTTACAATACTAACAAGATAGTTAACCTACATAAATGAATCATTACTTAGTTAATTTTCATAATTACTAATAGAGACACGACAAATGTATGTCCATGCTTTCTATAAATTTCAAGAATGACATTAAATAATAATTAGAGACTAATTATATTGAGTCGCTCGAGTTATATGCAACCACATTTATTAAAATTAGTCAACAACCTAATACTTGCCTTGTAAATTGCGTTGCACAACTTCTTTGGCAACTATTACATTATTTTAATTAATGAATTGAATGAGATTTAAAAAATGTCATTAAATTTTTATTAATAGGCCTTACAAATAACGCATACATTTTTATATAACGGTTTAAAACGCGATATATCAGTTAAACTCATTTGAAAATGGTTTTAACTTCGGATGCTTTGCAGTTAAAAATCATTTTCAAATGAGTTTAACTAACATATCGCGTTTTAAACCGTTAAAGTGTTTTATTTAAATGTGTACTTCTTGTCTGTGCGCATTTATCGCAAACATTTGTAAATGTACATGAAACAAAAAAAAAACAAAAACAAACTTGTAAATGTACATGAAACAATTAATAATAAAAATGCTTATATACCCAACTTATAGGTAAACGTGTGTTAGGTATTTAGGTTTTAGTTAGTTTGTAGGGGCAGTCAAAGCGTAAGGAATATTACAAAAGGTTTAGTATAAGGTGCTACTATAATTAATTGTTTAAGGCTTTGTAGACCATTTTTCAGCATATCCTTATTTTCGGGCTGTTCGGCCGATGTGAGCGAGGATAGGTTCTCGATGTTTCGCTATCACGAGCGGACGGCATCATTAGGAGATGTGGTTAGCACCATGATTGCTCGAAGTTTTTAAATATGGTGTCTAGTGTATTTTTCGGATTCCAATAGCTATCAAATCGTCGTCTACCGAAATAATGCATTGAAAGACAACTCATGAGTTTCCATGGCCTCCACGAACTTACTTAAGTCTTTTATAAAAAATTGATGATGAATTTCATTGATGTATACTTTTAAAATACATTATTTTTTGTTATCAATACAAAGATATTAAGAATCGAATTCTCCGAAACGATCAGATTTTTTTCAGGATAAGTAACTCACAATCAAAGCATAATAATGTACGTACCATCATTGTACTTTAATAATATATTTTATATTACAGAATATTCAATTTCAGGAAATCACCTAAATCAATTTATCTTATCTAACACTTATAACATAAGTAATCATTGAATAATCTAACAAGTCGATCGCCGCTTAGTAGAATTTGCTTTGATCGTGAAAAAACAATGATAACGAAGCAAATGGAATAATTAAATTATATTAATGTTTTTACTTTGTTTATTATATTATTGACTAATAAACGGATCTCGCATTATACTGATCTTGCCATGTTTTATTGTAATATGAGGTATACGGTAATTTAAGCAATTATCTACTTACCTACTTTCGTTTTGTTCGCAAACGGTGTAGTGTCTGTCTACATCTATGTACCTGGAAAAAACTGGTTATATTATTGCTCTTATATTCTATTAGTCCATGGCTTTAATAATGCTTTGTTTACTTAAAAGATATTTAAATAGTAAAGCTAATAATTCACCTGAAGTCAAAAAAAGCAATCAACATTGTTTCCTCTTAAAACAATATCTAAAATTGCTTTAGAACTGGTCCGAAATTTATACTATGTAAATGTTCGCTTGGTATTTTAAAAATCAAGGTCAGCTTATTCCAACATTTGTTATAAATTGGAATGTTTCTACAATGCTATGAAATTATTGACGCTGTGTTTTTTCGTAGATTAAAAGTCTAAATCATTATTCGTAAGCTTTTTGAAAATAAGGTGTGAAAGTTTACATTCTTGACTTTGTATTGTTTCTAAATAGCATATTGTACGTGTTCTTTGATATCTAGCGTTAAAAAATATTAAATGTGAAGTTAGTAATCCCTTAACCCCTGAGGAAGAGGTGGATGTATTTTATTCAAAGAAAGATACTATCTATCGGTAATAAATGGATTTTTTTATATATAATTGAAATGTGTAGATGCCCTTAGGTTGTCTACTGGAGGTAGTGTTAATGGCGCCAACTGGGTAAATAAGCTATGTCTTAAATTATTCACGGTGTGTTGTAACCTCCGACTAGAGAAAATATTTCTTGTTCTCTTGAAGGGCTAATAATGAACCAGCTATGGGATTTATTGGAATAAAACGTTTTTTACTATCGCAATTTTTAATCTATGAATGTATTATAATTTCCTGTACATCTGAAGGTCTTACGATAACGAGTGTGCGAAACTCATAGTTTACACCTAAATATAATATAAACATAAAAGTAAAATCTAGCGCCTAAAATAAACTTAACAGTTTAAGAAAGCAGGCATAATCAAAAGATCTTCATTTTCGAAAGAAATAACAAATTTTGACTAGTAATTTTAACTTGCTAAGGCGATGATAACTAAAGAGCGAAATATAATTTTAGCATTAAATATATATTATAATATTGCTTTTAATTTTAACAATAAATGTACCGTGTTACATCTAATTAATAAAAATCGTAAAACGACACATCTCAATTAATTAAAAACAATTGTTATCTTACAATAATAATTCGTTACCTATAGAATATTAAAAATTTCTATACAAAATTAGATTATAAAAATATTCAGAATCTCTAAATTATCTTACAGGTAAACCGTTCTTTATTTTAGGTGCACCAGGCACCACTGCGAGATTTGTTTTTACTAAGTTCCAATTTATTGCTGTTGTAATTTTATATATTTCTATAACAAACCTTTCTTTTCAACGAATCTGGAGGTTTTGAATATTAGTACAAAGTCTTGCACGTAATCGGCGTTCTACATTATACCTAATCATTAAATCTCTTTTGTAATTGTGATTATTATTATAAAAAATAATAACATTAATAAGATCTTCAATTATACAACAGTAATGAGTCGCGCTAATTTCGAAAGTAATTATAATTATTTGTAACATATATATTCTAACTATTGCGAATTTTTTACAAATCTGGGCCGGCCTTGACACAAGATGTTAATATCGTAATATAAAGTGGCATAAAATTGAGTAATTGGAATGTTATGCAAGACTATTCACAATTAAAGTTCCCAATTCACATGGAACGTTTAGGAAATTTGTGAATAGCTTAACTTCAAGTCGTCTCTATAACGTACTTTGTTACCTCAGAAAATACAATTTCATAAGATAGTCCTTTTGATTTGGGCGATGTAAAATGGACTGGAAATCACGGAAAAAAGCTTGTTGATAAAACAATCATGAATTTTACTAGTGACATTGAAGTATAGAGACGAAATTAAGTTCACTTACATTCTTTGATTAATAACTGAAAATCGCCTTCATCAATATAGGAATTACGTTTATCACAATAGACTAAGTAACTTGTGCTCATAGAGATCAAACTTATAGGAAATTAATATATAATTGATTCATCATTCAACTGTGACGGATTTAGCTAGATTTCTAGGACAATCAACATTGCACCCTCTCAAAACAGCTATGTGATACGCTAATAATTGCATGGGAATAACTGTCAAAACTCCTTGTAGACAGTCAACTGTCTTTGGAACTTCCAGCACACGGGACGCCAAACTCATTGTCTCAGAGTCACCTTCTTCGCAGACGACGATCGGGCGTCCTTGACGCGCGGTGACTTGTTGCAGTGCATTCATACATTTTGTGTAAACTGGGTCTCTCATAACGATCATCATAACTGGCATTGAATCATCAATAAGAGCTAGTGGCCCGTGTTTCAATTCTCCTGCCATTATTCCCTCGCTGTGCATGTATGTTAACTCTTTGACTTTCAAAGCTCCTTCTAGACAAGTAGCGAAATTATAACCGCGACCCATTATCAATAGGGAACGTTGGCGATAGAGATCCTCCGCCAACGCTTTGACTTGCTCGTCCAATGCTAGAACTTGTTGAATTTTCTTGTCCAACTCGTGCAACCCCGCAATGATATCAGCCCGACGTTTTTGGAGTGAAATTCGATCTTCACTAATGACCAGAGCAAACATTACTAAGGACACGAATTGCGATGTGTACGCTTTTGTAGATGCAACACCAATTTCAGGACCAGCATTAATATGCACACCACAGTGGGACTCGCGACAGATTGAACTTCCTACTGTGTTTGTTATTCCGACAATCAGGGCCCCGTGCCGCTTGCAGTATCTTAACGCCATCAATGTATCAGCAGTTTCTCCAGATTGGGAGATAAAGAAGCACACATCATCCCGAAAAACTGGGGTATTTCTGTCTAGAAAATCAGATGCTAATTCCACCATAACAGGAAGTTCTGTTAACTCTTCTAATAACTGACGGGTTGCCACAGCACTATGGTAACTAGTTCCACAACCAATCAGCATTAATCTTCTGCATCGTTTAATTTCAGGTATATAATCTTTAATACCACCAAGAGTAACAGCTCCATCAGCAAAGTTCAAACGTCCTCTCATTGTGTTTACAATTGACTCTGACTGCTCAAAAATTTCTTTTTGCATGAAATAATCATAATTTCCTTTCATAATCTGTTGTAATTCCAATTTAAGTGTAAAAATCTCACGTTCATGAGGATCAGTGCTGCTGCCAGACTTCCTGTGGATGCTAAGTACACCTTCCTTAACATGAGCCACATCATCGTCTTCGAAATAAAGTACCCTGTTAGTATGTTCAATAACAGCAGAGGCATCAGAGGCAAAGAAATATTCAACATCTTTTTCCTCCTCTGGTTGAAAGTGGGCATGACTATTAACACGGGGTAGGGAAGGTACCACACCACGTGTGGCTTTATTGTTATTGTACATAATAGGTACATGGTCACTAGAAAGGCGACGCCTTGTTTTGATACCAACCAGCAAAGGGCTTCCTCTTCTTGTTGCTACACATTCATTAGGAAAATACCTTGACTTAAAGCACAATGCAAAAGCACCTTCAAGCTGCTGTATAACCTGTTCTACAATTTCCTGGAAGCTGTTGTCTTTATGTTGGTTGTAAATGTGATGAACCAACTTTGCAATAGCTTCAGTGTCAGTCTGAGATTCAAATGTGTATCCCTTGTTTTCTAAGAATTTCTTCACTTCTTTGTAGTTAGTGATGATGCCATTATGTATAACAACAAAAGCATTATCTTCTCCGGAGCGTTGAGGGTGCGAGTTAACAGCGCTCGGTTCACCGTGAGTGGCCCAACGAGTATGGGCAATTCCACAATGAGAATCTACACATTCTTCAACTGCTAGGTCTTTACTTTGTTCTTGAAGTAACTCTTCAAGCGCAGCCACTTTGCCGCTTTTTTTCACAACTGCGATATCGTTTCTATCAGCCGCATCCACGGCAACACCAGCCGAATCGTATCCACGATATTCCAGACGCTTTAAGCCGTTCACAAGTAATTCTAATATCTCTCGCCGGCTCTTAGGCGTTAGATGATTAATGTATGCGAAAATTCCACACATCGTAACAATAAAGAACAAGGCTTAAGTCGACTCAAGTACACTGAACCACGACCGACGAAAGACTGCGAGTAACTCAAAATACAATTATTATTGAAGGCCTTCGCCAATAACTCCTACCACTTACGAGTTACTTTCACTTACGGCGAGGCACACGTCATCATGTTTCGTTATCGTAGGTAATCATTGGTAAAAGAAATACACCAAACAGCGGTAAAACAAGTATCTGCTAACATCATTTATCAATTACATACCAAAATAAAAAGGCGTAAATTGACGTTGTCAAAGTCAAGTTAATTATTTGCAAATGCCAATGTCACTTCTACAAAAATATATAAAAATAAAGTTGATAATATATATAACATATTTTATCATTAATATACTTAAATTATTTTACCTTGTTTCAAGTGTGTCATTGTTAATTGCTTACCAAGACGAACTCTATTATGTAAGTTTTATGATATTGTTAGTCTGTGATGGCACAATATCACTATAATCTCACACAAATTAAAATTCAATATTCCTATTATCTATTGTCTTTTAGTTCAGTGCTCAGTGGTTATTTTATAATTTTAAGACTAAAAATATGTACGTCTTGCACGTATATAATACCCTAATGTACTAGAGAACTTCCTGTGTACTAGAGTACGAAACATGTCTCCGTGCTCCATGGCCACTTTATTAAAACACTTGGTTATATAAAATAATAACTAAAAATATATACCAGTAGCTTCTTTATTGGTTTTATCAGGATCGAGGTCTTTACAAAATTATTGAAAATATTAAGATACATTTAGCTTAAAAAGAGTTTCCAGTTGTTTCCGTACATAATCCAAGAATAATCGTACAGCCGTTACAATTGAATATTTAAACCTTTACACGATTCTATCTAATGTAACTGAATGCAAATATAAAATTTTCATTTTAAGATAACCTACAAATTAAACAAGTTCGTCAACATCTATCAAAACGTTCATAACGCTTAATTATTATACCCTTATTTCCAACTATATGACGTCGGTTTACAACCTTGCCTTCCTTTTTTACACTCTGATGTTTTATCCTTACAAATACAACATTTCAACACCATAGATAATATGAAAATAACATCTAATCTTAAATGTAATTTTAAATTTTCATTTTGCCACTAAAGTAATGACCATTCTCATTACAAATAAGTAGAAGAGACGATATAGAATAAATCAATGTCGAATGTAAATAAAAAATACCTTGACCAAAGAGCCTACAAGTTACACCAGAAATGAAAATTCTTGAAAAAGACTAATTATCGTCAAGATTCACAAAGACTACAAAGATAATATCAGCGTCACTATTGAGGTGAAACGGTTTAAAAATTCAATCAACCCGCGAGTGTCTTTCCTTCTGAACTCTTTTCGATGAGAAATTATTAAGATATAACGAGCCTTCAAGTACGGAAATTCAAACATGGAAAATAACTTACGACTAAAGTAATTAAAAAGACATAAACTTAGCACATATGTGTAACTAAAACGAACGAGTATCTTGTTATGATAAATGCAAGATTTGGGAACGCGAGTAGAGTCACCAGGTAAGAAGCTCCGATTGTGTGAGCATGCTAAGGGCTCACGACTACGATACAACATCGATATTGGGATTTTAATGTGTGAGGCAACCGATACATCTGTCGCCTGCTCGGGGGAGAACATCGAGCGTAATGATGGGGGAGTACGTTTATGGAGACAGACTGAAGACGGAGCAGCTTTGCAGACGACGGGCACCGGCTGCGCTACGTGTTCTAAGCAGCCCAATAGTTATTTTTTCTTTTGGGCCTTCTCGGCGGCTTTGGTAATTTTGCCTGTTGTTACCTCCTTAAAGGTGACGCTCTGTAATTAATTAAATAAAGGATTAAGCAGTGTCTGTAGTTTAGTCACCGGCGGATCAAGGTTTCATGTGTCCCATCCATTTAATAAAATTGTTATAAAAATTAAATTAAAGGCTCTTTCTAACTATCAAAGCTGGATCCGCCCTTGCGAGTAACACACAGTTAAATAAAACAACGGTCTAAAAAAACGAAATATGTTAGTTAACCCCTGTGTGTGCAGGGCATCCAAATCAACGGGTATCAGTAAAATAAATGAACTAATAGATATCGCGATTATCTAAGCGTGATTTTTTTCTGTCAAATTAAATTATTCTAGGGGTGTATAATGAAATAACACCTTAATAACTCCGACAGCGACAGTCTGACGCATGTCGCGTACTGCAAAGCGGCCAAGAGGTGGGAACTCCTGGAACGACTCCACGCAAAGAGCCTTGGTCGGCATCAGGGTCACGATTGCTGCATCGCCCGACTTTATGGACTTCGGTTCAACTTCAGTTGTCTTGCCTACGTTTAAGAATAGAATATTGTTAAATTAAAAAAAAAAACGTTTTATTTAAAAAGTTTATAGCTAACACTTTATATTAGAGAATAGTGTTAGTTGAATCCCTGTCTCTATTGTTGTACCTAACAAACTTTGAAACGACCTATGCGTAAGGTATTAAACATGATTACATAAAAAATAATGATCCATTACTTATATTAAAATCGATCCATTACTTAAGTGGTTATTTATGCTTCTTTATCGAATGTTCGACTGGCTCGTTTGTCTAATGGTAGCAATGTAACGCTAATAATAATCAACGGGTCGTTGTTTAAATCCTCATTGGATCCAACATGTTGCTAACCAATTTATACATTTTTGTTCTCGTTAATATTATCTTACCAGTACGACGATCGCATTTTTCTTTGATCTCAGCGAACTTGCAAGCGATGTGTGCTGTGTGGCAATCGAGAACCGGGGTGTAACCGTTACTAATCTGCCCTGGGTGGTTCAGCACAATCACCTAGATACCAGAATTAAGATACCTAATTATTTAAATATCCCCTTTTAATTACCATTGATGAATTAAACTATTCTTTGTACGTTAGTGTTTATTGTTGGTATCTCAAAGTATGACAATAATTTTACTACCTTAATCGAATTGACTAACAACTGAACGCATATTGCGACACCAATTTTGATAGATGTTGCAAAATGGAGCCAAGTTACTTAATAATTAGGCGACCGGTTTAATCTTTTCTCGTTTCAAATTACAAATTAGCGACCTGTTACATGATTACATTTGTAATGGCGTTATGATTACATGCAATTCCGATAAGTCTTTCGTTTTACCTGAGCGGTAAAATCAGCAGCACCCTTGGGGGGATTGTTCTTGGAGTCTCCGGCTACATAACCACGACGCAACTCCTTTACCGAGACGTTCTACAAAAAAGTGATATATGTGTATTATAGTTATGCAAAGAAAAGGTTGGTATGGAAATATTGTATATCGTGTATCAAGGCTAGGCATTGTCATCTGCTGGGTGATTGTAGATCCAACAAAAGAGAAAGGCGCAAACATTGCAGACACCGAGATCATTCTATGCACGATGTGAGGTTACGTAAACAATTCATAAATCAGAAAAGTTCAACAGTGAGTGACAAATAGGTCACGAAGGTTATTTACGACAATTTTTTATTTAGGCAGAGGGCTTGTTAATTAAATTACCATTGAATCACATTGAAAACTTTGATATTAGTCAGATGGTATTGCACATGATGGCACTATATAAATAAAAAATCGATTTTAGATTAAAAATATTTAGGACACGGATAGGACTTGAAGCGACAGCAACAGCCCGGAACGTTGTAGATGCCGGCTCAAGCCCTACCCGTGTCGTTATATTTTTTCATTCTAAAATTTATATTCAATTTATATAACGTCACATTAATATCATTGATCCTGTAACAATGATATTCTCATCAGAATTTACAAAATGCCATAGATGGATCTAAAATAAGTATATAGGTAAGAGGCCGCTAGGGGCAAAAAGTAGCCTAACTGCAATTTTTATGACGTGAGTTATTTATAGTCTAAGTTAATGGTAATATACTGGAGCACAGTGATCGAAAATTTTTAACATTACTTTTATACAAATAATAGTAAAATTTATTTTCGCCTACGTTAATTGCGCAGTTTTATTTTTCCCCTTATTGAAAATCATGTTTTTTTGCTCATAAGGGGCTACCCTACCCCAGGAGGCAGAGCAGTCATTATTCTTTAATTAAAACTTGTTACCTTCACGTTAAAGCCAACATTGTCACCAGGCATTGCCTCTTGGAGCGCTTCGTGGTGCATTTCCACGGATTTCACCTCAGTAGTAATGGCGGCTGGGGCAAACACCACCACCATACCTTACAAATTAAAAATTAAATGAAATAATGTTACTTTAGGTGCCCAACTTTAAAATTCGAAAATTTCGTCTAACCTGGCTTGAGAACTCCGGTTTCAACCCGTCCTACGGGCACTGTCCCAATACCACCAATTTTGTACACGTCCTGAAGCGGTAAGCGCAACGGCTTTTCAGTGGGACGAGACGGAGGCTGGATAGCGTCGAGAGCCTATATAAAAAATCAGTTATACATTTTCAACAACTATATTTGCACCTTTATCTTAATGGTTATTTTGGGCATCACATATATATATATATATATATAATATGCTAATACATAAAGCTGAAGAGTTTGTTTGTTTGAACGCGCTAATTTTAGGAAGTACAGTTTCGAATTGAAAAATTCTTTTTGTGTTAGTTAGAGCATTTATCGAGGAAGGTTATATAAATGTATATATAACATATTGCGATGTGACTAATAGGAGCGAAGATACAGCGAAAAATGTGAATAAAACGGGGGCAACTTTTCATCTCTGTAGGTTTCAGATGCGTACGCTGCGAAAACGGTTCAAGATACCTAAAAATTGTGTATGAATGAAGTCAACGGCGTTATATGTCTATCTTTTAAGATTAACTTGCAAGAACGACCTGAACGACGGGACGCGTACGACGGGCTACGAATATTGTTGGTAACAGCTATCTACACTAATTTTTGTATGTAACGGATAAACTCAAAAAGTACTGGGGCGATTTTAATCATTCTTTCATTTATTTTATATATATATTATGATATATCAATATCTACAAAAAACATCGTGTGACCATATGTCTAACTATTGTAGTTACGTCACTATAACTAAGTACATTTTTACTTTTAACATATTGATAGAAATACCGAACAAAATCAAACCGTGTTTTAATAATATTAAAAATGCGAATGTAACTCTGTCTGTCCGGCTTTAACTCCGAAACTGCTGAACTGATTTAAATGAAATTTGTACACAGATATTTTAGAGCCTGAGAAAGGACATAGGCTACTTTTTTATGCCAAAAAAGGGTTGATAGGGGTTGAAAGTTTGAATCATTAGTTCCGAGAGTAGCTCGTTTAAACAAACAAATAAACTCTTCAGCTTTATAACATTAGTAAAGGTAGTTGTATAGAAATTATTAATCTAGTAACAAAGATACAATAGGTACAGTTGATTGTCAGCGGTACTTGAATGGAATATAGGGGGGGGGGGGGTTGAAGAAAACCAATGTTTACCTCGATAAGGGTCTTGCCCTCAACCTTTCCATCTTTGCGGTCGATGTTCCACCCCTTGAACCAGGGCATCTTGTCAGAAGGCTCGAGCATATTGTCGCCGTGCCAGCCCGAGATAGGCACGAAGGCCACCGTGGCCGGGTTGTAACCTGACAACGTTACATAATGCTTACCGGTTCTCTAAATTAACTTGTTTACAAACCTAACGAATTCACAAATAGCCTCGATAATAAATGTTTGAAAATGGTCAGAGGTTTCACTCTCTATATAGAACTTTAACTTTATATAAGTTTCCTTGGAGGCTGTTGTACATTAAACTTTGCGATTACGAGTTCCTTGCTCTTCCCTTTTATTGCTCTACATTCTTAATTGTCAGACACATGTGGTATATATGATGGATAACCACTTCTGTACCCAAATGCTTAAGCGCGTCACATTGCGTTAAGGTCTTAGGAGTAAAATTTATCGATCAGGCAGGGTCTACTTGCCTGTAAAGGAACCGATCATTGAAACGTACACAGAAATAGCAAACAGCTATAAGTGTACTCAACCCTCCCAAAGATTCGTCTCTTAAATACAAAAACAGGGTAACATGGTCAATTATGATTTGACATTCCTCTTGAGAGAATAAAAGTCGCATAAGAATAGATAATGAAAAACCTGTAGCGAAAAAAAAAAAGTTTAAAATCCCATAGCGTAACTTACCAATCTTCTTGATGTAGGAAGAAACTTCTTTCTTAATTTCCTCGTATCGCGCTTCGTGGTACGGTGGCTCTGTGGAATCCATCTTGTTAACGCCCACGATTAGTTGCTTTACACCCAAAGTGAAGGCGAGCAGCGCATGCTCACGAGTCTGCCCGTTCTTGCTAATCCCGGCCTCGAATTCTCCAGTTCCAGCAGCCACTATGAGCACCGCACAATCCGCCTGCTCACATTAAAGAGAATTATATTCTGTTTTTTTTTATACTAGACAACTGAATTAGAAAGCTGTAGGTACCTGTGAAGTACCCGTAATCATGTTCTTAATGAAGTCCCTGTGCCCAGGGGCATCGATGATGGTCACATAATATTTGGCCGTCTCGAACTTCCACAGGGCGATATCGATGGTAATACCACGTTCACGTTCTGCTTTTAGCTTGTCCAGTACCTATAGAGGAATGATACGATTATGGGGGAACACAACTGTAACTTACACTAAGACCTAGCAACTTACCCAGGCGTACTTGAAAGATCCTTTACCCATCTCTTGGGCTTCCTTCTCGAATTTTTCAATAGTTCGCTTGTCGATGCCACCACATTTGTATATCAGGTGGCCGGTGGTCGTGGACTTGCCAGAGTCCACATGACCAATTACAACGATGTTGATATGAATCTTTTCCTTGCCCATTTTCGAAAAAGGTTTGTTTCACCGTATACTGAAAGTAAACTACACTTACATGTGATGGTATAATCATTGCAATAAGATTATAAAAGGGCTCTCGTAACATTTTTACAACGTTAAAGGAAGCATAAGAGGAGAAAAAATTGCATAGTTAAGTGTTTTGCAGTTCCTGTTTCTATTAAAGGAAGAACCTTGAGACTATCATTTAAAATTAAAATAGACAAGACCTTGCGTTCTCTTAAAAATGTCACAAGTATTATTATATACAAATTAATAGTATTTTAAACGATTTCTGCTACAAAAATTAATAGTATACAGGCCCCTCCCTGTTTTATTAAATTAATAAATTTTCGTCGTATAAATTAGTATCACTTAGACGACACGTCATTGAAACAGCAAAATACCTACAGAATCACTTAAAACCGGCCGGTATGAAACTTGTAATGTGTTATGTTAGATGCACTAATCGGGAATGCACTCGAAGATGGAGGCTTCGATTGACCCGTGAGCGAATCTCCGGGAGAGTTTCACCGGGCTTGCGCAGGACGTCCGGGACGTCAATAGAGCCAGCCTTTACCAAATATAGAACATAGGATACCTTTGTTACATCACAGTTCACTTAATACCTATTACTTTTGCGTATTCGGTTATGACACGAATATTATGCGCAGGTATTACAAAATATGATTAAGAAGTGTTACAATACGATTGTACGCATTTTAAATGTGTAGGATTTAAGATCCCCGAGATGCAAGTGCATTCGAACTAATTATAGCGTGTGAATCGAAAATAGTATTTGCGAGACATAGATAGATAGTCTTCTCTTTGGAGATAGAAATTGTCGCATAGGCTAGGACGTGGCATGTACCGGCAATGCACGCGTCTAGTATATATAATATATGCGTAACACGTGATGCATATTATGCGAATAGCATGACTTTTGCATTTTAACATTATAATTTTATAATAAACAATTAACGACTTATGTAAAAAACAAAAACCGATACAAATTGTAAAATAACGTATTTTAAAGCGTAGCTTATGTATTACACATGTAATGAGAAGGTCCTTAAAAATTTAACGATTTTTACATTTGTAAAATGTCCAAAAATTATTGAAATGTGGCAAAAACAAAACAATAAATTGCGTAATTAAAAACATGCGCCATCGTCATTTGTACTTTTTGAATTAACTTTTTCGTTTATTTAACCCAAGCCAATAAATAAATGTTTAACAATAAATGATTTAAACTTACCAATCTCTGTATTTCCTCAACTCAATAGGCAATATAATGAAAACTGAAAAAGCTCACCTTTCAGTGCCGCAGTCGCGAATTTTCAGCTAGATTTTCAAGCATGCGCTATGCTCGTCTCCCGGGAAATGCAATCAATAATATCAAGAAACGTCCTTATTTAAAACACTCTTAAATAAATTGATTTTCCCCCATAATTTCGCAATCCAAAATTATTAAAATGTTTTTCATTTTAGAGGACATTTTTAATACAATTGCATGTAATAGAAAAATAATAATTAAAAATAATTAGACTACCGGATGCATCCCATTTGCTTTTCAGTAATAAATCTGTCAGTGCTGCCCATAGACAATTTAATTGTCTTTCAAAAGAGGTTGACTAGATTATTTTATGCGTGTTAACAGCTATAAAAATATTGCATATGATGCATCATGGTCTTATTGTTATTAGTATTTAGGAAATAACTTTTTTTACAAGATGTTGATAAGTCGACGCGTCGATACGAAATCAGTTCTAGTTTAATGGGTTAAATCTTAAGTTTTTTGGGGAGACTTATAAATGTTCAAAAGTATATCTATATAGTACTGAGATTATAGTGCCATTTGTTTATATTATTATAATTTTAATGTTAGTAAATTTATTAAATAAATAAGAATTGTCTCTTGGCCGCGGGTTTGAGTCCCATTTGTGTTAATCTTCCATATAGAATAATATATTACGTGATGCTGCATCTTACCCATGATTTAACTTTAGGAATAGAGAAAAAAACCATAAGTTTATAAATATTGCTTTATTAATTGTTAAAATTATTTTCTTTATTTCACACTGTCCATTTCCCAGAATTATACAATAACAATTTACAAGGGTAAACTAATTATAATCATTTACATATAAAATTGAACTTACAAAAAACACTAAAATACTAATTTAAATACTGTCTACGCGATAGTTTACGCGAGTAGTACCCATTTAAATAAAACACTTTAACGGTTTTAAACGCGATATAGTAGTTAAATTTATTTCAAAATGATTTTCAACTTCGGCCCGACGTTTCGGATGCTTTGCAGCAGCCGTGGTCACGGTTTTAAACCGTTAGTGTTTTATTTAAATATAAGTTTATTTCACAATAATAAAAACAATACGTTTTTCTAATGGTTTCACAAGAACATACTAATGAAGCACTTTTTCTTGTTCATTATTTTACATTAATAAATAGATTTACATTTAAGAGTACAATTATAAAATCATTATAATAATTGCGTTATTTGCGGTTGGATAGAAAAAAATTCCAAGTAAGTACTTCCTAATTCACAATGACAAATCATTAAAAAAATTTCGTAGTTCTGGAATGCATCGTACAACCATCTCACTTGCCACCTGGCCATGGTAAATAACTGCCCCAGCCTTTACTTGGATTCGGATCCAGCCCTGTGAAAAGGTATCATATTTAAAAAAACAACAGAAAATACATTTCTCGTAAACATTTGTAAATGAAGGTTCAAAACGAACGCGCTCTATATAAACAATTTAATAATATTATAGTAGTGAAATCCCGTTTTACCCCCTCGTGGGGGGGGGGGGCGATCAATTTTTGTGTCCATTTCACTGATCGGTTTTATTTACAGGCAAGTAGTTGATCAGACACAATTTTTTGTGTCCCAGGTTTCGAACCCAGGAACCCCTCTCACGCTTAATACAATAGTTTGACCATATTACAGAGGTGGTATTACTATTGAGTACAACAAATTTGACTAAATCTAGGCACGAAAGGTTCCCCAAAAAAAAAAAAAAAAAAACCCCTCTTCCCCCCCATACAGTCGAATAGAGGCAGACGTGAGGGAGGTCTAGACCATGTTACCTTTTATATATATTTGTCGGGCTCTTTGGTTAATAGTATGTATGTAGACTAATAATCACACCGGGTCCAACATGCTTCTGATCAATTTATAATTTTTCTGAAACACTTTGGACTTCCTCTGGAAAACTGGAAAAATGGGTTATAGGAATATCGAAATTTCGTCTTGGTCACGAATGATCCACAGATTAAAAAGGAACATCGAAAATTCGAAAGTTTAATCATGTTTTGTTTCAGTCTTTGGGATACTCGTAAACATGTGGATTTCCCAAATCCCAAACCAAATAGGTCGACAGAATATCTTAAGATTTATATCCTGGAATATTTCACCTTCCATCAAGTGATCCCTCCCAGTGCTTGTTTTCTCCTCTGTCAAACAATTATAAAAAAACCCTTGCACGACATAAACAAGCGTGACAGTTGACTAATCAATTCTATTGCCCTTCTAGTCCTGCCCATCGAAATATTTTTTTTTTTTGCGGCATCGAACTTAGGATCTGTCGCACTTAAGGATACTAACCAACATGTTTAGCCATGGAAAAATGGAGCCGTAAACCTTTACATACGGAATACTAAAACCCAACTTAGATGTATGCAACTATGTCAATTAAAATAATTGTACTTTTTATTTTATTTCAATCTTATTAAAACACTTCCTGAAAGCCATTTAGGCACTTTTTGACGTGTTTTAATGAGTCTACGCTCGCTATTTATTCACATGAGGTTTTAGGTCGAGGGTATAAAGGCAGCGAAATTAATGACGATTTTTTCCCGATACATATATTAAGAACATAAAACGTTGAATTAAAGGCGGCCTTTGATATTTCACAAAACATTTAAGAGTCCCTTTTTCTCTAGACCTACGCCTATATATAAGGACCTGCTCAGCAATACGCGATACCACGTATACTTATACTATTAACCCAAGAAGCCTTCGCAAAAACATATTTCTAAGTAAGTATTTTTATTAGTTAAAGTAGTACGTATTCAAATAAAACACGGTTTAAAACGCAGTTTTTTAATTCATTTTAACTACGGCCCGATGTTTCGGATGCGTTGAAACAGATGTAGTCCCGGGGGTTTTCTAGATGGAGGGTGTTTCTAATGTCAAAGTCAAATCTGCTACACTAACACCATCTGTGGCGCAAAGCATCCGACGCGAGCATTTCGGCGCGTAATTCAAACAAATTAAAAATAATGAGTACTCTTCGCGTTTTAAACTATTAATGTGCTTTTTTGAAATATATATTCGTTATTTTTGGTTACGTTCGTATACGTTGATTTAAAATATTTAAGAAAATCGTCAAGACGTGAAATCGTAAGAAACATCCGTCCTCACAAACTTTCGTATTTATATTATTTAGTATAAAAGAAATGATTTCTTATAATGGAGTCTACCTTTGGCAACAGCTTGTATTTTTTGGGATTCCTCCGTCGAGAGAGTAAGAATTTTCTGCAAGACAGGAACCAGTCGGCTCCTTTCATCGCCGGGCGGCAGGGTTAGGAACTGCCAAAACGTAAGAAATAAGTTTTCAATATTGTTACTATTTCTCTTGGTAATAATTATGGATGAGTCCACAGAAACTGCTGATAATTTCGTCTAAGTTCCCACTCTTCCTTTACGAAGGATGTTAGGTTATCCAACATACACTATAATAAACTTCTAAGCTATATACTATATGTATGAATAAAATTTATTTTTAATATATAACACAATATGTATTATTTATGATAATGTATGCGGCGAAAACATCTATTTGCATAAGTGGAATTATATGACACTGTTGTTTTAAACACATTTTGTCAAAAGATTTTAAGTTGAGTTAGTAGCTATAATACAAGTACGTAGTGAAAAATTATTCTATTTCCGTAAAAAATATTTAAAAATTAAAAATCTATTTAAATTGACAAAAATTACGTTCTGAGCCGCTTTAACCAATTGAGCTACCGTGTAACGGTACGGTGTAACTCAAGTCCTTATTGAATTAGCTTTATCTATACAATGTTTTGTCTAGAGTCCTGTACTGCGTTAATTGGAAGGAGTATATGGGCAGTTCAATAAAGAAATACCAGTACAACGAGCAAAAAGTTATAGAAATACAACAAGGAAGTTGGTGACCGTTGGTTGGCGACACCTGCTATAAGTTGGTCCTGAATTGAAAAATATATATATTTCGCGTTTTAAATCGTTAAAAGAGAGGTGCATGTATCAATAGGTTAAATACATTAGACGATGACATGTAGGACAGGGTAGCTCAATTCGTTAGAGCAACAGCAGAGAACGCTGTGGCATCCACAGCGTTCTCAGCTGTTGCGGTTCAAGTCCTGCCCGTGTCGTAATCTTTAAAGTACCGTACTTTTAATGTGACGTTCTTCATGTACTCAGTGTTATGCGCGTTCTGCGTGGAGCCCCGGACCCGCCGTAGTTCGGATTTTAGCAGCTCGCTCAGCTGAACGAGACGAGCGCACTCCCGCTCCGACTCAGACAGCAGCACCGTCACATGTTTCACCCTGAACAAAAATAATATACCCGGGTTAACCACCAGCTCCCCAAAATTAAATTACCATAAAATCGTTTCTTGTGAGTTAATCCGAAAAGATACACATATACTATGGCGAACATTTTTTAGATCAAATACTGTCTATAGTTTACGCGAGTAGTACACATTTAAATAAAACACTTTAACGGTTTAAAACGCGATATATTAGTTAAACTTAGTCTCCCCGTGACCACGGCTGCTGCAAAGCATCCGAAACGTCGGACCGGAGTTAAAAATCATTTTCAAATCAGTTTAACTAATATATCGCGCTTTAAACCGTTAAAGTGTTTTATTTACATTTTTAGGTTATTAAAAGAGGAATAATTCATTCGTACATATTTTTTGAATATCTCGCACCGGTTTCGCAGCGTGCACAACGGAATCCCTAAAAAGATTTGCCCCGTTTCTTCCACATTTTCTACTGTTATTCGCCCCTATAAGTTATAAGTTTTACAGCCTAAAGCCTTCCTCGATAAATGCTCAAACCAATAAAAAAATAATTTTTCATTTCGAACCGGTAGTTTCTGGGACAAGCGCGTTCAAACAAACTCGTCAGCTTTATATATTACTATAGATAAGGAAATAAGTAATACGGAGAAATAAATTTACAGTTAGCACTACTAGCAGGAAATAAAATGGAGGCACATTTTTAATTTTAGTCGAATAAAACTTTATTTTATTGTACGCGATTTTTATGCTCCAGACCCAGACGGAACGTCGATAATATTTCTACCACTCATTTAATGTTCACATTACACGAAGACTTTTCATATTATCATCTACACTACATTTCGTACTTAATACTATTTTTAAACACTGTATACAATCTCTTTTCCAAAACCGAGAACTAAAACACAATGTTCGTAAAGAGCTATCAAACTGTACCGCGTAGGCACTCCTTTACGGTCTTCTTTTGTTTTAAATTAATTATTCCTTAACTCTACAAAAAACCTCAACAAAGCCTCACTTAATATTAATTTTAGAAGTAACTTTACCTTTGCTGCATTGTAAAGACTTTTCGCTTCAGATCAGCGATTTCTTGTTCAGGTGTGAGCGAGAGGGATGCTGTGTCGAGTGGTTCATCTTCAGGTACACCTTCTTCCAATAGACGCTCCAAAGGAACGGGAGAACGCCGGCTTCCGCCAGACATGAACGATTTCATCAGGGGTGGCGATGGTGCTGATTCGGAACCCTAAAATTTTACCATATTTAAGATAGTGAAATTTAATTTAATTTGTAAAGCTGATCAAACCTTAAATTTAGTCATCGCTTAGAAAAACGCTCAAATCTTGATGATACCATCTATTCCGGGTTTTTGGTCTATATCAAGCTGAAGAGTTTGTTTGTTTGAAAGCGCTTGTCTCAGAAACTAGATGTGGGAATTAAAAAAAATATTTTCTGTCGGTTAGAGCATTTATCGAGGAAGGCTAAAAGGCTGTAAAACTTATAACATATAGGGGCTGTGACTGATACGAAGAAACAGCGAGAAATGTGCAGAAAACGGAGAAACTTATCCATCTTTGTGGGTTTCCGTAGCGTTTGCTGCGAAAACGGTTCAAGATACCCAAAACGAATAAAGGAATGATTCCTCTTTAAATGATCTAAAAAACGTTCGTGACACAATATTTATATCTTTTAAGGTTAACTTGCAAGAACGACGGGACGCGACCGACGTCGTGGGCAACAGCTTGCATCTTTGCAAAATCAAATTTTGATCTCCAAAATAACTATTCTACGCGGACGAAGTCGCGGCCACAGCTTGTATATATATATGAATACCTCTCCCTCTTCTCTAGGTATCATAGAAACGTTAATATCCATTTCTCCATCGCTTGTGTCGTCTTTAGGAACGAACGCCATCGTGTCTTGGTGGGAATCATGTTCCGTCTTGCCATACTTCACACTGTCCTGTACTGTTGCAAGTTGTTTGCGCAAATTGTCCACTTCCTTATGGTGTTTTGCTTCTAAATCCGATATTTGCGACTTGTAACATTGTGTTAATGTTGAAATCTAAAAAAATGTTAACTTATTAATATAATATTGTCAGTATATATGTAATGCATTTGTACATAATAAATTAGTTGACTCTATAAACTTTTAAATGTACATAAATCAATGCTTATATACATGTTTTTAATAAGAAAAGTAAAGTAATTAAAATACTTTGTATTTTAACCGCTAAAGGGGTTATATTGTATGTGACCGACTTCAGTCAACGATAGACATTACTTAGTTAATGCATAAGAATACAGTAAAAAATATATTTAAATTAATTCTTTTAGAACTATTAAATACTATTATAATGAGTTATAATGTATCAGACTTTCTAAATTCCAATCCAGGTCAATTGGTCAACAGTCGGTTGAAGAACACTCGAATCCCACCCGTATTTTCAGGCTGTCTACTCTCTATTTAAGATATATGTAATATCACAAATATTTCGTTTCAAGTACTTACTTGCAACTTATGTTGGGTTCTCTCAGATTCAAGTTGTTGAGACAATCGAGTAAGGTCGGTTTGAAGACGAGCTGTTCTTTGTTGCGCTCGCGTCGCCTCAGCGTTGGCTTCCGCGACGCGTTTTCTCGTTGCTTCCAACTCTGCACTTTGTTCCGTAAATTTATTCCTAAAACAATATCTTAGTACAATACTTCTATACCTGTGTCACTGATGGATTTTGTTTACAACTGATAAGACTTCAATACTGTTTGTAGTTTACGCGAGTAGTACACATTTAAATAAAACACTTTAACGACTTCAGTCTTCCCGTGACTTCATAGCATTAAAAATGTTTAATGTCTTCTTTTTATGACAGAAGAAGACAGACTCTTCTCTTTTAAATAAATTTCAGCGTTGCTAGTGTTCAATGATTTCCAATTTTATTTCAATTGATTGCGCTTAGCTTCAATTCAATTCATAAAAAAGTATATAAGACTAGTAAAAAGTATAAATGTACGCACTGTAAAGCGTCCATCTTATGGTTTAAAGCTGTGGTTTCCGTCTTAAGAGCAGCTGTTTCCTCTTTCAGACGCTCTTCTTGACTGTGATCAATTGTCTGATTCTGTCTTAGCACCGCTTGAGCCCTCACCTGTAAGAATAAGAAATCATGTTTTTATTTATTTTTATTCCTTTCTTTTATTTTCATGAAAAGAAACAGTACACATAAATATTAAAAGATGGATCACAAACCTATTCAGGTTTTTCGTCCGTCCGAAAGTCGGAACAGAACATAACAGAATATAAGATTATACAATAAAAAGATAGAAGAATGATAAGTTTAAAAATCAAAAATAAATTGAAAAATTTTTCGACTCGGGCCGGAGTTGAACCGGCATCGTCAGCGTTCCGTGCTGTTGCTCTACCAATTGAGCTACAGTCAAATTATATAGCGCACATGTAAAAAATAAGTTTTGCAATTGGGGTGGGGTAGTGTGTTATTATTTTTGTTCATTTATGGAATTCCATTTCATTATTTAGTTGATCATGAAGTGATCATTTATAATATTTTATTTTAATTACATGTTACTGATAAACATCCGTAACTTCGGGCCATAGTTAAAAGTTAACTAATACATTTCGCGTTTTAAACTATCATATTATTAAAATTTTATTACGAAACGGATGAACTAAATAGATAAACATAGAAGACTTTTCTAATATTGTAATGTGTTACACGAGATAAATAATATTTATATATATAATGTTTTAGTAGATTAATTTTATTGCACAATTGATTGTCTATTGCGTATAGTTATTCTTTGACAAGGAACTTAACTAAGTAAAAAAAAATATTATTAAACGGCTCTACTTACAGAACACTTTACCAAGGAAATGCCCTATTTTATATGTGTGAAATTTCAAATGATATTGGGCTATAGTGAATTATCATTATTGATAAACATAACCAAAAAAATCCATTTCAAATTACCTTATAGCTAGTGTACTCGGTTTTAAGATCGTGTAGTTCTATGTTTGTCAATTTTAACTTCTCATTCACATCAGCACATTTGAATTCCAATTTTTTAATTTTATTATTCAACTCAATTCTTTCCTCACTGAAATGCAAAATACTGTTTTCTTTCTCACTGAGCAACGTCGTCATTTCCAATTCAGCGTCTTCGTTCTTCCGTTTTTCACTTTCAAGGTCGTTAACTAATTTATTTATCACTTCTTTCTTCGCGATTATAACATTATCTTTCTCTGTATTATCTTGTGTAAGTTGTTGCAGCTCTTCTTTAAGACTACGTTTTTGAGCTTCTTCTCCTTTTATCTGCTCTTCTAGAAGCTTGATTTGTGTCTTCAAGGCTGTTATCGTTCCTTCTTGGGCATCAATGGTTGATTCCATCTAAAGAGAATTTGATTTGTATTGTAAATGTAGTCATAAATAGAAATAATAAAAGAGGTGAAGAAGACAAAATCGTCATAGCGCGTCATCAAGCGTTGTCTCTTTCTAATAATCCCTTAACTAAGGTATAAAAAGTTTGTGGGTGTCAATTGAACTGAGAAATACTAAAATTATTAGAAACAACTCAACTATTCGACCAATCCTGACCCTATTACCGTTCTGTTACGGTGATAGACTACAGATATATGTATGACAATTTATAATTACAAAAAACATATTTCTCAGCTGTACCTGCACAATCTTCTTCTTTTTTTCCTCCATCTTGATTGTTAAATCCTTCAAGGATTTCTCATAATCCTCCATTTCTAAGCTGAGCACATTCTTTTTCTTCACGTCGCGTAAAGCTTTATCCAACTGCTGTTTTGTAGATGCATGCGAGTTAAGCTCTGTAGTTAATTTCTCTTGACATTGAGCTAGTTCCTCTGAAAAAAAATAATCAAGTGTTGCTTCTACATACATGTGTTTTATTAAGTCAGATTTAACTGTGTCAGCGACTTCGTCCGCGCAGAATAGTTATTTTGAGCGTCACAATTTGTTTTTGCATTCTCCTCCTCATCTTTATAACCTATACCTGCTACCCATGTAGCTCGCGTCCTATCTTTCTTGGAAGTTAATCATAAAAGATAAACATATGGTCGCAGACATTTTTATAGATTACTTAAAGAAGAATCATTATTTCACATATATTTTTTAGGTATGAACGGACACATATCCCGCTGTTCCTTCGTACCTATAAGTCTATGTTTCTTAGTCTTCCTCGATTCCTTTATCTTTATATATTAGTATAGAGTATAGATTTTATTCACGGACGGTATAAGGTATCCCTATCGACAGTGACGGTCTTAAATTTAAACTCACCTTCTGCTTTTTGTAACGAAGTAGACAAAGATTGAATTTTTTCTTGATGCTCTGAAACCAATAATTGGCTGTCTTGCGGTACTGGAGTCTTGTTCACTGAATCAACCACATCCTCGCTCGATTTTTCTTTCGCACTCTGTTCATTAAGCTGTTTCTTTAATCTACTATTTTCCTGATCTGAACTCTGTAATTGCGTTGTTGTCTCATTTAATTTTTTCTTAAGTTTGAGCGCGAAAATTCTCAATTTTGTGTATCTGAAAAGATGTAAGATTATTATTAGATGTTAAGGAAATTTTCTTTACAGGTTGTCAAACTCACAGGTGGGTTCTAAATCACAGACAATTGATCAAGCATTGGCACAATTCAAAGTTAGATCATTTACTATTAAATTAATAAAAGCTCTGAGCATTAACATGTAAAAACATTTAAATGTTAGACTTGGTCAATCAAATTAGTAAACTGTTGGCATAAATACTTGTCCTCGAAAGTTTCATCTAAATCTTTCATTCGAGAATGGTCTTCTGCTTTCGAAATTGTCGATGTCGACATGTTATCCTCATTTGGCAGTTCAACTACTGAAACATTGAAGAACAAATCGTTTGTAGTTTACGCGACAGGTATAATTATAACAAATACTAGCTGTATACAGAAATAATTACCATTATAAGACTTCTTAATCTTCTCTAATTCCTCTATTAATGTCGTTATTTGTACTTCTCTCTCTTTTAACAACTTGGTGGCATTATCTCTTTCAGCAATTAATTTTTCGCTATCTTCGTTACTTCGATTTGTACTTAGTTCAGCATTTTTTAAACTGGTCTCCAATGAGTCTATTTTATTTAAGAATTCACTACACTTTTCATCTCTTTCTTTCTCAAGGGTTTCAATTAGATTTTCCATTTCTGTAACTGCTTTCTGTAACCTAGAAATAGTTTCACCTCTTTCTTTAAGTACTTGATTTATTTCTTTCATTTCGTTCAGTAATTCGGCATTTTCTGTCTTATAGCTGAGCAGTTTTGATTTTGCATCTTCATATTCTGCAAAAATATTGTCATATTCTTTTACCTTGCTGCGGTGTTCTTTCAAGTCTGAAAGAAGTGAAGCATTTTCTTGCTTGTATGCTGCTACTTTAGCCTCCAATTTTGCTAGATCAGCTTGAAGAGACTCATTCAAATGAGACAAATTGTCATTATCATTGTGGGGCTGCTCTAATGATGATTTCAAAGTATCTATTTCTTCTTTTAACAATCCATTCATATCATTGACATTTTCAAAATCTCTCTTTAGTTTGTCATATTGTTCTTGTAAACTAGTTATGTTGGTTTTAAATTGTTGTACCTCTATACTCTTTTCTTTTACGGCACTGTCTTTAAGATTAATACATTCTGTAGATACGTTTTCAAATTGTTCTTTAATGGTATACAATTCAGTTTTCAATTTCGTATTCTCTATGGCAAGAGATCTATTTTGATTTTCTAATTCAATATTAATATCTTTTGCGTTCAATTTTTCTTTTACTAGAATAGACTTTTCGCTTTCTAATGCCTTTATTTGCAAAAGCAAATTTTCTTTGACATTCTTGTCTTCGTTTTCTTTCAAATTGTGGTACTCCGTCTTAAGTTGGTTTAATTCCTGAGTTAACTTTTCCACCTCAGCAACTTTAATTGTAAGATCCTCACTAAGTGTCTTGTTTGCAAGTATCTTCTCATTTAGAGTAATATTGCGTAATTCATCATAAGCATTTGTTAGTTCTAACAAGTCCTTTTGGAGTTTTGCATTTTGAGTTTTAAAATCACTGTTCTGTTCTTTTAATAGTGCAATTTCTTTAGTCAGTGCTTGTTTTTCAGCTTGAATATTACTTACTTTAACATTTTCACTATTTTGCAATAAATTAACATCATTGACCTGTTCTTCTAATTTTTCAATTCGTGCCTTTAATGCCAAATTCTCTGTGTTCAAAGCATTCATTTGAACATCCAATATTTTAGATGCTTTCATTATTTCATTTTGCCACTTCGGTATACTTTCAGAATATTCTTTTACTGTTTTTGTCAAAATAAATCTGTCATATTTCAATTGATTAATACATGAAGCACATTTTAAAATTTTATCTTTATAGTTTTTAAATTTTAGGCTTATTTTATCTTTTTTTAACTTTTCACTTTCATACATACTTTGCAATTCCCCCATTTTATCTTTGTATTCAGCATCTTTATTACGTAATTCTGTTTCACTGTTATGTAAGGTATATTCCAATTCTTTAATTTTTTCATTTAATTCAGTTATTTTTTCTTTACTATTACCATCTGAAAAGATAAATTAGATTTTAAATCACTATCTTAAAAGGGATGACATCGCCGGTAGGTCACTTGTAAAACTAGTTGCCTAGTATTATGCAGCTTAGAAGTGCTTAATTTAAATCACAGGGAAATAAAGTTTTGATTGGGCAGGGCACAGTAATCTACGTACCTGGAAATAAGAGAAGCTTAAACCAGAGAAACAGACGCATACTCATGTATATGTATGCCCAGCCCCATAAGGGATCAACTTATATTAATTTTAATAATATAAGATGTATATATATATATTAAGTGATTAACTAACCATTCTGTATTTTCTGCTCTAATAATTGCAGCTGCTCCCTTTGCTGTAGCCCAATATTATTAAATTCTGAAGCACTGGCTTCAAGGTCAGTTAATTGTTTAATAAGTTGTTCATTCTCATCTAAAAGTCGATTGTGTTGTCTCTTAATTGATATAATTTCACAATCTAGATCCGACACTTGTTTTAAAGATGTTGAAAGTTGTTGATCTTTCACTATAATATTTGCTTTAAACTTTTCAATATTGTCTTCGTACATTGAACATGTCTCATTAGCAGTTTTTAATTTACTATGTAGTGCATCAATTTCAGTTATATAATTCAGTTTTTGTTCAGTCAGCGAATCCACAAGCTCTTGTAAAGTTTTAATTGATGATAGATTATCCTTCTTCTCTTTCTCATATTCCAATATTTCATTTTGATATTTATTCACTTCAGATTGATACTCTAAAAATTAAATTTAAAGAAATTATAATAACTATATATCTGATCATAGATCTGTTATATACCAAGTTAGGGAGGTTTTGCTGTGTCTTATTTAAATCTTCAAATACCTGACTTTGCTTGTTTTGCTTTCTGAGCGATTACCAAAAGACTTTTACATTTTGTTATAAGTTCTTCTCTATTAAGATCATCAAAATGACTCTTCTTAGTATTGTCTACACCCTAAAAGATAAAATAATTTTGTAATACATTTTGATTTTTATTTCAGAAGTTGTTTTGAAAAACTTTTCATTATAAATAATTAGATATAATTTGCTTCATAACATTGTATATATCATTTATAATGTCTTACCCTATTTTCCATTTTGGTAAGGTAAGTATCAGTGGCTCAGAAACTTTGGCAATAACCCTTACTACTCATAGATGAAAATAATAACTAAACTTGAGATTAAGTTTACCAAATCACCTAAGGGCTAAACCTATGACAAGTAATTTTGAGTAGGTGGCACTTTAGTTTTCATTTTTCTGATTAAAATACTGTTTAAGCAATAGTTTATACTCAGTAATTGCGTTCGTTTTTTAGCAATAAAAATAGTAAATAAAGGTTTTGTGTCTTGATGTTTAATACAAAAAATAAGTTAATATTATTCCTGGGTTTAAACTTCAACTACGATTTGGCAGAGTTATGATCTGTATTTTTCAACCACAGATTGGGTTTTATTTTTAATATAGCCACAGACCCATATATACAAAGTATCGCTCTGTTCTGTGTCTGTAGCTTCCAAAATGACAGTAAATGTGTCCATAATCTATTATATGTTGCCTATATGTGATCCAGAAACAGAATCATTTTTATTTACTGAAACTATACCAATATTTCAGTTTGACTAAATATTGTCATGTGAATTATTAATATTTTACTATTACTTCGTATTATTTTACTTACGGGTACGTAAATAGATCATGTTTTATAAATAAAAAGAAAATAACACTTGGTTGCAACTCTTGCGGGGCGCGTCCATGAGTAATAATATTGTTATATATTTTACATTAGTATCTTGTATAAGTGCAGGCACAATATGGTATTTCATAAATAAGTAAAGTAACATTAGTGCGTTACCACAATGTGTCATTTATCGTCGACCTAGTACCTGATTACATCCGTTTTATTATGCAGAATGTCGAGTGACGAAGATAAACCACCTGCGCCACCAGTGCGCCTTACCAGTAATCGGGCAACAGATCGAGGAGATTCTGTTTCTTCAGTTGATATGAGGCCCTTACCAAAAGGTAACTCACCCAGAAAATACAAAATTGTTAGATTATGTGATTACTTTAATATTCTTGTGATGAAATATTTTTTATTCTAGAACCGGATGACGGAAGTGATAGAAAGAAAAAGACACTGAAAGCTAAAATAAAGGGCTCAAAGAGCACTGCCCACAATGATAACAAGCCAAATATTAGTTACCCTACTAATTTTGAACATACAGTTCATGTTGGTTTTGATGCTGTAACTGGAGAATTCACAGTAAGTAAAATAAATATTATTTATATGTTTGAAACAAATTATTCTTGATCTAAATACTTAACACAGTGTTATTTTAAGTAAATAGTAATATTGTGCAGGCTCTTAGCCTTTCACAGTAATATCATTGTTTTGAGCTTATATGAAACTATCAAAATTCCCAATTAGCGAATTGCACTGACTTATTTTACAATGCTTTTCACTATGTTCATGCTATAAAAGAAATCGTAAGCTTTTATGCATTTTGCTTTGCTTTTACATATCACGTTTCATCGAATTAATTGCAAGCAAAAATTCCCTTCAGAACAAAAACAATTTCAATTTGCTCACAATGTTAATATACAAGTATATGTAGTTCTTTGTTTCTATAAAATAGAGAATATAAAGTATGTTAAAAGACATTGCTCCTATAGTAGAAAAATAATAGTAATAGTATGTTGCAAATATTATTTAGCATGTATAGCATATTATTATAGAAAGCAAGCACAAAAAAACTGGTAAATTGAGTTCAAATTGTTTTCTAATTAGATCAATGAATTTTAAACTCCAGAGCCTCTTTTAGAACAATGCCCAAGCATTGTTTCTTTATTACATGAATACTAATAATTAAAGGGGTCATCCATAAATTTTGTCATATGTCAAGGAGAGGGTCGATGAAATGGGTAAAAAATGACACAAGTGGGTGTATCAGGGGGTCTTATTTTGAGGACCAGAGCGTATATAGTATGTGTACCTTATTCTATTTGTATTATTGTAAGGGGGCATTTAGTGCGTAGATTCTTACTAATGTTATCAGCTGGTACACTTAAGAGGCTCAAAACTTATAAAATTTGTGTGGCATAATATATAAATAGTACCCAATTGAGTTCCATGTATTGCTGCTTTTGTTTCAAGCTGCCTATGACAGTAAGTAATAAATAGTAGCTTATAATGTTTATTATATTCCTCAATACTTAATTCTATTCTCTGATGATCATAATGATGACTAAATAGGGAGTTTCCAGTAATTACATGTCTTTTTTAATGTATGCGGCAACACTGTTGTAATATTTGATGTTATTAATTTTTGTATTCAGTATGATAATCAACATAGTCGGTAGATTGTAGATCTATCTGTTTTAGTTAAGTGCACTGTTATCGCTTGCAATAATTGTAGAAAGTATAAAGATAATAAAAACGTATTATAAAAAACAGCTAAGTCAATAATAGTAATGATCTATTAAACTATAGCATGATTTTTCTAACCTTAAGACCTTTTATTTTGTTTTTACCGTAAAAGAGTTGTAAAAGACTACATATTTTTAGGGAATGCCAGAAGCATGGGCGAGACTGTTGATGGCATCTAACATCAGCAAACAAGAACAAAAGAGCAATCCTCAAGCAGTTCTCGATGTTCTCAAGTGGTATGATGCCTCTGCCACCCAGCCACCAGTGTCAAAATATATGACATCTGCACAGATGCATACGACACATTCAGGTAATAATTATATATTAGATTTATTATGTTCAGTGAATCAAATTATGTTCTGTTATTAGTTCTTCTATTCGATATTGTGAACTTTTTTGGGTCTTCCTGAAAGTTTTATGAAATAACCCAATATTAGTAATGTAAAAAAAAATGAGTTTCTTTTTGTAACTTCATATTAGTTATTTTCTTTTGTCCCTGTATTCCATTCCATATGCGATTTTTAAGGTTATGTAAAAACTAGTATTAAAAAACAGATAACATGGCAAATATACTGAAATTACTTTGTATGTTATTAATAGGTTCTTCAGTATCTCGGGTGTCGTCAAGCAGTCCCTCTTCATCTACTCCTACTGATACTGAGCATCCAGAGCCGCCTCCGCCCCCTCCTTCTCGCCCAGACCGCACCAAGAGTATTGTAAGATTTATCTCTTTTAATGATATACAGAATCTTTGTACATCAAGGACTATCGAAGTTATTTAATTGAAAAATAATTTATTCATGATTCTACATATATTGGCTTGGATTGTGTATATGTGAAATCCCATTTTCCCTGTTGGGCATGGGTGTACACATTTCAGTGTCCATTTCACTGATGGGTTTTACTTCCAGGCAAGTAGTTGATCAGACTTCTGATCTATCGACGACCGAAATAAAATTATGTTTTCCAGTATTTGAACCCAAGACCTCTCGCTGCTTAAATCCATGCTAGGCAACACGTTTAACCATTTAGCTACACAGGAGGTATACAACCGACAAAATACATACATATACAAATGATATATAGGTATATGATTTCATTTAATTGTTTTTTGCAGTATACAAAACCAATAGAGGAAGAGGAGGCACCTCCACCACGACCCACGCCGGCGCCAGCCTCTCCGCCGCATGTCTCGCATCCCGTTCTTACCACACATTCAGTAAGTGTAATTCCCCCCCACTATAGTGCAACTCTTGATGTATTCTATATAATGTGTAACTAAATTAATATACATTTAAACTATATTCTTGTGCTAATAAGTAAGTTAATGACATGCATATTAAACATTTTTCAATATCTCTGTCATTAACTTACCACAACCTTAAAAGTATTTTTATTGGAATATCGAAACATTTTACTGGCCGAATTGAATCACATAATTGGGTTAGTTTTCATTGTACGCCTTTTCAGTCTAAACACAAAACGAATGTTCTATCCCTAGATCTCGAGTAGGGCCGAGGTGGTAACAGTTGTTCCACCGTTGGACCGCAATAAGAACCCAGCGCACACGCCACCTGCACACGCGCAACAAACGCCGCCTAACGGCGCGCCGGCCAACACTGACACAGGGTATGTCAGGTACACTAAGTTTGCTTTTAATTCCGACAACAAGCTTGCCAGGTTTAAACATCTGAAACTCAATTTCATCAATATATAAAGAGATAGGTTGAAGTTTATAGGCCGTTATACTTTATCTTTTACCTTATTACACGCAAGTGTTAAGGTCGAAATTACATTCCGCGAGAGGGGCACAAGCAAATCAGTGTAGCAACGCTAGTACCAAGCCGCCGTAGATACCGGATCAAGTCCGGCTCGTATATTTTTATACTTATTGAACGTTAACTTTTTATAATCAATGTTGTTATTTCTTGCTGAAATTGAGTTTTAGGCATTCATCAAGTCAAAAATTTGTAGTATTGTTTGATTACCTTCAATTCATCTCAAGTTTTACCACTTTCAGAAGATCGGCAGGTCAACAGCAGAGGAAAAAGAAAATGACTGATGAAGAAATTTTAGAAAAACTAAGAACGATTGTCAGCGTTGGCGATCCTAATAGGAAGTATACCAAAATGGAAAAGATTGGCCAAGGGTGAGTGTTACAAGTTAATTGATCATAAATGAGTAACTAAAATACAATGGAAAATGTAAGCTTGTAAACAATGTCAATTTATTTTTTATCTTTCTTTCAATTTATCAAGAAAGAAAGTACTGTCTGTAGTTTACGCGAGTAGTTCACATTTAAAAAGTGCGAAGTGAAGCACTCTCAAAAAAGGTTTAAATCGTATGTAAAACAAAACTCTTGAAAAGGGGTTATTATCATGTTAATCAATATTTAAATGATAAAAATGCTGGGGTGGGAGGAACCCGCTCTTACAAGGAAAAATATGTTGTGTACTAAAAGTAAATCAAGAATGTAAAATGAAACTTGGCGATAAAAGGAGTGACAGCGAGTTTATTGCCAGTTTTTCTCGTTCGTTCTACGCCCTTGATTTGAGAACTGGTAGTAAATGTAAAGTTAGATTCTATAATTATTTTGTGACTTATAAGTGTACATAGTTACCTACATGAATAAATATTTTTACTTTACTTTAAATAAAATCGGGCCGAATTTTAAAAATTAAATAAGTATATATGTCGCGTTTGAATCCGTTAAAGTGTTTTATTTAAAACAGAAACTAAAGTACTAAATTTAATCTTGCAGGGCATCAGGAACAGTCTTTACAGCAATTGAAACCTCAACTGGAATGGAAGTAGCCATTAAACAGATGAACTTAGGACAGCAGCCCAAAAAGGAACTTATTATAAATGAGATTCTTGTAATGCGGGAGAATAAACATAACAATGTTGTTAACTATCTTGATAGTTATCTGGTCAATGAGGCGAGTATACTTATACTAATATATCACAGATAAAAATAAGAAAAGGCGTAAATAAATAAGTGCTAATGGATATGAAATTTATGTATAAAAAAAATAAACACATTTCTGTGACACGGTAGCTCAATTGGTAGAGCAAGAGCACGGAACGCTGACGATGCCGGTTCAGGTCCTGCTCGAGTCGAAATTTTATTCAATTATTTTCGATTCTTTAAATTACATGTTTGTATCCGTTTCACTGATAGGCTCTTTTACAGCTAAACTGATCAGACTTTTGTACTTTGCCCGACTGAAACAATCTAAAGTTTCCCCGGGGCTCAAACCCCGGACCTTTCGAGCTTGATGCGATTCCTATGCATATATTAGATTAAACTCGCAATAAAGAAATTATAGCCTGTCTAAAGCCACTTTCAGATCAAGCTATAATAATAAATGGTAAATTAACAACTTCCCCACAATGTAAACCCAATGATGGTCGTTTGCAGGAGTTATGGGTGGTTATGGAGTATTTAGCAGGTGGATCACTTACGGACGTGGTCACAGAGACGTGTATGGACGAAGGCCAAATTGCTGCAGTGTGTCGGGAGGTGCTGCAAGCGCTGCATTTCCTACATACAAACCACGTGATACATAGAGATATTAAATCTGATAATATATTGCTTGGACTTGATGGCCAAGTCAAACTGAGTAAGTACTATTATTTTGTTTAATTTGACCAATTTAAATAATTATGCTTAAACTCTAATTTGTTTAACAATAATCGTAGAGTACAACTATTAATCCATTAAACTAAAGGCAAACATTCTTTGATATAAAACACTCTGGCAGGGCTCGTGGACTCATGCGTGACCCAAATGTTGCATGTATACTAGCTAACTATGACATAGTTGGAACTAAGTAATATATTTCGCGTGTTAAATAGCTAAAGTGTCATTTTAATAAGTGTACTAATCGCATAGTCAATACAAATATTTTTTGTTTTAATAAAGATATATATGAAGTTTTACATTGAGTAATTGAATTGCGACTCGGGCAGGACTTGAACCGGCATCCTCAGCGTTCCATGCTGTTGCTCTAACCAATTGAGCTGCCATGTCCTACACGTCATCGTCGAATTTTTTCAACCTTTTTGATATACATGCACCTCTCGCGCAATTTATTTTCGATTTTTATAGCTAATTTATATAGTGCCATCGTGTGCAATAACAATTGTATTCTGTATTCTTTGTATTTTAATATACACATTTGTATTTTTTCACAGCGGATTTCGGTTTCTGCGCGCAAATATCTCCAGAGCAAAACAAACGAACTACAATGGTCGGCACGCCTTATTGGATGGCCCCAGAGGTTGTAACTAGGAAGCAATATGGACCAAAGGTGGGTAATGGCTTATATGAATACTTTATGCCTCGTTAATTTTGCTTTTTTGTGTCCCACAATGTCTTTTCTTCCTAACTAATCCATTATTTTATCTTCCAGGTGGATGTTTGGTCTCTAGGTATAATGGCGATTGAAATGATAGAAGGCGAGCCGCCTTACCTCAATGAGAACCCACTGCGCGCCCTCTATCTTATCGCCACGAACGGAAAACCAGATATAAAAGATAAGGACAAATTAAGTGCAGTCTTCCAGGACTTCTTGGACCAGTGTCTGGAAGTTGACGTGGAGAGCCGCGCTACTGCACTTGACTTATTAAAGGTGAGATTAATTATCAAACTCTATAATTAGCATTGGATATCAACTAGCCTTAGTTACGTTTTAGACTTTTGATGAGGTATTTTTGATGGCCGATAGTAATTACTGACAGTTTCTGAGAAGTCTGGATACTAAGAGCAGAATTTAGTCTTCAAGCAGAAGCACCGCCCATTCACTGAAAAAGTTGAAGTGGAGTAGTTTTAGTAAAGGTTTTGCTTTTCATTGTGTTTTCAATTTCTCTAAACGAAAATAGGTCAACATTGTTATCTACCTATAACTTGTCTCTCCTCTTACTATAAAATATGAAAACTCAATTCTATATAATACTTTCAGCACCCATTCTTAAAAATGGCTCGACCGCTAGCTTCGTTGACGCCGTTAATTATGGCAGCGAAAGAGGCGGCTAAGGGGCATTAGCGCAGGCCCGCGGCCGAAGCTCGTGCCGCCTGCCACGCGCCCCGCTAGCGCGCCCAGTGCCTCACCGACCTGCAGATGCGCGTGCGCATCCCTGCACTGCTACAGGTGCGACTCTGCGTATCTCTATTTCTGATATTTAGGTATAGAGAAACATTCGCAAGGGGCGATCTATATACTACGTCACTATAAAAACTATACATTCAAACTAGTTTTGCACTATTGACAACGACAGTATCTTACTATATAGTAGTCAAATTTGACCAACTGTTCTAAAAAAAGGGGGGCGGGGTTGGGGGTTAACTAATGAAATTCGTTCGACGTAACTTATAGATAGCCCCAAAGTGGCTGCGTGTCAAACAGAAATTATATTTTTACATGCAACTATGAATTAAAGATGATGCAGTCCAGTAGGCTTAACGAGTACTGTAGTATCGAGTAGAAGGGTTATTTATTCTTGTTAGACGTGGACTCTGATTGACGTGTTTCGCTCGATGTAGTCGGTTCGGATAATCTGTAGATAGATTAGTGTTAGGGCTAATTCGAAACGTTACGGTTTATCTACAAACGAAGACTGTCAGTTTATAAATTAGAATTATAAATATTAGAATACGTATAGTACTTTGTATTAGTACGATCGGTTTTGTTCCAATGTGACGGGGAGGGTAGTTTGAAACACGTCACTGCAGAGCGAGAGCTTAGCGTTAGCTATAGGCTGTTCTATAGTACACTTATCTTCTTCGGACAGAAAGCAACGATTATGCTGTTAAAAATGTAATCTATGGGAAAGACAATTTGTTAAAATCTTTATTTTTCATTTTATTAAATGGACAATTGTAACAATATCTTTAGTGTCCTAATGATAATATCTAATGCCAATTCTCGACCATATTTTATTTTTAAATTGTGAAATGTCTGAGGAGAAATAAAAGTTTAGTAAAAAATGTAGATGCAATAGACGGCAAGATGCTGAGAACATAAAGTGCTCTTTTATATAAACCTTATTAATACGGCCGACGTAACTTGGCAAGTCTTAGCGCGAAACGCTGCGCAGAATTAATGTTCCTTAGGATGTTCAGGTGGTAAGAGCGAGGTGCGCGGGACGGGGATCTAGGCTAGAGATTGACTCAATGTCAACACAATCGCCCGTTTATTCTATCAATTTCGTAATCGATTTAGATTATGGATTTTTAATCGTATGGGATACTGTAGTAAATGGATTTATGAGCACAGTGAATGGTGTTCTTAATAAACGATACCATGATTTCTTTTAAAGATTAATAAATAAATTCATTAAAAACTTGTTTTTCTTTATTAAACGACGTGATTTAGTTAAATATGAGTTATTATTTATATAATTACTAGTTTTACACATTTTACAAATATTTTTCTGCGATCTAATTTTGTATATTTCAATAGGAATCGATTCAACGACACGTTTAAGGAACGCGTATGGACATCTCTATTTGGTTATTTCGTAAAGCTCCGAACATATTCGGTAAACAGTAGTGTGTCTCGGTCACTCTTTGGCGTTTATTTCGTTATCTCTGTCTTGAGCGCAGTCCGTTAGAAAAGTGATTATTTATTGTTAAATTAATTACTATTGTTTCTCTTTTGTTATATTTTTGTTTTGCCTCAGTATTTTAGTAGAAGATAAGAGTTCATATCCCTTATTCTCTTTGAATCAATTATTGGTATGTTACTTTTGCTTTCTATATGTAAAATCTTTCATTTGTCCCAGTAACGAAAATTAATGGCAGTATTCGTTTTCTCTACGAGTGTACATGCGCTAAAGTTCGCCTAACCTATGTTCAGACTTGCCAAGTTACTTCGGCTGTGTTTTACTTATATTATTTTTTTATAAAAATTGCTTTAATTATTTTTATAGTATTCATACTTTGCTTAATTACTGAATCAAACGTGTTGCGATAGGGGAACTTTTTAATGCCCTGTATTTTAGTTTTACGCTTTTGAGTTTGTCATTAATTAATCATAATTAATTAACTATTGTTAGTCATGAAAAAAAGCATTTACATAGTATTAAGTTTAAATAGTTTATGATGGGACTTACCTGAAATACTAAACTACATTAAATCGTAATTAGGTTTTTTTTTTGTTGCACAAAAGTAAAATATAAGTGACCTTCAGTAACACTAATATAGAGAGCTAGTATACCTATAGTTTGCACATTGAAAAAAATAAAATAAAACTGTTTTGGACTAAATCTTAAATTATTCACAAGTTAATAAATTACCTATGACTCGTTTTGAATGATTTTCAGCGTATTTGGTCCTGGGGTGTTAAAATTAAAAATGAATCGCGTTTCAACCCGTTCAAGTTAGTCACAGTAAGTGTTAATGCTGTAAAAAACTGTGTGTGGATTTAAAAAAATAAAAGCTAAAAATATTTTTATTTCGCTAAGGCTAATAAAAAGTTGCGTTAAATGATATAAGTCTACACACAATTATGAATATTTTTATATTAGCTCTCTTAATATTACGAACTGTAATTTGGGATTCACCATATTATTATAAATAAGACAATAGTAGATGATAAAGAAAATGTAATCAAATCACGTAATATGAATTATAACTATGTAACGTAATGTATAGCATTTTCTTTTAATATTTGTCTCTCTGCTTATATTGTATAGGTTGTGCCGACAGATGCTGATATCAATAACTTCACTAATATTAAACGGTGAGATTAATATTTTTAAATTTAATTCTATATAAATATAATAACGTTAGGTTGCAATTAACAACGCTTACTTAGTAAATCGAGATTACGAAAATGTTCCATGTCAAGTGCGGTTCTTTAAGTGTCAGTTTTGATATCTCTTAATCTAATCTTCTCACATTGCTGGCTATAACATAGTATTTCATTTGACAAATTCTCGTATCTGACACGAGGATGTTGCACGAAGCGATTAATACGAAACTTTAATTAATTAAATAAAGTCGAGTTATCTATAAAATAAACGTCACAATCATGTTCATTTCAAAATATAAGAACTCCTTATCAGGGCCGGGTTTAGACAGCCGGGGCAACCGCTCCGGGGTTTTCCACAAAAAAAAGAGGGGCCCAACAATATTTATTTTTTTAAGGTTTTTATTTTAGATTCCTTGCTTTCGATTATACGTCTTTGTTAATTGTTACAATTATATATTAGGTTTCACAGTAAATTATTTATAAAACTTAACTAAGAATACATTTTTACTTTATTGGGAAATTTTATGAGGCCAGGAGCCCCGAGGCCTTCAGAACTCTAAATCTGGACATGTGCTTAGTTTTTTTTTTCAATAGATTTAATGACCGATTCTTGGATGACGCTAACTTGACAACTCTCTTTGTGGATGTAAAGATTAAGATTTTTTTATTAACTGGCAGACACGTCATAATGTAATTATTGTTCCATCATAAGAAAATCAATGTTAAGTATTATCTTTAATTACTTATGATTATGATCATATAAACATATACCAAACCATTTTGCCCATATGGTAGATACCGGACTATGTTATTTTAAACATATGACGGTATTCACTGAAAGGTTTCTTTACTAATCGCCAATACGCTACATATTAAAGTATTATTATATTTAGTATATGTGCTGCGTATGTTTCGCTACTAATTTTAACATCGGCCTATGCGGTATTTTAAATATGGGGCCATTCGTAAATTACTTCACACGCGGGGCGGGGAGGGGTGGCACGTGACAAGGGGCGAAAGGTGTCAAGAATAATAAATAATGTGAGGTAGTTTAAAGGTGGCCCCGATTCCTAATTCTCATCAAACTGTACAATAGTAAACTATAGCTAGAAGACGTACGAGAGCTTGAACAAATTCACTGTTTATATTTAGTTCATAGCTAAGGTGTATTATTAATTGTAATATTGTGATCTTAAAGATGAATTTGAAGCATTAGATAAGAAAGTAATTTGTAATTATCTGGAAATGTATGAATAAAATATAACGTACTAGTTATGTATGAGTCATCGTTGCAGTTTTTTATTTATCACCAGTGCCATTGTATGATCTACTAGTAATTATTAAACTTCTATTGTAATAAATACAAGTCTCACCTTGATTGCACGTAGTTTTGCTTTTTAGGGTTCCTTAAGGGTCAAGTGACAAGACAAACTCAACTAAACTGGTAATAACTAGTTAATTGAAATTTTCACAAAAATATTATATCACTGTGGCCACTATAACAAACAAAAACATTTAAGGGGGTTTCCGAACAATAAAGACTCGTTTTTTGCGGCGCATTTTTATATGAACGAATGAACTCCTCTTGCGCAGGTTCGACTAGCACTTTTGCCGGTTTCATTTTAAACAAACTTAGACATAACTACATCATATATTATATGAGTCGGAGTAGAAACACCATGTATGTATTAATAAAATATATCAATTAATAATAATCACATTAAAGAACATGCAGTCTTACATTCTCTAAATGTTTACAATTATCGATTCCACAGATAATTCTAATTTTAACTGGGTATACCGATATTTATCTGATAATAATTGTAAAGGTGTAGGGAAAATGAATGAAAGCAATATTAAAAATATATATGTATATTGCTATAAGCCTTAATCTAATCCAATAAATATAATATAGTTTGTACTTAAATTTGCGACATAAGGAAAAAGCTAAAACTAACCACTAGTGACACTTAGTTATAAATAATAAAATTAATATGACTTGACAGAGCGGTAACTATTGTAAATATGATATCCCAAGATATCAATGACACGTTACAATATGATAATTTTAACAAAAATATTTACTATACTTTGTTATAACATAATGTTTAAAATACATTTCAGTTAAGTACAATTAAAAATCCATCTAACCGCATTAATATGATGTAAAGCAACTCCACGCCTAATCGTTTCGCTCTTCTGCCGGAATGAAGTCCATGGACGCCGAATTAATACAAAAACGTTTCTTGCTGGGCGCCGGCCCATCGTTAAACACGTGTCCAAGGTGAGCTGAGCACTTGGAGCATCTCACCTCAGTTCGCACCATACCTGGTCGTGTTAAAACCAGTAATATATTCGCCCCAACTATGTCCATTCACAATAAGCCATTATTAAAACACATCACATATAACAGCAGTGATATCCGTGATAGATCCGAAATGATTTTCATGATGGTTGGCAATGTTGTTGTCGGCGGCACCAGTTGTCATCCGGGCAGCAACCGTCCAGGGAAGGCGGGGGGCAGGATAGATGGATCAAGGTGTGAAGGCAAATGCAAATTAATGTCATGCACATTCCATTCATGCAATTTGAGGAGGTGCCGATATGAATAAAGTGTATGACATCAATGGTGATTAATAATGTCAGGAAACATTTATTCGATGGAAGCAAATAAAGTTTGATATGGTTTATGAAATATATAAATGTGTTTTGGTGTTTCATTATCATGGTACAATCATAGCATCCATCATTGTTAACTTACATTTTTGTGTGGGACAGGAGAAAATCAAAAGATGACGAGGAGGCAGGAGAGAGAAAAAAATAATAAAATACATTAGCACCAATATTCCCAACACCATATTTAATTTGATAATAAAAAAAAATCTTAAATATATACATAATGAGATCAGTATCTCAACAATCATATTCTTTGATTGCAAATAATACAAACTGAATAAAGAAAATACTTTCCATAATACCTTATAAATATGCAATATTTGTTGTAGTGGTGAGTGAGTTAATAAATCACACTTTTTAATGAGATTAGATAAACATCAAAATATAAGTTCTTTTTATTACTGTGACAAGCTGAACCTACATCATTAGTGTAAGCTCAGTGATTAGATATCTTGTAACCTTCACCTCTGAAGAATGGTTAAAATGTCTTCATGTACTTATGGACAGTTGAAAATCATTAAAATATAAAGGTTAAATAAGTCGTTTTTTTTTACATGACAATAAGAAAAGTTTAAAAATAACAAATAAGGAGATTTAATATCAAGCAATGGCATAACTGAATGAGAATGAAAAACATTGACAATCAATGTTACACTACATCCATTGTTCCACTAGACTGAATCCCAAACGTTATGAGTGAAGCATGAATAAATAGCATTGCGTCAATGAATTTTATTAGTAATTTGTGGATTAGGTCTGTTAGAAAAGAAGCAAAACTAGTAAGAAGGTAGAACAACTCAAAAAGCTTTAATTTTGATTAAGATGGAGTTCCAAAGTACATAAATTCCACCTTCTTAATTAGTTTTTGTTAATAAAATTACATCAATGAAAACATACCAGCACTTGTATCCTGGTGTAATGTCACTTTTTCTTTAGCAAGTACATCATTGAATGCAGGCCAGCCACAGCCAGAGTCATATTTAGTTTTAGAAGTGAATAATTCTTGTCGACACACTATACAAACGTAAAGACCTTCTTCATAGAATTTGTTGTAACACCCTGAAAAATATGTTAGATATTAAACAATAAATTATTTATACAATATGTAAATATATTTATTTATATTTTATTTCGAATACCAGTAAAGGGCCGTTCAGTTCCAGCTTCTTGTGTGACGTGGTATTGAAGCGGCGTTAATCTTTTCTTTAAAGACTCCTTGTCTTCCATGGCTCTCCAAACTAAGGCTGGAAACAATTACGCACATCTTGATACATATCAATTCTTTGCAAATCTTGATAAATATTAAAACATATACGCTTACCTGTAGTAAATGGGTGTCGCAACTGGACACTTCTATTGGACTGTACAGTTTTTCTAAATATAGTCACCAATGGTCTCAATATAAGACGCATAACTTCATAACAGAGATACGTTGAAATGGAAGCAGTTTAAAGGTTGGAAGCCTTTATCTTAAAAGTTCTGAGAGTAAGATAAGATAATGTAAAGGTTATTACAAGTTTCTAGACATTAAAGAATAAGTTGGAACGTAATTCACTAATTCTATGTATTTTATGTTTTAAAATACATAGTAATAAGTTTGACGGAATAGATCATCTGACAGATTGACAATTGACAAGTGTTTTAAGACAGTTAAATGATCGCGAAGTGACAGTAATAATTTGCTACACACTTTTTTTCCTAACATGCATTTTGCCATTCGCCCTATAATTATTGATTGGGTAAAGTGATTAAACAAATAAAATAAGTAATAACAAAACCTTTTAAACTATAATATAATATTCCTAGTACCTACATTTACTATTAACAAATGTACGGAGCAAATAATCAACTAGAAGAACTTAGTAATTTATTAACAATAAATTTTAATACAATTAAGGATTTACATGATTTTATGAAATTATGAATATTAAAAAAAAATTCAAACATTAAGGAAATTAGGTATTCCAGAGGAATATTTGGTTCTAAAGTTGCAAAAGATATGCGATTGTTGTGTTCTGCTTGTTTATCAATTATTGTATAGCCAACGACTCTTTACTTTTTTGCATTTGCATTAAAACATATTCGGTATCATCTTGCTCAGAATCAATCTGACACGCTGGTTTCTCGATAGTGCCACCTCGTTTCGTGGTTTCAGTAAGAAGTGGCTGCATCTGTTAAGGACAATAATTACAAATGTCTTACTTTACAACAACTAATGTTTTGTTAGGCATTGGGTATTAAATTAGTTTTATTGAACTCGCTGTGTTTCATGTTAGATTTTTAATGTATATAAATTAAAATGTAGGTACAATAATACACAATAAGTACTAGCAAATTATACTGCGTACGCGCCAAGAAGTGTTGGAAATCAACTTAATCTTACACTACTACCGACAGCGCCCGTAGGTGATAAACCGTATTGCCAAATATCAGTGCTAAGTTCTTCAGCTTGTGGCGTCATCCATTTTCGCATTCCACCAGTCCGTCTGCGCCAACGTGGCTCTGAAGTCTAAAACAGTTAGGAATGGCACTTTACCTGTTATTTAACCGTTTTAAACCTGTTTTTTATTTAAAACTACAAACTTCCAATCATACGAAAGTGCAATTCCATTACTGTAGTTACATACATACAAACGTTTTTTTTAATATACGCACTTGCATATTTTGAGTACTGAAGCACTTTCTAGAAGAGCTATGGCGAACGTCGGCACCGACTTTTTCATCGGCAACGTTTTGACACTTAAAAATTAGTTGATTTATTGCGTCCCATAATATAACACACGGCAGTATTACGAACATTAAAACATTAAGAATGAATTCCATATATCTAAAAAGAGAGAAGAAAGAGGTAATAGAACATTTCGTCTACCTTCCTCAGAATACATTTTTGGATACTTTTCGACCAAGCAGTAGATAAAAATAGTCTGCTCACCTTTATAATTGCAAATTTAAATAGGCAAAGCTACTTCGATACGTACTTGCTGACGAGCAGAACACTTCGCTTTTTAGTATCTGGATGAACAGGCCAACCATCCTTGTCATAAGCAACGGTGCGGCATTTTAGAGAACTCTCGTAGTAACGGTCAAGTTTTCGTGGAACCTTTAGTACAAACTCTAGACCCCACGAACCAACACATGGTAGAAATAATCCTAGAATCGCTTTTATTATCCCTGTAATTTGGAGCAAATATATACGATTTTTAACTTTAATTAATAAAATACATCCTTAAGTTAACAAAGTACTAACTAAATATAATGTGTAAACTTTTTTTGAATATTTTTACACATGTGTTATATAAACCTACCAAACACATGTTTTAGTCCTTTAATCGTTTTGGATATTATGTCAGTTAGTTTTCAAAGATACATACACATATGCATACATATATGCGCTATTTATAACATAGCTTATTAAAATATATTCAATATTCTTAGCACTAGAACGAAACATACGTCACACCTACATTGACTGTCAAACCCAATAGTCTCTTTTAGATTGGCTGACACAAGTTACAATGTTGTTGGTACACTCACCAAAGATGATTAGCATCAGAAGCACTCCAATGAACACGACAAATATATTTATTGATACTGTATCCGGATAACAGGCAGAACGGGTGCGTCTCGGACTTTCAAGAGTAGATATACCAGCTGCTACCTGCTCCAATTCAGGCATATTGCGACAAAGTAATTTGGGATCATCGGCTGAAAATGTTTTAATTCTCACTTTGTGATATTGGTGTTGAAATGAAATAGCAAATAAAATTTTAATTAGTATTAAGTTATTTATCCTCCTATATCCCTTTTTTAATGATAGATGAGGCCACAACCATTGAGTTCATTAGATGAGAAGTGAAATACCAGCCATATTTGGATATGGATATTGGATATATTATTATGATTCTTTACCTCAATAAGACAATAATTGTTAAATAATAGGTACAAATATTAATAAATATAACTTATTGTTGGATTATACAGGCCGAATCACGTTTCAGTCTTACTACGAGACAAGTTATTAATTATTTCGTGTTACAATAAAAGATCATGGGAAAAAACTAAACATAGAGAATTCTAGTGTTATCCGGCTCAAAGGACCTAACTGTTGTGTTAGCCATGTTGCTATATCTATTATTAAAAATAATAATTAACAAATAAAGTTTATTTTATAAGGCTTACTCAGACAAACGCATTCACAATGTCGTATGCAGAAACAACGATCGTCTGCCTTAATTCTAACGTCCCGCGTAGCCACCGTCTCACCGTCACCATTTAACAAGGCAACTAAAGATTTAAAAAAATATCCAGTGTTCTAATTTTGAATTCACAAGGCAATTAAAAATAAAGTAACATAGTATTCTAGATTATAAGAATCTTACTTGTACAAGTGTAATCTTCAAAAGACTTCTCTAAAGGAAGTTCCATTGTAAATTTCTTCGTATGCATTGGTGGTATTAAACATTTTTCAGTATCGAGCGTCACTGCTTCATTTTCATTAAAATCGAGCCGTGGATTACAATCACGTGTAGTAAGGCTGTTTTGAAAACAAAAGAAACAATAAAACACAGGGCGTTAAAAATTTGTATATTAAAATTTAACACTCCTAAGTGTCCTAGGATCAGACACAGATTAGACACGTTTTAGTTTCTCACTGATCGATTTCAATTTCTTTTAAGATAGAGGAGAACAAACAAGATTGGTGAAATACCCCAGCTATATAATATCTAAACAAGATACGCTGTCGGCCTTTTTTTTTAACTACTTAACATGTTTTAAACTACTTAAGCTAATTATAGTAGGAATAATTCATATGTACCTAACTTATAAGTATGCACAGCGTTGACTTTTGACTTTATTATGTTTTATATTATTTATATTTGGCTACTAATGAATCAGATTTTTTTTGGCCGACGAAACGATATAATATATTCTTACGCGAATAAATCGCACTGGCCAAAATGCGTTCCGTTTCACATACTTGTTTATATTCCTACATTCCTTTAACACCCAAAAGGATAGTTTTCAATGCTACTCATAAACGGAGCGTTAATTATGGAATTTCTACCTTATGAAGGAATGGCAGTTTGTTTGATACTGGTTCCAATTCCTAGTTTATGTAGTTCAAGTTTAGTCTTTGTTTTGTAATACGGATTCATTTTAATGATAAAAAAACATTAGTTAAAAGATTTAGCTAAGCTAGTTTTGTTTTTTTTTGCGATGCAGATTTTTTACTTTACCTAAAATATGCGGGAGCCAGTCCAGTATTGGTTACTTGTAGATATAGCGTAGATCGTAGTTTACGTGTATCAGACACGATTGACGTTAGACGCGCAGAGGACCTTTAAGAAAAGAGTAAAAATTAACTTATTATTTTCATTAAAAATATTGATTTTGTGTGATATGAATTTTTATTTATTTATACAATGTGAGCTAATGCAGTTTCACAAGAGGACCTGCCATAGTTGAAAGAATATTAAGGCTTTGACATTTTGGTTTAGAACCCAAACACTGCTTGACACCGGGCTGTATCTCATAATCCTTGATAGTTAAACAGTTTTAATCTTCAAGTAAGGTCAGTTAACATAAATAACTAGTAGTACACATTTAAATTAAACACTTTTATTAATTTAAAATTGTGAAATATATACGTTAACTTATTTTTTAACTACGACCCGACATTTGAGACATCTACAGGACCCTTAATAAAAGGGGGGTTGACTAACTTGTTTATTTATTACGCATTTGAATTCGTTTAAAGTCAAATTTTTACCGATGATAACAACAAATTCCATTGTCACAGAAAATGTGTTTTTTTCAGAAAAAAAATATACACAAACCATTGCATGGAACCATTAGTAGGCTCTTAGTCGGTCTCTCCTTTACTATCAATAATTAGTAACATACATTTGGCACCCACCCGGGAATAATCAATTTATTTTCATCAGCTCTAGTTTCCAAGTCCAACTGTGCATGGTGAGGTAACCTATGAGGTAATTTCAAGTAGCGATCTGATCCACGCTCCACAATATCAAGGTCAGCCATGCTTCCACCCATCAAAGCTCTACTGGTCCTTATTATTACATGACGTTTATTCTTAAAAAGATAATGTTGTTATTAGATCGTATAATTATACGAAACTGAGGTTGTGTGATATACACACTGTGTTTTGTTGTACAACAAGCAGGAAGAAATTTTTAAATTTATTTTAGAATATTAAAAAAACATTTAAAAAATCGCAAAGTGTTTTTAGTGTAAATCAGCAAAAACCTTGTGTGAAAATCACGATTTTATGTAAATTGTGTTTGTTTATTAAAAACGCCAAGTTAAAAAAAATATACTATATATCATACTTTAATTACATTAGTATCAATCTATTTAAAAATAAAAATTACTAAATTAAAATAAATAATTATCAGATTTATAATAAAACTAAATAGTGGCTACACCTTGATAGAAGTATCCAGGTCTGCATTGTTTAATTCATCTCTCCCACTTTCTTTCTGCGATTTGACGACTATAACGTCGTCTATGGGCACTATTACAAATTTTCCAATATCACCATTCCCTACGTAAAATAACATTTAAGTGGGTAATAGATATGTTAATGTTGCACCAGCACTGTTATAGATCGATGGTTTAAGTTGCGTTAAGCGCGAGACGTCCCGGGTTCGAGGTCCGGGAAAAATGTAATAGTTTCAGTCGGGCAGGGCACAGACGTGTCGACTAGTTGCATATAAATATAGATCATCGATCAGTGTCAAAGGGGGGCTTTACGAGATTTCATACGCAAGTAGTACTGTCTACGCATTGAAATGACACTAGTTATTACACGATATTTTTTAACTACTCGTTACACAGCTGCTAGCAAAGCACTAGAAATGTCACAGTTGAAAATTATTAAATTATTGTAATTTTTTATTTATATGTAATTGTAATATTAAAGTATCGTATTTTAATTCGTTGATATTTTTATTTTACTATACGAGTAAGTGTCTATTAGGTTACCTTTTAAATATATACTTTGTTTCATAAGAGGAAGCACCAGGCACAAACTACCCGCGGGCAGCTCAAACTCCTCTCTATTGATAAAGTCTTTGGTACGATACCGAACGCTCAAATCATTATTCTTCCAAATAGGGTCAACTGTGCTTACGCTGAAAAAGATTCATTTATATGGGGTTGTTCTTGGTTAATGTTATCAATAATTACTATGAAACAATAAACATAGTGTTACATATTTGTGTTTAAATTATTGTATCACCCGAATATACTTATGACACTCTTCTCTGCGGAGAATTCCTCTATACCTAGATGTTTCCGACATATATTTAAATGCACAAAAAAATCACATCTTCTCCATGAATTGTTTTTTAGCACAGTAGTACGATAAATACTGCAAACAATAGTCTACATTGTGACTGTAAATAACTTTTTAATAAGTGTTTTAAACAGTTTTTTTTTCCATTTATTAGGTAAAAATGGTGAGTCCTTAAATAAAACACATAATAAATGGTAACTAAGTACATATACAAATTTTAAAACTTTGTCACTAATGTAACGCTTTTACGGTTTAAGTAAGACACTTTAACGGTTGAAGGCGCGGTATATATTAGTTAAGCTTATTTGAAAACTACCCGTTACCATGGCTGCCAAAGCATTCAAAACGTCGGGCCGTAGTTAAAATAAATTAAACTAATATATACCGCGCTTTAAACCGTTAAAGTGTTTTATTTAAATGTGTGCTACTCGCGTAAACTACAGACAGCTTTAACGGTTATTGTTTCCCACTTCTCTAATAAAAAAAAAAACAAACTACCTTACAGGTCCCTGCTGCGTCAAGTCATTCCACATCGTTTTCCCTTCAAATGTAGTCACCTTTTCGTAAAGCTGTATTTGGGCATTGGACCATATATCAGGACGTCCAATTTCGTATAAAACAAAATATGTTTCCGATGGACTAGTATGAGGACTACTTGTCACATTATTTAAGTAGATGTTTGTTTGATCGTCGAATCCACGTCTTAGACCTTGTCCCAACTCTTGCGCATTTTTAAAATGTCTGTTCATTTTTACATTATTGGTTTTCGTATTCAGAGATTGGGTATTTTCGGTTAGAGATATACTTCTCTTTGCTGTGAAAAATGTAAAACCTTATTTGTTACTGCACTAAAAACAAACGAAGTTTTTTTCTACATAGGTACATAATTTATTCCGAAAACTTATTGTATTACTAATACTACGCAAATACAAACAATTATAATATTGCATACGATACGAATAACCCTTTTGGTTTGATCCCCGCATATCAGTGAACTTTTAATCTAAAATACTTGGAATAAATCATTTCTTAACGGTACGAAACGTAAGTGTATTTGTAAATCAACGACCAAACTTTCGGATGCCTTACACTGTAAAGTTACAGCTATGTAGTCTGCGTTTGAAGATGTTAAAGATGTTTTGTTAAATGTGTACCTACAAGTTGCATAAACTACGGATGCAATGAAAATACTTATTTCAATGTTTACGCATTGTCAGGTTTCCTCCTAATATTATTAAGAAACATGAGATAAATAAGCCAATGGCTTCGACGCGATCTCGTCGCGTGAATTTCGAATGTACTAAGAACAGGTTTAGAGAGCTGCCGTGGTGCGGGGAGTGACAGAGCACGCGCGAGGTACGGCGAGGCGGCGCGAGGCCGGTTTCCCCTCGCTCTAACGACCACCGGCCCATTAGTAAGCTCCACAAACTGGTTATGAGCACACCATATTCTCTCTACACGCAATGGAGGCGTTCATCGAAGGTGTAAGGATGCAGCCGTGCTTATGGAACCCCCTCAATCCTGACAACCGCGATATGCACATTAAGGACGAAGCTTGGCAGCGCGTTGTGGAACATTACAATAACCGATCCATACCGAACAGTGAGTATTGCTACGATTTGAAAGTCGTTATGAAATAGCGCACAAATATTATTGCACGTGCTATTTCTAACGCGTTTGATTGTATACTGTGTTGGCTTAGCGCGCCCAACTTTCTTCGTTCGTGAGGTCGAGTTCGATCTTGCGTGTACTTGTGTGTGTATTCGAATATCAAAGCCAAAAAAAGTCGACAGCACTTATTTAGATGTTATATGGATAGGGTAAACCAACCACCAAGCGAAACCTATGCTTTTCTGTCCTCCTCTATCATAGATAAAATAAATATATATCAATTAACAACAAAATGACTCGCTCTTTCTGCAACTTATAATAGTGACTAAAAACGAACTTCTTTTACAGTTCAAGTAGCTAAAACAGAGTGGAAGAAATTACGAGACAACCATCGAGATGCGCTTAAGCGAGCAAAGTTAGGCAAAAACAAATTGTTACCGGCACAAATCACGACGTGGAAATACGCTAAGGCTATGCAGTTTCTAGAACCGCATATGAAATACAGGATAACAGAGAACATACAAATAGAGCCGTCCACGACACAGAGTAATAAACCTAGCGCTAATTTGAACGATAGTGACGTTTCGACCACAGACAACGAAACGACAGGGACGAATTCTAAACGACGCTGCTTAGAAAACACAGTCGTTTTGAAGTTAGAACATAAGAAAACACAAGAGAACGACGCTCTCGAGTCATTCTTCAAATGTATGTTAGAGAGTACTAAGGTAATGCCGCACTGGATGCAAACACAGGTGAAGAAAAAAATATTCGGCATCATTATTGACGCAGAGGAACAGTTATCCATGTCGCCTCAAGAGCAAAAAGCAGGTCTAGATGAGGCGCATAGTTTACCTTTAGGAAATGTGGTTAAAACTGAAGTCCATTCCGATAATAGCTGCGACATTGATTATAATAGTTAGCCATTTGTAGGCTTACATTAAAATTTCAAAACATTTGTTAATTTGATAACAATCAGTGCCAGTCTCAGCTACGTGCCGTGAAGTGTTTAATTTTCTTGTATTTTATTTTATAAATTACTATTTAAATAAAACGTTAACTGTTTAAAACACGAAATTTCTTAATAAAACTTATTCACCGGGAGACCACGGTAGGGGGAGTAGTTAAAATATTTCGTACCAAAAGAACTAAGATATTTCGCGTTTTAAACCGTTAGTGTTTTATTTAAATGTGTTTTCTTGCGTGAACAGACTGTATTTTATAAATTACTTCTTTTCGTCCGACACTTTGTCTGTTTGTAAAGTGACCTTCCTAGCATTAAATTTAAAAACTACAATCAAAACTATATTCCAGCTATCTTTTATGAACCCAAGTCACCACAGATAGTTGTTCTTTATAATATGTGCAGCGAATATAAATTCCTAAGAGACACTTTTATTACTGCATCTAGTTTTAGTGAAACAAATATAAGTATTACTTTTCTATTTCTATTGTTTTGATTTTTTAATGATAGTACCCTAAAAATATTAGCTATATGGCACAGAATAAGCAAAGACTATAATTAATGACATACGTTTTTGATGTAATGTGTATTCTATATGTAATCTATACTCTGCATCTACATTACAGAAATATTTTGTATTGCGGGTAATTTAAGCTAGACTTTTTTATTTAAAATAACAAAGACTCAAATTGATTATCGTGAGATCAGCGATTAAATTTGTAAGGCTAGCTAATTATATGTTTAACAATAACATCTCCTTTACCACAGACTTACAATATAAAAATACTTACAAGGTGATACATTATTTGATGTCAAATAATATTTGTCGTTATTGCTTGAATCTAATCTATAGACTTCCGACTCGTTATCGAATTTTAGATTTTGAGAGGAAACCTTAGTGGAACTACGTCGGTTAGACTTATACTGCAACATATTATATTACCTATATTAATAAAACAGTTTAACGGTTTAAAACGCGATATATATTAGTTAAACTGATTTGAATATTGATATTTTTAATTACAGCCCGACGATTCGGACGCTTTGGAGCAGCTGTGGTCACAGGGAGATTAGATGTGGAGAGTGTCTCTATTTTCAAAGTAAAAACTGCTACTCTAACGCCATCTGTTCCGTCGTAGTTGGTATTTGGCGAGTGACGTTTTAAACCGATAAAGTGTATTTATTATATAAATGTGTACTACTCGCGCAAGCTACAGACATCATTTGTATTAATATACTCACTGATATGTCTTCTCTTCTAAACTGTTTTTCGCTTGGAATTCCAAAACTACCCGCCACCGTCTGGGGTAAGTTTTGACGGTATTAGATTTTTAAAGTAACATTATCATACACCTATACTAGAATGTGTAGACTATTTTACATATATCAATATAATGATCATTTCCTATCAATTTTCCAGGAACATGTTGGAGTACGCCTGGAAATCTGGATATTGAATGGGTGATAGGTATATCGAAAATACATCCGAGTCACGAACCACCGATCACAGATGAGAAAGCCGTGGAATTTAATCGCGTTTCGGTTTCAGTCCGGATTTCCGAATATCCAAAGCCAAAATAGGTAGACAGCCTATCTTGTTTAGATATTATATTTCTAGGGTATTTCCTACATCAAGTAAATTCCATGCTTGTCTGTCCTGCAAATACAGATTAGGAGATTTGAATGTTAATTCTATATTTCTTTACTAATATAAAGCTGAAGAGTTTGTTTTTTTGAACGTGCTAATCGCTGTGACTAATGGGAGCAAAGAAACAGCGAAAATGTGAAAAAAACGGGGAATACTGTCTATAGTTTACGCGAGTGATACACATTTAAATAAAACACTTTAACGGTTTAAAACGCGATATATTAGTTAAACTTTGAAAATGATTGAATGACCGGGAGACTCCCTGACCACGGCTGCTGCAAAGCATCCGAAGCGTCGGGGCGAAGTTAAAAATTATTTTCGAATAAGTTAACTAATATATCGCGTTTTAAACTGTTAAAGTGTTTTATTTAAAAAACGAGGGAAAATATTTATCTCTCTGGGTTTCCGATGCGTACGCTGCCACCAAGACACCAAGAAAAATATGTGTAAAAGAATTATTCCTCTTTCAATAATCTAAAAAAATAACACTATACGTTTATCTTTTAAGATTAACATGCAAGAACGCCCCGAACGACTGTCGTGGATGAGAGCTATAATTTATAAAGGTGAAAAGGAAGGCCGTAAAAACATATTTTAATGCCTAAAATAACTATTCTATGCGGGCGAAGTCGCTGGAACAGCTAGTGAATAATAAAAAATAACCGTACATCTAAAATACGTATTTTATAAATCTGGTAAGGCCGGTCTCGACGAAGACGTAAAATGTATGGGTTGAGCAGTCTTGTGCGTTTGTTGTTCGCACCTAGGATATGTTCGATCGGTATATATTCGTCAACGGATGTTTCCTGTGAAAATAAAAGAATCTCTAAGAATATGATAAGAAAATATGTCATAAGCACTGTTCTATAATTAGCTTTATAGTCTTTTTAGGACGCGTAAAACATATACCAAATATTAACTTCACAATGATTTAAATAAAGCACTTTAAGTGTTAAAAAGGCGATATATATTAGATAAACTTTTTTGAAAATTATTTTTTACTTTAATGTCAGAGACATTCTCCATCTTTAGACTCCCCGTGACCACGGCTGCAAAGCATCCGAAACGTCGGGCTGTAGTTAAGAATAATTTTCAAATGAATTTAAATAGTATATATCGCGTTTTAAACCGTTAAAATGTTTTATTTAAATGTGTACTACTCTTGTAAACTGCAGACAGAAATTAGTATGATTTGATATTTGAAAAAAAAAATACGCAGTTGAGCCTTGAACGCAAACACTAGACAGCATACGTAGCTACGTAGCGGAATTATGACCTCACACTTCTAGTTGCGGGTTTGAGTCCCGCCGGTATCATTATTTTTTTCTATATACATATGTATTTACTTACTTGTGGTTTATTACACATTTTAATTGTGACGGCCAGTTTTTTCCTACAATTGCGAAGTGAGTTGTGTTTGAAAAGCTCCTCTCGTTGAAATCTTGTGAATTCACTGTCCATTGTTACATCATTTGTATCCTGAACGCAAAACTATGTATCATACAAATTAAAAAAAAGTATACATGTTTTTACACAGTTAGAAATCGATTATAAATTAAAATAAAATTACGTCTCGGGCAGAACATGAACTGGCAACCTCGGCGTTCTATGCTCTATCCAATTGAGCTACCGAGTCACAGTTTTTGCTTTAAGTTCTTTGGTGTTTGTAGCAATGTATACCTAATAATCATCGGGTCGTGGGTTCAGTACCCGCGGGGTACGATATTTTTATGAAACATATTGGATGTCATCTGGAAATCTGGATATGAAATGAGTGGTCGAAATATTGAAATTCCGAGTCACGAATCACCACGATCACAAATGAAATTGAATCGCATTTCGGTTTCAAAGTGTCAATTTATGAATATTCAAAGCCAAAATACATCAACATCGTACCTTGTTTAGACTTCTCTTGTCTGTACTCCTCATGTCATAAAAAAATCTTACCTCGAGTTCGCAGTTCAGGAACACAGACCTTACTTCGAGCTCTGAATTCTCGTCTGGCATAACAACGTCTTTGCCAGAACCGTGAGATACCGTGATATATATCATCAAATAAACATATATAACACCTGCAGGAAGATGGATCAGCTGTACTTATAAACAAAATATTTATACGTTTTAAAATGATTATTTCTAATGTATATTCATTTTTAAATAAAACACTTGAACGGTTTAAAACGCGATATATATTAGTTAAACTTATTTATAAATTATTGTTAACTACGGACGGAGGTTTCGGGATGCTTTGCAGCAACCGTGGTCACGGGGAGGGCGTTGTAAACAGTTATGGATTTATTTATGAATAAATTCTCCAACTGCTATCGGCACTCGGGGCTGTTTACGTGGAACTCTCGAGTTAAATTTTCGATTTTTCTTAATCAATTGAGGGAAATGTATTTTTTGATGAAATAATTTAGACACAAACAATAAATATAATAAGTTACGACAATTTTCCAAGGAAATATAAAATTGACAGAGACGTGCGTTATATGAAGGAAGTGATTTTTTTGATAAACCGGCCGAGAAAATTAGATGCCAAAGAAATATTTTTTTGTATTCATTCCAAATGTATATTGTGGGTTGCACAGTGTGATCTTCACCACTGAACAAAATTCTACGCTACAGAATGCTACATACAATACAATTGTAGAAATTTATTTTATTTTCAGGGTTCTAAAACCCTTTACTACTGTGTTGTAAAGTGTTGTTAACAATACAATTCTAGTGTTTTATTTAAATATGTACTACTTGCGTCAACTACAGACAGTATGTATATATATACTTATTAACAACAAGGACAGTTTTGTAAACGCTTTCTGAAATATCTGATATATATATATATGAATCTGAAATATATAACTAACATTGGTAGGAATAAATATCTTGATCTATAACTTGATCACTGCATTGAAAAATACTTACCATCACACTTTACATACTTCATTGCTGAACTTATATTCAACTCGAGTACGGGTTAAATAATTCTTAAAGTTTTGCAAAGAACATATTGATTTCGTATTACTTCTACTGACGCAATTGCCAATTATATTACAGATGTAAGTTGATAGATAAAAAATACAGCTTATAAAGTTTTAGTTTATCTTAGAATCAATGTCAATAAACTATAAAATTCTAAAACCATGCTATGGGTTTAATCTATTGTGCTTATTTATTGTTGACTAGCTGTGCCAGCGACTTCGTCCGCGAGAATGGTTATTGTGGGCATCCAAATTCGTTTTTGCAAACCCTATCATAATTATAGACTTAAGCTGTTACCTACGTCGGTTGCGTCCCTTCCCGTCGCTCTTGCTAATTAATCTTTAAAGATATAGCGATATGGACTTTTTTTTAGATAATTTAAAGAGGAATCATTCTTTCCTACATATTTTTTGGGTATCTTGAACCGTTTTTGCATCGTACGCCTCGGAAACTCATACTGATGAATAATTTTCCCAATTTTGCTGTATCTTCGCTTGTAGTCACAGGGCCTACCTCGATAAATGCTCTAACCAACACAAAAATAATTTTTCAATTCGAACATGTAGTTCCTGAGTAAAAACAAACAAACTCTTCAGCTTTATATATTAGTATACATTGTCTAAATATTGTTACGATTGATATGCCCTGGATCAGGTGTCACTTTGATCGACTAATCAGCATCTAAGACTAATAAACGCATTAGTGTCATACATCATAAAATTATCAATTAGGAAGCTTCGATCAAACCTATTTACCTTTTTCTGGGCCCAGGTAAGCCTTTCTCTTAAACCCTAATGCTTCAGAGCGTTAACAAAACGCGGGACCGCGTGATTTGGAGTCAAGAATTAGCCACTTAAGTCTAGAGGAATGAGGTCAGGTAGTTCTGCAATTTTTTTATGATATAGGGAGGACAGGCAAGTGAACATGAGGTTGTTCACTAGATGGTAGGTAAAAAAAAATGGGGGCTACATAATGTCGTGGCAAGATGTGTCGATATATTTTGGATTAAGATATTCGGTAATCCACAGACTGAAACGCGATCAAACTTGACGACTGATTCATTTGTGGACGGTGGTTCGTGACTCGGACGAGGTTTCGATATTCCTACCACTTATATAAAACACGCAATAAACACATCTCGCGTTTTAAACCGTTAAAGTGTCTTATTTAAATGTATACTACTCGCGTAAACTATAGAGAGTATTTGTGTACTACTCGCGTAAACTATAGACAGTATTTCCTAGCACTTATTTAATATCCATAATAAAAAATATAGAAATTGTTTATAAAAATGTTGATTTTGGGTATCGAATCGTTGATCATTAGAATTACATAACTACTATCACAGTCACTGTGCTTCTTTTAAATCTTAGATTTTTTCTAGAAAAATTTACCATAATTACAGATCTAATACCAAATCAAGACAAATAAAAATCATATGTGATTTAATATATTTATTATGAATGAAAATGCGACTAACAATAATTATTTTTACATTATAAAGTTTATTGAGGCTCGTATCGAATCCTAAATCATAAACTAATTCAAAATATGGCTTGATGATTAATATTGGTGTTGAATTTAACTTATTCTTAGATCTCTATTTTTTCACAACTCAATCTGATCATGATGATATTTTTTCCATATTTTTGTATTATCTTAGACCAAAAACGTGGAACACATTATAAGTATACATTTAATACGATTACAAAGAAGCGCGATGTCTCTCGTCATATTTACTACAAAATCAAAAAGAGCTGACCAATTTAATCAATAATTACATTATTACGAAATATATAATAATTTACAGAAAGTACACGATTTTCTTATTTAAATCCTTTCAAAGGAAAACAATAAACATTGGTCAGATCTTCTTAAACATGATGACAGCTATGACTGCTACATAGCAAATACAAAAGATACACAAAAATTATAAAACTAATTCCTAATCTTATTATAAATCCATCCACTGCACAGTCGATTTTATTCGAAATTAAAAAAAATGTAACTCCAAGCGGTCTTAGGTACAGGAAAATCAAAAAAATACGTCTCGAAATAAAATGCAATTTTAACAGCAGAATATTGTTTCGAATAAATTACAGTATCTATTATAATTAGCTCAATCACTGGCTTTCAAAGCACTAAGGTTTACACATCTATTTAAATATAAAGATTTAGAACTTCACAATACTTAAGGTTCTTGATCATTGGACTCGTAGGTTGATGCCTTGCTGGTCTGTAATAAAAAGGTTCTTATTTAATAAAAACTGGAGATACATTTATTACGATTACTGAATCCCCCCCACCCCAGCCCGTTTTCGCAATAGTAAGCAGTTTTATCCCCCTCTCTTGCTTACGTGTAATATGTTTATTTATTTATTATCTTTCTAATATTATTTGAGGCTGCTAGAGGCAGAGTGGCCTAATACAAAAAACATGTTTTTAATAAGGAGGAAAATAAGAATGCACAATTAACTTAGGTGAAAATGACTTTATACTATTATTTGTGTAAAAAAATATGTAAACAGTTTTCGGTCACTATGCACTTTTAGATTAACATTTTAGACTAACCAAATATACAATATAATAAGTCATAAAATTACAGTTAGGCTTCTCTCGCGACAATTGATAAAAATCTTATCTTATCCTTAGCTACTGAACTTTGTGTCTGCGTTCAAATATACTTGCCATGACATTTTGCATACGATTTTCTCCCTTTCTGCAAAACCAAGTTTATCCCCATCGCTTGTTTACGTAAATACCTAACATTGTTTGAGCATTCATTTATTAAACAAACTATTCAACATAAAGGAGTCTAATTATTTTTCAATACTTACTTCACAGCTATCGTAAAACTCCATAGTGGTCTCATTGTCGGGAAAGTAGACAGTAACTGTCTTATTCACTGGAGAGTTACTCGTGTAATCTGTCCCCGACCACGTGCAGGAATCACCAGACATCTAAAATAAGAAAAATATATTAAATCATGTTTTCTCCCTACCTTACTTCTATTTTACTTTAGACTTAATCCATGTGCCATGTTTGGATAAGTAAATTATATCGGGCACGTTGGTAGCAATGTCTGGGCCGTGAGTTCGATTCCCAACAATTCCAACATGTTTTTAAAATCAGTATGTTTTGTCTTGATAAGATGGTGAAAATATCGGAATGCCATCTGGGTTACGAACCATAGTTCAAATAAAAAATTCGTGAAGTGAAATTGCGTTTCGGTGTAAGTCTGTGGATTTCAAAATGTCCAAAACATAATAAGTCGCCAATTCTTCGATTTAATTGAAAATTGTAAGAATAATACATAACTAGATTTCATGTCCAAATAAAATAAATCTAACAGTACAAAAAAGACGGAGATTGATACAATTTAGAATTATGTAATTTATTATTTAATTTCATCTTATATGTTAAAATGTTTAAACAACTTGTTTTACCTAATATGAAATCTATTATGTTTTTGACTACTGCCACTAATAGTTAAGCATATATAAGCATAGTAATAGTAGTAGTAGATATGGTAGAACTTTGAAACTTTTTCTCACCTGAAAGACAGTGTCTGTGTGAATTAGCATCTCGGCGAGTATCTCGCCAGTGTTGTTATCTGTGACGAGGATCTTGGGCGAACAGACGTCGTTGTCGAATAACACTTGCACGTGCGCCTCCTCCCTCGAGCTCTGCGTGCCGTCTTGCTCGATGACCACTTCGCCGTCACAGGCGTAGAACACTGCCGATTCATCTTCCTCTTCCTAATAAACAATTGTATTTCTTAAACGTAATTAAAGTATGGTTTAAAGTGGTGGGGAAGGGGGGTGATTGTTGATATATCCAATACTAAGTATTCCTGTAGTTTACGGGAGTAGTAACCATTTAAATAGTTTTTAACAGTTTAAAACACTATATATTTATAAATTATTTTAATCACGGCCCGACGTTTTGATGCTTTGCGGCAGACTTAACCATGGGTTCAATTATTATTAAACTAATCATTATTGAAATATCCAATACAAGTTGGTGATAAGATTAAGTTTGTAATAATAACATAAATATAAGAAAAATCATAAAATTAAAGAATAAATAAAGCACTTTTAACGCTTTACATACCGGAATATATATATTTAAATTACTACTCGGATGAGGATAGTTTAGTACGGATAGTACATGGTGTTGCCAGTTGCCATAATCGTTAAATGTGAACCACTAGCGTAAACTTAACGTTTAATGATCAAAATACTCACTTCGTTGTAATATCCATCGTAGTCACCGTGTTCGTCGTAGTCATAATGCTCGCTCTCATCGTAATTTTCCTCCTGTTCCTCAAAATGTACTTGTTTTAGACCACTATCGGTCGATTGGGAAACTCCGCCATTTTGTTTGCCGCCGCTTTGAGATGATGGAGACTGATTAGAATCATTCGATATTTGTTTATCGGCACGCGCGCTATCCTCCAAATGTTTGGGAAGGCGAAGCGGAGCGACACTTTCGACTTTTTGCTCTTTCTCCTCTTTCTCTTTCCGTATTGCCTCCGCGGCCGCTACTTGCAGTTTCTGAAAAATATAATCGTTAATTATTACAAATATCACCCGAAAACATTTACATTAACAAACGAAATATTTCTAAAAGGTAATAAAGAATCAAGTTATTGAATAGACAAAACATTTCTTATGTTAAAAAGTAAATATGTTTTTTACAAAGCAATTATTTTACAATTTTTCGCTTGTTCGTTCGTTCGTTTAATGCTCAGTCGCGGGTTCGATCTTCACCAGGTCCAGTATGTTTTTAATAATTTATTATATATCTACTGTAGATTGGACTTTGTCTGTTTGGATATTAAATCCGGAAAGCTGTGAAGTTCTCTCTCTCTATAAAAAAAAAATGAAACACTTACTCGAACACATTCTAGGACCTTATCCTTAAAGTTTCTGGCAAGATCGGCAGACTTGAATCGAACAGCAAGGGTTTCCTGTTCACCCGCACTATCTGCGTAGTTGGGACCGGCCCACGTCCAAGCGTTCGTCGAGTTTGTCATCGGCAGTAACTCAAGGTCCATGAATACAAGCATGTTCAATACGGCCTTATGAATTTGCTCTCGCCTCAAAAGCAGACGGTAGGTTTTCCTCTCCGGGTGGTACAATATTTTCATCTCGCCGACACCTCGTTCTTTCCATTCTCGTGAGTTTTCATCGAACCGATACAATTTGCAGCGTTCGCCAAATATTTTTTCCTACAAAAAAAAAAAGAATCTTTTTTATAACTATAAGCGAGTTTTGGGAAAACACCGGGACAAAAGAATGCCATCAGTAATGAAATACTCTGGATTAGGTCGAACTCTTCATGTAACAGATGGGATGTCATGACTAAGTATAAAGATTTTAGCTTAAAACATCTTAACAAGAGACTATCACTGCTCTCACCTCGTCTTCTTCCCCGGTAGTAACGATAATCTTTTCAGGTAACGGAACGATAGGTTCATAATGAGGATCGTATTCTTCGTCAACTGCGCCAGCTTCGGAGGACTTCTCGGTGCTCTTTTCCGCAGAATTAGATGCATTAAAAAGCTGCTGTCCAGCACCTTCCCATTTAAAATCAGTAGATTTTTCTGTAAATTGATGAAATTATTTAGTAACTGTAATCTTTTAAAATACTTACTTAGTTTTATTATTACTATAAATAACTGATCAATTTTTTGTAATAAATTCAGCTAGCTTAGGCCGCTTTAAATGTTAATAATAAATGAATCAATGCACAAGTAATAATAACTATATAAAAGATAACATACTTTGAATTCCAAATTCACTTGTCTTTGAAGATACAGCAGCAAATGAGAGACAGTTATCAGAAATCTTTAGAGGATTTTCTGAGAAATTTGAATTACTTCCTTTACTTATATCCGAATTCTTTACTTCTAGGTTTACTGGTGTGGCATTTTGTGTAGCAAGATTAAAAGAGTATTTATTGGAATTGTTACTATCTTCTTCTTTTTTACTGTTTTTGTCATCATTGCCAAATTTAAAAGTAGTAGTAGTTTGACTGAATATTCCACTGGTTAATGGATCACTTGAGGATAATTTTGGACCAAATATACTGCCTGGATTTGAACCACTGAATAAATTAACAGGTTTTTGACTGTCACCCGAAAAAATTGACGTAACCTCTGATTTTTGAGAATCGTTACTTTGCATTGGGTTTCCGAATATCGACTTATTTGAGGAAATCCCAAAAACATTTTTCTCATTTGCAGTTGTTCCTACTGAGCCAAATAAATTAACAGATCCAAATAACTTTTTATCACCAGAGGACTCAAAAACACCCTTTGTTTCTGATGAGCCAAAGATTGACTTAGGAGTAGATGTTGGAGGTTCACTAGAAGTTAGTAGTTTATTAAGTTTGGGTGCAGCTAAAATACTACTTTTGGGTCTTGTGACTGAGGTCTGTAAGCTTCTATCATTATTAGAGCTGTTTGCACTCTCAGACTCTTTCGTAAAGTTACATCCGAGTGGAGTAGCAAATATTGTTGTGTCCATAGTTTTATCAGAACTTGTAGGTGTACCATACATAGAAATTGTATTATTTTGTAAATAGGAAGCGAAAGTTTTAGACGGCGTTGTTGTAGTTTTAAAAAAAGTTTCTTTAGATGTGGAATGTTGAGAAATATCGTCAGTGTCATATTCACAACCACGGCACCCTTCGCAAGGTTGTTTTTTAGTGTAAGTAAAAAAGTTTTCAGGTAACATAAGTTCTTTGGCTCTTTTTTTGTCTTCGTCTGATGCTTGTATTTCAGTTACAAAAACAACATCATCTTCTTTGTCTTTATCACTGTTGGTGTCATATTTTGCTTCAATCGCTTTGTCAATTACATTTTTAAACTGAGTTGCTATGTCTTTATTTTGAAATCTTATGCAAAATTGTTGTAACTGTAATTCTCCTTCGCTATAATCATTAGCAGCAAAGTACCAAGTCTTTTCGTCCTTAGGTTTATAAAGCACATCTTGTGATAAATTATGATTTAAACATATTTTATGCACTTGCTCACGACGCATTAAAACTCTGAAATTAAATTATACAAATAAATTACGTTAATTAAGAATATATAAATGATGCAAAATAAGTATACATAAGAAGTAATAATCATTAACTAACCTTAATCTTCCACTTTCTTTGTGTTTCAATATTTTTATAACACCAAGACCACGTTCTTTCCACTCGCTGTTATTAAATATAAACAATTTTGCCCTATGCCCATAAAGTTCTTCTTCATTCTCTTCCCCAGTTACAACATCAACCTGTAATTTGAAATTATATTTGTATGATATATTTACTACTAATTATATTTACATCACCAAAATCGATAACAACTTTGAAATAAGTTGTTTCCAAGAAAAGAATATAAAAATTTGTGTACCTTTTCGGGCATTGGAATCACTGGACTAAAGTGTATATTCGCACCGTCGTCATCAGAGACATATTCATCATCGCCGCTTTCATCGCCTTTTACGCTTTTTGGCGACTTTATCGGACTTTTTCCTTTTCCTGGTGATTTAGGCTTCAAAGCAAAGTTAAATTTCCCACCCTCTTTTGAACCAAACGTTAAGCCACTTGTGTCTGGTGTCGGCAATAGAGCGGGTTTATCGATTTTAGCATCGTTGTTATTTTTTATACTAAAATTAATTGGAACATCACTGTCATTAGCTTTTTGAGAGCTAAATAAGGAAATGCTCGTAGCATTATCTCCCAACGTTTTAACGGGAGTTTCTTTATTTTGAGTGATCCCAAATTTAAATGTTTGTGGAGAGTTTGTATTAAGCGATGATACCGGATTAACAATTAAAGATGACAAAGTAGGTGCTGCGTTACCTCCGACAGGCTTTTGCGGAATACCAAACGTAAATTTTGGCGTAGATACCGGTGTAGTAGACAACATAGCATTTTTTCCTGCATTAGGGTCCTTAGGACTATTGCATGCTGGACAAACCTCCTTATCTTTTTGATTACGTACAAAGCATTGTTTACATTCCCAAGACCCTTCTTTGGGCTTAAATTGATCTCCCCAATTTGAAACAACGGCCTCTTTGGGTTTTGTTACAATACCAAAGTTAAGATTTGAAGTGTTTTCCTTATTAGACAGTATTCTATTTGAATCTCGAGGACTATTACATGCATTGCACTGTTCACTATCTGCTTGATTTCGTATTAAACACTGTTTGCATTCCCAAGTGCCGGGTTTGGGTTTGAATTGATCACCCCAAGAAACCTGACTCTTTGCTGATGAATTAGTTGTAACTTGGCCTTTTTCTACTGGTTTAGGTTGTTCACAACAAGCACACTTATTAAACGATTCCAAATTATTTGTATAGCACTCAGTACAATACCATGATCCTGATTTAGGTTTGAACTGATCTCCAAAGCCACTTTGAGTTCTTTGATTGGAAAACATTTTCTTCCTTATTTGGAGTCACACCCTCACCTATTTTAGATTGTGCATTTTTCACAGCATCTATAAAGGCATTACATGTCGGAACCGTTTTAAAACGCAGACAAAATGTTTCGGTGACGAGTTCACCTTCTGAAAAGTCCTTTGCGCACCATGTTACTGCTTTATCCATATTTGGCATTTTCACGAAATTAATTTCCTTGGTAATGGCATGATTGCAACATACCTTCATGATTTGTTCCCTTCTCATAAGTAAACGCACTTTTTGGTTATTTTGTTTGTTAACTAACAATTTTATGTTACCTAGACCTCTTTCCTTCCATTCTTTAGATTGCACATCAAACCTTAATAACTTAGCTCTGTGCTCAAATAACACGAGTTCATCTTCCTCACCAGTCTTTTGGTCTACTAAAGCTGGTAAGGGCACAACTGGTTTAAACTCTACCGTAGGTTCAAATTCTTCTATATTATCAGACGTATTTATTTTGCTTGCTCCTATTTCTTCATAGTTTTCTGAATTCTTACTAGATATAGAGCTAACTAAGTTGCTGAACGACGAGGTGGTTGATGTTTTAAATGTTAGCCCACTAAAAATATTACTCTTGGAGCTTGATATTTCAATTTTCTCAGTTTGTGGTTTAGACACTTCTGGCACCACTTTAAATGAGGGAGTAGTGCTGAATGTAAATCCACCAATTGTTGTTTTACCTGTTTGAGTCTGTTCAACCTTATTTTTTGTGATTGAACTATTAAAAGTATTAGTCGTTTTATTTTTTTCTGTAGGAATATCATCAATAACATTACTCTCAAGTCGCGCCTTTTCAAATGTATCGAAAAATTCTTTAGCTATATCAGCTGTTTTGAATCTTATACAGAATTTCTCTAATTGTAACTTTTCTTCAGCAAAGTCATTAGCCACCCAAAAGTAGGCTTTTTCTTCGTTTTTCATTGGTTTAATTTCGATTTCTGGTATAATAATATGATTGGCACAAATTTTGTGTACTTGTTCTCTCCTCATCAATACTCTAACCTTTTTCGTAATGTTATGTTTAAGTAGTTTCATTTCACCGATGCCCCGTTCTTTCCACTGTTTATCTGTAAATCGGAACAGTTTTGCCCGGGCGCTAAATATAACACTTTCGTTTTCTTCCCCTGTAGTTAGAGTTACCTCTGCTGGCAAAGGAACAATGGGTTTAAAATCCGGACAAGGATCATAATTTTCAACTGAAGTATTACTTCTTTCAGACAACGTTCTAGATTTATTCAAACTAGTATTAGGCGAAGTGGAGAATGGTCCATCAACAACAGTTTTTGAATCGTTCACATTGAGAAAGTTAGCGTTTTCGCTGAATTGTTGTAAAGGTTTATTCCAACTGGTCACTTGGCCACTTGAAGTAGATATTTTATTCCCTGATGACAAGTTAAAGACAAGTGGCGATGCTGATTTTGCGTCGGTACTAGTGGGCATTGGAATTTGGTAGTTATGAGGACTTCCTTTTATGTGTTTTTGAGGAATCGTCACACTTAAAGTGGGAGCTGGGGTATTAGTGCAAGTTGGTAAAGGATCAGACGATGTTATGACTACATTCACCGGTAATGCTTGTGAAGCAGGTTTTAAACTTGATGTAACAGGTTTGCTAGTATTTACAGCAGATGACGATGCTATTGTTGTAGGTGCTATGGACACCATAGGTACATTGGGAACTGTTGGAAGTGCAACTGATGGCGGTACAGTAGGAGGAACTAAATGTGCTATATCTAAGTACATTTGATCAGGGGTCTGGTAAATTCCAGGATAATTTACTTGTGCTCTGGTTGGATCAAACAATGTAGATGTACCAGGAATTGGAGTGTTTTGAGTAAGCTGGGAGTATTGATTATACAGATTGCATAAGTTTTGACCATATAAATGATAAGGATTTGGAGGGACTGGAAAAGGTGGAACCAGTCTTTGAGTAAATGGAGCCATAACCTGAGGTGGAGCAAATGGCATCTGTGTACCAAATGTAGCATTTTCATTGCCCTTATAGTCCTCATCTAAATTATATAATTCACTTTCATCTATAGTCTGTTCAGACGAAGACTTCTTTAATTTATTTACTTCTTTCTTTAACTCAGCAATTTGTTTTTTTAAGTCTGCTACATCTTTACATTCTTTTCTACATTCTGCTACTTGATCTTTCACTTGGTCGACTGACACTTTAAGTAGTTTAAATTGTTCAGTAGTATTTTCAATATTTGAATGAATAGTATTTATAATTTGATTTCCCAATTTCCTGTTTTCATCAAACCAGTTTCTTGTTTGTTCCTTAAATTCCTCGATAGTAGCATCTCGTTTTTGAAGATTTCTTATCTGTTCTTCAATCATATTCAAACTTTGGTGGTCAAGTTGAGTAGTGGTGTTAAATACTTGCGAGTCTAATGCAGTACGATAATTAGTTAGATTCATATTTGGCACCTGTTTTAATGCCTGTTTCGTTTTTGGAGTAGAGCTTATATTGTAGCTGAATTGTGCAGTACTTCTGGAGGGAATATTATCACTTTCAGACACATTTTCATCTGATGAATACTTTGAGTCACCATCATTTAAAATTGAAATTGACACATTTGAATCTACTTTACTAATATTTATCTCAACCTTCTCAATGATATCTTGAACATTGGAATATAGGGGTAATGATTTATATGAATTTTCTTCTTTTAAAAGTTCAAGAGCTTTGTAAGCATAATACTTAGATTTTCCTAATAAACTTATATAATTTGCATTGGTATCACTACTTTTGAAGCTATGTCTCTCTTTATTTGCAATTTTGTTGTATGAAACACTAAGGTAGTAAAAGCTTTCAGCCGACTTTACATCAGTTAAACATTCTATTGCCTTGATATATTCACCGTTATTATAATGCTTTAAAGCAATAAATAGTTTACTTTCTTGTAATAAACAGTTTAGCTCTCTGTTATCCAAGTCTTTATGAGTGTAGTCAAATAATCTTTTGGCAGGTAATTTCATTGTAGCTTTACGTTTTAGTTTCTCTAAGAGTGGAATTGCTGATTCATAATAGAGATAAGCTCTTGTCTCCAACAGGTTTTTATCATCTATTGTAGTCAGCTTAGACAAGTCATTAAAAAGGCGTCCAAGGATGCATAAGAGTTCTGGATCTAGGCCATGGTTGTCAACACATCTTACAACTTCAATTCCCCAGCTTAATGTTGAACGTATGTCAGTATATTCAGTTCCCAATTCATTATGAGTAAATTTATATGCGCAGTCCCACCACTTTATTTGTGGCAATGTACATAATAGATCAGTTATATTGGCAGGCAGTAGACAAGGTCTTTCAATAGGGATGTATGTACATTTTACTTTTTGCTGTTGGGCAGTCAAAGTGGCGCAATAGAGAAATGCTAAAATGTCTAACTTATTTAAAGTTTCTGGTCCACATGAAGTTTCTGTTGGTGTTAATATATCAAAAATGGTGCACTTGAAATCTGGCAAATTTTTGTAGTTTAAGAGAATCCAAACAAAATGATGAAGTGAATTGGGGTACAGTTTTTGAGCGTCATTATCGTAAGCTTGAACCTCTATTTTTCGTGGCAATCTCAGTATTGGAGATTGAAAAAAATTTGATGTGAAGTAGGAATTAGCTTTTGCCACTTTATTTATATTGACAAATATGTTATCATACAGCTTCTCTTTCCAATTGGTGCCACAACATAGTTGTGAGATATTATCTAAGAGTAATTGGTTTTTATCCTGATTATTACCAAGTATCATGTGACCGGCCTGTGAACATCGATATGATCCTTCCACGTACCATTGAAATGCAGCAACTTTTTGTTTTTCTGGGGCACCATTTAGCCAATCGGCATTTGGATCTATTGGAGCTACTTGCCAGGATACAAGCATTAGCATTGAATATAACTTATTTGCATCATACCAGTTAAGTTGATCTCTCTTTGCCTTTTTAAGTACAAATGTTGCCACTAAGACTGTAAGTTGACCTCTATGGTGTCTCAAAAGGTTAGCATGAAATTCTGCATATCCAGAAGTTGGACCAGTTTTGGTTACTAATACGATGGCCTCATCATAACTCTGAAGCAGGTCATTTGTTTCTAATAAGCTCAAAGACGATCCTTGAGGTATTTCAGTGAGACTTAAGGTGCAGAGTCTTTCTTTCACAGTTAGTAGTAACAATTGGTATAGCCAGTCATTAATTTTATTAAGTGTGCATTTTAAAACATCAGATACAGTTTCATACCAAGCCAAATTGTTTGTAAATTGGGATTGTCCAAATTCAATATTACAACTGTGTTCTAAAGCTTCTTTAGTGTTACTTGTGGATAAATAGTGTTTCAATAGACGGATGTGCAAGACAACATCCTTTGGCCGAGCTGATAATTCTGATTTAAGTAATTGTACTAATGCTCCAGGATTAGGATTTGTTGTAGCAAGGAGTCGCTCCCGCAGTTTAAAAGTGATTGGATGTTTGGGAAATGAGAACTCAGCCTTGTCTGACCAGTATTTTGCTGATGAAGGCTCTAAGGTTACTTCATTATCGGCAAGCAGCTCACAAACTGAAAATATCATAATGAAATAAAGTAAAAGTTGATTAACAGGAATTATTAGACTTTTTCAATAAAAAATAAAGAACTATAGTAATAGGACATAAGCAAAGTGGAAAAATATGTTTCCCATCAAGTCCATCTGGTAAATATTATAAATACAATAAAACTCAATAAAGTCTATATAGTCTTGGTGGACAATAAACACAAAATAATTGGAAATCACAATGATCACAACATTAACAAATATAATTGAATATAAAAATCTTTGGCACTTGTGTAATAAGTATTTGCAATGAAGATAGTGCATATAATACTGAAGGAAATACTGAAAGTAAGTGACAACAATAAAAAACAATTTTTATATAGATTAAATGCACAGTAGTTAGAAGTTACAGTTCATAATAAAAAATAGTTAAGATTTAAAAAATAATCATAAATATGTTTTTACCATAGAAAACTACAAAGTCAAGATGTAGCTAAAATATGTAAGAAAAATACACTTACTATCTAAGATGATGTTGGTTTGAGCAGGGTCTAATTCAAGTGATATTTTGAATTCGTCTAGAGCTTTTTCTTTGAGTCCAGTTTTATGGAATGTCTGTCCAAGTAACTTATGGGCGGCTGCATTGTTGGCTTTGTGGGTGAGATATTGTTCTAAGTATTTTTGGCAATTCGCGTAGTCTCCTACCTCATAATATAGGCGTGCAATAGAATAGGCCCTTGCGTTAAACTGAAAAAGAAATAAATGTAAGTACTTTTTGTGTTTCAATGAATACAAATTGTTCAACGGATTTTCCACTCACGTCTTTAGATGACAATTTCGAAAATAATTTTTCCACGTGTTTGTCGACGTCCTTCTTGTTTTTATACATCTTTCTGCACACTAAAACACTGATAAAACGATAGATCAATGTAAGATATCGAGCACATACAAAGATTCGTTAATTATAAAATAGGAAGCCACAACGCTTTTTAACTGCATTCTAGCTCAGGTTGAATGCTTGAAACTTGAATTAATGAAATCGCATATTCTAGCACATTTTTGACACAGTTGTGACAAAAACGTGACCACAGATTATGTTCCATATGTTTACCACGCTTAATAAATCGAGTGTTCGTTATTTAATATCGGGTACTACACATGACTTTTTATAAAAATTATTAATGTTTTATGAATAAACAAATATTACAAAAAAACCAAGAGCGTTGTAAAAATACTTCATATAATTCTAACTTACATAAAATAAATGGTATATATTAAAAATATATTTTTTTGGACACTTACGGAATAACATACTAATAATAACATTCGTTTTTCTGGTATAGATTTCGTTACTCATTTGTAGTATAATTTGAGATCCGAAAGTATCAAACTCGAACCACTATCATAAAAAAGAACTATTTTTACCGATGTTGCCAACTATAAAATATACAGATAAATGTAGTAAAAGCCTGTGGGCTGTTCATGTTCAGCCCTGTTGTTAAATATGACATTTGGACATTAGGTTTGCAATACATATTTGCTTAATGAAGCTAAGAGAAAAGACTAAATAACATTTAATAAAAACGGAAAATATCTTGATATTGTGAGATAAAAAAATGTTGGCGGGATAAAATATTTACAGCGAACTATTATTATGAAATAATATATGTTATTGAGCTTTAAGCGACATACATGTAAATGGTTGTGTTTTCGCCATAATCTAAACAACTTTTATCCAAGCCTGACGCTTGACCTATGCTAAAATGGGAGATCAGGAATCAGGATATGGATCGTCTCTCACGTTAGATTCTATGAAAGTCATAGCCGAAAGTGTCGGTATTGCTAACCTCGGTGAAGATGCCGCTAAAGAGCTTGCTGACGATGTAACATTTCGCTTGAAAGTTATTGTACAAGATGCTATGAAGTTTATGAATCATTCCAAGAGACAAAAATTATCCATAACAGATATAGACCATTCACTCAAAAGTAAAAACATTGAGGTATGTTTAAAGTTTTATGTGAACTTAAATATGGTGATAATCAATTTTTGCTAATATGGGACTTTGACTCTTTCAGGCACAGTATGGCTTTTTACAACCAGATTCATTGCCTTTTCGTTTTGCATCTGGTGGTGGTAGAGAACTTCACTTCATCGAAGAAAAAGAAATAGACTTGTCTGAAGTATTATCTGCACCTCCTCCAAAAATTCCATTGGATATATCTCTCAGAGCACATTGGTTGAGTGTAGATGGTGTGCAACCAACGGTACCAGAAAATCCTCCTCCACTATCTAAGGAATCACAAAAGTTGGAATCTGTTGATCCCATTACAAAACTGAGTAAACCAGCTAATAAAGATGCTGCAGGTAATTTTGCCACCTATTTACACATACATATTCACACACACGGATCTTTGTTACATGTTTAATTTATTTTATTTGTATTTTTTTAGGTAAACCAGTCTGTGGTAAGGCTGCTAGACTAAAAGCTTCCGAATCAGTACATGTAAAACAATTGGCTACACATGAACTGAGTGTAGAGCAACAATTATATTACAAGGAGATAACTGAGGCTTGTGTTGGTAGTGACGAAGGCAGAAGAGCTGTAAGTCATAGTATTTAATTATAAACATTGAATATAGGTAGCATAAATATTGAGTAAAATTATGTCATATCTGGGTTGGTCACCTATGTATACCACTTTCCACATATTATTTATCTAATTAGTGAGAATACCAAATATTTAAGACCTTAACACTTTAAGACTTATTATTTTAACTAATTAAGTTTGGGAAATATTCTGACCCTTTTCCACTATGTTCATGATAGGAACTAGATTACATTTTTATTTTCTATTGAATTATAAGTTAGTGGGATTGTTTATAAATAACTATATGAATTAGCAACATAACTAATCCACTTAAGTTTATAACAAAGGTTATGCTAAATAATAAAGATATTATACTGCTAATAGTTTTAATTTTATTTACTTTTTTTAGGAAGCATTGCAGTCCTTGGCGTGTGATCCAGGCTTACACGAAATGCTCCCGAGAATGTGCACTTTCATATCAGAAGGAGTCAAAGTTAATGTTGTGCAAAATAACCTCGCCCTGTTAATATATCTAATGAGAATGGTTAAAGCCTTACTTGACAATCAATCTTTGTACTTGGAAAAATATGTAAGTCGTCTTGTTAACTCATCCCCATTTTTACAGGTAACAAGTAAATACCTGCAGCCTTTTACTTCCACTTCTTGGTTTTATCTGCCGCTAGGATGGTTGCTTGAAATTGTTAACTAGGTTTCACAATTCTTAATAAATATCATCTTAAGGAGATCTGCGCCTCTTACAGTCAGATATGTCTACATTACACATTTATTTTAGTTACACGAGTTGATACCTGCTGTATCAACTTGCATAGTGTCTCGGCAACTTTGCATGAGACCAGAAATGGATAATCATTGGGCACTCCGCGACTTTGCTGCCCGCCTCATGGCACAGATCTGTAAAACTTTCAACACCTCCACTAATAATCTGCAAACAAGAGTTACCAGGTAAGGAATAGGGCAATTCAACTTTGCAATTTTTTCTTGATCTAGATTCATGATCTTTCATGGACACCTACTGTTAATAGATATCAAAAAAAGGATGTAGCCATTCTAATTACTATTTATATATTGTTAGGTATTTAAAATAAACTGCTCCTGTCATAAATATAAGTCAGTAAAAAAATGGCAGCCTGTCACTTATTGAAGTAATATATGTATGAGTGAGAAATAAGTATATTTTTATACAAATGTTTGAATGCAGGTTATTCTCAAGAGCACTGCAGTGTCCATCTCAAACAAATAATGAGTCTGGTCCTTCTATGGTAACAACTATGAAAGAATCTGAGAAGACACCTTTGGCATCATTGTATGGTGCTGTCCAAGGATTAGCTGAATTGGGCCCAGAAGTTGTGAAGGTAGTTTTTTATTACAATATATAACAAGCTGGTGCCATGGTGTTGCCTGTCGGTTATCAGATACTAAAAATTAAAATAGTTGTTATTTGAACGTGTATTGTTCTAGGTGTTTATCCTACCCCGAGTCCGTTGGCTGGGGGAGAGAATTGAAGGCGCTTTAAGCGGTATCGGTGGCGCCGACAGACTCGCAGCTGGTAACCTGAAGCATCAGCTGCTGAAAGTTCTAGCTCCAGTTGTGCGCCAAATACGACAACCGCCCGACCAGCCTGAAGACTACAAGTGAGTATTTATATACTATCTGTAGTTTACTCGAGTAGTACACATTTAAAATACTTAAGATTATTCTAGTCTGCTAAGCTAGCTCTGTGTACGTAGCGCAGATTTGACTTTTATATTGAAAACACTCCCCGTCTCCCCGTGACCACCCCCGGCTGCAAAGCATCCCAAAACTTCGGGCCGTAAAAATTAGTATCTTACAATGCAAAATTTCTCTTCTATATTTGGTATGAATGCTGATAAGTTTTATGGGCATATATTCGAGAAATATTTTGCAGGCGCGAGTATGGATACCTGGGTCCGAGTTTACAGCAAATGGTCAGTAAGTTGCGCACTTCGCCGTCTACCCCTGGCGGTGGTGGTGCAGTCGCTGTAGTGACTTGCACGCCACCTCTCGTGCCTTCAGCGTCACTACCGGCGCCTGCTGCAGGGCCTATAGCGGCCCCACAACACTCCACTCTAACTAAGACAGTCGGTACGGCATAAAAACTTATATTTTGCACATAATGGCACTGTATAAATAAAAAATCGATTTTAGATTGAGGTAATTTTACGACACGGGCTGGTCTTGAACGGGAATTCACAGCGCTCCGTCTTGTTGCTCTAACCAAATACGCAAGTGTTAAGATTGAAATTAAATGGCGCGAGAGATGCATGTATCGATAGGTTGAAAAAAAAATCGACGATGACGTGTAGGACACGGTAGCTCAATTGGTTTGAGCAACAAAAAAAGTAAATCGTAAAATTTCTTCAATCTATAAACGATTTTTATATTATATGGTACGCTACTAGCGCTTAAAAATGCTAGTTGTACATCGTGTTAAACATAATTTTTCAGTGCAACAATAAAATCCCATTATTGCATGGCACTAACAAATATCTGTGCCCGTTTGACTGATCGATTTTGATGAAGTAGCAGACTTATGAGACATGCTCAACCAAAACTATATATTTGTTCACCGGTATTCGAACACACCACCTCTTGCGCTGAATAATATGTAAGCTCGAATAACCATTGGGCTACAGAAGCAGTCTATTTTAACAATATAGTTGTACTATTTTGTAATCTTTTTCTATTATTATTACTTTGTACATTTTGTCATAGCTTTCCCTATAAAACACACGTTATTACGATCGGTAGGCGCACTAGAGACATATACACCTATAAAATCGAAGTTGGGTTTAAATATTTTGTTCCGTAGATTCGATGGGTACTCGAAACGTGATAAGTTCGTCTAATCCATCGCCGACACCTCCGACACCGCCACCACAGAAGTTTGTGATTGTATCGCAACAAAAAGCGCCACAGGTATATATTTTCTTGTCTTTGTTAATGTCTAAAGCTTAAATAGGTCGACAACACATCTTGTGGAAATGCTCTATGGCTCGGGTATTTCACGTTTCATCAGGTTATCTGTCATTAAAAAATGTAGTCAGAATGTTTTTAATATTAGAATGTACCAAGATATATCTAATGCTAGTAGTTCCTGAGATTAGCGCGTTCAAACAAACAAACTTATGAGCTTTATAATATTAGTATAGATTTAGACAAACTATTTGTGTACAACAGTTAGTTTCTTCTCATAAGAACGAGGAATTCAGGAGTCCATCATGCCGCTCCAAGTTGGTAGGGTTTGTTGACTACAGTCATGAATTAGTGATTATTGAGACTAAGTAAGTCCAAATACTGGACTACGAAGAACTGGCACTGGCACACCTTTTATCGCCAAGTTTTATTTTAAATTCTTAATGTACTTTTAGTGCACTACATATTTTTCCTTGTTAGAGCGGGTTCCTCCACACCCCAAGCATATTTATCATGTAAATATTGATCGCCTCTCGGCTCTCATTTTTGCTATCGAGTGTAAGAAGAGATAAAGAAGAATATTGTATAATTCAGGCTCAGCCAGCCAGTGGTACCGGGCATATTGTGCACAGCTCGCAGCCTACAATCGTGCGCAGTCAAAATGTACAGGTAAATCTCACATGAACTATAATTGAATTGAGTTCTTGTTACAGCTTGATGAAGTGAGTTGTTACCACTGCTTTACCTAACTTTAATTGCTTGCAAAGTGTTTAACTTTCGAGTCTTTTGTACTGCGATCTTCAAAGTCAACTCTTTACGATTTACTTCACATATATAAAGTAATCTTTCGTTGTTAATTATGAACAATATAATATTTTAAATTGAATTTTAACGGAATATAAAGATAAATAAATTAAAATATATTCTTTTAAACAATAGCGAAGCCAACAACTTCTATAACAATTAAAAACAAAAAGTGGATGATTATAATATTAATTTTACAATATATTTAATTAAGTTAATAGAAAGATGTTTAGATGTATTATGAGCTGGAATATTTCACTTCCATCAAGGCCAGTGTAAAAGTCTTTACTACACTTTTAATCATTTTTATGTTTATATTAAATATAATTATCTATATATTCGCAATGTCTTATAAGGAACTGTTGTGCAAAATGTTTGTTCGTGTGAAGTAGTTGTAGATGGGTGCATGTCTTGTTTAGTCGGTGGTGGTGACGAGCGGCCCGGCCGGCAATCAGCAGCCGCAGAAGGTAGTTGTAGTGGGGATGCCGCCGCAGCAGCAGGCGCCAGTTACTTGCGGAGTGAGTCAGGTAAATGTATCTGTGAATCGGGTTAGGGTTTTACACCACATGGTAGTGTATGGGACGCCTTTGATCCAATTAAAAATAAAATAAAAAACCTTTATTTACTTAAATATAATATAAATAATATATTATGTACAGTTATGGTATATTTTAAAATGAAAACAATGAAATAATTGTTTGTAAATAGCTGTCTTGTACGAGATTATTTGTTTAACTGAATTTGTTTTTATAAGGAACCCTGTCGGGCGTAGGCCTACAAAGTTGTTCATGTCCAGTTCTCGTCATGAGCTATGTTCATTCTTACAGTCTTTCCTAGATCTTAGCTGCATAATTTTTACTATAAATTCTTTTGCGTCTGACTTTGTACGTGACGATGTATTAAATTATAATGATTTTCAATCTTATTTACTATTTCTTGTGTTATTTCTTTGAGGGGTCATTATTGTCCACGGAGACCAATCGGTTTGCAAAATATTTATTTATTATAACTGTTATTTTGTTTAACTTTTTGAGAGGGGCTTACGTATTAGTATATCGTGCTATTTCATTTTTGACAATTGTTTCAAAGTTTAGCGTATTAAATTTAAAAAAAACACTAAAATGGGTCTGGGGCTAAGGTTATTTTCAAACGTTGATGTCCCATTTAGGCCCATCACGCTAGTAACTTCGGGTTCGTAACCGATGATTATATTAATGTAAGAGAACTTAAAGCTTTAATAATTCAATTCATTTATCAGTATTAAGTATCCGGTATTCGGTCAAATATTATAAAAGACTCCGCATAAGCAGCCCGAGCACCGAATAGTACGCGAATTTTCGCTGCAAGCCTAATGTATTCCCTTAACACTTAAGTGCAACAATTGCATTATTATAATGGAAAAGTTGTAATCATGACAGAAGTGCACCATCATCAAAAGAACTGTGTAAGTTGCATAAGTGTGTATAAGCATATATACGTAAAGTGTTATTAATGATCACAGTCTCGGAATTAGGGATAACGTGCCATATATTTAACGATGATTGCTGCATCATGCACATGGTCACGGGAGGATAAAATAAATAACAAAATAAGTTTCACTAATATTAGTATTTCGTGTTTTAAACTGTTTAAAGTGTTTTATTTGTACTATTCGCGTAATTTACGCTTAATATTATATTCTCTAACTTTTAAATTCCGTTTATTTTGTTTCGTAATGTTGTATCACGGAATTGGTGTACTTTACGTTAATGATTTATTTATTATTTGTATTTTATAAAAATTTTCAATATAGACAATTATTATTATAAGCACTTTTTGGGTTTTTGGAGATCAGAATATTTCGGCTTCTAAGTTCTGGCTAATCATCACCGATACTCATCAGGCGGGATCATGGTCAAATGCTTATCTATAACTAGCTCAGCGACGGCATCCGCATAGAATAGTTATTTTGGGCATCCAAAATTGTTTTTTGCAAACTGTTACCTACGTCATCGGACTCGTCCCATCGCTCGCGACCCGTCTTTCGGTTCCCGTCGTAGATGATAGACAAATACTGACGCGGACATTTTTTTTGATAATTAAAAGAAGAGTTATTCTTCCATTCTATGATTAATTTACCCCGTTTTACCACATTTCCGCTTTTTCAATTCGAACTAGTAGTTCCTGAGATTAGCGCGTTCAAACAAACTCTTGAGCTTTATATATTAGTATAGATTTATAGAAACATCCCAATACATACAGTCTGTAGCTAACGCGAGTACTGTATCGGTTTAAAACTCGTAATATATAAGTTAAACTTGTTTACAAATTAATTTACCTCGAACCCGACGTTTCGGATGCTTTCCAGCAGTCGTGGTCACGGGGAGATTAAAGAGGGAGCGTGTCTAATGTCGAAATAAACTTTTTTAAACATGTTTTTTTTTCGTACTACTAGCGTAAACAGCATTCTATATATTATTATTAATAATTAGTAATAGTATTTTTTGTAAAACCGAAAATATATTTAAGTCGCCCGTAAAACTCGATGTCCAATTACTTGACTATGCTCTCAAAGCAATACAAAAAATGCACGGGACTTTTTCATTCAGTAAGTCCGTTCAGGCATCGTGCGGCAATATAGCCTAATTGAAACTTCTAGCAATCACGATATTGGAGTCAACTCTTTTTTCAAGAAAAAGCCCTGTTCCTATTGATATTTTGTAGGGACCGAGAATAATAACTAAAGTAAAGCTGCGCAGAAATTCTGACACACTAAAGAATTCTACCTTCATTTCCGTCTAACAAATGAGTTGAACATTTGTATATTTTGATCCAAATTTGTTTTTAATTGAAAGCCAGAGTAGCCTATCTGCAATTTTATGACTTAAGAGCACATGACCTAAAATTGTGAACATAATTCTTACACAAATAATAGTACTATTTCCCCTACGGTTATTGCGCATTTTTATTTTCCCCCTTATTGTAAATCATGTTTTTTGTTATTAGGCCACTCTGCCCATAGTAGCAAACCATATTGACCGACTCTATAACTAAATGGTTAAACGTATTGCCTAGAAATGCGTTAAGCACGTAAGGTTGTGGGTTCGAATCCCGGGGAAACAATAGATTGCTTCGGTCAGTCTGATCATCTACATGCCTGTAAATAAAACCGATCAGAGAAACGGACACAGAAATGTGTTCGTCCCATGCCCCACGGGATTTCACATATATATGATATCTCAGTGCGCTGACCGACTTTTAACCCCTCTATAACTGGTTCGAATCTCGTAAAAACTAAATTGTTTCCGTCGGGCACAGAAGTCAGACCAGATGTATAAATAATGTGTTTATTGTTTAGGCACCAGTGTCAGTTGTAGCAAAGCCAGTATTCGCGCGAGCGTCTTCAGCACCGCAGCCGCCGCCCGAATTGGACGACCTTTCCCATCTCGCCTGACAGCCACGAGTTGTGACCATCATCAAGCAGATCAAGAAAACTAATCGATAGTCCGGACGAGCGAGAATACGTGGGAGGACATTACGAAAAGCAAGAAATTGTAAAAGCCATTTTCACCGTTTATTTGTTGGTTTTCGAGCTAAGCGTCAAAAAAATTGTCAGATAAATGACAATTTTTTCCAATTGTGGTGGCGAACCATCACAAATTATTTATACGCCTGAATTGCTGGCAAACCTAAGTACCTTTGGCACCAAGTCAGATGTCTAGATTGGTTCGACAAAGGTGAGGACTCGAGTATGACGTCACACGTTGTGAAGCTTAACATCTAGGCCTATATGAAATTTTGTTTTTGTTTTTCGCGTTGTTTTCGAATTGTGACGTCACGAAATTTCTGACAACGTCCATTTATAGATGAAATGATGAATTAAATACTGTCTGTAGTTGACGCGAGTAGTACACATTTAAATAAAACACTTTAACGGTTTAAAAAGGTGATTAAAGTTTGAATAATATATATCGCGTTTAAAACCGTTAAAGTGTTTTATTTAAATAAAACACTTTAACGGTTAAACTTTAAATAAATGATGAATTGTTTTATAACTTATCTATCATCAGGTTTTTAACTTAAGAACTCTCTTCTTTATCTAAATCAAAGTTTAATATGGCTTTTAAAAGATATTATGTTTGTTAATATATTGACTGTATGTTCAATAACTGTGTAAGCGCAGGATAAAAATTATGTATATTAGAATATATGAATTTTATATAATTAGGTGTTGTATTTTAACTTTTATGATAAATTACCGCTATTGACTATGTTTTCCTTTTACACAATACTATTATATATTGTTAATAACTAAAAATAAAGTAGTTGTAATCATATTTTATAGATACGGATTTGACATGTATTGTATATTTGCTTTAAGACGTGTGTATGTAATTGTAATACATGATAAATATATATCTACTAAATAGAAGTACCTGTATTTTCTTTTCACTTCAATTGTAGGATATAGGAATGTTATAGGAACGTATTACGTTAAGTAGGTTAGTGTTTGGATTCAAAAAAAATTAACCATTTGGGTTGGACACACCAGGCTATAGGGGATTTGACACACTCGCGTAAACTACATATAAAAACGGAAGTTGTCCATGTGTGAAAGCCCGTTTCCCCTCGAGGGGCATGGGGCAAACACATTTCTGTATCCGTTTCACTGACCGGTTATATTTGAGGCAAATTGGTGATAAGAATTCTGTGCCTTGCCCGACCGAAATATTTTTTTCCCCGGGTTTCGAGCCGAAGAGCTCGCGCGTTTAATGCAATGCTACGCAGCGCTTTGAACTGTTCAGCTACAGAGGCGGTCATACACTTAACGGAAACTATCCAACAAAAGAGTAATTTTATTATTTTATAAGTGTTTAAAGTCAAAATTGATCGATAGCACATTTAATTAATGTTATACTTCTAGGGTATATCACTTCCCCGCAAGTAAAGTCTCTGTTTGTTCTATGTCATACAAAAAAATCACTTAAATACACGATGTGCACATTCAAATAAAACACTAACGGTTTAAAACGGGATATATAGCAACAGCCTTGGTCACGGGGAGACTCCCCAAAGCATCCGAAACGTCGGGCGGTAGTTAAAATAATTTACCAAAAAGTTTAACTAATATATATCGCGTTTTAAACCGTTAAAGTGTTTTATTTAAATACGCGGAGTGACTTATTACAATTGTGATACAATAGTTGCATGTGAACGAGTAAATAAGCACCAAATACGCGCATAATAGACACAATCCTTCACAATGAACGAATGTCCACTCGACTGAATTGATAAGTGGGTAGTAACGCGTGGGGAGCTACAGCCATGGCCGCCCGCCCGCGCCCGCCCGTCCATTTAAATGTCGCAGATCCTTTATCCCTAATCGTAATTTGCATTTTGCCTCTATGAGTCAATTTATGTGGTAAAAAATGGTCACCCGGTATTAATATTGTAAACTACGTAAGTGAATATTATGGTTTTCAAAAACAAATATTGTAGGTTTGCAAAAACAAATTTGGATGCCCATTATAACTATTCTATGGATAAAGACGCTGACACAGCTAGTGTGTAATAAATAAGTTTGAAATTACATTTCTTTAGATCACGGATTAACAAAAAGGCAAAAAACAGGAACGCTGTGAATATAGGTTCTTGTTTTAATCTAAAAAAAACGAATCTTTGTAGTTTGTACATACTAATTTATTTAGCAATACATTTTCTTTCGCCATTGTGTTATTACATTTAAAAATATATTTATAGCAAAGCAAATGGAATCTTTAAGATAATTAAAAATGGTTTTATAAAAGTAGACGACACGGGCTCGACTTGAACCGGCGTCCACAGCTTTCCGTGCTACGTGTTAGGAAGTTAGACGGGAACGGAAAGCTTACTTTGACTTGCTTTTTTTGGTAAACCTCATGATAAACGTTAGTTTATGTCAAATAAACATACCTATGTAACGGAATACACATGCTAAAAGTTGGGCGGTCATCAAAGATTTTTTAAATTTTTACCAGGTCTAAATACTGTCTGTAGTTTACGAGAATAGTACACATTAAAACATAAACCTTAAAAGATTAAAAACGACCCGACTTTTCCGCAAAGAACATATCGTGTTTTAAACCGTTAAACTGATTTATTTAAATTTACTGGTTCTGTTAAATTTATGCTCTTTGGTCGGTCGTAGTTGGTCGGCGCGGCGGGCGGTGCGCCCGACTGACCACTGGTCGCTGGCGGTGCTGGTAAGGGACAGCCGACAGGCGTGCCTTTGGGAGTCCGCACGGCTCAGACTCCATTCGCGTTACGACACTGCTCCCATTCGGCACTTTTCGCTCTCAAAAACGACATTTTCCCGCCAAATACTTCGCACCTCGACAAACTTTTACACGACTCGGTGTGACACTATTGTTTTGTAACAGTGATGCGTTGTTATGTTGTGTTGTTCGTTTTATTTTTCGTTTTTTTACCAAAAGCGACAGAGGCGATTCGGTGGTTGTAAGTATATTTTGTTTAATATTATATTTAATTTATTTATTAAGTACTTTTAGAGTTTTTAGGTTAATTACAATTACATTAACAGTTTATTGTTGACGAAGACCCAATGTCTTTGATTTGGAATGTAATTATAAAGTCATGATAAAGAAGAAGTTTGTATTTTATTATATACACTGTTAACTTTATACGTGTAGATATTTGAGTGAGTAGGAATATTAGTTATTTCAATGGTGTAAAATCAATCTTATAAAAGAATAAATTACGTAAATAAGAGATTACTTCTCTTATAAAATTAAAATAAAATAGTGCAATATACACGTACTATATTTATATACTATACTATATTTATGTACTATATTAGATACTATATATGGTATAGATAAAGATTTGATTTATTATTAGTTTTAGAAATGTACAAATATAGATTTACATGATGTTTTGGAATACCTATACAGATACAAAGATGAAATACAATCTATATAATATTTCTTCCTCGAAATGATTTTTTGGGTATTCCTAACCTCTAGAGAAAATCATTACTTTTATTAATAAGTACTTGGTGGCCTAATGTGTTTATTTGTAGAAACTGGAATACCAGCTTTCCAAGTAAAAAAGTTTTGGGTAACTACTTTCTTTATGAAGGTTATTAGCTCGGTAGAATAAATTGTTCCTTTAATAAAGTTTTTTGTAAATTATGTATCTCTTATCTCTATCTATATGTAGAGTTTGTGCGAGTAATACATATTTAAAATCAATCTATTTTGAACGAGTTAAAATGTTATTTAATTGTTAATCAAATTTCGTTTAATATAGTTTTACACTATAGAATTACAGATACTAAATTTAACAGTACATCTTATTACAACTAATGTATATTTGTCTCTATCTCTCTTTATTCTTTACACTACATATTGTTGTTAGAACCATAAACTACACATACACATTTTCATCGGGGAATTGTTACTTGAGGTAGAAAAATTATATTTGAAAACCTCAGCTTTACAAATTATATCTGTTACACACGACGTCGTCCGCAACCTGTCGTTCATTATAAGATAAACATAGTAACAACAAATGTCGGGGGTATTTTTTAAGATCATATAAATGAATCATTCTATCATACATGTTTCTTGAATCATTTTCGCAGCGCACATAACGAAACCCCTCAAAGGTTCCGTTTTTTTCCACATTTTCCGCATTATGCAACATCAGCAGCGTGATGTTGCATAGCCTAAGGAGAATTTATCCTTCCTCGATCTCGGTCAATCCAACAGTGAAATTGGAACCAGCGGTTCTTGAGGTTAGCGCGTTCAAACAAACTCTTCAGCTTTACAATTAGCATAAATTAACAATAAATCGGGTTTGAACTCGTCCAAAATCGCGTTTAATCCTTACCGTTTCCTCAATTATCGTTAGTTAAAGCGTAGGTGGGTAAGGTAACCCGACGCCCAAGCGTCCACCGCCCTAATTGAACATAGCACTAATGAGCACCGTTGTTCCAATGCAGCCCACAATTATTCGCCCCTGAGATTAAACCCGGAAATATCTCTGGAAATCCGAGCTCTGACGTCAATCCAATTGGACCATTCGATTCCAATTATTTCTCGTAAACATTCCCTATAAAGACTAATATTCAACCTTTGGAAGGCGAAGCCAAAAGGCTATTTCATTTATTTTTAAAACTATGTTTCGATTCGACGCGCCAAATACAAAGCGAAATAATTATTTAATAAACTATTCATTCATTATTTACAAGCGACTCTATTTTAAAAAACCCATAAAAATCTGTTGCGTGGTTTTAAAGACTTAAGCGTACATAGGTACAGAAAAAGAGACTGTGTTTATTACTATGTATTGATGATACATACTACAGAACGATAGAGAAAAAATCTTACGTACTAATTTATAAATAAAAGGCGGCGCTATCGCTAAGCAGCGATCTCTTCTAGGCAACCTGAA